AGCAGATTCAAATCAGCAGTTAGCACGAATTCGTAAGCTGGTGTTGCACCCCTGTCGTCAAAGTATACTAATTAACTGGCCAGCCTGTATATTGTCTACCTTTTCATTGGCAAATTTGTCCTCACCTACATTTCAATGGTAATTAGAACATCATCGGAAATGCTCTGCCATCGCAACACCACTGACTGTTTCAGTTTTGCTTTCGAGTCACTGGGCTTCGAATTTCAGCCAACTTACGACTGTCCTATGTTCGATCATTGTTTGCGCAACGAGTTCAAAAGTTGGATGAGATTTCGACAGGCAGTGTGGCAAACACAATCACCTCCTCGGCGAATACCATTCAACTCAGCATTTCTGACAAGCTGCACTCTCTTTTCATGGCCACATCTCTGATTATCGCTGCATACTCGATTGCCTTCTCGCGATCATGGGCTTTAACTCTCGTCACTAGTTCAGCATTGCTCTTCGTCGTCGTTATTTATTCCTTCACCACTCCGATCGTCATTAAGGTGGTGCAGCAAGTGGAGAAGGCAGACGCAAAAGCCGCCACCATTGCTGGCGAGGTCTTCTCCTCTATTCGGACCACTCTGTCTCTGGGTGCTGAAAAGTCTCTTACGGACAAATACGATGATTCAGTCAGGGACTCGCACCAAAAGGGGCTGAAGATCTCAAAACAACTGGGCATGCAACTGTCGCCGATATTCTTTGCAATGTATTCAAGCTTTGCTCTTGCATTTTGGTTCGGACTGAAACTTTTCCGGGAGGGACATATCGGAGATATCAACACAGTTATCATGTGGGTTGTTGTTCTGACTTCTCTCTGGTTTTGATTGAGTCGATGCTGACCATTTGTACAGTGTCTTCTTCTCTGTTCTGATTGTAGTGGCCGTTTTGAGCGCCCTCGTCGCACCTATTATGGCAATTACAAAGGCCATCAGTGCTTCTGTTAGCTTTTTCGCCATGATTGATTCAGACCAGGTGGTAGTGACTGGCCTTGCCGAACCAGACGTTTCTGCACACGAGGACATCGAATTCGAGAACGTTTCCTTTTCCTATCCGACCCGTGCAAATGTGCCAGTTCTGAAAAGCTTCAATGCCCGATTTCTTAAAGGGAAAACTACTGCCCTGGTAGGGCCCTCGGGATCCGGCAAAAGCACCATAGTTGCTCTGCTAGAGCGTTGGTACGAGTTGCAAACATCCGAGGGCTTGAAGAGTGATGAAGCCGCAGCTGTACCGGAGGAAGGCGAATCAAAACCTTCCGAGGCAGCCGATCTTCACAGCCATGGGACCATCTCGGTTGGGGGCGTCAACATCAACGACACCAATGTCAAGTGGTGGAGATCACAGATTGGTCTTGTACAACAAGAGCCGTTCTTGTTCAATGACACCATCTTCAACAATGTCGCTTTTGGTATGCTGGGAAGCCAGTGGGAGAATGCTCAACCAAACATAAAACGTGAAAAGGTGGAAAAGGCATGCCGAGAGGCCTTTGCTGACGAGTTCATCCAACAACTACCCGAGGTGAGGCATCATCGCAGCCTTTTTGGTTCTCTGACTAACTTTCCCTGCAGGGGTACGACACCCAAGTCGGTGAAAGTGGGATCAAGCTTAGCGGTGGTCAACGACAACGGCTTGCCATCGCAAGAAGCATTGTTCGGGAGCCTGCCATCCTCATCCTCGACGAAGCCACAAGCTCGATCGATGTCCGGGGCGAGAGAATCGTGCAACAAGCCCTGGAGCGTGTTGCCCAAAATAGAACAACTGTTGTCATCGCTCATCGATTGTCCACCATTCGCAAGGCCGACAACATCATCGTCCTGCGCGATGGTCGCAAAATGGAAGAAGGCACCCACGAGCACTTGCTCACCATCCCTGATGGAGTGTATGCAGGCCTCGTGCACGCCCAACAGCTGGAACATGACTCAGCACCCAATACGGAAGAACCTGACGATGTCACTGCTCTCGGCGAACTGGGCCGGCGCGATACTGTCAATTCTATAAAAAAAGAAACCGTCGAGAACTTCGATACTTGGAAGAAGAGGGGCTTCTTCCGATCATTTGGATTGTTCTTGTACGAACAACGGACGCACTGGGTGCTGTACATTCTGATCATTGCGGCGGCAATGGGGGCTGGATGTGAGTCCAAGGATATATTTTGAGCGGACCCTGTCGAAAAAACCTTACTAACAGCATCATAGCTTCATTTTCTCTCCAAGCATACATCTTTGCAAGGTTGATCGAAGTTTTCCAGTTCACCGGTGACCGTCTGAGAGAGCGTGGTGACTTTTGGTCACTCATGTTCTTCGTCCTTGCATTAGCAATGGCGGTTTGCTACTTTAGTCTGGGATATGTGGCCAATCACCTGGCGGTGGTAAGTACTCTGCTCACGGATGGCAGTCCTGACCTGTATGCTCTGGGACTACCGCGTTTGCTGACACTGTCTAGTTCGTTTCGACCGCTTACCGCCGCGAATACTTCCGCACTATTTTGGCCAGCCCTGTTCCTTTTTTCGACAAAGAAGGGAATGCCTCAGGAGCGCTGATGTCGAGGCTTACCTCCGATCCCAAGCAGTTAATGGAGATGCTGGGCTGGAACGGAGCGTTTCCTCTGGTATCGATTTTCAACATCACCGGCTGCATCGCGATTTCGTTTGCCTTTGGTTGGAAGCTGACGCTAGTCACTTTCTTCGCAGCGATGCCGGTGATTTTTGCAGCGGCCTTCTTTCGAATCAACTTCGACCTACAATTCGAGACATGGAATGCTGAGGTGTTTGCTCACAGCTCTCAATTTGCAACTGAAGCTATCGGTGCGTTCCGTACCGTAACGGCCTTGACAATGGAAGACTCAATCATTACCAAATATCATAGTTTGCTGCAGGAGCAGATAAGAAAAGCGACCAGGAAAACCTCTTATGCTGCCCTTATCTTTGCGCTCTCTGATAGCGTTGAACTTTGCGCCATGGCTCTTACATTTTGGTAAGTTTGATCGAGATTCTCTGGAGTTGTGTGACTGACACAGATGCTCTTAGGTATGGTGGACAGCTATTGGCATCACGGGAATACAACCCAGTACAGTTCTTCGTCATCTACATTGCGATTATCCAGGGAGCGCAGGGTGCAGGACAGTTCTTCAGCTTTGCGCCTAACATTGCCCAGGCCACCGCCGCGGCCAATCGGATCCTGAGATTGCGACATGAAGTGGCAGAGAGAGAAAGGAACAGGGTGGTTGGCCGACCTCTTGAAGTCAAATCGGTCAGAACCGGCGCCAAAGTCGAGTTCAATAGTGTTGCGTTCAAATATCCGACGAGAGAAAACCCCATCTACCGCAATTTGAACATCAATATTGAAAGTGGACAATTTGTCGCATTTGTCGGACCTTCAGGATGTGGCAAGACGACGGTGATATCGATGCTGGAGCGGTTCTACGAACCTACGTCGGGAACGATCTCCTTTGACGGACAGAACGTGCTTGAGATTGAGATGGCCTCATACCGGCAAGCGCTGTCTCTGGTGTCACAGGAACCACGACTTTTTGATGGCACGATTCGACAAAATCTGGTGCTGGGTCTCGATGAGGAAGCGATATCAGAAGAGGCTATCGCGCAGGCCTGCAAGGACGCAGAAATCTACGACTTTATCGTCTCTCTCCCAGACGGATTCAATACGGCCTTGGGGACCGGCACGCAGACGGCGCTCAGTGGAGGCCAGAAACAGCGACTCTGTCTAGCGCGTGCGTTGTTGCGCGACCCGCGTCTCCTCCTCCTGGATGAAGCGACTTCGAGTCTCGATTCTCAGTCGGAGAAACTGGTGCAAGCCGCCATTGATCGCCTGGTGGCACAGCGCCGCATGACAGTCGTGGCGGTTGCTCATCGGCTCGCCACCATCCAAAAAGCAGATGTGATATTTGTCTTTGGAGAGAGCGAGGCCGGAAGAGGTTCGCGCATCTTGGAACAAGGCACTCATCATGACTTGTTGAGGCGGAGAGGCGCGTACTGGGCCATGTGCCAGGAGCAGGCTCTTGACCGGTAGATCAGAGAGAGACCGGTGTAAGCATCAGTGACCCAAAGTTGTATCTTTAGCATCATTCATGGAGTTTGGGGACTTCTGTCCACTCTTCTAGAGACATAGACTCTATGGAAATACCTCATCGTCTCAGGCTAGAACGACAAATTGTATCAATTCGACTCGATGTATATTGTTCGACGCAGAATAATGCCGTGAACCCGCTGACTAGATCTATCGTGATGCGTGCAACCCATCCCAATCACAGCGCCTCTGTCATGAGAATGGGTATCGTATATGAAGGAATCACAGGTTGAATGAGTCAAAAACGCCCCATGAATCGTGACACACAGTCTGTCCACTTCAACTCTCACACAGACCAAGAAAGACTCTAAGGACCAACAGTCATGCAGCTGACCAGCCAAGAACCTGTTTAACACCAGGAAAGACGCCACGTTTTGTTTGGAAACAAAGAGAACCGAACGAACATACAGTCGTGGACGGAACTGCACCGCGGTAATCCGAGGTTGACATCGACAAACTCTTGAAGTTTAGTGATGATCTGACAAATAGTATTCCCAGGTATGAATAAAGACATGCCATCCTCCTTGACTACCGTTAGTATTGAGGCCGACGCGGACCCCGAGAAAATGGAGTGAAAACCGGAGTATAGGCAAGGCTGCGGGGGAGGCGAGGCGGATCTGTTTTGGTGACGGCAAAACCCCCTCGCCCTTCCCCCAACCCCGAGTTTGCCGGAGAACGGGCGCCGCGACACGTGACCGGTATACCGCGAATAGAGAAACGGAACAGCCGACTTTGATGAGACCCGAGGTCAATGTGATTCAGTTCTCACTCCACAGTGCCACCCCGGCTTCACTTCGACGAAACCCAGAGGACAGACTTGCCCCAGCATTCGTTTCTCGTTTTGATGCGGAGATAGAAGGCTGATTTGATAGAGCTTTTTGGGGTGTGCTCCACAAGTCTCTCTCTACTCTCGAAGGGAACAGAGATGCCGGTAAGAGTGCTTCTTTCGAGGTGTTTGTTTCTTCTTGACGTGTTGGGAATGATTTAATCGTGTCGGTTGGCGTAAGCTTCATTGGGTCTTCAGCGAAAATAGGTCGGTGGCGGTGTACGGGTTGGGGTTACCATTCGTCTTTCCACACCTGGTGTCGTGGTTGCTCCATCTAGCATTAAAGCGTCTAGTTCTTCTTGAATTGACTCGTCTGAGACAGTCTCGATCATATTCACCACCACTCCATCCTTGTTTATGTCACATGTCCTTGTCAATGCTGAAATTGTAATGGGCACTGAGCTCCGCACGGTGTATCTGGGGGCGCCTTGGATGCCATTGAAAGAAAGGGATAGATCGAGTGAGTATGTCCTTGAATAGTGTTCCCATCGGGTTGAAGGCTGGGTGATGGAGTCTGGGACGTCTATGTCGAGCTGCGCAGCGGCCGCGTATGAGTTGGTATTGGTGTTGGCGGAGGGGGATCGTGATTCGTAACGTGGAAGTGGTCGAAACAGAATGTCAGCCTTATGCGTCGAGGCTGTCGTTGTCTTATATATAATCTCGCCTGCCGTCGGTCGCACTCCACCCAGTGGCCGTCTTGTCGCCGTTGAGAATCGATTGTGGATCTCCCATTTGGCTTCGACGCCACATTTCAACGATTGTCGTGCATCGAGTGATGGAGCCAAGTCTCCCTCCATTGTCACCGCCAACGGAATCGTGATTCGACATTGCCCAGCGTCTGGCCCACGCTCCAGGACTATGTCTGCCTCATCGATCGACACGTTGAGTGCAGGGGCTTTTTGCAATTTGTATCTGCTGAAAAGACCGTGTTTTGCTCGCATTGTCAAGGGGGATCCGTTCGTTAGACTTGCGCAGAGCCGTCGGTGCTGGTATCTCAGCTGGACTGTCTCGTGAAGATGGCCCACTTCTCGGCCTGCCTGACGAAACTGGGCTTCGATCCAATACGAAACCTCAACATTGCCTTTGATTAACTGGCGATCATTCAACGCTGTATGATTTGTCACATTCGTGTTCCCAGAGACAGTGGTCGTCAAAGGAATTACACGACGTTGACCACTTGCGCTGGTTATTGTCGTCGGCACATGAAAGAAGAATTCGAGATGGCGTGCTTTGGGCGCATCAGTCTGATCATGGTTGCTGTTGGTGCGGAAATCATTAATGGTCTTGATGTCGGTCAACGTGATGACATCCTCCAACATGCTCTTCTTTCCAATGCATGAGGCAATGACTCCTGTTAGTCGGCGTCAGTTTAATTCAATGAAGGTCAAAGAACACGAAAGAGATGGGTTCGCTACCACTTACCTCTGAAACTCAACCGCACGGTGTCAAATGCTTGAATTTTGACCGAATCGTCCAATACACTCAGCCGGCCCTTGATCAAGATGGACCTCTCGGATTCAGTGGTGGGATGGTAGCCAGAATGTGGCTTCCCACTACCGTCTAGCAGCGATGCAACTTGCACCCGAGCGTATATCATCCTTAGCCGTTGACACTGACAATTTGATTGAACATTTAGATGATAATCATAGTCTGGTAAGAGAGAGTACAATCCAAGGCTTGAAAACAGTGGGGAAAATGCCCAGGCATATGACTTCTCGTTTGTTGAACGCGGGTTTTCAATCGCCTTGAATGATAACCATATCTTAACTCGTCTGAATCAGAAGGCGACGAATCAGAGTCCCGGTGAGCGCGCCTATCGAGGCTGTGGGTGGGGTGTAGCCACCGCGGCACAGGGGGTGAAGGATCTGGATTTGTCCATCCCAGTGTTGGTGTGAGCGAGTCGTTTGACTTTATCAACAGTTGTGAGATCTAACAGCTGACAGATTGAGCCCGGAGTGACCCGAGATGGGAGAGGAAACGGACCCTGAATGGGCAGACTCCTTGCCCGAGGTTATTGAAGCCGGAGGATTTTGCTTCTGTCGTCTTGGGGGTGACAGGTTCTCGTGTCCGGCTGGCAAACAGGCATAGACAAAGGAGTCATGCATTCTCGACCCCCAACCTCGATTGTGATTATTGCAGCAGACCTTAGCATATATGCAATCGACACGCCAGAGGTTGTCGTTTATCTATCAACTTGTGATGAAATACCTAATTGATGGTGTCAGCTGGTGCAGCAGGCCGAGGGGCCACGTTAGCTACTGACCATTATTAAATTCTAATGAACCTTACCGTGCCGAAGATTCACCCCTGGACTTGGGGAATCCGGCCAAGGCTAGGCGTGGGTGCGCCTTACTTAGTCACCCGTATACAGGGTTCTGGTGTTCACCGACTTCTAGCGGTCTACTCATTAGCATATGCGCAAGGTCCTTGACGTCAAGAGGTTCAGCCGGGCTTCTAAGTGAAGATCATTGGCACGAGGTTTTCTCGGTGGTACCTGTTCAGATCGACTATAGTGAGTGCGGAGGCTGTGATCCGCTTTTACGGAGTACATTACTCCAAGGTGTGGTCCCCCAGACCACCACCATCCATAAGGAAGAAAATGGTTTGGTTCTCCATTGATGGTGGAGTCGGATTACTCCGTGCGTCTTTGGTCATTTGGCATTGGCGAGACTGAATTATCCCAAGCCAAGGGCTGCTATGGTCTTGCCACGAGCTAACCTTGTGCCCCTCGGCCCCATTCACGCACCCCTCTAGGCTTTCAAGTACGGGCGACAGATTCTCTAGCGTAGATTGGGGAGGCGAGTTGACAGGCCCCGTGGCCCCTTAGGCTACAGAGCTTCTTGGACCCCGTGAGGCCCAGATCTGCAAGTGGAAAACATTTCCATTTGAGAGCCCTCAAAAATGGAATGCAACAAGAAAGAAACCAGGCGCTTGAACCATGAACCACGTGCCATCCACCACAGTGCCGATAGAAAGCAGTCTAGGTAGCAGTTGTACAACCTTATCAATAATGAAGGTCTCTGCACCTCCAAGGGATAATCTTTGTTGAGACGATGAACCTATTCGCTGATTCTTGCTCGTGTAGGAGAATTCTATGTTGAAGGGGATTTTGGTGCCTGGACATCTCAACAAGTGCTGCCCAACCTCAACTTAAACATTTTGGCGTGATCTCTACACAAAGGAGAGTGACTGATTACGCGATGGTCTTTTTTAAATGATGATGGCCTGCCTGAGATTGCCTTGGTTGCTCTGCTCGTATTGCGTATTTCCAAGTATCTTTACGGAAAACTCACAGAACCACGTCGGACAGTCCTGAAGTCACAAATACATAATGTTTTCCTACTCTAGACTGGACTTACCAGTATGACTAACTAGTAGAAACTTGGTCAGTAACGAACGCGCCATTATGTAAGACCCTAGCGCCCAAGATGTGAGCCTCTCGGACGCATTTCTTGGACACAGGCGGAGTTCTGCCTCTTTGGACGGCCATTCACAATCACGTGCTTGAGCTTGTTACTGGTATCTTTGGCAGGCAGGCACAACCCACCACACAGCCACTGTCCCACCCCGCTCCCTCACCTTCCCACTTCGTTTTGTAGAGGCCCAGTCACGTGAAACTTGGCCTTCTTCCTCCCTCCCAGTGATCTTCGTCAGCACTTCTTGTCAGCACTGATCGTCGAGAATCTAGACGTTTGATACACTACTACCGCTGGATGCCTCTTGAAGCGTTGGACTCTCCTCCATGTCTTGGACAAAATGACTGAAGACACTGCCATACAGGCTCCCATGGAGCCACGGCGAGCGTGTCAAGAGTGCAATCGGAAGAAGACCAAGTGTGATATGAGACGTCCCAAATGTGGCCTATGTGCTCGCACTGGCAGCGCTTGTAGTTTTCCTTCCAAGCGCAAACGGCCGACTCCTCGAAAACCTCAGCTCAAGTCTCAGTCCCGTGACATCAAGGATGGTGTCTCCAGGCTCCTGCAGCTTCTCCATACGGCTACTCAACAAGATGCTGGAACCAGCATGTCGCCAACCCAGCGCGAGGCCGCTCAATCACTTCTTCAAGATTCACTCAAAGGCCTTCTTACGGACATTCTTCCATCCAATGGCGATGATTTGCAGCATCGTGGTGACCCTGATCACCCGTCTCAAGATGACCAGCACGCTGATGACAACGAATACGATGGCCTTGAAACCGACGAGGACGATGACGAGGATCAGCAATCCTCTGCCGACGACGTAATTCATGATGATCCTGGCTCCGGTCCCTCGTCAGCTTCATCAAAACCAAAGCTCCAAAATGAGATCACTTGCTCCCTTGCCATCGATCTCACCCAACTATTCTTTGAAAAGATTCAAGCATGGCTTCCACTCCTCCACCGACCAAGATTTCAGGCCCGATTCGAACCAAGCATGTTGGTCGATGGTGATGTGATGAGGTCCCTTGCTGTTGACGATGCCCTACTCCTGTACGGAATGTTTGCCCTGTCGGCGCGCTTTTCTACTCACCCAGCATTGAAAAATATTCCACCAATGAAGAGGGGCCACATCTTTGCGGAACGCGCGCGACAGATGTATCTGAAGTCCCGTTCAACAGCGGACCACTCTTTGATCCACTTGCAAGGTTGCATCGTCTTGACCAATTACTTTTACACTTCCGGCCCAACTCCCAAGGGGTGGTTACTCATCGGAGAATGTGTTCGCCTTGCTTATGAGTTAGGCTTGTCTGACATCGACGACGATATGTGGACCCCGTCATCTCCTCTCATATCGATCGACAAAGAAGAACTCAGGCGCGCCTGGTGGTGTGTCTGGGAACTAGACACCTTTGCATCGTCCGTGTCGCGAAAACCCTTCTCCATTGACCGCAAGAGAATGGCGGTCAAGCTACCAATGTCGGACGAAGCTTGGTTCTCAGGCAATCCAGTTGAGTCCAACGAACTCCTCATGACGCCTGGCCAAACATGGAGAACTTTGGAATATTCAAGTAACCAGGATGAGCGTGCTTGGTATTTAGTGGCCAACCATCTCGCGACCATGATTCATGATCGCAGCCAGCAGAGGCAGGAGGTGTCCATCGACGAAAAGATGATGCTCGACAACGAGATCACCTGTTTCAGATTAGCACTTCCCCCAACTCTTCAGCTGGATCCGGAGCTCGTCGTCTTCACCCCCGAGACTTTCTCCAAATGTAACTGGGTTATCGGCACTCATCTCATGCTCATGACCGCCTCCTATATCTCTGGCGCGATGGGAGCGGCCGAGAGCGATGACCGTAGCTCGTCCGCTGCGAGCGCCGCTGCTGGCCTATCGCCCCTACGACTGAAAGCAGTAGAGTTATCTAGGATCATTGGGTTATGGGATTCCAGATATATCGCTACCGCACACCCATTTTTTACCTGTATGCTGCTTCCTTTCAACGTCTTTGAATTTGAAACCCTTCGGTCTCAGCAACTGATCGCCACAACCCATAATCTCTCCAAGCTCGTCTTGAGACACGTTGGTGAGAAATGGCGCTTGGGACTTGTTTGCTGCGGTAAGATGACCCATGTCGTGTGTGCACCAAGACTCATGCTGATTGTGTTCTCAGAGATCGCCAAAATGGTGGAACGCCCGAACAATTTGACTGACCAGGAGAAACAGCTTGCCAAACGGTACAAACTCTTTTTCCAAGGCCCGCAGGTTGTAGCCAACAGTCCCGCCAATTCTCTGCCTCGAAGTGACAGAGACTCGCGGTCAGTGGAGGGTGGTGATCCGTCATCATCCCAACACAGCATGTCCATCATGCATCAACCAGTCCACTTACCAGGTGAATATGCAACTACAATGTATTCCGCCGACCAAATGCCTCTGGCAGATTACATTTTGTTGGATCAGACGGGATTCCAGAACATGCCTTTTAATGCGTATGACTCTCAGGTCGATCTCGACATGGGCTTTTCCGACTTTTTTGGAGGCTATCCAGAGCACAAGCCCGATTTCTCTCAGATGCGACACCCCTAAAGTTAAATGCGAAGCGGCCTTTGAAGTCAGCCATTACGGCTGCCTGCCTGGGTTGACAAACTTTCCGCTGTCGAATGGTGATCTCAGCGTCAAGGTTCGGTCGTCAAGGTAGTGATGGCCTCGGACTTAAGTGGGATGATTATGGTTCTAAACTGCCGAATCATTCTTCCATCAAATACACCGGACTGGGTTGGCACGGTGTCCATATACACTTCTCCAACGTCACGTGACCGGTGTTCGTTGAATGCCGAGTTTACCGTGTCAGCCCCGGCATTCACCAGGATTATGAAGATGATGGACTGGCCCACGGGGCTTGCGGGACTCTGGCGGGGCCTTTTGCCTCATACGGATCGGCCATATAGGCGCTCATTACACCCAGAATTAGGACCGACAAGTCCACCAAGTCATCCCTCTGTTTCTTCAACTCACTACCTGCAAGTAAGGACATCATGACGCTCACCAAGGTTAGGGTCGTTAGATTGGCCCACGTGGTGTACCAACACCCAGATCTTGAGAAAGCATTGTCTTTCCTCTTAGATTTCGGCTTTGTTGAAGAGCATCGTACGGCGAACAGAGTATATCTGCGAGGATATGGAGTCCAACCTTTCGTCTATGTTGCAGAGCAATCCCCCGACGACCGTAGGCATTTCATCGCAGGTTACTGGGTAGTCGAATCGCCCGGTGAATTGGAGAAGGCTGCATCCAACCCCAGTGCTAGCCCCATTCTCGACAGTGAAGCCCCCGGCGGTGGCAAAGTGGTCACCATGACGGACCCCAATGGCTTTACCGTTGGGTTTGTGCATGGACAGAAAGTACGAGAGAGTGACGCCGTGCATGGCCACCTTGAGCAGGAGCAGGACCCTCTATCCTTCAACACAACCGACAACAAGCCTCGACGAGGTGTTTTCCGCAGATTCAAGCAAGGACCGAGCCCTGTCCACAAGTTGGGGCACTATGGCTTCGTGCTTCCCGCGAGCAAATTTCAGTCTACTCTCGCTTGGTATCTGAGTCTCATGAATCTCAAGCCAAGTGACATTGTCTTCAATCCTGAGACTGGCTTGGACGAAACTGTCTTCAATCACATCGACCTTGGGAAGACGTACACAGACCATCATGTAAGACCGAATGGAATAGCGGTACTCATCGACGTACTTACGACTGACCCGTTATACAGAGCCTTTTCTTTGCTGCCGGGCCAGAACATGCCCCGCCTCATGTCCACCACTCAAGCTACGAGGTTTTTGACTTTGACACCCAAACATTGGGCCACGACTTGTTGCGTTCGAAGGGGTGGACCAATTGTTGGGGTATCGGACGACACGTCCTTGGGAGTCAGATTTTTGACTACTGGTATGTTCTCGGTTAACTTGTGACCTCCAATACTCCTTTGCACTGAAGTTGAGCATCAAGCTAACAATGCACACCACCAAGGTTTGATGGTTCTGGAAATATTGTTGAGCATTATTCGGATGGCGATCTTGTCAATGAAGACACCCCGACTTCAAGAGAACCGGCTGCACCTAATACTTTGTTCATCTGGGGCCCCAATATTCCGCTGGCCTTCCTGTCGGGCAAGGTTGAGGATGCAGGAAAGGAGCTCCCGAAACCACCAGATGCAGTCCAAGCGGCGCCTGCTCAGTTTCCAGTAGCGGCAGCCTAATTCTTTTCCACCGGTTCCAGGAGCATCGTGGCCAGTTTTGGCTCATGTTTGTGTCTTGACACCACGCGTTTGCGTCTCGTGGTACGGAAATGGTGGTCAAAAGGCTCGATGAAGCCATATGCAAGCCTGGATTGAAGCAATACTAGAACCTGGAACAATTCAGCTGCTTTGGTAGTATTTGAATAAAAAATTGGTTATCAATGTGGGATGACCTTTTGAATCGCTGGATGAAGTCCTGGAGGCCTTTGACATTCTCCATCGCAGAACTTGGTGACTCAGCTTCTACTTTCCAGAAATATCGAGTGAGTGTCGGCCATTCATTTCAAGTTCAAGTCTCACGCAGCTGCTCTACTTATCAATCCAGCATTGTGCAGGTAGGCATCGATCTCAGGGCGAGCGTTCCCCACTGGCTATCTCAGATGTTCCCGAATGAGTACAGTACTCATTGAATCTGGCACCCATAAGAAACAATGAAATCGATATGTGCCGATCCAGGCTGGCCGTCGATACTCACAGTCATAGGGACATGCACAAAGATTGTGGTGATAGCTCTGTCTCAACTGTCTATGGCTACCTGTCTAACAATGTGTGAATGTACCTACATTCACCACCCACGTGCTCTTTACCGGTCAGCATCTTGCGTGACATTTGAGTCACGTCTCTTTTATGCTTCACTTCACACTTGAAACTTCACTGTTGTCTTTCTGTTCAGGAAGCCTGTCCCAGGCCTATATAATCCTGGTCCCGTGACCTTGCTTCCTCCTCTCCCTCCCCCCTCTCACACCCACACACTCTCTCGCTTGCTTTTTGTCTCTTTCTATCTCTTTCGTCGTCTGGAGGCAGGTATTCACAAGAGATCTTGTGGAGGTCGGTTGGAGGCAAGAGGGAGCCCCCTTCTTTGCTCCAGCCTTGAACGATACGGGGATGTCGGGCCATCCTAACAACGATGCCTACACCGGCTTTGCTGGTGAAGGCGACCGTAACATCGGCAATCCTAACGATCTCAATCAACCCCTCCACTTTGCCAGCGAGCCACCCATCCGTTTTGTGAATGGTATGCCACAGCCACCAGTGGGCGAAGACTTCGATCGTGAGCTGGTCATTGTCGATCAAATCAGAGCCAACGACTTCTTCAACCAGGCGTCCAACAACGTGATGCAAGCAGATGATGTTTTCCGGAACGACCCTCTGCGTACACTTTTCGATTTCGATGTTCTGTATCCAGGAGTGCAACCCCCAAAACGTCCCGCCGAGCCTATCCCCGAGCAGCGAGTCGTCCGACAACGTCTCGAAGCTCCACAGCCTCAGCCTGAATTTCACCCCCGACCTGTATTCCGTGTGGAGGCTCAATTGCCCCGGCAAAATGCGCAAGTATTGGCCAATGTTCCAGTACCAGCCAAGTAAGTACTTACCTATTCTCCTCGCGAACAAAAGGCAGCATCTGTCACGGGCGTGACGCGCATGAGTTCGCGACTAGGCATATATTTGACAACAACTGGCGACTATCTAGGGCTTGGCACTCTTTGAGGATATATATCCCTGAGTGCCACCTCTTCATCTCTTAGATGCTCTTCCTACTACAGTTCAAACACACTTCCCCTACCAAGCAACGAGTCTGTGATAGCATCGCTCAGAAACATCAACTAACCACCATGCATAATAGTGGACCCCGCGGCCTGAGCGTGGCGGAATGCTTCAAGACGCCTCTCGTAACGCTGTTGGTTGGTCATGACGGAACTCGCATTCAGGCACACAAAGGATTTTTAGACAAATGCGCATACTTCCGAAAGAAGTTCGCCGAAACCACATCCGCAAACAACTCCCACACCGAGCTCAAGCTAGAGGACGAAACCCCCGAGGGCATCTACACTGTACTTTCCTGGCTGTACGTTGGAACCTACGAGGCTAAAGCAGCCGATCGTCGAGACACAATTGCCTATAGGAATTACCTGTCTGGAGTGATCTCTGACTATGGTCTTGCCAGCATGTACGACCTCCCCGACATTCGTACGCAGATCCTCGCGAAAAATAAGGACATCCAAGACGTTTCCTGGGCTCATCTTACCATGGCCAACGATCGACGTCTGCGAGGCACCCGCTTGTGGAGATGTATGATGCTGTCGATCAGAGGAGAGACTGTCAGTGGAGCACGCAACATTGAGCACTTGCTGGGCGATGCTCTTGCAGACACCGCTGCAGGTTCTGACGAGCATGAGGTTAAGAGTGAGGGTGGAGGTCCAGAATTGGACATGTTCACATTCTGAAGGTGGTGGTTGAGCAGTCGTCAGGATGAGCGGCTTTCAGTGCAGTGGATGGTGATGGTTGGTCAGATGAATTAATAGGCCGAGGGCCTGCATTGGAGCACTTTAAAGTCTGCAATGAATCAATGATACCCCAAGGATTGCCAAGGATGGCAATGAGTCTCTGTGATAGGGACAGAGCATTCATCAGGTTATAGCGTTAATGGAGATGATGAAATGAATGAATGAATGGTCTTAGTGGGCTTCTGGAGCCTTGTATCCTCTTGAACCTTCCGTGCTGAGTAGGACGACCACAGACTTCTTGTCCAGATGGATACTGGATGGATGTTGTCTTGCAACCTTTCTCAATGCGACCAGGGCAGCCGCTCCACAAGGTCCGGCATTGATGCCATGTGAGTGGAGATACTCAATCGCATGGTGACAGTCAATATCTTTGATGGTTGTACTTGCATCTACCCCCTTAGTAAAAGTTGGCCATGAGATGGGGGATACGGTTCCACAGTTCATGCCATTCATAATGGTAGCAGACGTATCGATAGATTCCCACTTGCCAGCTTTGAGATTGTGATACAGGCAAGCTGCCGATTCGGGTTCCACAGTGAGGACTGATATATTTCGATTATCAGACTTTGCAAATGCGACCACAGCGTGACCAAGCGAGCCGACACCGATGGGAGTCACAATTGCTGTTGCTTTGAGTCCTTGCGTAGCAAGCTGGCACTCGGTTTCAACCAGGAGCGTGGAGTAACCTTGCACAATCAAAGTGGGAATCTCTTCGTAGCCTTGAAATGCGTTGTCCTGGATGAGAAGTCCGTTGGGTTGACTTTGTGATGCCTCAAAGGCCGAGGCTACAGCTTCGTCGTACGTCCCTGGAAGGACAGTGACACGTGCACCCTCACTTTCGATCTTGGCCACGGTCTCATTATCGGCGTATCTCGACATATAAATGTGGACTGGTACGTTCAGGATATTACCCATTCGAGCAACAGCTCTTCCGTGGTTGCCTTCCGTAGCGGCGAAGACCATCACCCCTGCCTTACGCGCCGCCAGGCCAACAGCCTCAAGGTCAGCCTTTGCATCAAGACCCGTTTTGGCCGTAATGGCGCGGAAAATGCCCCAGGAAGCCCCGAGAATCTTGAAGGCTGGCAGGGACAAGCGGTTGCTTTCATCCTTGACCATAACTGCCTTGACACCTAACTCCTTTGCAACATCAGGGAGAGATACGAGCGGAGTAGGCTGGTAGCCTGGGAGTCGTTCATGAAAGGATTGTACAATGGCCAGGTCTGTCTCTTGGGCATATGACCATGACTTTGCTGAAGGATTGGAAAATATCTCTGTTTTAGGCATGGTTTGGTAAGGGAGATCTAAAATAATATTTCAAGAGAGTGTCGCATATTGTCAAGACTTGAGTTGCCATCGAACCGCTTTCTTAGTAAAGAAGATATGTAATAGGGCGTGCTACAAACATCATCCTCTAATACAAGAGCATATCTCAAGGTTGTGTATGAATTGAAGATCCTGGCTGTCTGGAGAATAATATACAATGGCCAACGATGTCTGATATTGTACAAGCTGAGGCAGAGATCTGCTGGTACTGAAAAAGGGGCAGATGTAGTGGTCATGGTTGTGAAGGCACGTGATGTTAAATTGATATTGGGATGACATGTGACAGCGGCATGGAACAACTTTGATACGTTTCATCCAATAGGAGGCTTCTCTCGTTGGCCTGAAACCACCTCTCTTCCCCCACCCAATATTTGTACGCAGATGCATCTACGAACCACCAACCGCCTATTGCTATGCATCCTACTCTCCTCCCAGCCTCCTCACGCTGTCGTTAAAATCCCCCCCGGCAGTGGCTGCATCTGCCTCAGGCCGCAAGACACCTGGCTTGCCTTGATTGGCTGCCTTAACTCCCAATTCGCACTTCGACTTAGAACTGTTGTGGTCTGCGACACTGCTGTACACACATGGCTAAATATTCTCATCAGAGCGTCTGGTCTGCCATTCGCACCTGAAGGTGCCGGTTCGGGGCCATCACTTGATTGGCTTGGCCAGTCACTTTCGTGGCCCAAAGTTGCCACACTTTTGTCTCGAGTGACAGGAGGTCGACTCTAACGGCTGCTGACACAGACACAAACAGGCACGGTGCCATGGCCGAGGACAAGGTCAGAAAGAGAAAATCATCCCACCGAAGACCTGCTGAGTTGAAAAACTCTAGATCGCATGATACTCTCAACCATGAAAATCCCCCCTCTGGTACTACCGCCACCGCAGATCGTTCCCCCGATATCCACGCCCTACGCCAGGCCAGACTTGATTATCAGTCTAAAACCCCCGAGGAGAGAAAAAGAGGAATGAAATACGAATACGTCAAAACCACAAGGGAACTGATTTCCGAAGATACGGGAAAGACTGTCAATACCAAGTCGTCCCGCCACCGGAGACGTCCAAAGGACGATCTACACCCCATTACTTCTTCCCGCCCCACCGAGCACGACCGGCCAGTCAAGCGACGGGACGATAGTGACGACGAATATGGATATGAATATGTTTATGAACCAGCGCGCGAGCGTCATGATCATAGCAAATCATCGCCCCACGCCACTTCGAGTCGAAGGAAGCATCGACGGACCTCGTCTTTGGACTCGACCAAACCGCCGAACCGTCGTCACATCCCCGAGCGCAGACGGACAGCTCCACTAGAGCCGATGGCACTGCGCAATGTCACGGACGAAGATGATTCACAAGCTTCCGATGCGCCGCCCCTATTGCGAGAACAGCATACCAAACCTACGGTCAAGAGACGTGCCACCACGCCAGCCACAACAAGAACAAGGGCAAAGCCCTCAGCAGCCCCCACTATCACCAGGCGAAAGACGTCCAATATATTAGGTGGTTTCTTCGGCAGCAGTGCTCCGGCGCCGCCTAGGATGGTTTCTTGCCTCACGTGTGGGGACGATGAGATTCCGCTTCACCGTTCGGCCAAATTACCTTGTGACCATCGCATGTGCCATACATGCCTGAAGCGTGTCTTCACCATGTCAGTCTCAGACGCTGCGCACATGCCACCGCGATGTTGTACTGAGGAAGCGATCGACCTCAAACATGTCGATAAGTTGTTCGATAATGATTTCAAGATCCTCTGGAATCGCAAGTTCAACGAGTACAAGACACGCAACCGCATCTACTGCCCATCTCGGAGATGTGGCGCCTGGATCAAACCCAAATACATCATCCGAGACCACGGCCGAAAGGTGGGACGATGCAAGCACTGCGGCACCCGCGTGTGTGGGACCTGCTCGCAGAAGATGCATACCTCTCGAGAATGCCCTAAAGACCCCGAGACCGCCAGATTCGCCGAGGTTGCAAAGAAAGAAGGATGGCAGAAATGTTACAATTGCTCGGCGACGGTCGAGCTGAAAGAGGGCTGCAATCACATGACGTGTCGATGCAATGCGGAATTCTGCATGGTATGTGGACTGAAATGGAAATCCTGCGACTGCCCCTGGTTCAGCTACGAGGCGGTCGATGCAGGTCTGGAAGATCCGCTGCGCCTCCAGCAGGAAGTCGATCGGCGACGAGGACAGGTGGTCCGAGATGAGGAGATCGCACGGGCGATGCAGCGTCTGGCCATGTTTGACAATATTCGCGCCGAACGGGTGGACCTGATGAACGGAAATTTCATGCAGCAAGCAAGAGAAGCCCTCACGGCCAATTATGCGCACGCCGGTCGGTTGCTGAACCAGATCATGATGCAGAGGGACGTGAATTCCGCGGCCACACATGGCGCAGGCCCTGATGATGTGATTGCCATTCCTGATTCTGCGGCCGAGGATGATGTTGGCCATCGTCCTGCTCGACGCCTTACTGCGAGGGCAAGACGCAGGAGAACTTCTAGGGGTGCAGATGAATGATGACTTGATGCACGGGCCAAGCACCCCTGAAGCTTAAAGTGGGAGAGGAGAATATTGAGATATGGTTATGTGTATCTCACCCTCCCTTGTCGATAAGCTTGTTTGATTGGACTAGAGAAGCATGTCAGTATGGAGGATATGCTTGCTTGCTTCTTTGACCACGGGACGACAGAACATGATCTGTTATGACATGATGGATGTAATTGACGATGACAATGACTCTCGAGATATAGTACTTTATGTTTGGGTTGTAACACAATTTCATTTGACTTTGTTGGTGATCTTTGCAGGAATGGCATATCATCAACTGTGATAAGACATCTACTTTGAGCGTAAATCCAATCATCAACTGACAAGCGTTATAACGGTCACTTTTGTGTATCTCTTCATTCATGATTCTGGCGAACGAGTCTTAACTTTTGAATGACCTTAGGGCAAGCAACCGCCCTTTGTACCAAGGTGTGATATTCACACCGCAGGCTTTGTTCTCTCTGCCTCTGCTCGTCATCTACTGCTGCTGGAACAAGGCCTCCAATTCCTTGGCCACGGCATCTCCGACCTCGGCCGTAGAGTTAGAGCCGCCAATATCACGAGTGGTGATGCCCTGGTCGATGACAATGCGAACGGCCTGTTCGACAAGGGTACTCTCCTTTGGCAAGTTCAAGCTGTAGAGTAATAACATGGCGACACTCAGGATGGCGGCCACAGGGTTGATGACACCCTTTCCAGCAATATCAGGAGCGGAGCCGTGAATGGGCTCGTAGATACCGTTGCACAATCCCTTGCCGTCAGGCACGCCGCTAAGACTCGCTGAGGGCAACAGACCCAAGGAGCCTGGAATGACCGAAGCTTCGTCACTGATAATGTCACCAAACAAGTTGGAGGTGACAATGACACCGTTCAACGAGCGTGGGTTCTTGACCATGATCATAGCCGCCGAGTCGATGAGCTGATGCTCAAATTCCAATTGCGGGAATTCTTTCTCCATGGTCTCGGTGAAGACTCGTCTCCACAAACGCGAGGTCGCCAGGACGTTTGCCTTGTCCAAGCTGAAGACTTTGCTAGGCGGACTCTTGGCGAGTGCCAGATACGCTGCTAGTCGGGTGATGCGTTCGATCTCCTTGCGCGAGTAGGGTTCGCGGTCTTCAGCCCACTCGTCTGCACCGTCGCTGGGGTTGCCCTCGACGCGGTCGCCGAAGTAGATGCCACCGGTGAGTTCGCGCACAATCATGAAGTCGGTGCCTTCGCAGACGGACTCTTTGAGAGGAGAGTTCTTGGCCAGTGCGGGCGAGGCGAAGAAACATGGTCGCAGGTTTCCAAAGGTGCCCATTTCCTTGCGGAGTTGGAGAAGCCCTTGTTCCGGTCGAACCTTGCCGACGCCGTACTTGGGTCCGCCGATCGCGCCGAGGAGGACGGCGTGGGCGGATTTGGCGGCAGACAGTGCCTCGTCGGTGAGGGGGATGCCGTGGGCATCGATTGAGGCCTTGGGTTGTGGTGTTAAAATATGGAGTCAGAGAGAGGCTATTTCTGACTTACTCCTCCGAGAAGATGGTCTTGGAAGTTGAACTTGATGTCCTTGGAACTCTTCTCCACTACTTTAAGAACCTGCCATTTTGGAATATTGGTTAGTGAGTGGTCGTTGAGATTAAGTTCAATGGCGATATAGGAGGAAAAGCTTTATCATCAACCTTTCTCAAGGGAGCTTGGGAGTACCAACCTTGACTGCTTCAGCAGTAACCTAGGAAGAAACACTTGTTAGTATAATCTTTCTTGTGTCATCCCTCTAGGGTCAACAAACCTCAGGCCCGGCATAATCGCCAGCCAAGACGACAATGTTGTATGTGGGCATCTTGAGAATGGTCTGGTTGGGCTATTGAAGAACGACAAGCCAGGACAGAAGACGGAGAGAAAGAGTACCAAATTAAAGAGATTCGTATGATGTTCTTCTCAATAAGTATAAACACACTTCAATCCGAAATAGATTTGCTGTGAGTGGATGATGAAGGCCTGGACGGTTGGCGTCGGTGGGAAAAGACGCCGAGATCGGAACAAGAGACATAAGGGCGATAGGGCGAGTTATTGACAGACATGTGCAAATGCTATGGCGGAGCATTCTATCAAGGCCGACGTCGGATGGTCACGTGTTACTTCCACACCTGAGGAGATCAGGCAACATCTGAGAGGCTTCCAAGACTATACACGCATAATCTTATAGGCTCAATGTAGATTTTATGTGCACTGCCATCACTTGGACAACTTGGATCCACCATTGAAATTGATGAGCCTCAATCGTATCCGTATGAGTGCGTAAACAAGTTCGCACCTTGTTGCCCTTCTTAGCCTAGTACAGCCTCAGTGATATATGCCAAGCATTCCTCCCTATAGCGATACCCAGTATGCATGAGAACAAAGGCCTCATATTTGTATCCTTGCTGGGTTACAAAATGCGAATTATCAAGATTTGGAAATGTGTGTCACTTTTGAACGGGTCTGAGAGCCAAGGAATTTCAGGCTGCAATATAAATGTCATGTTTTCTTGCCTCCACCTAACTAGATATGTATATCTACGCATATCTCTACATTGTGGAAGGATGTCTCAAGAATTTGGCCATGTACCAACTGATTCCTCGACTCCCAGCCACTAACACAAAGATTCTCTCCCTGTCCACTACATCCACAAGGTTCATCGCGTCAGTGTGATAACCGGACTGTAATCGTCCTCAGCGACATCATTCAGACATGTCCCTTCCTCCGGCGAAGAATTACTTCAGCGAAACCACCGGGTCAACTATACTATACATCCATATTGGGTTCATGACATTGGCCTGGGTGGGGGCTCTTCCAATCCGTAAGTATCTTCCTAATGTGTGTGAGCCAATCACTGACACATCTAGTCGCGTCTTTGACTATCGCCCGTTCCAACCTTGCCCGCTACGCCCGGATCCTCCTTCTTAGCTTGCATGCTCTGGGAACCGTCTTTGGCGTAGCATACAACTCCAAAACACCAGATCTATATCAGAAGAGCTCACATCACTCCCTTGCCTGGATTTTGTCAACAATCGCTCTGTTGGAAACAATTTCAAGCATAGTCAGACGCTTCTGGCGGAACCCTTCCTCCAAACCTACTTTTGACGCCAGATCGGAATCGGATCCACTTGTTCAGTCTTCTGGTTCTTTTCAAGATTCCGAGGAATCTCTAGATGACAACCAAATACACCGTTCGGGCGAAAACTACCTCCCATCGCTGAGAGGACACCGAAGAATGAGAACAAATTCCATTAGCGCAAACTCCCACTCTCCGTATGACTTTGCATTCTTTTCTTCCCGTGCCGCAATAAATGGACGACGCAAGTGGCCCTTCCCCTGGACCAAACGCTGGCCTAAACCAAAAATAATTTCACCCCGTCGCTTTGTCCCCAGCACAACCTTCACATCAACCTTTTTCGTCATTGTAATGATCAGCCTGGCGTTTACTGCTTTCTGCACGGGGATAGTTACTATGGCTGGAATATTTGTGAGGACACCTTCCACTACCCTCAGATACCTGTTAATCATGTGCAGTATGGAAATCACATCTTCAATGGCTTAGCCCATTTTATCAAGGGTGGCGTTTTCTTCTTCTTCGGCGTCGTAACCTCGCTCCGCTGCGCTGGCTGCTTTGCTGGGCTTGGATGGGCGTGGAATCTCAAAGCCACAACATATTCTCCGTCTCGGAAGTGGAGTCGCTCCATCACCATGGAAGGGCTTGAATGTTCACTCATCTTCATTTATGGAATCACCAATGTTTTCTTGGAGCATCTCTCCGGTTGGGGAAAGGCATGGACAGCACGGGATTTGGAACATGTTGCCATAACACTTCTATTCATTGGCGGTGGTTTGGTTCGTTTTGTTGCTCTTCGCAGCTGTGAAAGAAACTGACTGCGACAGTGCGGCATGATGGTCGAGTCCCGGGCTTCTTGGACTTTATCAAACAAACAGACGCCGGAAGATTTTCTCACTTTGAACGAGAAGCAAGTTTTGATCCCTGGATACTCGACCAATCCAGTACCGGCCTTGATCATATTTCTCTTAGGGACCATCCTCGGTGGCCATCATCAAGGCTCAACTGAGTCTACAATGATGCATAAATGGGTAAGCTTGTGATATGCTTGTGTTTGTTGTAGCCATGGTGACTAACTAAACATTGGCAGTTTGGTAATTTTCTCACTGCGGCGTCAATCACGAGGAGTATCACGTACGTGCTACTGTATATTGCACCGGCAAAATCTCAGTTACCCACTCGACCTCCATCGGAGTTTATAACATCGTTCTGTTTGATGGCTGGCGGGTTGACGCTGATGGCTAGCGTAAGAGGCTCCTCACTGATCTCTAGCTGATATCCTGACGAGCAATGCAGAACGAGGATACTATCGATGCCATGATTGAGCATGATTTGAACGCAATGGAGGTGACCACTGTTACATTGGGCATCACAGCTGTTGTGATGGCGTGGTGTTTGGCGTTAGTTGCCGTAAAGGAATGGGCACAGAGGAGAGAGGATGCGAAGACAGGAGGAAGGATTTGGAGCCAGTCGGAATTCACCGCGGCATAGAAAAGAAATACGAAAACGAGGCTTTAGTCAGGGGCCCAAGCCGTGACATATATCCGTCGGCTTCTGAAGCCCGGCGGCGAAATCCTTTTCAGAGACCACGGCCGGGGCCATCTTGCGCAGATAAGGTTTAAGGCCGGTCGATATATGCAGGAAAACTTCTACGTTCGGGGCGATGGCATAGGGGCGTTTTTTTTTTTTTTGACAAAAATGAGCTGGAGGATCTGTAGGGTCTAACATCCTCAACCGCGACGTGATTCGACGACTGGTCGTTAATCGACAACGGCGAATAAAGATGTACCGATGCTGGTGCCAGGCGAAGTTTCGCAAGATGGGCCAAAAGGCCGAGTAAAAGGAATCGAGATCCGGTGATCGACATGTTCGACCAGGATCCAGACAGCGCAACTCGCCAATTTGACTATCAGAGAAACGACCCCGGACCACAGTTAAGGGACCTTGGAGTTACTCAAGGTGAAGGATTTCGACCTGTCTTGACCCAAATGCGAGCGGCGACATGACTCATAACGACCAATTATGCGAAAATGCTCTAGTACAGTCGACTCTTCCATCCTAACTCTAGTCACCCTGCCTTTGCCAACGGCTCTAAAGACTACAAACCCGGCCAGCCCTTCTGCTCCCTCATCTTCTTGTACCACTCCTGTACATATGGCAGCTTGACATGCGGACCGTAAGGGTTCTGCTCCCACTGTGGTCGCAAGGCGGGAAACCCCGTTTCCGCGACGAAGCTGGCCTCCAGCTCCTCCAGCGTACCTCCACGATTATACAGCTGACTGGCGGAGTCGGCCGACTTGCGACTTGCAGCGAGCTCGGCACGCAGGTTCGCCGTCTCCGTCTCTTGTACAGTCAGCTTCTTTGGGTCGATGACGACGCCGTAGTTGCTCGCCGCCCCGTCGGTGGTCACGAGGCGACGCTTCACGTCTGTTAGGACCTTTTCCGCCGGTCGAGTCAGCGGATCGCCGATGCCGCCGCCGCCCCAAGTCACCCATTCCAGAACGTCACCGGCCTCGACGCGGATGTGGTCTTGTTTGGACCGGAGGTGTCTCCGAGGAGGATTCTTCGCATCCTTGGAATATTCGATCAGCACTTTGCGCGAGCGCAGGCCAGGGTATCCGCCATCGCAGCCCCAGGCTTTGGTGAACGCGCGGTCGTCATGGAGATTCATGTCTCCGGCGCAGAGGAAATGGTAAAGTGTTCGTTGCGCGTTGCCTCCGCGGTAGAATCCAGCCCCGCCGCTGTCGGCAAGAGCTTCGTTCAATTCGATCCGCAGGGGAAAGTACAGTTCAATGGTCTCGACAGGGATTGACTTGATGGATGGGAAGAGGCAGTGGCAATCGAGCTGTATCAGTTGTTCACGGTCAGCCTCCAAAGTCTTTACACTCCAAGGACAAGCTGAGATGCGGTGTTTCATTTCCACTTACTCCGTCACCGGCTGGCCGTGCAGGCACACCGCCAAAGCCGATTTGATACAATAGGAAGAAATCCCCTGTCGGCTTGAATCCCGAGTAGAAAATGTGAGGCGAGTCCGAAAACCCGGCGGCAGCTCGGTGCGCGGGCATGTGCTGACCCAGGAGAGCCTGGATAACGTCGAAGACGCGACCTAGCAGATGAGTTCGGCAACTTAAGGCCGCGGGACGAACGGGGTTCAGAATGGAGCCCAGCGGTAGGTCGATCTCAATCAGGTCGTTCGCTCCGCTGTTCACCAAGGTATACGGGTCAATGATGGCGAGGAGATAGTAGCTGATGGGGCTGTGTGAGCTAGGTGACACACACATGGACGGATTGCGGCCGGGGATGCGAACTTACACAATGTACATGGTGAACATCTTCTTGGACAGCAGATAGTTGATGGAAAATTCACTTTGTGGGGAGGTTCCATCCCAGTCGAAGAAAAGCTTGCCATCCCTTTTGGTCATGGTGCACTTGATGGCAAAGGGGCCGACGCCATGGCCATCGTCGTCGATGAAGTCGATGAATTCGGCCGGCTCATCCGTAATCACGGTATCGATCAGCTTCTGGACTGCGATTTTGTTTCTGTGCAGGAGGACGTCTGTCGCCGCCTCATATACTCTATCACCATTCGATCAGTCTGATTGCCGCTAATGGAACTTTGTGCAGGGCGACTCACTCTAGCCCATAGCGCTCACAGAGTTCTTGCACTCGGAGGGCGGCCGTGTTGCAAGACGAAAGCAAGGCAAAGACGTCCGCTCGAAACCAATCCGCTGCTCGAGAATTCCGACAGAGAATGGTGATGACTTCCTGGTTTATGACCCCTTTGGAGTAGAGTTTGACGACGGGAATCTGCAACCCGTCGTCGTAGATGGTTCGCGCATCGATCGATAAGCTTCCAGGAGTGCTTCCCTGGACATCTCTGCACAAGGCGAAAAGCGATTGTCAGGATCAGGCGACAGTGGAAAATTCAAGAATGGTCAGCAGGGAACAACATACGTCAAGTGCCCAAAATTGGCGGCCCAGCCCACAATTTTGCCTTGGAAGAAGATTGGGACCAGAATGATCGCATCGTTCAGATGAGAGACGGCTCCCTCCATCTCGTAGGCATCGTTGGTGATGAAGACGTCGCCTTCTTCAATCAGGCCGTGGTAGACTCGGAGGAAGTCAGGAATGAAACTGCCAAACTGACCCACGAGCATCTGACCGCTGGCGTTGGTGACCACGTTGAACTCATCCTGTAGCGATCAATATCACTCTAATACTGCTGGACTGGAACGCCTCGCATGGTCTCTTTCTTACCTGTTGTTCGCGGATGCCCGGGGACATTGACGCCCTCAACATCAGCGAGTCCATTTCTCGCCGGATCGAAGCCAGCGCCGACTCGATCAATGTCGGAATGATGGTCTTCTCCGTCACATACCGCGCGGCGGCTTCGCGAGACATTGATGTCTCCCGGCCTGCTGCCTCCACCGCCGTCTTGCTCTGAGCCTCAGGATTGACTACGAGGTTGTGCATGCGGTCAACCTTGGCCACGTATCCCGGGAGAACAAGGGTGTTGGAATCGACTTCGTTGACGATACATGGACCACGGAGGACCGTGCCCGAGAGACTGATGGCTTTGCGATCCCAAACCACGGCTTCGACGTATTGGCCCTTGTGATAGATCATCTTTCTGTCGATGATTGCCGATTCGAGGGGGGGTTTCTCGCCATCCTCGCCTCCTGACGAGGTGTGGAAGCTAACTTCCGGGGGATTATCCGAGGCAATGACACGCATTCTCATTAACTCAATGTCGTACTGCGGCATGATGAAAGTGTACTGTCGGCGATGTTCATCTTCGAAACTCTTCCGGAGCACATTCTTGACTTGTTCAAGGCCGTCTTCCAGATCGTGCCGATCAAGTGTCACGGTCAGCTCCTGAGACTGGCCGATGTATCGTAAATCGACTTTGCATTCTGTCGTCACTCGGTGTGATATGTCAATGGAGCTGGACTCGAGAAGTTTGGAGCAGCAGGAGTCGACAAGTTTGTTCAAGTTTTGGGTAAAGTCATCCAAGTCCAGCGTGGACATGCCGGTGATGTAAGACTTGGTCTTTTCGTGGCTGAGCCGCGTGATCACATCGCCCTGGGCGCAAAGAATGCCGGGCGATGGAGGAATGATGACTGGCCACGAGCCAAGGAGCTCTCCGATAGCATTTGCGTGAAGGGGACCTGCTCCTCCAAAAACCACGAGAGAAAAGTCCTTGGGATCGTAGCCTTTCTCGACCGAAACCACTCGAACCGCGCCGTACATGGTCTCGTTGGCAAGGTCAATGATGCCTTGAGCCGTTTCCTCCGTTGTCAGCCCCACCTGCGAGGCAAGAGAAGACACACTTGCGATGGCAGCCGCAACATCGAGCTTGAAATCGCCCCCGAGCAAAGTGGAGGGAAGATAGCCCAGCACCAAGTTAGCATCCGTCACGGTCGGCTCTCGACCTCCGTTGCCATAGCAGGCAGGACCGGGTGAGGCCCCCGCGCTTTCAGGACCGACACGTAGATGCTTGCTCAAGGCGCTGTACCTAGCGATCGAGCCACCTCCGGCCCCGACAGTGTGGACATCGATCGATGGGGCTTTCACGCTCAAGGTGCCGATCACTGTTTCTCTCCGTAGTGCGGGCATGCCATTGACAATGAGTGCGCAATCCGTGGAAGTGCCGCCCACGTCCAAGGTGATCAGATTCGAATACTCAGCGCCCACGGTCTGGCAGACTCCACGGACTCCTCCAGCAGGACCCGACCTGGAAACGAGTTAGTGACGACGGCTCATGAGACTTGATCGAGGCCATTCGACTTACATGAGCAGATTGACAGGCAGCTCCTCGGCCACTTTGAGGCCGGTCAGACCGCCATCGCTCTTGAGAATGCGAATGGTATCACTGTCCTCGTTCAAGATGGTACTGAGATGACTGACGTATCGCTTAATTGTAGGCTTGACCAGAGCATTTGCCGAAGCGGTGACGGTTCGCTCGTATTCTCCCACTTCCGGCAACACATCGCTAGACAAGACAATCTCCACCGAGGGGAATTCTTCGCGCAGGATGCGGGCCACTTCCAGCTCATGCTTGTTATTAGCAAAGGAGTTGATAAGACTGATCGAGATGACGTCGAGGTTCTCCTGTTTCAAGGGAATCAAGTTTCGGCGGAACTTGGCGACGTCCAAGGGGTCTACGATCTTTCCGTCAATGGCAGTCCGTTCGGGAGCATCGACAGTCAATTCGAGAGGAATGACGGGCGTGGGGGCATCCCAGGTTAGCCAGGCACCCAGAGCCCCGGGGATCTGGGACCGTCGGAGGTTGAGAATGTCCTTGTGGCCCTCGGTGACAACCAGGGCGGCCTTGCTTCCCTTGCCTTCCAACACCGCGTTTGTCGCTAGCCCATTTGGTCAGAAACTGTAAATCAAGCATGAGCATTTATTTGGGGAGATCCCATACCAACCGTCGTTCCGTGGTGGACGTAGTCGAATTTTCCTGACCAGCCGTACTCTGCCAGCAAGGTGGCCCGCACTTTGTCGATCGCCTGCTTCACGCCGACGCTTTGGTCGGGGGAGGTCGATGGAGCTTTTGCACGGACAGAGTCTCCATGAGGCGTAATCACGCAAACATCGGTGAAAGTACCCTGGACGAATCCCATATTAGGACCACAAAACCTGTGTGGTGACGGTATGACTTACCCCGACGTCGACACCAAGCCGATAGCCTGGGAGCTGTTGTGAAATGTCACCCATGTCCAATACCCGCGACAAGCGCCAAAGAGGTTTGATTGGAACATCGACGGATCGTTGCTTGGGATTTCTAATCTTATATCTAAACTCTTTCGACGTCCCCAGCCAACGCGACGTTAACTTCTTTTAGATACGTTTTGGCCAGGCGGAACTGCGAATCAAGTGGGAAGTGATATGGCCGGTATCCCTTCCAGCCGTTCCGTGGGATGCTGTCGGACATTGTCCGAGCAGACAGGGATGAGGCCATGTCGGGTGGGGCATCGGATTATAGTGTAGCGGCAGAGGATGGAGTCGATGATTGCTGTAGCATCGAAGATTGGCGGAGGTCGACATCGGAAACTTCCCGGATCGATGTGGTTAGTTCGATAATGTGCCTGATCCATGGATTGGTGCCGACTCGACAGACACTTCCTTGGCTTTGCCAGCCAGAAGCGAACGGCAGGATTTGGAGAGATGGAGATGCCATTGTGTGTGGATTCAATTATCAGTAGAGTCGAGAACGTGTCGAGGGGCTGTAACGGCGGATGATGGGCAACCGCGGAAGTATGTCACCTTAATCAACATTTCTGTTGGAAGGACATCTGATGCAGGTCCGCGCAGCCTCCCATATCAATTGGCCTGAGGAGATGCAAGTGTACGCAGCGACAATGCTCTTCATGGATTAAGTTTTGTTGTAATTTGTCATGTATTAATTTAGATATGGTGAGAAGCCCAGGCTCTAGGTGGCACGCAGAGAGGCATTGATTGTGACACTATAGAGAAAGAAGTCTACTCTCTCCATATCAGGCCGGTGAACCTCAGTCTTGAGGCTGTTGAATTTCGGTGAACGGCCTGCCGTGGATTGACATTACAATCAGCATACCCTTGTGTCTTCGCTAAATCCTTCTGCCTCTGTCCGGTCTCTTTAAAGACGAGTTATCGATGTCGTGAAACGAAGAAGCCGGTGCCAGTGTCCCCCATCTCTGCCAAAGCTGTGTGTGAACTTCCCTCTCAGGACGAGTTGGAATTGTCGGCGCATGAAAACGCGCTACCTGTCCAGGGTTATCAGCCGAAGAAGGATGAAGGTCCCACCAGAACGAACTTACCAATGCCACCCGACCTATACGAGTCTACAATCACGGTGATGGTTGCGTACGTCCCGCCGATGAAGAAGAACAGTCCGAGCAAGATCATTCCGCAGTGAAGGTAATAGACGACGGCCTTCTTGAGTCCGCCAGTTCTCCATGCACCGTGGTCATACAGCCAGAACAATCCTGGGAGAATCATTGCTAGCGGGGCAAAACAGACTGTGCCGAGAAGAGCAAGGAGGTAATTGAACACTGGGACAGCTTCGGCAAGAATGAAGGCGATCGTTCCAAGGCCCACAATACAGCCACTGGCGGTTTCTCGTCAGCATTTGCCCTTTGACACCGTGGTGACGATGACAAGATAGATTGAAACTTACATCCACACGGCCCAGTGAGTCATCGAGTTCGATTGCAAGTGTTGCGTGTTGCGCAGGATGCGGACAAAGAGGGACTTTGCAGCCACGTGAAGAAACAGGATGGCACTGACAAGCAGGCCAATGAGACCAATTCCGTACGAGACCATCTTGACCGTCTGGCCAGCGCTCTAGGATCATTGTCAGCGATCACATCTTTACAGGCTCTTAGGACGGGCGAACTTACCCCCAATGACGGATTTGCGACCCACTGACCGCACCAGCGATAAACCACCAGACTATAGGCGAGATACGTGGCATTAACCAGACCCATACACAAAAACACTGCCTTCTTGTAGTCTTTGGGGTTTCTCATTTCCGCGATGACGGGCAGGAATGCTGAAGTCCCGGACGACGATACGAAGATGTTGGCCGAAGCGGTCATGCCAGCCACAAAGGTAGGGCTAGCCGTGACATAGTATCCTAGCTCGAAGGGTCCAGTTTGCGGTGCCGCCGCAGGACGGTCAAGCTGTGTAACAGCGATGCTGCGACCGGATTAGCACTGGATGTTGCATCAGAGGAGAGAGTGTTGGAACGTACACGACGATTGTGACGGCAATGAAAATCGACCAAAATCCCGCCCATGACAGCCAGCCGATCTGGTGGAATCTGCGGAAGGAAGCGAAGGCCATCACGAGGACCGTCGCGAGGAAAGCCCACCACACGGTGCACGCGGCATGGTGCGACAAAGCATTGAGGCCAACGCTGACACCAACGATCCCAGAACCGGTGGCAATCACCCAGCTTGCAGACGAGTTAGCGCTTGACGTTGATATTTTTGGATACGGGTCATGTCTCACGCGAGGAGATATACGAAGTTGGTAAGCTCTTTCATCCATTTTCCACCCACCACCTCGGCCATGTCGGCGATTGTGTGGCAGCTCGGATGAGCATTACGAAAGTCTCCTTGGACAATGGCGTTGTCTGCAACAAACCAGTGTCCAGTCAGCAAGGTCTTCACGGACAAGCCGGGGGCAGGGAGGGCATACAGGTATTGAACAGACCCCAGCCGATCACAGACAAAGCGCCACCCACGGCACCTGGAGCCACGTTAGACACCGAAGTTCAAGCGTGGCAGAGCAGGGAATATACCCAGGGACACCATTGCCCCAGGAATACTGAGGACTCCCGTAGCAAATACAACTAGATTCAGGGTTAGATGGACATGTACGCCGTTGCTCAACATTACTGACCTTTGAGAAAAATGATCGACGCCTGGATCCAGCCGACGGTACGGAAGTTCACCCCTTTGCTAGTCTTTTGGAAGACTTCATGTTTTTCAGAGGCGGCAAGGATCTCCCCTTTGATCGTCTCGCTTTCCACTTCTCTTTGGGAGTCGTCGGGCTCAATTTCTTTTCCGGTCGATGCGGTCATTTTGGGGTCTGCTTGAACGCTTTCCGCCATGTTTGTGGTGCTCTGAGTTGTTAAGAAAGGGGGCAAAATCCTACGTGTACAATCCGCAACACGGAATTACGAGCTGGAATCATTTGACCCTTATAGCTCCTCAGATATGCACTCATGGTTCTTGGTGGCTGAGGGAGGGTGTGATAATCGTAGTCTCCAAGCGTTGAGATAGAGGAAAAGGACTTTTGCCGTGGGCGATCAATGATACGAGGCGGAGGAGAGTGCGAACTAAAACGGCTAGCTGGTCGTGGCGACAGCGAACACCGTCGCCCGTGTCTCCACCCTGTGAGTCGAGGGGCCTGGCCCCTCGGCCCGAGACGAGGATAGACGCGAGATACATGATGCGAGCAGGGTTTATGTGCAGAAAGAATATGATATGATATGATATGATTGATTGCACAAATCTTAGCACGGAACAGCCATCACTACAATGCCGCTGTGGGGCATGTCGGACCACGTACCGCGCTCATTCAATCCCTATCGAGGAGGACTAAACCGGCACATGGTCTTGCCCCTTCTGGCATCGCGATCACTACCACCATTTGCTGAGAAGTGGGATTGTTGTAAGGCCCCTCAGAGCAGCTGGCCTGCGTCCGGGTCGGCAGAGATGGTATGATGGTCTGCCAGGAGCCTTCCGAATCCGCCCACAGATCACCTTCATCGACGCGGTTGCCATCAATGTAAATCTCTATTGTACAACGTTGTAGAGCAGGTTGTATGGCCCCGGCGATGTGGAGTGCTACGCCTCCATTTTCACCTTCGCATCGCTCAACGGCGGTCACTTTCAATCGACCTCCATGGCCAGTCGAAGTTACGTTTGGGCCCGACGGCCCTGCAGCCGCTTTGTCGACGTGGAGGCTGTCGGACGACAGTGGCGGAGTGAGCGTTGGAGCTGACCGCCTGCGACTGTAGGCTTCGTAGGCATGTGCATAGGCGAGAAGTTGTTGGTCCTGATATGCCTTTCCAATGAAGGTCAGATTGACGGGCATTTGAGTATCGTCCATCACCCCCATGCAGATGCTGATGCTGGGAATCCCCAAATGACGAATGATTCGGTTGCCATGGGAGAATCTCACCCCGCTTCCAAGAGCGTGTCGAGCACTTTCTTCATCGGTCTCGAGATCGGCACGGCCAACATCGCTGTTCGCTGGGAAGACGACCAGGTCAAGGCCTTGTTGATCCATCCAATCTTCAAAGTCCCGTTTGCGTTGTGCTTCGAGTGCTATCAACGCCTTTTTCATGGTCACATCGGAGACGAGTTCTTCCAGACGACCTTCTTGAACCATGCGGACAATTTCAGGATACGGCAGATGCATGCGTGGATCCATGAAGCGATCTGGCACATACCCATTTGGCTTGGGAAATATGAGGTGGCCATCCACGCTGCCCAAGGTGGGAAAGTTTGGATCATCTGCCCAGTGCAGAAACCGCTCCCACGTGAGTGCAAGCAGTTCCTTCCGTTCGATGGAAAACCATTCCGGCGGACAGCCGTCGACGTTCGTAGGCATGTCGGCAGAGGTGTTGCCTTCATAGTTAGTCAAGGCTGGAAACCCCGTGGCGACTACACAGGCTCCCAACGTTTCGAGATCGCTCTTGGCTTGTTTCCAAAGCGCAGCGATCGACGGGCGGAGACGGTGTGCTTTTGGTCCTTGGTCGTCGGCGGCGATGAACATACTCGGCACCCCGATGCGTTTGCCTTGGAGTGGCGACTGCATCTGCAGAGGGCTCGGGCGAACCGAGCAGATTAGTGGTAATTTGACCGCATCTTGGTACCGCCAGAAATCCCCTTCCACCGAGGAGTCGACAGCAACAACCACGTCAAGAATTCTGAAAAGATCGTCCATACATCGGGCATAAGGGACCACCACATCACATGTCGCGTAAAGCGGCCACAAGCCGCGGCACGAAATGAGACCACGGGACGGTGTATAGGCCACCAAACCATTGTTGGAAGCGGGAGACCGACCTGACGAAACGGTTTCTGACCCAAGTCCGAATGCTGCAAAGCTGGCGGCGGTTGACGTGCCACAACCATTCGAAGATCCCGAAGAGAACGCTGCGGTGAGGTAGTCCATATTGTAGGGGCTCTCAGCGCGACCGTAGACTCCTCGTTGCATGCCACCTGCCGCCATTGGAGGCATGTTCGTCCTCCCTAGCAAGACGGCACCTGCTGCACGGAGACGCTCGACGACAAAGGCATCATTTTGGGGTTTTAGATTCACAAAAGCCGGCGAGCCTGCCGCTGCAGTCATCCCCGCCACCCCGAAATTGTCCTTGACTGTAAACGGAATGCCTTCTAGTGGACGAGCCGCTTGTCCTGAGGCTCGACGTTCATCCGATGCAGCTGCCTCATCAAACACCTTTGGATTGAGTAAAGGAACAGAGTTGAGCGAGATGCCATTCCAGTCGTACGTTGCGATCCGGTGCAGGTATTTGGCCACGAGCTCCACTGAGGTGATCTCTCCTGATGACAATGCGGACAAGAGGTCTGCAACGGACGTCTCGACAATCGATAGTTCGTCCAGGTTCACCATCTTCTCCGCCACAGCACAAGTAACCGGAAGTAGTCGATTGACACCAGGAAACCAACTACACGAGTCAGAAAGTGGAAGCCTGACAAGTTCTGATGAGCACAGATTGAATGGGCGAGACCTTCCATGCAATTTGTTTCGACGTGTCTTTGGTTCCCAACCGGCTTGCAGTTTCTTGGTAGCAACAATTCAACGAAAGTTGGAACCTCGCTCCTGATGGAGATGATTTAGCGGCGAACATTCCTGTCTGAGGTACCAGGGAGTTGATGGGCACTGGGCCAACTTGTTTCATCGTGCAGTGTTCTCCGACAAATAACGAGGATCGGATGTTCGTCCCGTAACTGTATACTCGCTGCTGGCCTCCATCTCCGGTCGAGTGCGATCTTCAGAGGTTTAGCGTCTATTCAATTCTCGATACGTCTGCCGATGGGTCTCGGAGGAATCTTTACTGGCGGCCATAACCTTGACTTGACCTCACTTGACTTGATATCCTCCCGCAGGTCAGTGTCGGAGTTGGGTTATCAGCTTCGACACATGTGATAGTCGCACCGGTCACACCTTGCCCTCCATCCCGATTTCTTGAGTATGACTAGTATTTCATTGGCATAGCACTTGTCAGCGTGGCGCTCTAGACCATTCAGCATGGTCAACGGCAGTTCCCCTACTTCACCGTGTCTCTCAGAGTCCCACCGCAGTTGAGGCCACATACATTCGTCACTGAGTCTGGGCGGCCAAGCACAGGCTAATCCATTCGGCTCGCACATTTTCCGACACTAAACTGCTTCTGGAGAAGCACCTTCTCTACTTTATCTTTATCCTCAACACCGTATGCCTCCACGTCGGCGTTGGCGTCGGCATCGACCCAGGGCAGTATTTGACCCCGTCTTACGCATCGGTGTTGATCCGGATAGACCATACCGATGAAGGCGGCAAGCAAAATGCATGGTTCTGCGTGTCTTCGATGTGTCAGGCAGAAGAAAAAGGTAGCTATTACCGCTGGCGAGACAGCAGGATGAGGACTGACGACGTTGCAGTGTGAACCAGAACATGGTATTTGCAACAATTGCATCCGGGCGGATGTGGAGTGCAGCAACAACGGTAGCAACGCTGCTGGTAATCCAAGTCGCAGGTCCGTCTTGCTTTACTCGGTGAACACGATGCCTGCCCGCTGACTACAGCCAGGGCTCTTCTTCTGCCATTCCAACGAGCAATCCACCACCTGAGGCAGGAACTTACAGCATTTGAAGGAACTGCTCCCGCTCAGAGGCCTCTGGGGCCAATTGACGGGATCCCATCCCGAAATGTCTCCAGCGCCCAAGGACGGCGCTTGTCACATGAGCAAGGCCTTGAGGAGGAACCTGTGGTTGCAATCTCAAGGCGGCGTGCCGATACAGAGGCCGTTCTTCGATTTGCTCGGTCGATCTGTGGCCGCGTTGTCCGCAATCCTGGTTACATGGTCTACCTCAATCGGTTACACATGGGCGCAGAGCTTCCGTTTCCCTTGACCCATCGATCGAACGACTCAAGCTTACGTCCGGCCAAGAGAGACGCGCAGAGTCTGGTTGCTCAGCTACCCTCTGAAGTGACCCGAAAGCTGCTTGCTGTCTACACTGAGCGCCTACTCCCACAATGTCCCATATTTTCTCCCGCAGAGGTCCAAGGCATTTACAGCCGAGTATACAGCACGTCCACAACCTCGAAGCCAAGTATTAGAGGTGACAACTTCATCATCTGCATTATCTTGGCGATAGCAACCCTGAATTCCAAGTCGGACGACTATAGAAAGGTCATGGACGTGGCCGACAGCTTTCGCCAGGAAGCAATGGATCACGATGACAATGGAGAGGTTTTGGCAACAACAAGCATTCGGTGCCTGCAGGCGCTCCTCCTTCTCGCGCAGTATGGGTTGTTCATGTCTCAACACGTCGATCTTTGGCACACAGTGAGTGAGGCGATGAGAGTTGCCATAGAACTTGGCCTTCATCAGGACCCACCGCCAGCTTCCGGGCTTGACACAGAGGTCTTACAGCTGCGTCGACGGCTCTTTTGGGCGGTGAGTCGCTCCATGCTGCAAACTTGAAGAAACTCACAATCTACTTAGACGTATAGCATGGAACGCACCATTACACTGACATGTCACCGGCCTTTCGCCATTCGTGATGATCAGATCAAGTTGCCGTGGGCTACATCCACGAATACGGGTGCCGACGCGCTGACCTTTGGCGATTCCTCCACCATAAGCAGATACCTCAAGCACTTGTCGTACTGCTCCTTGCAAACCGAAATATCCGATGTCAACATCTCAGCTGAGCCGATCCCTTCACCTAGTCTGAGCTACTCCGACTGGGTAGAATCGTGCGAGCGGAGGGTAGAGGAGCTCCGTGGCAGCAACTGGACCGAGACAGCACTCATCCCTGACTGGCTCGACCTTGCAGCCTGGCGGTGTTTAGCTTGGCTGTACATGCCATGTCCCAAGAATCCTTGTCCGTCCGACCAAGCGATCTTCAAGTTCATCCAAGCGTTGCTCCGCATGCTTGACATCTATTGGGAACTTGCAAAAGCAAGATCTTTGAAGCTTTGCTGGTTCGCGGTTCACCACGCTTATGAAATCGGAACCCAAATGCTGTTCTGCATGCAGAATTACCCGCTTATCGTCAAGTCGGTTTGTGATAAGTTTAAAGTTCTCGACGCCTTGACTCATTTATCTGATTTTCTGGTGAGTCCTTCTCTATTTCACGCATTTCACCTTATGAATTGGCTAAGAATTGCGGAGATTTACATGGAAGAACGCTGGCCTGCATCAGTACAGTGCAGGTCATTACTCGATAAGTTGAAAAAAGACATCATTGAAGCTTTTATTCGTGACCAGCATGCAATTTCCACGGTCAACGCCCACTCGGGTGAGCAGCGTATTGTGGATCTCATCTTTCGCAAGAATGGGCACTTCTTCCTGATGGCTGAAGAGCCCTTCGATCTCAATTTCCACTTTGACGATATGCTGTCCGATGGCACCCTTGGTCTTCCCTCAGATTTGACTTCCTTGTTCAACGATATTTCGGACACATTCAATATGCATGATGATCTTTTCGACACCGCTGGCGATCCCACGCTCCTCCCCACGGCCAGCCTGCCCACTCCTACCTCCTCGGTAGCTCTGGATTTCTTTGGGGAATATTTCGCTCAACAATCAACCGAAGCTCAGCAACTGATCACATCTTGCTCACAGACTCTTTCGAGTCTGCATGCGTGTCGTCTGTGCAGATCAAAGAGGATTAAATGCACGCGAACCTTGCCCTGTTGCCATAATTGCGTTGACTATGGAAAGGAATGTCTCTACAAAGAGCCCTCGACAGGAGATTGGATCAGTGGAGTGTGAGTTGCCACGTCGCTGCTTCGGCTTTGATTCCGCAGAAATCTCCTACTAATCATACATAGCTCCTTGCACCAAATGCAAGACGAGGTCAGAAATTTGCTCAAGTCGATTGAAGAAGTTCGAAGAGTACGCAAAGACTATCTCACGGAAGCCCAGCTATGCAGCAATCCCGAACCGCCCGGTTGCGAGGATAACCGACGCTCGACTTTTCTCAGCTTTGAGACACATTATGGCCCTTCTGTGTGCTATCTCGGCGACGCAAGCGTGCTGGGTCAGTTTGCATCAGGAACAGGATCCGCCTCCAGTGGACCAGAGGTCAGTTTAGTTCCACCAGGGGCGATCTTTTCCGGTCATGAACTCGTCTTCCGCTCGCTCGATGAGCTATCAGATGGTGCGCTGGAGATTCTCGTGAAGCAATATCTAGACTGTTTTGATATTTTCTATCCCATCTTGGGTGAAACATTGGTCAGCGACTTGGTCAATGCCCGGAGGACGGAACCAGTCCCAACTGCAACGGATGCCCAACCTGATGCGCTTCTGAATTTGCTTGTTGCGATTGCTCTTTTGTCGTCACCATTTACCACACGTTCTGCCACATTTTACTTATCTAATTACTATTTCGAGCGTGCAATGTCGCTGGCGTCCACTTCAGATCAATTGCACACAAGTGCAACTCTTAGCGCCTTGCGGTTCGCGCTTCTGATATGCGTCTACGTTTGGTTGAATCCCGAGGCGGGAAATCTACCAAGGTTAATCAACGCTTCCTGCAGACTTTGCCTAGATCTTCTTGAAAGTCAAGACCTGAAAGCAGACGACACCGCAGCCCTTCATGTACTGTTCCGGACAGCCTATGTAATGGACACTGATTCCGCCGTTGCACTTGGACGACCAAATTATCTCACTGAGTGGACAGACCTAGGGAAGATGGTCGTGACTGCTGGCCATCCGGATCAAAACAGCGGCGCCTTGTCGTTCTTGGTTTTCAACTTGGCCAGACTCCGATCCAAGATCCACAAGGCGATATTGTGTTTCGCAGCAACTGAGGAAAACTTGATGGAACTTTATTCCACGTCGATCATGTCATTCGAAGCACAAATTGAGGATTGGTGGAAAGAATGGGAACAAGAAACAACGAAACCCCGCCGAAATTGGCCGGAGAATAGCAGCCGTCAATTGCCGATTGACCGCAAGGCGTTCCAGTACGGCCTCATCTTGAAGTCTGAAACATTGGCGCTGCTTCGCGTGCTGGCTGGATTTTACGATCCACAGGCAGATCAGGGCCTCCGCCCTCTATCTGCAGAGGCAGTTATTGTGTCATTTGCAGGTGCCTTGCAAATGCAATTGGCGGACTCTCCAAATGGACGTGCTGCAGACCACGCATTTCCTATATGTTGGAATCACTACAGCAACCTCTTCGGTGCAGGATTGGGGCTTTTCGATTCCGACGCAATAGACAAGATACCTGAGACAAGAAGACACGCTCTACTACGACAGTGCTGCGAACTTCTCACCCTTTGCGAGAGGTGCATAGGCTCGCGTGACTGGACGCTTTCCAGCCGCTTATTAGAGCGGATACAAGAAGCAGGAGGATAGACGACTCTTCGACTCGGGATCCAGAACGAGTAACGAAAGATATGATTTACACAACCCAGTACTCCCTTATGAGTTTTGATTGGTAGTTGAATCCAAAAGCGATGGTCTGAGCTATAGTCCCTTTGACGAGGACATCCCGCCAGCGGGAACCTCGCGTCTGGCAATCTACCCACTATCACAAACGGGGCAGCCAGTTCCAGGTTTCACCGACACATTACGGGGGAATGATTGGATATTTTCCACAAGCCCAAGGGCGCGGAGATGTTGCGAACAATCTGGGAAAGGCCCGCAATATGGCGGAAGCATAGCCGGTGAGGATCTCGGACAGTGCTGTTTTTCAGTGCACGTTCTTTAACAACGATGTCCTCCATCACATCTTATCCTGGAGCAATTGTATGTCCGACAGGGGTCGCTTTCCATCTTTCTTCGAGCTAACGTTATGGGTGGCACCTTACCGTTGGCTGAATACCTTCTCGCACGACTCAAGCAGTTGAATATCGGCGCCATCCACGGCGTTCCAGGGGACTACAATCTCACTCTCTTGGACTATGTTGAGCCGGCTGGACTGCTTTGGGTGGGCAGCGTCAATGAGCTGAACGCCGGGTATGCCACAGACGGGTATGCCCGAATCAAAGGCATGGGGGCTCTGATCACCACCTTTGGCGTGGGGGAATTGTCAGCGATCAACGCCATCGCCGGCGCATTTGCTGAACGAGCTGCTGTCGTTCACATTGTCGGCGTTCCACCACGTCACATGACTGCTACGAGAGCGAACATCCATCACACGCTGGGAGACGGTGATTATGACCATTTTCGATCGATGGCGGCGCACGTGACCGTCGCCCAGGCCAACCTATCCGATCCCCGGACGGTGCCACAACAGATCGATGCAACGCTGTTGCAGTGCCTCATCCACAGCCGGCCCGTGTACATCCAGGTGCCTGTTGATGTTGTCTCAGTGCACGTCGATGCGACTGCCCTTAGCAACCCCTTGGTGGTTCCGGATATGATATTTGGGACTGGCCAGCGCCGAGGCGTGCAAGAAATCGCAGATCGCATCCACTCGGCAAAGCGACCCGTCATTCTCATCGATGGCGAGACGGCGGGACTGGGGATTACGGATCTCGTAGCCCAGTTGGTCAATGTTACCCAATGGCCCACCTTCACTCTGGGAACGAGTAACGGTCTTGTCGATGCCACGTTACCACATGTCTATGGCATCTACCACGGAGCCTACGCAAGCCAGAGGCACCAAGATATGATGGCTGAGGCGGATTTGGTCTTGCACTTCGGACCTCATCTGAGTTCGACCAACACCAGCGGTTTCACCGCGATTCCTGAAAGATCGAAGACCATCAGCTTCACCCACGGTGAGGTGCAGGTCGGAGACAAAGAGATCCACCGAGATTTACCAGCCAGGGTTGCGCTGTCCGAACTGTTGCATGGGCTGGAAGACAAGAAGCTGGCCGGAATCGCGACCAAAGAAGAAACAAATGATGGCGTCGAGGAGGCCGTGGCGGCGGAACGGCCAGATCTCTCGAGCTTTCGGGACGTGTCCCTAAACGATGCCATCCGGCAAAAAGAGCTCTGGCGGTTGCTTGCGACGTTTCTCCGACCAGGAGACATAGTGATGGCAGAGACAGGCACAGCGGCTTACGGCGCTCGACACATGTCTCTGCCCAAGAATGCTCGATTGTTGGTGCCCATGACCTGGCTGTCCATTGGATACATGCTCCCTGCGAGTCAAGGGGTCGCATTGGCACAGCGGGAGCTCTCCAAGACCAAACCCACCAGCACCGAATCGGATAGTGGTCGAACGATTCTTGTTATCGGAGACGGCAGTTTCCAATTGACAGTTCAAGAACTGGCCACCATCAGCCATCATCGACTAAACGTCGTCATCATCGTCCTCAATAACCAGGGCTACACCATTGAGCGGTGCATCCACAACAAGGAGGCGAGCTACAACGACATCACTGCCTGGCGCAATCTGCTGGCGCCAAGATTTTTCGGGGCTGAGGAAGATGTCTACACTGCCTCTGCGAGGACATACCAGGACTTGGAGCGTGTCTTGCGCGACGAGCAACTCTCGCACGGACAGACGCTGCGAATGGTCGAGGTATTCCTGGATCGGTTTGACGCCCCTAGTGGACCGCTGCAAGACATGATCAACAAGCAAGCTTAGTGACAACACTGACACTCCGAGGAACGAGGCTCAGAATGGCAAAATCAGTGGGTGCGTAAAGCAAGTAGACTCTAGATCATCGAAGCCTGGGTGAGTACGAGGAGCAAACGCTGCAGTTCAGGTCCCAAGTCTTCGAAACCATAGACTTAGCAGTGAGAGTCGCTGGCGACCCTTATGGCTTTGCGACCGTCCCCATGGTTACGGAGTAGATTTTTGAGTATGGACAGAAGCGCATCCGTGCAACCAGCGAATGGTAGATTATTGAGACAGGAATACAGAAAGAGAACCCAATTTGAGTGTAATGTGCTGCCTCTGTAGGTCGAGGGGCCCCTCGGGAGAGGGGAAGTGGGAAGGTGAGCAAGATGAGCGCGTCGGCGAGATTGGCGTGGATTTACCATAACTGTTCAGCAGCCAAGATAGTCGTACTCGCATCCGACATACTTTAGACAGCCCCTTCTTTGTCATCAAATGTACATCATCCCCAACATTTGTTTCACAGGCGTTGATGGCGGGTTCGCATAGTGGGAGAACCCGTCATATCGAGTATGCATATGCGTGTGCGTATGCAGCGGGGCGCCTTATTCAGGCAACAGGAATAGGAACTTAGTGGTCTCATTGAGCACATACCCACTGGAAACGGATTTCGCCACGCAAGCCGTAGTTAAGCATTACCATGACGATCCCTAGGGCATATAAGAAGTTCCATCTGCATTCCCACAAGAATGACTAACGCGCCCCATTCCCGATACCATTGTCAGCAAGCCAGTGCAAAAGTTAAAACTTGTTTGAGATCAAAGATGATAGACACAACATGCCGGTAACAGAAACACGGCGTCGCCTTTATAATTCCTCACTCCGAAGACCCCGTTGGGTCGTGCATTGACCTTCTAGCAGTGTCGAGACGTCGTATAACGGCAACGCTCATGAGAGCAAAGGTCAAACTCTGCATCAAAACTTTTATTTACTACAGTGATGGTTGGCGTGCCTGGGAAATCAAAGGGCTGCAATACCTGCAGGAAGCGAAAGATCAGCGTACGTATGGAGATGCATGTTGTCGTCTACTTTTGGCTAAGTCGGTGGCAGTGTGATGGAGACAGGCCTTCGTGCGCTCGATGTACAAAGAGCAACCGAATATGCGGAGGATATCAGCGTGAACGACATTTTAAGAATCTTAGTGCTTTGGATCGAGATACACTGTTGACCAGAACTCAACCTTTGGCTTCGCTCACAGACTTGCTCGCGATCAACACTGGTTCAGACTACAGCCTTACGACTTGCAGCACCTCCGAAGAGGATGGCACGCCAAATTCTAATAGGCAGATGCTTCCCTCAATAAGACCTCCGAGACCCCCGGACTCATTCGTAAGCTTCATTAACAACTACATTCCCAGAGAGGAAGGCAATCTTCACATTGAGCATAGGTCCCAAGTATCCTGGCTCCAAGCCATCGACCCGTCACAAGAATATGGCGCCTCTCTTGATCTTGCAATCTCGGCGTTGAGTCTGGTCTCTTTAGGTCGCAAACATGGCGACGTAGAACTCCGACGTGAAGGCAGGGCAAGTTATGGTCGAGCTTTGCGCCAACTGCAAGACATTCTCTCGCAAAACAGACTGCTTTTCGAGGAACAGACTCTCGCCAGCTGTATGGCATTATATACTTTCGAGGCAAGTGTCCCGTGAGAGCCTGAATGGAATTGTCCTTTTGTTGACCGAAGAAACAGCTACTAGAAGTTTCAGGCGAGGATACTACCGGATGGGTCAGCCATGCAGAAGGTATCGCAAGGCTGATCCAACTTCGAGGGCCGGAATCACATGTGGTTGGATTGAGTCATCGTCTGTTCTTGGGCTTTAGATCCACTGGTGTGAGTGTGGATTCTGTCCATCTGCTTTGAATAGTCACTGATTTGAACAGATCACCCATGCGTTAGCCACTCGCAAATCGACTTACCTTGCACATCAGGACTGGCTGACAGTCCCGTGGAAGATGCAACCAAAGTCGGACTTTGACAAGCTGTTGGACATCATGGCGCAAATAGCAATCCTAATCGAGAAGGCGAGGGGACTCAAAATGACCCTGGCATCAGAGATTCCCCACGTGGAGAGCATGGCACTTGTGCAGCAAGGTTGGGACTTTTATTCCCAGCTTGACGAGTGGTACCAAGGCATCATACAAAAGCACAATGAGCCGCTCTACTACGAGCAACCTGGGTCTACACAGTTTGTTTCTGCCGCGGGATGCGTCTTCCCAACATCCCTACATTTTGCCAATTTCGAAATTGCACGGCTTCACGTCTCCTACTGGAGCATTCTCCTCTTTCTCTTCGATCGCGTCCTCACCATCCCTGTCTCGTCTCTGAGCAACTTTGACGAGAGTTTTAATTTTGTCACTTCTGTGGTGAACATATTCACGCATAGACAGGCGCTGGAGCTGGCGAGACTGATTGCTCGATCCATGGATTATCTTCTCTCGGAAGACAAGCACATTCTTGGACCACAAAAGGTGTTTTTCCCCTTGCGCACAGCAATGCACGTGTTTGCGAGCACGGACAAAGATCAGGAACTAGCCTGGTGTCAGAATATCTTTGAGGAGCTTGATCGGCGAGGGTATCCTTTCGGCAAGATATTGGCTCGGTGTGAGTGGGATGATATACCAGCGCTCTTGTCTGGGAATTGAACTCGGGGAAGGATGCATTAACCTCGGAGGTATAGACGCTTAATTTGTGAAACAAGTTGAGGGGTATAACAAATAAGCCTCCATTGTGCTTTGTAATTTGCTTTCAAGGTCACCTTATATGTGGTTCATGCGTTGGGCCTGTCGTAGCCTGAGGGCCCTGTACGATTCACCCAAACTTTGATATGAGAAGTGCAATGAAGCCTTGACGCCACAACCTAAAAGGCCCGGATCAAATTCGGCATAGGCGGTTCGGAGGGTGCCGCAGCGCCTCAGCGCCTCGGCCGTTGACTGGTGGGCTGAGGCGCCCTCTGGCATTTATACTCTACAGCCAAATTAGCCTGTGCCTGGATGACCTTATTTATTCGCCTGAGGCAGGGCGGCGCTATAATTTTTAGTCGAACTGGTAAGCAGCGTCTTTCATTAATGGGAAGTCTCTCTTTGTTATTATTGTCTCACAGCAAAAGGTCAGACTGATTCCCATTTATCCTTGTTCTCCTTCAAATCTACGTTGCTAGAATGAGTGATTAGGTTCTGTACCTATCGACGTACCATGGCTGCACAATATGCATCTCTCAGGCGGTGTTGCAGATAGGGTGGATTACCTGAGACTTTTCCAATGGCATATCCACTCATCACACCACGTCCGCATTATTCACCACAAGCTTCCCAAGCAGGATTGGCTTTAGTGAGACGGGCTGCTGATTCGACTGGACGTCTGGTAGCTGGACCTTGTCTATGCTTGATTCATGACAAGGTTATGGGTTTCACCACGTTGTTATCTGGCTTTGGGGCCATTGGAGAGTTTCTCCCTGCTTGCCTGTGGCTTGCCGGCAGGGCCGATGCACCAGGATGACGTTTGTTCAACGGTGGTACATTTATCTATGTCGAGTGCCCTCGAGCTCCCTCCTCGTCGAGCGTTCCTGTGGCACCAATCTAGGCATTCCTCTGCTACTAACTCTACCTTACCAGAACCAGTCTGAGACTCGATTTCGCCATGGCAGCAACTCTCGATATCAGGACGTCTGAGCTCCGAGAGCCAGTCGACATTGCTACTTACCTTTTGACTAGACTCAAGCAGATGGGTATCGACTCGATCCATGGGCTTCCCGGGGATTTCAACCTGGCGCTCCTTGATTACCTCCCAGACCTCGACATCACATGGGTGGGTAATTGCAATGAGTTGAATGCTGGCTACGCGGCAGGTAGGCTGGTGGAGATCTATGAAGATACAACAGGTTGTATTGACGGCGTCTAGATGGGTATGCTCGAATTAAGGGCATCTCGGCCGTTATCACCACGTTTGGAGTAGGCGAGCTGTCTCTCCCCAATGCGATTGCAGGATCGTAAGTGTTTTTAAAGACTGCAGTGCTGTTTCGGGTACATCTGACCGCTTCAAGCTACGCCGAGTATGTCCCTGTGGTGCACATTGTGGGAACTCCAAGCACATCATCTCAGGCCAACGGCATGCTACTCCACCACACTCTGGGAAATGGAAACTTCAACACCTTTGCCGACATGGCCGCCCACATTGCAGTGGACGTTGCCAAGCTGACCGACCCTCGGGATGCAGCGGCGCAAATTGACCACGCGCTCCGCGAATGTTACCTCCAGAGCCGACCAGTATACCTCACACTTCCCACGGACCTGGTCAAGAAGAAGGTGGAAGGGGAGAGGCTTAAAACTAAGATCGATCTCAGTGCTCACAAGAATGATCCAGCCAAGGAAGATTATGTGGTGGAGGTGGTACTGAAGTATCTGACTGAGGCCAAGAGCGCCGTCATCCTGGTGGACAGCTGTGCCGTGCGCCATCGAGTGTTAGACGAAGCACACGAGTTGATCGAGAAGTCTGGGCTGCCGGTCTTTGTTGCTCCCATGGGTAAAGGGGCTGTTGATGAGACCATTCCTCAGTTTGGTGGTGTCTATGCCGGAGACGGGTCCAACCCTGGGGTTCAAGAACGGGTGGAAATGGCGGATCTGCTGTTGACGATCGGTAGCGTCAAATCGGACTTCAATACCGCAGGATTCACCTACCGAACTTCGCAGCTCAAAACGATTGACTTCCACAGCACTTACACTAGAGTGCGGTACTCGGAATACCCTGGGGTGGGCATGAAGGGGGTACTTCGAAAGCTGATCGATCGACTGCCACAGCTCAACATCCAACCTGGACCCGTACCACCACAGAATATCACTCCTGCCGAGGAGAATCTCGACGATCCTGCTATCACCCATGACTGGTTCTGGCCTCAGTTGGGCAAGTGGTTGCAAGAAGGAGACATTGTACTCACGGAGACAGGAACATCCAACTATGGCATCTTCGACACGCGATTCCCGAAAAATGTGACCAACATCAGCCAAATTCTGTGGGGCAGTATTGGATATGCCACGGGATCGACCCAAGGAGTGGCGTTGGCGGTCAAAGAATTAGGTAGCGCTCGTCGAACCATTCTATTCACCGGCGACGGTAGCTTCCAATTGACGGCGCAGGAAGTCAGTACCATGATCCGACACAAGCTCAAGCCGATCCTGTTTATCATCAACAACAATGGTTACACCATCGAACGGTTCATCCACGGCATGGAGGCGACGTATAATGACATTCAGCCTTGGAAATACCAGGCACTGCTGCCGGCGTTTGGGGCTCAAGAGGGCAGTTACAAGACATACACGGTCAAAACTAAAACCGACGTCTTGAATCTGTTCCAGGACCCTGTCTTTGCGAGCACACCATACATTCAGCTTGTGGAGTTGTTTATGCCTGAGTTTGACGCTCCTAAGGGGTTGAAGATCACCGCTGCGGCGGCTGCTCGCCGCAATGAAAAAGCATGATTGTGGGAAAAGATTTAGATGGACAAAACGATGGTTGTGTGTAGATTGTTAAATGTCACTCATGGCAAATAAGACTGCTCTAAATTGGACTGTATTGTCATTTTAGAGATTGTAATCGTTTTACTCTGTTAGGGGCCTTTCCACATGCCGATTACCTAGCACTAAGAACTGACGCCGGGCTCCCAGGCAGCATAGGGGGGGTCCATCATCCTACGGGCTTATTATCTTTCGCCTATTGGCGAGCATGACGGGCTTTAGGATATAGAGCAACCAGTGAGCATCGTCACAATGCAAAGTAGAGACACGTACGAAGCCACATGTCGTCCGCTTTCTCGCTGTAATAAGTCTACTTAGAATTTAGGACTTCCTATTAGGCTCCCGTAGCCTGATGACTGATGACTGCATTTGTAGTTCATTCGCTTAGAGAGCCTTCATTGCTAGAGGATGATGACCCCGGGCGGTGTGTCACGGGGATCCGCTCACCTGCGGCAAGCTTGGCCCACCAGATCCATGCCTAAAGCAGCGCCCGTACCTGGGCTTTGTTTGCGTTGCGCACAGTACACAGCACACACCAGAGCTGTGCCTGGCAGGGCTGCCTGTGGATTGTTCACATTTCACTCATCATTCACACTCACTCACGCGCCCGCCGTGTGTTCCTTCCTCATCCTCGAGTCTCAACAGACTGCAACCGCAACTGCGACCAACTGCATCTGCACCTGCACCTGCCTTCATCTTCAATCCCAAGACATCCTCAAATCCACGTCAATCTTTCCAATCACATCTTTACGACTTTTCTGAATTCCTCACTTCTTCCATCACGATACCTCATCATCAATGATTGTTGGGCTACATCTCTACACATAATGTCAAAGTCGCAACTCGTCAGTCTTGGTTGCGACTTGCCCCTTCTCCCTCACCCATCCTCATCCTCTCTTGTCAGGTGAGCACTCGCTGTTGGGCCTGGTCCTCCTGCTCGTCCTCTTGGGTCATTCCAGTTTACTGCGGCACCCTGATGCTTGCAAGGGTCAAATCTGACTACTACACACACCTCTCAGACCATTGTTTTGTCACTTGCACCGTGATCTGATCTGATCTTCGTCTTGAACCGCCCAATCCAACCTCACTCTCCAGCATCACATCATGTCTGCTCCAGACCATGCTCCCAGAAGGACTCCAAGTCGCAGGCTCCAGAAACGAAATCCTCACCTCAATCGATTACCTTCACCTAGCCTGCCTTCTCGTTTGCGTGGCGCCGATGACGACCAAGAAGATGTCACCGCAGCCAGTCGTGGCAACAAGACTTCGGCCCAGTACATGAACCAGTCTATATTTTCCATGATCGCGGCCGCAGGCTCCAAAACAGATTTCAATGCAAGATTCGACGAGTCCAGCGATAGTGAGGATGATGCTATCCAGGAAGAGGATCAAGATGACTTGCAACACGAATCCCCTCGACACATGACCTCGACGTTCGCTCCCTTACACTCCACCTCCACATCTCACAAAAAGAAACCCTCTCTCTCCGGCAAACTCGCTCAATCTCTACCTCGACTTTCTGTGAGGTCTGCAAGCAAAAAGCAGACCCGTTCTGCCCCGAAACCTAGCCCTAGCCCTACGAGTGACACAACGTCCAAATCCGCGACCAGCAACCCGAGAGAAGCCCCTGTCTTGAGCAGACTTCTCACAGCAGAGGCTGAGTTTCAAGAGAATACCGACCTGGCCTTGGAAGAATCATATCCGGAAGCTTCCACCTCAAGATCCCGCTCCGAGTCCTCCCCCGAGACCTTACTGGCCATTAGATTAATGGATATCTTTGCCCTCGAAAGGCCCGAAAAAGTTGTCGCTGAATACCCGTGTTGGCTGCTCAAGAGTGTCCTACTTCAAGGCTATCTATATATAACCAAGCAGCATCTGTGTTTCTACGCATATCTTCCTAAGAAATCCCACTCTGTCGCAAAGACAGGCTATCTCGCAAAAAAGGGCCGCACCACGGCAAAATACAAGAGGTATTGGTTCTCCCTCAAGGGTGATGTCCTATCCTATTACACCGACCCTTCAGACCTCTATTTTCCCTCGGGCCACGTCGATCTGAGGTATGGCTTGTCAGCCTCCCTCTCTTCTGATAAGGGTCGACCAGACACCAAGGACTTTACCGTCACCACTGATCATCGTACCTACCACTTCCGAGCAGACAGCGCCCAGAGCGCCAAAGAATGGGTCCAGTCCCTGCAAAAAACGATCTTCCGCTCCCACAATGATGGAGATAGTGTCAAGATCTCCCTGCCCTTGCAGAACATCATCGACTTTGAAGAGAGTCCCGTCGTCGAGTTTGCTGAAACTGTTAAGCTCAGGGTAGTCGAAAATGACGACTCGTACGCAATTGACGAGGTAAGTTCCTGCCTGTCTCTATCACCACCGCCGCATCTTAATCTAGCATAGTACTTCTTCTCCTTCTTTAGCTGTGGACAAGATGCCCTGACCGTTTTGGGCGATCTTGTGACCAAAGCTCCCTCAAAATCTCCACAGATTGAGACCTCACCTGCGAGACGAGTCACACAAAGCCCTGATCCTAGTCCTAGATTCCGCCCATTTTCTCAACGAGCCATTTCCGAAGGTGCTGTTCTACGTCCCCGCCATCGATCGTCTTCCCCTGCCAGGGACAGTGTCAGAGCCACCTTAGTCCCCTTTTCACTCGGCGATGATGGCAAGATGTCGCCCCGTCTTAGTGGCGAGTTTCAACGCACGGGAAGTCCTTCTCGCTCCAGTGGGGACTTTGGCCCGGACTACGGCAGAGCTAGCTTTGACCGCGGCCGTCGAAGCGGAAGCACTAGTCGTTTGGAGGTGGCCAAAGTCAAGCGCTCCGGTCGTTCTCCACTTGCTAAACATCAAGATTCGGAAGACTCATTCGTGCAATCGATAGACAAGGAGACTGATTCCTCCACTGCACCGCTGTCACCGACCGTCGAAGCACAGATGTCCGCTAGTCAGATCTTAACACGAAGTGATGTCTTTCACCCACCTCCCGTTCGCCGCATGGCAACATTGGCCTCAGTCTCGAGTGAAGCTGGCTTGAAGTCCTCCATGGACGCGACAGTATTATCGAGCTCACCTCCACAGGACGGCAGCGCACCCGTCCCCATCATTGACAAGTCCGACCCTGCCACCCGTATGGCCAAAGATCGCCGCGCAGCCGTCCAACACGACGCGGATATGGATTCTGAAAAGCGATTCTCTAGTTCTCCCACTCTGCAAGATATTGTGAGAGCAGGATCATATCCCCTTCAGAGAGCCGGCGCCTTTGCAGACTACCTCAAGTCACATTCGGTCAGTATGAAAAAGCTTCTGACCACCGAGCCCATGACATACCTTGAAAAGGTCTCGGGGATGTGGACCGGTGGTCGCAAACACTATGGCGAGAATGAAGGCATTGTTTCCGAAGACAGAGGCATTGACCCCGAAGACGAAGAAGCAAATGTCGGCCACGGAGATCGTTTTCGTGCCCATTTCGCCCTTCCCCAGTCTGAGAAATTACGTGCGACTTACTTTTGCTTCCTTCACCGAGTCCTTCCCCTCTACGGCAAAATTTACATCAGTAACCGCAAGTTCTGTTTTCGAAGTCTGCTGCCGGGAACCAGAACCAAACTGGTGCTGCCACTCAAAGACATTGAGAACGTGGATAAGGAGAAGGGCTTTAGATTTGGTTACCATGGCCTCGTTGTTGTCATCCGAGGCCACGAAGAGCTCTTTTTCGAATTTAGCGGCTCCGAGCACCGTGACGACTGCACCGTCACCTTACTTCACAGCCTGGAGAGAGTGCGTTACATGGTGGGATCCGGGATTCTTGGTCATCAAGACGAGGATAACGCAGAGATTGCCAAAGAAGAACATCGTCTGCTGCAGGAAGCACGAAGAAAGTCGGCTGGCGACCACCAAATCGTTCTGCCCGACACGGCCGAGGCCATCTTCAGCCATGAAGACCGTCGAGAAGTGCTTTTCGAGGATCCTCGAGCTGACATTATCAAATTCAAGCCCGCCCAATCCCTTCGCATCACATGTCTCACCATTGGGTCGAGGGGGGACGTGCAGCCATATATTGCTTTGTGCAAAGGTCTCCTAGCTGAAGGCCACAAGCCACGCATCGCCACTCATGCAGAGTTTGGTCCGTGGGTGATACAGCATGGCATTGACTTCCGACCTGTCGACGGTGACCCTGCGGAATTGATGCGAATATGTGTCGAAAATGGCATGTTCACCTACTCTTTCCTCCGCGAAGCGTCGGCCAAGTTTCGCAGCTGGATCGATGAATTGCTCTCGTCAGCCTGGGAAGCTTGTCAAGACAGCGACCTGTTGATTGAGTCACCGAGTGCGATGGCCGGAATCCACATTGCCGAAGCGATGCGCATTCCCTACTTCCGCGCCTTCACGATGCCCTGGACACGAACCAGAGGCTATCCTCATGCCTTTGCGGTTCCAGAGCATAAAATGGGCGGCGCATACAACTACTATTCGTATGTCATGTTTGACAACGTCTTTTGGAAAGCTATTGCGGGCCAGGTCAACCGCTGGCGAAAGAAGGAGCTTGGCCTGAGAAGTACAAATCTTGACAAAATGCAACCGAACAAAGTACCGTTCTTGTACAACTTCTCACCTCATGTGGTAGTACCACCCCTGGATTACAGCGATTGGGTTCGTGTCACCGGCTACTGGTTTCTTGACGAGGCCAAAGATTGGACACCGCCGAAAGAACTGACCGACTTTATCGCCAAGGCACGTGCAGACCAGAAGAAACTTGTATACATTGGCTTTGGCTCGATCGTGGTCTCTGATCCGGCGGCTCTGACCAAAACCGTGGTCGATAGTGTTCTGAAGGCCGACGTGCGTTGCATCCTATCCAAAGGCTGGAGTGATCGCCTGGGAGATCCTAGTGCTGTCAAGACAGAGGTCCCTCTGCCACCAGAGATCCACCAAATAAAATCAGCCCCGCACGACTGGCTTTTTACCCAAATCGATGCTGCCGTGCATCACGGAGGAGCCGGTACCACAGGAGCCAGCCTAAGAGCAGGGGTGCCCACTGTAATCAAACCATTTTTTGGCGACCAGTTCTTTTTCGGCACCCGGGTTGAGGATCTTGGTGTTGGACTGTGTCTGAAAAAGGTCAACGTCAGTCTGTTTTCGCGGGCATTGTGGGAAGCTGTCCACAGTGAACGGATGATTGTGAAAGCAAGATTGCTAGGGGAGAAAATCAGACAGGTAAGCTTGAATTCTCGTATTCTCTTTTTGACATATTCTGCCCGTCCGCCGGCTTGTTCTTTTTCCGACCAAAGCGATGTACCACTCACATGACCACTCTCAACGCAGGAGAACGGAGTCCAGACTGCAATCCATGCTCTGTACCGAGACCTCGAGTACGCACATTCGCTTGTGAAGGCTGCACAAGATTACAATGCCAACGCACCCATCGATCCCGATGAGGGTGATGCAATCGAGGAGAATTGGACTTTTATTGGCGACGAGTCTGACCCCGAATTGAAAAGGCAAATTCAGGAGTGGGAACCACCAAGCCGTGGTCGTGCCCCTCGTGTCAGCCTCGACCGAATTGGCACCGGGGCCAGGGGTATACATGACGGTGAACTTGGACGCAAGGGAAGTGTCAAGAAATAGTACTATTGACCAGAATTGATATGTGTGAGGTACAAGATGCAAGATTTGATCGGTTTCGACCATTAAAGAGCTGTTTGACATGACAAAGGTTACGCGATTTGATTCGTTTATTTGTCTACCTACCGGACAAGGATGGAGCGTCGAGATACACTGTGCACGGTCAGTGGTTCGACTGAACGGGTGTCTCATAAAGTGGCTAGCGAGCGGCGTACAGGAGTGTTGGATTGAGCCAAAGACCTGGATTTTGACATCCAGATAAGCAGGAGAGGTGAAGTTTCACTTATTTCAGGGAGTCAAGAATGAAGAGGCACGAGCGGGAATGGATGTGAGACGACCGTAATGAGTATTTTCATGTTCCTGACGATGCGTACGATATCATCAGGAGTTGTCTGGTCACAAGAGGCTAAGATGATGAGGTATTCAGACCAGGAGAGAAGAGATTTGGACAGTAGAAGTCTCGCTGATGATAATGTTTAATGTTAACGACTTCAATCCACTGAAGAGGCTCAGCGTAAACATGGAAGAGAAGGTACAAGATCCTGAGCCCATGAAATACTCGATGAGGTCAAAGCCATAATGAATATGGTGATTGATGGTAACCCTTTGACCGTAGGTATTTACGGTATTACAATACACATGCCCAGGATAACATGATGCACGTGACACATGATGCACGTGACATATCAACCCTGAGTACTTCGTAATCGGAAGGAACGACCAGGAGTGACCAGTGGAGTGACTTCTTTCCAAACTTAACATGATAAGGTGGGGCATCGATATCCATCACCTCTTCTGATTTCTAGCGAATCTCTGTATGACTTGATGAAGGAATCTATTGCAATCATGGGGTGATGTGTTGGTAAAATGCTGCGAACCCCATCGGCCCGTCGCTTGCTTTTCGAGGAATGACCACCAAATTTGCAAGACGGTGAAAGGGACCCCAAAGCCGGGAGACGCCTCCCCTCCATCACCTCGGCCGACGTAACCCCACATTTTACTCGACCTACCATTCCCTTTCCAAGTCCCGAATTCAGGACGGTGATACCGTTCACTTCTTCATGTTTGTGACAGAAACTCTTGACGTATCAGACATGGTCAGGCACTCGGCCGTATGTTGGGTAGCCCTTGTAGAACATTGACCTGTTCTAGGCAGCATATACTCCTGACAAAGCAGGACCCGTGCAACCACATCACATCTCTCACTTGGTCCCCAGTCCACATTCCCACGGTGCTACAGCGTGGGAAATTGCAATATGGCTGACCTAGCAAAAACCGCATGTTGTCGGTGTCGCGAGCAAAAGGTCAGTCATACCTATGCCCCGCAATTCATTTCGTCAAAGTCGTTGTACTGATAGTATCCCTCCTGCCACTAGCTCAGATGTTCACGTGAAATTCCCAGCTGCTCCAGATGCACGAGACTTGGTGCTGTTTGCGAGTTCCCAAAGCCACCGGATCGCAAAGCAAGATACGACCTCTACTGATTACCAGCACCTACTGACGATGAATAGGTTCTGGCCGCATTTCGAGCCCAACCCAAAAAGAGGAAATTAGAACATCCTCCTTCAGAGCTTCAGCGCAGCAACAATGATACATCGCCCGCCAGCTCTGGTTCGCCAGCACACTCATTTCATCCCAGTGCTAAAGACTACGATGCCTCTTCTACCAGTGGCAAGCAAGACATTCAATTGTCAACCCCAGTCCAAGAACTCCTCCAGGAGGTCTACTTTACTTGCATGTTCAACTCTACCCTGATCTTTCATCGACCCACCTTTTCGAGGGGTTTCGAGGAGAAGAAACTCCCTCGCTATCTGCTTCTTGCGATGTATGCTTCTGCCACAACGTCAGTCTAGCCCATCCTTCTCTCCATGGCCCTGTGGCTGACAATCGCTAGCTTTTTGCCATCGTCGTCATCTCTGGCCAAGCGCCATGCTAGCCTTCTCCGACCTCTAGGTGATATACAAGCTATGGGTAGGCAATGGGCTCTTCAGGCTGGGAAAGAAGTTCTGCAAGATATCGATCAACCCTGTTTCGAAAGCGTTCAGACTTGCGAAGTCCTTACGCTATATTGGTTTTCTGCCGGTGACTCGATGCGAAATACAATGTTCCTAGGTAAAAAGAGCCCTCCTTGGCCGAATATCCCGACAGCTCATACCATCTGATCTAGGAATTGCCTATATGACAGCCTGCACTTTGGGCCTCGATTTCAGAAATTCAACACCCTCTCTACCAGCGGCAGATTCCAACAGGGCACCTGACGAGGAGTGGCTCGATGCAGAGAAGATGCGACGTTGCTTCTGGGCTGTATGGTTCACACAGTGTATCAATGCAGACCACACCTCCATGAGGTCCTACTATATCGATCGTATTATGGACTTGCCTCTTCCTATCGACGAAACTTACTTCAGTCAGAGAGTGCGACCACAGTCATACACGTTTGCCAACGTGCTCAATCGATCGACCAGTGTAGAGCCCAGGCACCCTGATAATACGAGTATAATGGCGGAGCTCATGATTTTAATCCTACACTGGTACCTTCCTCTCGTCCAGTTTACAGTTCACGCTGACTGTGCAAAGGTCCAAGATACGGGATCTCATTCGAGCGACCAATCGTATTCCAATAAAAGACTGGCTGGCAGACCTATTTGAGCTAGAAGGCCGTCTCTCAAAGTGGTACGAACAAGCATCACCATCATTTGGATACTCAAGGAGAAATCTTTATGAGCAGCTTGTTATCAATCAGCAGCCAGTATACATCTTCATTCACGCCTTGTACCACCAGTGTCGGCTAGTTCTACATTCATCGCTGGTACCACAATTCAGTGGTCTTCAGTTCGATGAAAGACCCCCCTCTGAAGTCACCAGCCTCAGTGCTCGCATTGCACTCAAAAGTACCCAAGCCCTCTCAGCGTTGAGTGCAGATCTCATCGCACTGGACTGGAACCCTGGTCAGATCCCTGCCTTTGTCGGATACTGCATGTACGTGTCCGCTTCTATCAACATTGCTCTCCTCTACGCTCGAGATGCAACTCTTGCCGTGGTGGCACGTTCCAACCTCATCTCCAATGTCAGACTACTCAAGCTGATGAAGTTGTACTGGACAAACCTGGAGCGACTTGTAAGTTGGATATTCTGACTATGTGTACACCTCGTTCTAACTGACGAGCGCAGTGGGTCCGAGTTAACGTGCTTTATGGGACACAGCTGTCCAGGCACCGGAACATGGCAACCGACGGACCAGCCTGGACCGCCGATTCAGAGACTGCCCTCAGCGATCTAGACCGAATCGCCGCCGAGAGTAGAGACACGGGGCAGCTGACTGAACCACTCGCTCATTCGGTGTTGGAATATGGCCTTCGAAAGCTGACCCCAAGCACAAAGACCGATACTAATGCAGGTCGAGACCAAGAAAGATCCTCATACCCTGACGACTTGGCGAAACTGATGGACGAGTCCCTTGACATTCCATTGGCTCCAGCGAGTGCGACACCCACTCACCCATTTGCAGCTGGAGTAGATCAGGGCCAGCCCAGCGGCTCTCTAGGCCAGCCGCTTAATGGGGACAGCTGGGACAGGGCCAGAACTCCCGTGTTTCCATTTCTACAAGGCAACGAGTATGACTCTTGGCAATTCAACTTGAACAGCATTCAAGACCCCACGATGCCATATGATGACTTCCTCGGCATAGACTTCAGCTTCTGAAAAGTTATCTTGGACAAGCCTGATAATAAAAGCTACATACACATTGCGACTGTATACAATCACATGAATGGCCAATGTCGCACACTAACGCACGTTCTGGCGATCGAATGGGAAAAGCCTCGACCAGGTGGCAACTCATGTCGTATAGCAACCCCTGCCCATTGGCTAGATATAAACTCACGACAGTTCACCCAGTGCGATGTGGGTAGCCTCAACTTAGATGAACCCAAGTGGGTCATAGATCGGGCAGATGAATGTTTTCAAGTATCACCATCGGCCCGACCAAATACACAGGGTGATTGCTTGAGCTGCCGCATTTAGCGTGGAGTAATGCTATCTGTCCATTGGATGCTTAAATTCGACTTGATCTTCCATCCTCAAAGGTGCCTGGTCTAGTCTAGCAACTCTCTGATACCTTGTTCTCACCCTATTCATACAATACGAGTTACAAACATGGCTGACACCAACGCCAACAGAAAGCCAAAGAGATATATTACAGGCCATAACGCCGAAGGCAAAGGCATCATCGAGGCATGTGATGAAGGCCACTGGAGGAAGATTGACAACGACATCGTTCGCTACAACGAGTTTTGGACCACATCAACATTTCCAATCGATATCAGCAATGACGACGCCCTGAACAGGGAGAAGGAGATCTTGTCGTTGTCTCTCCCCAATGGTACCGTCTTACGAATGGTCGATAGATCTCCAGGATCATACTCTGCCATGCATCGTACACAGTCACTCGACTATGGTGTGGTTATTGAGGGTGAGATGGAATTGATCATGGATTCCGGCGAGAGAGTCACCCTACAGAGGGGTGATGTGTGCATTCAGAGAGGCTCCATGCATCAATGGAGAAACCCTGGCACCACTTGGAACCGTATGTTGTTTGTGCTGATCGACGCCTTGCCGTTGGAGGTTGCGGGACAGCGCTTCGAGGGCGAGACGGGATATGAGCATGTCAAAGAGATCGGAGCTCGTCTCTGACGTGGAATCAGCAACTTTGACGGAGAGAAGTTGTGGGGTTCGTAGCTCTAGACTTGAGAGTTGGGCAAATACTCAGCTATCCCATTGATATCACACTACTATGCTTTAGAAGTCAACGATCCCTTATACCTCAGTTTCTTTCTATTTCCACGGAACTACTCTAATTACACATGAATTATGTTGATCATACGATATTTCCACTGAAGCTACACACCACCGTAATCTAGGCCAGGGTCTCACGATGGTGCTTTTGACTGTGAGTTTCCATGTTAAGCTAGACCACCAGTCAGAGATCACGCGACAGCCAAAGTCACTCCAAGAACAAGGGAGAAAACATCCATGCCGGCAATGCCTCTTCAATGCGGAGGGAGGCCGTAACCCAGTCTTCCCCACCTTTCATTGTTCGGCCCTGGTAAATTCGGGCCGAACGTTGATTTGGGACGCCACATCTGCCCAACCCGTCTTTTAGACGAATCCAACCTCAGATTTTCTCCATCTTTCTCCTGTTCTGTTGGTGATCTGGGGACTCCGCAATTCAAAAATGGCGGGGCAACAATGATCTCGACCGATCTCGCTTGGTTGAAAACCTGAATTGGCTGACAACAGAGATAGTCTACACCAGGGTCCGCAGGGTCCGAAGAGTTGGGGAGCTTGGCTCAGGAGAAATCAAAAGTGTCTATATCATCTGTCAAGCCCCAGTCGAGATACACGGCATCAAGTTCCATCTGAAATCACACATTCAGTGCTCATCTTGACTCTTGAGACTCTTCTCAGCCCAGGCCACAAAACAAGAACACAGACAAGAGCAAGAGTCAAAACAAGACTCATCCTTGTAACCATGTCTTCCAGAGACGAGAAGGTCATAGAGACCGCTCACAGCGAGACATACGCCGAGGAGCTCAAGATCGGACAGGTACAACCGACATTGGATTATGCTGGCTCTCACGCAAAGGTTGATCCTGCTGAGATCAAGCTGGTCCGAAAACTCGACCTGTTCATCCTCCCCATTGCATGGACTATGTACTGGTTCAACTTCTTGGATCGCAATGCCATCACCATCGCCCGCTTAGACGGCATCGAGAAAGAACTGAACCTCAAGGGCGTCGAGTATCAAACCTGTATCTCAATTCTGTTCGTCGGTTATATTCTTGGTCAGATTCCTGCCAGTAAGTCCAATGTTGAATCTCATTACAGCACCGTCGATAGCTGACCCGAGGCTGTGTGCCCCTGGCTAGATATGTTGATCACCAGACTTCGACCGTCTCTGTTCCTTGCTGGCTGGATGGCCGCGTGGGCTGTCGTTTGTACTCTGACAGCCATCACCCACAACTATACTGGGCTCCTTCTTACCCGCTTCTTCCTCGGCGTCGCCGAAGCTCCTTTCTGGCCTGGACTGCTCTATCTCCTCAACGTAAGCTGGCCTATACCATTATCACATGGACGTAACAACTGACCGTGGAATGTGTCTAGATCTTTTACACCCGAAAAGAAGTTGCCGTCAGAGTTGCTATTCTCTTCAGTGCCAACATTGCGGGGACGGCATTTGCCGGTCTCATCGCCATTGGCGTATTCAAATTAGAAGGCAGAGCCGGTTTGAGCGGATGGAGGTGGCTTTTCATCATCCAGGGCATCATCAGTTTTGGTCTTGCCATCATCGGCGCGTTTCTGTTGCCGGATGAGCCGCTAAACACGCGCTGGCTGACCCCCGAAGAAAGGGAACTTGCCCACAAACGCATTGCTGTAGAGACGGTGCATCTGCAAGAGGGCACCACGACTTGGAAGGGGCTGATCGACGCCTGCAAAGATTATAAACTTTGGCTGTTCATCATCCAAGGTCACGTTTCCATGGCGTCAACCAACTTCAAGAACTTCTTCCCCACCATTGTGGGCACTTTGGGCTATAACCGCACCATTACCTTGGCCCTGACCTGTCCTCCATACCTGGTTGCGGGAGTGGTGTCGATTATCTGGTCATGGAATTCCGGTAAGTTGAACACCCCTTGTTACCTTGGCAAGCATTATTGGAATTGCTCGCTAACTGGCCACGCTCGACAGGTCGAATGAACGAACGGACGTGGCACATCATTGCAGCCAAGGCAGTTTCAATTGTCGGCTTCGTCCTAGCAGCGGCCACATTGAACACGGCAGCCCGCTATGTCGCCATCTGTATCTTCTGTAGTGGCATCTACGCCCAAGCTGGCATTGGCCCAGGATGGGTTGGAGCAACTTTCGGACAGACCAAGGAGAAACGTGCGGTCGCCTTGGCGATGTTCAATACGATCAACACCATCGCTCCTATCTACACATCGGTAAGTGGTTCCATATGCATGAATGGATGAACGAGTGGCCGTTTCATCACCAGGTGTGGTTACTTGTCCAAAAGCAATAGTTCGCTGACATGCCTTTGATTTGTAGTATCTGTGGATCGAAAGTGATGCTCCTCGATACGCTATCCCCATGGGCGCCAGTGCTGCTTTCTCTCTTGTCACTATTGTCATCAGTTACATTATCCGATGGGTCCTGATCAGAGAGAATCACAAGATCAAACAGTCAAACTCCGAGGCTACCCTTTTCTACGCATACTGATCGGAAAATCCATTCAATCTCACTCGACGCCGTACTCATGGGATTCACGATAGCCTAAATGAGGTTTGCAGTCGATCAAAATGGAGAGGTATGCCTCCTGGTGTATATGAGACATCAACAGCGGTAAATGGTCTTTTCCGGACATCTATTACCCACATCTATTACCCAATACATGAAATTATTTCTGCCAAATTTCTATGTTGTCTTTCTTCCTCTAGTCAAGGGTTCTTCCTCAAAGTGCTTTTGCATAGTCGTAAACATACAGGCCACTATTTGAATCTCGTTCATAGCCAGGTGCAAAGGTCCTTCACTGCCAAACTTCAAGCTTCCACCGCTTAGGCGGCAGGATACCCGTCTGATCTGAGTTTCTTACGCTTCACGAGTTGGCATTGCTCAGCACACTCAAGAAATCGTGGTCTGCATATGGATCAAGATAGGTGTATACATGTACAGAGAGGTGGTATTGTCAATTGCCGTCTGCATCGCATCGTTGCGAGCCTTCTGCCCCTGGCACTCCCAATATGCCACCCACCAACTTCGCTCACTCAAATAAGCACTGCCTATTAGCTTCGCATCTCTGCCGCGCTTACCGGTAGGTGACCGAATTGGCCAGGTGATACTTGCGGGACATTGAAGATGTGCGGGGTTGCTACGAGGTCACCATCATTCGGCCCGATGATGCTCATCGCCGCCCTCGGCTCCTGGGGTATTCATTAGAAATGCCATCGCGCCGACCACACATCTGGGAGACGGCTATATTTTTGTGTCTTTTGATTTGCCTCTCATCGATTGAACGTGAGGTCCGAACAGCCGCGGTAAACACCAACAGAAACAGGTTTTAAGAAGGTGTTGACCAGCTTCTACAGGACTCTACAAGACCTACAGATCTATTTTGACAACGTCGTCGGCGTAAGATAGTCACTAAGAAACCTCTAAAATCATTCATCATGTCCAACGTGGTGGCAATCGGCAAATCCGATGTCTTCACTACGGGAAGGAGCTCTTCGAAGACCTTCTCTGATGGATATTTCGATTACAACTTCAACAAGTTCCTGGGTCTGGCCACGTACTCAGGCGCTGAGATAGCCGAGTGTTTCGAAACAGCATCACGGATCAAGGACGGCGACACAGAAAGCTGGATTGAAGCCTGGACAGCCACGGCAAAGCGGGTCGAGGCCTATGCCGAAAAGGCATACAAAGGAGGCCACAAGGTCAGTGCAAAGGAAGCTTGGCTCCGTGCCACCACCTACTACCAGGCCGCCTTTTTCTTCGCCTTGGACCATGAACCTCGCAAGGCCGAACTATACCAAAAGCACACCAATTGCTTCCAGTCGGCTGGGAAGCTCTTCGAGCCTCCCCTGGAGGTGCTCAGCATTCCTTACGAGGGAAAGTCGCTGTTTGGCTATTTCCTGCGTGTCGATGACAAGCCCCGCCCCACGGTTCTCATTCAGATGGGTGCCGATGGCAGTTCGGAGCAGATTTACTTCTCTGGTGGAGGCGCCGCGGCGCTTCGTCGGGGATACAACGCTTTGATCTTCGAGGGACCAGGTCAAACGGGCACATTCATGCGTGACCGAACCGTGACATACCGATATGACTGGGAGGTGCCGGTCAAGGCAGTTGTAGACTACGCTCTGACACGAAAAGAAGTCGATCCTGACCGGATTGCACTGATTGCGTATTCAATGGGAGGTTATTTCGGCCCACGCGCGGCGGCATTCGAGAAACGTCTGGCGGCGACGGTGGCCAGTGGCCTAGTGCCATCGATGCCCGAACTGGCCGGCGGCCGAATGAAAGGTCTCAAGGCCATGCGAGATAGCGGGAACACCAACTACAACCATTCGCACAAATACGCCTTGTATGAGCATATGCCCAAGTATGGCTTCAACGGTGGAATGGAGGATTTGGAAAAATTGGAGACCCTCTGGGAGAAATTCAACCTTTACGGCCTCGAAGACAAAATCACCTGTCCTCTGCTCGTCGTCCAGGCTGCTGCCGAGGGCGAGCACCAGACAAAGCTAGCAAAGGCTTTCTTCGACAAGTTGCCCAATCCAAAGAATGTCTTCCGCTTGACTACGGAAGAAGATGCTGCTGAGATGCATTGCCAGAAAGGAAATGCCATGCTTCTGCATGCCATCGAGTTCGATTGGCTGGACGATGTTCTGGGTTTGACTCAGCCTGTAGCTAATGGGACTTCTTAGTTTAGAATTGAAATAAATTGCAACATGTATCTTGCTGTCTTTTATGATTTGCCACGACTGGAAAACTGAAAACCCAAGTCAAGATGTCCTGTAGACGTCCATATAAGCAGGGGACGCCATCACGTATGAGGATTAGTCGAAGCCAGAGCTGCCAGGGGGGTCAGGAAAGAGTTGCCATGGGGAATCGGCCAGAAGACCAGGCTTCAGACAGTATATGAGAAGGACATAAGGAGAGAAATCCCCAGTCACTAGAACAGGACTCAAGATTCCGCCATCCCCTTGCGCATATCTACGACATGGTGCGTTTACGAGTCAAATCACTTATTACACGAGTCCATGGCCTTTGGCGCTCTTACAAGGCCTGCTGGGCCTGCTACGGCGAACATCCGCCCGTCATATGAGCAAGCATTCCTAGATGAACGAGTTCAACAGGTCTGATGTCTCGCTTTTCACACGAGGTTTCAATATCGTTAATTGGACCAGAAATCATGTAGGTCGCTGGATTTTTTGTCCACAACACTATAAATCAAAGATTAATGAATTTCCTAGTTCCTTTCGCGTCGAAGCACTTGGCTTGAGACCACTTTGGAGTTTGAAGATAAATGCAAGTGGCAAGCTTTAGGTGGATTCAATACTGAACAGAATGGCGAGTGAGGCATGAAATAGCGGCCACAGCAGCGAGGTCATTCCTCCTCCTTTTCAAAGGAGCTTTGTACACTGATACTCCTATCACTATGGCTATACCCATCATCTGCAATAGAGCTGACCAAGAATGTGGAGAGGAGTGAACCTACATTCAGGGAACTCCACATATCACATCGTCGCGGGGGCGTTAGCACATGATGTCAAATGGTAACTTAGAGCAGATTCGGTCCGATGAAGCAGGGCTCTATCGGGCCGTGCCCTCGCTGAGATCTACCCCGAAGGTCTTGTTGAAGGACTAACGTAGTGGCAGCGAGCGGAAATACCAAAGTGGTTAATCTAATTCGAAGAGCATCCAAACCCTTTCGCGACTTGCTGTCAAGTGACTAACCATTGTTTATCGAGCGATTTCAAGAGCCTAGTGAATCCCCGACCAGACCCAGACCGACGGGCTCGTGAAGCTGCGGAGAGCCTTTGTCTGTGCAACCTTTTTAATAGAAATCTGAACCGTAGAAATACAGGAGAAGCTCTTGAAGACCATCAGCATCGTTGTCATCAAGTCCATAGTCGATTCACAACATGGCTTCAGACCTGGCTGTCCCGAGAAAACTATGGGAGCACTCCAACCCCAGCAGCACGCACATGTACAAGTTCATGAGAGCGGCAGAGAAGTCTACGAACCTAAAATTTCCAGTGCGTGCTCAGAGAGAACCCTTTCACCGTGGACCAATGACTGATAAACGGTTGCAGGATTACGAAGCTCTGTACAAGTGGTCATGCGAGCACCGCTCCGACTTTTGGCATTTCGCACTCCATTACTTTCCGATTGTATACACGGGAAAGGTTCCAAATCCTGTGGTTGATGAGAGAGCCAGGATCGATACAGTGCCGAAGTGGTTCCAAGGCGTGAAGTTGAATTTCGCCCAAAATATTCTTTTCGTTGGAAACAACGGTCGACCGACCAAGAGTCCCGGCAAAGAGGACAGTAAGATTGCCTGCACAGAGGTGAGAGAAGGAAGTTTCCTGGAACCAATTCGTCAAACAACATGGGGCGAGCTCCGCGACAGGGTCGGTCGCCTTTCACAAGCGATGCGCGCTCATGGGATCGGTAAAGGCGACAGAATTGCCTTGGTGTCGAGTAATTGCTTGGACACATTGACAGTATTCCTTGCGACCACAACCACTGGAGCCTTCTTCTCCAGCTCCAGTACCGACATGGGATCTAAGGGAATTCTCGAGAGAATCATACAGATCGAACCGAAGTATCTCTTCATGGAAGACTGGGCAGTCTACAACGGCAATCAGATTGACCTGCGGCCGAAAATGATGGAGGTCCTAGAAGGAATGAAACATAGTCGAGGCTTTCGGGGTATCGTCGCCCATGCTAGGTTTCCTGGCAAGCTGGCCGATTTGTCAGGTCTGCCCTCTTCACATGTCCAGACATGGGACCACTTCCAGGCGAAGGCCAAATCCTCAGAGTTGATTTTCGAACAGCTTGACTTCGGCGATCCGATGATCATTGTGTACTCGTCCGGAACCACAGGCCAACCAAAATGCATCGTCCATTCCGTTGGTGGTGTTGTGCTGAGTGGTCATAAAGAAAGCACCTTGCACAGGCAGGTCGACCATACTTCGACACAGCTCCAATACACAACGACGGGGTGGATGATGTATATGAGCTCGGTGCAACTCATGTTAATGGGTGCTCGACTGATCATGTACGATGGAAGTCCGTTCACCCATGACATCAAGAACTTTGTCCGCCTGATAGGCGAGCAGAAAATCACTCACTGGGGTGTCTCACCTCGATACCTGCAGACTTTACAGGAGAAGAACATTCGACCTCGAGACGTCACAGACCTTAAGCATTTACAGATGGTGACCAGTACGGGAATGGTTTTGTCCAATGCGTTGTTCGAGTGGTTCTATGATCAAGCCTTCCCTCCATCGGTACAGCTAGCCAACATATCTGGTGGAACAGACATTGCTGCCGCCTTTGGAACTGCAAATCCTCTCCGCCCTGTATATGTCGGGGGCTGTCAGTGCATTGCATTGGCAATGGCTGTCAAGGTGTTCGATTCCACGATTGAAGGCGGTAGAGGTGTTCGAGGCGCCGAAGTGGCGGAAGGCGTTCCAGGAGAGCTCGTCTGCACTGAGGCATTTCCGACAATGCCAGTCAAGTTATGGGGTGACGAGACCGGAGAACGGTATTTCAGCAGCTATTTCGAACGGTTTGACGGCATTTGGACGCACGGAGATTTCATAATGATCCACCCGGTGACGAAGCAAGTCTTGATGATGGGCCGTGCCGATGGGGTCTTGAATCCCAGTGGTGTCCGCTTCGGCAGCGCCGACATTTACAGTGTGATTGAAGCACACTTTGCCGATACCATTGTCGACAGTATTTGCGTGGGTCAAAGACGTCCGCAAGACAAGGACGAAAGTGTTATGCTCTTTGTCCTCATGAAACCGGGCAAACCCCTGACGCCAGACTTGGTTCGACAGATCAAGGCCGCCATCAGGAAAGAGCACTCTGCTCGCCATGTTCCCAGATATATCTTTGAAACGCCAGAAATTCCTGTGAGTTATCCGTGAAGCTGCAGCTTGTTTGACGAAACTAACGTTGATTCAAAGACGACCGTCAATGCCAAAAAGGTTGAGCTTCCAGTCAAGCAAATCGTATCTGGCAAGATCATCAAGCCCTCAGCAACACTGGCGAATCCACAGTGCTTGCAGTATTACTATCAATTTGCAAAGGACGAGAATCTAATCGCAGATCCGACGTCAAAGCTGTAGGCAGAAATGGCAAGGCGATTGTTTTCCAAGCTGGTATGGAAAGCCGATCAAGGCCCTGCGACGAGTTTTATCAAGAATCTCTTTCGAGCGCTCATTGTGTCACATCGCCAAATAGGTCAACAGACATTGTGAGCCAATCCTCTACACCATCAACATTGATATCTGGGGAGTTATCGACCTGACCAGCTCCAAATAAGGCTTGCCAATCACCATTGAAGAAGTCGCCAGTTTCTAGAGACTCAAGGGCTTCTCCAGCTGTGCTAGACGGCGTCTGTTGATAGGATGGAAGATCAAATGGATCGGCATGTGAGGCTTCCATGTCGATCGAGGATTGGAGTTGTCGCTTGTATTGTTTCAAGAGATCTTGATACAGATTGTGCACAGCAACCGCACTAGACCAGTAGTTTGAAATGGCGGATAAGACAGGGAGAATACGCTGAAGACGAGATTGTGCTTGAATGGCAAGGATGTTGGCCCCAGCACGTGCTGAAGACCGTGCTTCGTGATTGATCTGAATGGCGGTGGCGAGAAGCGCCATCAGAGACGTAAACCAGCACTGGTCAAGTTGCTTCGAAGAGAGCAGGTCAGTGAAGATTTTGGATATTGTGGAAGCAGCACTGTGGCAAGCCTCACTTGAGGTGCGTCTCCGAGCGAGATCAATCGAGTAGAGAGGGGGGGCAATTGGTCGGTGGGAGTGAAGTAGTGCCATATTGTAGTGAATGTGCATTTGTAGGGTCCAGAAGTCTGGTTTTTCCGAATGGAAATCAGTCAGCTTTCGAGGGAGACCGAGATACCAAGCGGCCAACCGCTGGTCAATTTTCTCTTGCATCGTCTGGTGAGAGTCTGGATTTGAGTGGAATTTTTTCATTGATCCTGGTGTGAACATTTTAATAATTGAGAGAATTATGGTGCACAAGGACACATTCTGAATGCAATAATCGATGTTGATATTGCTGTTCAATTGACCGTTTTGTTCCACAAAATCATCTTGAGTTAAGGGATCTTGGTCGATCTCATCTGGCTGGATCATGCAAGGTCGTCCATGCTGAAGGCTCACGAGAATCTCGATTTGATAGAGTGTCCACCATACTCTGCGATAGATTCTCCTCTCGTCCAGAGGCATCAAGCCGGACGCTCTCGAGGAAAGGTTCCGGTGCATTCCCAGACCGAATGCGATGCGGCAAGCCACACCAATCCAGTGATAAGCATTTGAGCTGACATCGTCGGCGCCTTCGAAATGCCACATAAAGAGGAGAGCCGCCTGGACCAGGTTCATGCGATCATTCTCGTAGTGCATGTCAAACAGAGCTTTTGCTCGCCTGAAGATGACTATTTTCACCAAGGCTCTAGACGACATAATCTTAGGGTGGTTACTGACATGTGCACCGGCGAGGAGGACCGACTGGAGAAGCAAAAGGGGTGGAGGGTTATCTGGGTCTTGGTACTGGCGTCGAAATTCCGATTCATCAATCACGGGAAAGCCAGGATGGATTTTGGTGAAGAAGGATTCGACCAAATCGTCTCGGACATCCTTTGCTGGAAGAGCACTTATGTCATCTGCGAAGGAGGAAGTGTGCCATTTGACCGAGGACATTGTCTTGGTTGGTTTCCAGGGCATGGTAGGACGTATGGAGGGGAATGGGAGGTGTAGAGATGTCTTTGTTGATCCGGTGAAATGGGCTTCTTCTTGGACGAGATTGGCAAGGTTGGAAACTTGGGTGCCAATATACGCGATTCGGGTGTAGCCTTTTTCTGTGAAGACCGTCCAATCAGTCTTATTGATACCATGATGATAAAACCTAGTAAGAGCCGTTTTTGCCAGTGTATCCTCGACAATATCAGCTTCTGTCGGCACCGTTGGTTGCATTGGGCCATCTCTAGCGGCAATCAACGAAGATGTGCCAGGATCATTGTTGTGTGAATGCTGAGAAATCTTCTCGCTCGAGGGTCTCGCAACCTTTGTGACCACTCCAGTTTCAGAGTCGCCATGGGATGTGTTCTTGAGTCGCACTTTTCTCGCTCTTCTTTTCACCTTGTGTTCTTCTGCCACGATAAAACTGGAGATCAGCGGTAGTTAGGAAAGCTGCAATCTGTGGGCGGTGATGAGGGTCGATGATACTCACGTGCATTGTTTGCCACTGTTGATGCAGGCTACACAAGGGACGCCAGCATCCAGGTCGCAACGCACTTTTCGATGATAGCAGACGTCGCACGCCATATGTAGGGAACAGCGGGGAGGCCTTATTCCAATGAAAGATGCGTGCTTTCGCAATCAACATAGTCTTTTGTGTTTATGTTGATACACACCGGGGTGTGCCTGGTTACACCTGCTGTTGGTTGATGCACAACCGTCTGCCAGTGGACAGTTCTGAGCGGTGATCCCAGAAGTCGACATCCAAGTCAATAGGTATCAACATTGTGTATGAGGTGGGGGAAATTTGATGAGTCTTCCAATGACTAAGGAAGTGGACCGAGGTTCAAGCGAAAGGTTCAGTACTGCTTAAGTTAGCTCCCATCTAATGGCCTAAATAGCCTAAACAAGTGACATGAGCTTCCCCAGCGATCCCATATAGTAATGCCTGCGTGACCATTCACGGCGTAGAAAATGTCTGACTGATAGAGGAACTAATATATCACGACGAGTTCGCGACTTTTGTTGACTAGGTTCGTGCGCTACTTCGTATGTAGACGAATGGGTTACGGCTCGGCAAATCAGAGGATGTACCGCCAGGTAGGATGATCATCTCCCATGTTATCCAGCTCGTCCGCCTCTTCGGTGTAACGATAGTCGCGTTCGCCTCGATCACGTCTTGCATTTTCGGCACGCAGGCCAAGATAGTAGACCGTCGAGAAGATGGCGCTCATGAAGAACAGGCCCAGACAGACTGCCACCCCGGTTCTAAAGGTAGGAGCTTCACGAGGCAGCCACACGTTACTACCCACAAAACCTCCCGTGTTACCAAACCCGATGATCATCGCTGCTGTGATAGCGCGTTTGTAGTGACCAGAGACCTGAACGAGATGTTGAGTGTCCTATTCCATTGGGATGCCAGTCAAAAGGTGAACGACTTACCTGAAAATTGCACCATGCAAGGCTCACAGGCAAGGCAGTAAATGACGCCGAGACAGTTAGAAAACAAGCCGCATACCTTCCACGAACTGGGATGGATGTGCCCGCCAAAAGGACAGCATAACCGACCATTCCCACTGTCAAGGCGATCATGGTAACGATGTATCGAGAATTGTAACGATCCGTCAAGACAGCGGCACTAAGAGTCACCACTGTAGCAACCAGGTAGACTGGAATCACATAAAGTTGGGCCTGTTCCGCAGAATACCCCATTTGCTATATTGAAATCAGCGTAAGATGCATTTCAACCACCACCTCGTTACTCACATTGATCACCGTCGGAAGGAAAAAGGCCATGGAATAAGCACTATTGGTGCAACCAATATGAATACTTCACCAAAATCATCAGCAACGGCATAGTTTGGACTGGCAATTTCGCAACACTCACATGATACCGACGTAAATCTTCCAGTCTTTGGCGATTCGCATGGCCGATTTCTTATTCAGCCTGTCCATTCGTGCAGCTCCACCGCCGGCATCAAGATCAAGTTTCCGAGCAATCATAGACTTTTCTGTGCTGGAAAGCCACCTGACCTTTTCCGGCCAGTTAGGGACCCAAACATATGCGAGAAGGCCAATAATGACGGTCAGAATTCCCTCCATGATGAAAATCCACCTCCATCCCTCGTACCCACCAACGCCGTCCATTTTTGCCAATGCGTATGCAAACAACTGTAGGACGACTTGTGAGTAAGAAGAAGTAAGGCATAACCAGGCAGGTGACCACTAACCCCGCCAAAGGCACCAGCAATTGTTGTGCTAGAAACGAACAGACTAAAGCGCCACTGCATTTCGCTTCTGGCATAATATCGCGATAGCACAAAAGAACCGCCCGGAAAGAGACCAGCTTCGAAGATACCGAGGACAGCACGGAGACCAACCAGCCCGGCATGGTTCCTGACGAGGCCCTGACCAATCGTCACACAGCCTGTACATCCAAACTATCAGTCACATAGTCGAGAAAAATATAAGGGAATTGTAGATTGTGTTGCGTACCCCACATGGTGACAATGAAACTGAGCCACACGTTTGGGTTTAGCCTCTTCAATAAGATATTACTCGGCACTTCAAAGAGGATGTAAGGAATGAAGAAGATGAATAAGGCGATCGCATAATCCTGCCCTTGCATATTCAGTGATTCCTCGAGGCCTTGAATTCTTGCGTTGCCGATGTTGCCACGGTCCAGGAAAGAGACGAAAAAAAGGGCAAACAGCGGAGGTACGACTCGGACATCGAGGCGACGTCGAAGTCTCTTCTGGCTTTTCTCATCGTAGTCGACAACAGTGGATTCGTCGAGTGGGTCCTCCTTGGAAGATATCTGTTTCTCAGGTAAGGTGTCGGAATAATTCTCCTCGAGAGGGACGCCTTGTTCATTTTTGGTGGCAGCCATTTTGACGATGGGCGAAGACAAAGTGTCCAAAGGATTGGTTGGGGGTGTCTTTACTTTTCGAGGAGAATAGTACCATCATAAGTACTTTTGAGCCGTCCTGATGAGGAGTGATTGTAGAGGTGCTCGGATGTGCACCTCCCCAGTGCTCGAGAACACACCGTTGAGATTTCGTCGCCGAGATGGAACTGATCGTATCAGTCTGCCCAGACTCTGTATGGTCCACCCAGGAAGTGTATGTGACCAGCCACAGAGCTATCCGAGGTGCCATATCTCGGAGGGAATATTAAGGGTCCTTCGGTGCTAGCCTGGCCTCGGATGTAGATAGGACGCGGCTCGGATATATAGCTGATTAGCTGAATCGATGTCAATCCTGTGTATATGTGGGGTTACGATTGGAGATGGCTCCAATCATGTTTTACTTCAACTGTTCTATCGGTCACAATGCAGATTCTCTTTCTGACAACATGCACTCCTGCACTCTGTCATATATACCCTGATCAAGGAGAGCCTTACATAGTAGCTTAATCGTCAGGTCAGTTCTCCCTATCTAATTACAGGAAGAGGGGGGGAAGGAAGGAGGTTCTATCTCAGGCAGATACTGCAATCCCAGAATATCCTGCCGTCCTAACTGATGCCGCCTCTGCCTGCGGCGAACATTGACCTAAGGAACGTGTGAGTGCCCAAGACACATTTTATCGCATCCCTTGAGTCAGTCCATAGACAGAGTGCATCCAGAGGATAGGGCATCCCGTCTAGACACACGCCGTATGTAGGACTGATTCGTTCAAGGGGCCGTGCAATGATGCTACGCACTCTCTCCTTGGGCGTATATCGAAGTCTTGCTGAGGCCACAATCCCGCGGCCGCGAGTAACCGTGCCGTGTGGTTGTCACCAAATGAGAGAGAGAGACGTAATTTGATGGCCACTATCCAGGTTAGTGTCCCAGACCTAAGTCCATCAATCAACTTTCAAAACGCTGAAGTCATCATCACCTCACCATTTGTAGAAAGTAGATACGAGACTCAGCAATTGGATCCGCTCCGAACCGCATGTTTTACACTGCTCCCAGATCGACTGACCTGAACGGCAGTGGAATGTGATATCTTTCGCAGGGACCTACGTATAGCCAATCCTAAGTGTTGGATACCTGGACCTCGACGAATCAACGATTTAACCGAATGATATTACCTATCTTGGCACAACAGGAGGATATCAACACATCTGGGTATCTGGATTCCGTAACCGTGGATAACCAGATAAGAAGGCGATTCATGAGGAATATTGCCGCAAGTATAGGTCGATATTTGATGTCTCTTATCTCGGCTTCTGTGTGAGCGACTGTGTAATGTGTTTATCGTGCGATGTCTCTGCAAACGGAACGAGATATTCAGATATCCCGTATTTGGATACACCCTTTCAAAAGTGCAAGCCCAATCGAAGTCACGAAGGTGTTGGTAGATTCAAGAGGACTTCAATATGATCGGATATACATGCTGGTTGAGGAAGAGAAGAGAGAACCTGGACAATACAAGTCTATGAGCCAGAAGCGATATCCGATGGTACGTCGTCGCAGGGGAGCCCCCACTGGCCTTGCAGAGAGGTCATGCTCATTCCTCGAGCTTCAAAAAAATGGATTTGCTCGTTTCATGGCTGACTTTGGCCATTCAACATTAGATGGCTTTATTGAGGCAGACGATAGATGACAAGGATGTCGATCTCGCCAGAACGTTGACGGTGACGGATTCCAATACCGAGGATCAGATCGAACTCCCACTGGTACCGGAGTATGTACCACTTCTCCAGGAATTTTCATATACAACTGACAGTCTATTAGCGTGTCCGAGCTGGCACAGATTCAAACCACAATGCCATTCTACCCTCGGCCTCTCATGGTTTGGGACATGGGAGACGAGCCGGCCGCATTTTTCTCGAGATTCATGCGAAGAGCTTGTAGAGTCGTCTATCGAAACCCGACACGCGAAGTTTACGGACCCCAGCCAGAGACAGGGTATCGATTAACCAATACTCTTTTCAAGTGGGTATGGCCGCGTAACTATTTCACCAACCTAACCGACGCTGCACCACTTCACATCATAACCGAAGAAAGCCTGAAGAAGCTGACGTTGATGAATGGTGGCCTCGAGGTGACTCCAGCGCGTTTTCGACCCAATATCATGCTATCTGGTTGCAAAGCGTGGGATGAGGAGACTTGGAAGATGATTGAGGTGGAAAATGTTGGTAAAATTGCCGTGACTGGTCGCTGCCCCCGATGCGGTGTCCCGGACGTGGACGAGGAAACAGGAAAAAAAGACCCCTTGAATCGGCCAGGGACTCTACTACAGAAACTCCATACCACTGATCCGAGCCTCAAATGGGGCAGTCGACCAATGTTTGGCATGTGGGCTATTAATTTGTTCTCTGGTTCGTGCCGTTTCATTGGCTCCTATCTGACAAGATACTTATTTGCATCATATAGGTCAAGTTATTTCCACGAGTACTAAGGTACGGGTGACTCAAAGGGGCTATCACGAGCTGTTCTACCCGTGAGCTGAGGGTCCCTGTGCACGATTGGCGTTTAGATATCCACCAGGTGAGTAGGCCAGCTGGAGGAAGCAGATCAAATGGAATCATCTCCCCACTTCATCCCTTGTAGAAGAGGTCGCTATGGTGGCCGTTATGCGAGAATGTCGAAGCTTGATGACTGTCATTGATGATGCTCACAACAACTATACCCGCAACCCGCGGAGGTCGGCGATAGCACACGTAACTAGGTCGAGTGGCATAAGGGGGTGAACGGAGCTCACCCATCGCGAACGAGCCGCACGGATGAAGGATTTGTATGGGTTCAGGTCACTTGGGGGGAACACGCGACGTGAATCACGTAAATGGTCGCATGTCGCAACTTCTCTAGGACTAATAAGTGATTGGTATAGAGCGCGGGGTGTCAGGGCTAGTTCTAGACAGAATCAACGATGAGTGATAGTCCTTGTTTAGGTTACGAGCATAGGCTTGGCCTATTTAAGAGGTAAGTACAGTGTCATACGAGTAGTCACATGGTTTCCCATCTCTACGGAGTAAGCCATGATTAAGCCGTAAGCCGACCAGTTGTTCATGGTATTTGAGAATCCTGCTGTGGCCAAAGACTGTCTTTACCTTTTCAACGAGTCATGAACGTCCATTTTTTCTTTCCACGGTGGAGTTCTCGTATTCGCGAGCCTTGGCGTTGAACACATCTTGACTGAGCCTTCCCTAATCTGGGCCGAGGTCGCGAAGTTATGGGAACAGGGCAGGTACGAAGTTACGGATCTGTTAGTTGGAGAAAGTGCAGCCTATTGGGATTTGACAGATGACATCGATTAGTACTTTTACGCAATAATCACTTGTACTCTATATCGCATTACTGAATGATGCCGTGATTATCAACTCCGGAAGTGGCACACCCGAAGAAATGTTACACGAAGTGAGGTTTGCTTGAGAGATAGACTTTGGATCTGGTGGCTTGATGCTCTGACCACCAAATTAAGGTTTCCAGGCCATGCTGGTATCACCCTATCTTCTCGCACGGGCCACCAATCTGCAAGGTGAAATCGGATCGACTGCGTATAGGCGTGCTCAACGTTATATCGTAATCCTCGTGGCGTGCGTGGGAGGGCATGCGCTCGGTGACAAAGAGTTGAGTTACGAGAAGGAGAAGCATATTTAAACCACGCCAAGGTTAGTCGATGGCTACATCTCCTGTGTTCGAAACTATTTGTAGGACCCTACGCATGATTCGTCAGACCAGGACTTGTCGGATCCGTCGGTTTTGGGTGGATGTTGATGTGGTTCGGGTGGGTTCTTGTGCCCCATGTATCCATGCGTGTCCGGAAATCCTTTTGTGACATTTCCGTGTACTGTGGCACTCTAGCCAACTCACCTCGTCTCGCGCGTAAATTGGCAGTGACCATACAAGCAAATGTCACGAGCGCCGGCGTCCAAGGCTGAACCTAGGAAAGGCGTTGGATTTTGCAACTCGCGGTCTGAACCCAGAGGATGGGGAATTTTTTTCATTCTGTTAGAGATGCAAGGTGGCCACTGCGACCATTTGGATTAAAGGAAAGAGCGATCAATCGATATGGAAGCACGGATTAACCGTTACGCCGAGGCATATGGGGATAGAATTATTACCTAGATAGACATGGTAGGCACATCGATCGGCTGATACGTACGCTAGGCAGCCCTTAAGGCATGCAGGTTGCCTTGGCGGGAGTGTGTGGTAGCCTGGACTTACCTACATACCTAGGCCGAGGGGCATTTGGGCACCTAAGTTCTAGGAGAGGATACAGTGTGCAGACCTTAGTGGACGTCTGATCTAGGTAAGTACTGAGGCTGCCGTGCCTGCCTACCTATACCTAACCTGGCAGCTTGGATCTCTTCACCCACGCACACACATAATTTTTGAGCCAAATTCCCAGAAGGAAAGTCGATACCTGAGGTGTTGAGTAGGTATCTGTGACATGCGGACATACATACACAGATATGCAGTGCATCCTCATACAGTAGATAACACACGACAGAATCAAGACATGCACCCAGATGTCCCTGATCGCCCGTCTTTTCCCTCCCTTGGTGGAATTTAGTGTTGTCCAGGCCTGGTGTTGTTGCAGGATAAGGCGTAGCAGCAAGCACCACCTGCCCCTCAATGGCCTCCAAGAATGTCACTTTACTCCGTACACTTGGGTCCCCACCACGGCGACTGATCGCCCAAAGGCTCCATAAGCCCGATGAGCACGGAGGGTGCCCCGTCACCCCGTTTTGTCTTACCTCGGTGCATCTGCAACCCTGAGGTCGACGGTAACGGAGGTACAAACTCCGATTTGACCGCTGCCGTTAGCGACACCAGTCCGCGCCATTACCGAGAGGAAGAAGCGGAAGATATTGGGTATTGGGTGGCAAGGGCATGAGACGTTGAGAGCTAAGAGTTGAATGATTTGGAGGTAAAAGGGATTAGACTTTTGATCGCAGTTCTTCATCGAAATCTATACCTATATTCAATCACACACATAGGTATATGCGTCCAGGAGCCAAGTGAAAAATAGGTATGTATTTAGGTGGTCCAGTGAGCAAATTAGTGGGCATCGAAAAGATCTGACTTGGGCCAAGGGCCATTGACATCTTCTGGGGCCGAGCGGCTTGTACTTGGGCATACCCATAGGCGCAGGTGTACGCGATGTCGAGTATGTGCAAATTGTACCAAGGGAGCTTCGGGAGCCATAGCCGTTGTTGGAGCCCGAAGGATGCTGTGCTGGGGGCAAGTGTAAGCGGTCGTGGCTGTGACTGGTGCCACCAGTAATTAATGGTGCATTGGTGAGTGCGCCTCTGTCCCCAGGACGCCTCGGGCCTCATGGCCCCTAGGTGCTTTCTCCGCCGTCACGAGTCCAGGCGGCTCTGAGGAATATTCCGGCGATGCGCGTCCGTGGCCGGGCCAGGGCCCCCAGCGCCCCCAGGACCACAAGAACCCAGCGCCCGCGTTCGATGCAAAGGTCTAGAATGGCGAATGGCGACTGACGAGTGGCTTCACGTCCCAAACTTCTGGGGACTCGTGGGACTGCAATGCAACTGCAAAATGCTGCAGAGCTGCAGAGCTGCAGTTGGTTCGTCGTTCATCGTTCGCCTCCGGACCCTTCCCCTTCGCCTTCGCCTTCGCCTTCTTCGCTTTCTTCGGGATTTTCCTGCATCTTGTTTCTGGTTTCTGGTTTGTGCCTGAACTCGTTGGTCTGTTTTCTCTGTTAGCCTGTTGATCTGTTGGTGTTGGTCTGTTGGTCTGTCTGCCTGTCGCCCTTCTCCCTCTCCACCCACAATCCTCATCTGACTCGGCCGCCGACACAAGACCATCAAACATGACGATCCACCCCATCAACACGCAACCAACAGCCCGTACAGACCTATCGGCAATCTCCTCAAACCTTGCGACTTTACCATGATTCCACCCTAGGCCATTTGCTAGCGACGTTGTATCATCTCAATCGCGCACCCTCCTGCCGATGCGCGGGTCACGGGTGTTAAAATTCTTCCCTCTACTTTCTGTTCACTCGACACACCATCTCTTTCCGCGCCAGAGACAACCTTTCCCAGCGTCACCATCGTTAACCTCACATCGTTACCGCCTTGTTCGCTTCCTCCCTGGCCCTCCACCACTTGATTTACTGCGTCACCATACTCTCTACTCATCCTCCCCTCTTTCCTCATTAACGTCCAATCGGCCTCGCAGACATTGGTTGTTTTCTTGACGAGGCCTCTTGACGACTGTTCGGACGCCCAGCGATTGTCCTCCCAGTCCACTGTGGGTTCTGGTGCTTGGTTCATTCTCCCACTCTCTCTCTGGCTGTATTGCTCTGTGAGCGTTGGGTAAAGACAAAGGTGTGACGTATAGTAGATGGTTGATGGGCTCCCAAACAGACTCCCACGTACCATCATGAAATCAACATCAGACAACGCCAGTTTGTCACCACCCATGCGAGCGTCCCCTACCGGCTTCATCAAGCCTGTTAACCACCTCCCCATCTCTCGCCCAACCAGTTCGACATGGGAAAAGCCTGAGCGTGCTCGTACCAGCCATGCCTGTGAGCCATGTCGCGAACGCAAAACAAAATGCGACGGCGACCGTCCTTCATGTAGGAGATGTATACACACTGGGACTTCATGCCACTATGGTTACGGCAAGGGTTGGCGGAAGCGCAAGTGGGTAGCCCCGATGTCCCTCTCAATTTCTCCATCAGCCATCTGCTAACTCTCTCTGCTCACCAGGACTGCCGAAGATCTCACTGCTACTTCTCGGCGCCTCGCTAGATATGAGACTTTGCTGAGCCAGATCATTCCACTGGTATCGAATGAGGTCAGGGTTTTGATTGAGGATGCACGAGACCTGGTAATTCTTCCTCGCCTATACGATGCTGTATTCTTGAAATATGTACTAAGTCGAGAAGCAGGATACCGCTACGTCCAATTGCTCCGAGACCACGGAACCGGAACCGAATTATCATCCTCCCTCGCTTCCTGGCATCAAATCCGAGTCAAACTCCAGCTCGGGGAGCCGGCCATTGTTGCCGTTTCCTATTCCCAGTACTTTGGCTCCCACCATCTCACGCTCTTCCAACTCATCTGGCACATATGACTCGGTCACATCTTCAAGTGTGCCTCCCTTGACACCCACCCCAGCACCTCAAGGCACTATCTCGCCGGACACATCCTCTCTGACACGACTTCCCTCCATTACACCGGATGGAGTGCTCATCGAAGAAGGATCTCCCCCTCGGTCACAACTGCCCAATGATCCAAAGATACATGATCCAAAGTTAGCCACTGGACTAGACCGTCTGGTTGCTCTTCCAACCTCGCCAAACAATACAAGGTCATCTGGAGGTTTGTCTACCTGCCATATCACTATTCGGCTCACTTGCACTGACATTGAGCGCAGATGCGCTACGAAATCCGTTCTCTGTAGGATGACAGCTATCCCCGAGCATCTACATCTGACCCAGTCGAGGCGGATCTAGTGTCCGCACTTTTACCAAGACAATCCATCGTCATTATGATTACAGGATCCGCAACCTGCCTGCCGCGCACTACATCCACTACGTTATCATAATAAGCGAAGCCCCCCATCTCTCCCGGAAGATGGGATCTCGGCAATTCGAAGCTTGCACACAACATCCGAGGTTGAACTTCTGCATGGACGATCTGCAGGTCCAATGGGCCCCTTTCGGAGAACTGCGAATTGCCCGGATTTTTACCCCCACAAGCCATGCATTTGTTCAGGGATGTCAGGATGGCTTTGATGTCCGTGCAACCATGGAATTGTGCAACATGGCCATGCTTTGGCTGATCCACCGAAGTCGCCTCCAAATCAATACGATCGTCGAGAATGATTTGCCACGAATTCGCAACGAAGTGACAAGTGGGTGTCAATTGTGAAGTTGGATGCAGGTGTGGCAGGGTACCAGAGCAGTCCTTGCGCTTTTCGGATCAAAACGGCCGCTCCTTCCCCGCCAATTCTCCGTAGTGGAATCTGATTGGCTATCTCGGCACAACTCTCCCTTCCCATCTCGTTTTGCCACGGAGATCCCATCCCAGCCATTCACGTCACAAGGCCAGGCAGGGCGTCGCCTGTTCCCTCAGCTCAAGGTAACGTGACTTTCCCGATGCCCACAGCTTCCTAGGATACTCATGGGTTTGATGCTTGAGAACAGTCTCACAGTGTGTGTCACTTGTGCATGCCGATCCCCCACCACTATGTCGTGCACCTAGACACACTGACACAGTTGTCTAGCCACCCAGCCGAGAGGTGGTGACAGCACCTTTTGGGAAGCTGAACAACCCCTCACTACTGTCGCAGATTGTCAGCAGCCTAGGCATTGTATCTTTCGAGATGGATGATCCAACTCAAAGCTCAACGTCAGATTAGGACACTTATATATATCACTCAAAGAATCGAATGATATTGATTACACCTGCATCTGCTTATACGCAGAGAGGGTTGACTATCATGCTACCTGTCCTCCTGCGCCCTGACCTTGTCAACTTTTCTCATTTTATGGACTTAGTTACTGAACTATGGTTGAAGTTATTGTTAGCACCCGTTCGAACAGGTGAATGAGGTCTGCAACGCCAATCGAGATTGGCGAGATTGGCCATCGGTATTTGTGACAAGAGACTTTGCAAGTCCAGCAGTCGCCAATGCGTTTGCAACATGTCTTTTGAGTGTACGCGACAGCCTTGACTAACCTTGTCTGGGACTTTCTTGCCCGTGCTTGACTCAAACATATTGCGCGCCTTGTCGGTGATCTTTTCATTCGTGTTGCGTTGGGCTGCGGGGTCGATTTTGCCTGCAAGTGTCCAAGTCAGATAATATGTCCATGAAACTAATCATCAATCCATCTATCTTCCACAGGCTCTTTGTCCTTCTTTGCGGTTGAGAGAATCTACTTTGATCGACTTACCCTGGCCAAACTTCTTCTCTACTGCATCAAGGCCTGAGAGTGCCATGAGGTCAGCGAAGGTAACATGCCGAGAAAGACCAATCTCACACACCTTTGTCGAGGTAGTCCTCCTTGGGTCCTTGTCCTTGTTGATTGTTCATGTTGTTCATCTTGGTCAAAGTTGGCTACAAGACTTTTTCGTAGAGATATTGTCAAACTAAAAACAAGTTGAGTATTGAGATGAGAAGATTCCTCACAACAACACTAACTAAGCATCCACGGCATCTCACATATATATTCCACTCCAAGGTTCTGAATTGCTAGATAGCCGCTACAGGACATACAAATTTACGCACATGCCCCATTGATCGCTCTGATGCTTGCACTTCTTATTTTCTACAATCTCTCTAACTGGCCTGAGAGATACTCGCAGTGGTGCAAAGGACGCCTGATCTGGAGTGATATTGGATGTGATCATCGATACTTTGAGACCATTACATCATACCACCGCAAATTGACTAGGATTCGGGGTTCAGCGAGCTGAACGAACCTGGGATGATTCCATGGCCTGGACTTGGAGTCGCACAAATCGTCGATAATATGGCCAGCATCGATCCTAAAGCGTCCACCTCATCGTCACCAACGGCATGGGCTCGAGCAGAGTTGCAACCTTAAACTGTACCTAGTCCCATGCTGACGACTTGTTGGTCCTCAGAGCTACCTGATCAGCCAAAGAGAACACGGACAAAGGGGGACTGCTGCGCGATGACGCTCAACAGAAAACAAGATTCCACTCAAGCTGTGCCAAGCTTCTGCAAAGAGGATCATCACGTGAATTCTCATGACTTCACGTGACTTCGTACGCTATTCCTCTTTGGTAACTCGCTACCAAAACCTGAAACTGTTCGACTTTGACGCGACGTCCGTTGCCCTGAGTGCCCTACTGAGGTTCTCCAGATCTTGTCTCATGTCTCATCTCTTCGCACCATCCCTCGGCCTTGCTGTTCTCCGTCTTGGACTCTAGGATCTGCCCGTGCGACAGCACCCCTTTGGGGTCCCTTGCAGGCCAAGAATCCTCCAAAAGACTGGCACGTGTCTCACCTACAAACCCCCTTATCCCCAATCTGGCTACGAAGCCCCCAACGATCAGGCTTCTCATCTAATTTCATACCCAATCGGGCAGATACCTCTGAGATGACATGCCCACTTCCGAACCGGACGAGGCTGTTAGTGCTGGCGTACGGAGCGACCTCAAATTGAAGGTCTACGGAGCGCAATGAGAAACGGCTCTGTGACCGTAGATCGCCCCGTCTCTCTCAAGCGAGTGTCTACCCCTCAAAAACCCTAGGTATACGCCAAGTCGTGAGATCTCTCCGGTAGCCTCTTGTGGTCGCAAACCAGGCTCGGATGTTAACGCCTCGGACACCCCCAGGTGGCGGAAAGCCTGACTGATGGATCCACGCGAGCCTCGTTCAGCAGAGATTTTGCGCCGAGCCTCGTTGGCGGTGTTTTGCCTGGGGGATGGGGTCTCTCGTTGATACAACGCCGTTCTGCTGATTGAAACGGCATCTCTTCTATCCGGTGTCACAATTTGAAGGTGAGCCGTTCGTGATCGATCTCGGATGTTGTCCTTTCCATCAAGGCTTGCTCGGCAGCATCACTCGTCTTGATGACTATTTAACAGGTTCGTCTACCCCGTCTGTAGACATTTCTATCATCAACAACTTTCATCCTACCTTCATTTCATTTCAAGGCTTTTGACAAGTCTCTTTCCAATCCTTTTTCACGGCTTTTGACAAGTCTTTCACTTCTTACTGTGCCGGTCACTCCCATCTATTCAATCAGCATTTGCCAACTTGAACACAAGGAAATCCTCCTCCCCCCAATCATTACCCCAAGATTTCAAGATGAAAGCATTCACTTTCGCTTCCGTTGCCACATTCTTTGCCGGCCTCACTCTGGCCCATCCAGTTGACCTGGAAACACGCAACATTGGTTTTGGTGTTGGTGGCGGCCGTGGTGGTTTGAACCAGGTTGACATCAACATTCTCCAATTTGCCCTCACTCTTGAGCATTTGGAGAATGCCTTCTACCGACATGCCTTGAGCATCTTCACCCTGCAAGATTTCTTGAACGCAGGGTTTAGCCACGACTTCTTCCTGAATCTGCAATTCATCGCTTCTGATGAACGCACCCACGTCGACGTCATTCACCAGACCATCTTGGGAGCTGGTTTCCAACCCGTGCTCCCTTGCAACTACAACTTCCCCATCACCGATATCGCGTCTTTCGTTACCTTGTCTGCAATCCTCGAATCGGTCGGTACTTCTGCCTATCTTGGCGCAGCTCCATTCATCCAAAGCAAGGACATCCTCGGCGTCGCTGGTTCCATTCTCGGTGTTGAGGCTTTCCACACTTCGATCCAGCGAGTCAGCTTGGGTGCCATTGGTGCTCCAGACCCATTCACCACTCCCCTCGGTGCCAATGCCATCTTCACTCTCGCCTCTCAGTTCATTGTCTCGTGCCCGGCCCAGAACCCTGCTCTGCCCTTCCGAGCCTTCCCCGGATTGGCCGTCATTGGCAGTCAAACTTGCTTCCGTGAGAATGTCTTCGCTGGCCAGAACATTGCTGCCTCGTTCGGTGTCATCCCAACTGCCAGCATCGGAATTACCGTGTCCACCGTTGGTACCGAAGTCCTGAGCTTCGAGACTTCAACCACCACTATCGACACTGCGCTTGAGACGGCTGCTGTGACTACCGATCTTGCTGCCGCCACCACTACCGTTGAGAGCGTTGTTACTGAGACTGCTACCGATGAAGCCGCCGAGAGCACTGCCGCTGCTAGCTCGACCTCATCTGCCGAACCTGCCATCATCACTGGAGATGCCGCCAAGCGAGATCTCGAGGTCCGTCAAAACAGCATCTCTTGCCCTGCACCATTTGCCGGATCCACCATCCAGCTGAGACCTGACTTTGGAGCTTCGCGCCGAAACTTCCGTGGTGTTAACCAGTTCTTTGTCACTTTCGTCTCTGGACTCAACATCATCTCCGTGGCCGCACAGATCAACGGTGGAAACCTGATCGTGGTCATCCCTCGCGGCATCGCCGGTCAAGCGTTCATCTTCGTCACCATCAACAACATCACTGGCCGCCAACTCCGAGACCAGGATATCCTGTTTGGTCCCTCCATCTTCGAAGGTACGTCATCGCATCGAAATTTTATGAAAGAATCACGAACTGACAGACTATAGTGGCCCCTGGCTTCCCTTCATTCTAAGCGTCACTAGTGGTATTATTGCATAGCGAAAGACCCCCAAGCATTTGAAGAAAAAAAGGAAAGAATAATGCTGCGCTCAGGCCCGCATGGTTGGGGAGAGGTGGTACGGTACAACTTGGCTGGTTTGGACCCCCAATTTTTTCACCTTCTTGTCCGTCATTTACGAAAGTTTATTACTTTGTCGATTATTTTGGAGCTATGTCCGCCTACTGTTTTTCAATTGTTGTCAATAAGACAAGAGATGCCCCCTACACATGTTTGATCACATCAAGAGCGGGGCTTGGTGTGCAGTCTTGGAGCATTTAGAGATTCGCATGTGTCGATGGGAACGAGAGTTACAAGCAGCGGCGAGACATGGGTTCACCAGTCCGGTTGGAAGAAGTTCTTTGTTGAAGATCAGGAGAAGGTGGAATTGAATCAGTGGAAATATCTTGGAATTGGGGAAAGATGACGGGGGAGGAGGATCTACATTGTTTTGAGGAGGTAAAAAAAGACAAAAGTACCGAGTTCTCTCAACGAAAGGAAAGACCTACCTAACGTTGATTTTGAGATTGAGAATTTGAACTAGAGTTGAAGTGCTCACGGGTCTCATACCCGGCACACTCTAAAGTATTGAAATGAAGACCAGCATTTTTCGAAAATCGGGGCATCCTGTGTGTTGTGCCTTTGGTGATTCAATCTCACGTCAGTATATTGTTGCGCCGGAATTTGATAATGATTTGGCATCGTCGCTTCTCGAGACAACCAATTTCCTCTAAACAAAGGATTGCGGGGTTTCAGAATCTGAGATGATGGCTGAAACCAAGACACGCCTCGTGCCTTACTTAGCAAGACGACGACACTAGGGGTTAGGAATTCTCCACACCTAACGAAATCCATGAGGAGTAAAGCGGAACAGCCTCTATCCGTTGGCCTTGTTACCATGGTCGCATCGCATCGCACGGTTCAATCCGGACAATAGCCCCGTCTATAATTTTGTCAGTAGTCTGACTTGCCTCGAGGGATGGAGCCTCTCTGTTCGCATCGGTTATCAATGGAGGATCATGTGAAGGCCACAACTGAGAGGCCGCATCTAACACCAGCTAAATATTCTGCCACTGACGCTTACTATTGATAGACGAGGTAGATCCGTAGAATGCGCTGGTACGGAGACGGCTTCATGTCCCCGAGCTCACAGTGCCTTCCCCATGTGTCCATGCAGGTTCCTGACCATTCATTCATCTCTGATTGGTCTGTGCATATTCAGCAACCCCTCGTTCTCGGCCTGGACGCCGATGCAACCGACATCACCATCATGGTTGGCCTCTCCAAACGTGGGGAAATCTATCAACACGCACCATATCACACAAGTGAATTGTTGTCTTTCCCTGCATTCTGATTTCTCTTACCGCCCAGATATATCTTTAATCACTTCTTAGCAACTTGACTCCGTCTCAAATTAGGCCACTGCCAGAGCTCCAAGGACTGGCCCGGGAAATTAACGATCAAAATACAGAATAACAACGACGACGAACCACGACAACAACATCCATATCGTTAATCATGGACGACAAAGGCGGCTTCCAAGAGCCTCGCTACCTCGAGTTTGTCCGCTCGTCCTCACCAACTGGATTCGATGGCAAACCAAAACTCAACCGTTACTCAACTCATCTAACCCGTGGTCATGACTTCCCCGGTGCTCAAGCTATGTTGTTTGCCGCTGGCATTCCCGATCGAGAGGCCATGCAGAATGCTCCTCACGTTGGAATTGCCAGTGTGTGGTGGGAAGGGAATCCATGCAACATGCACCTTCTCGACCTCGGAAAAGAAGTTAAAAAGGCCGTCCAGGCTCGTGGAATGCTTGCCTGGCAGTATAACACCGTCGGCGTCAGTGATGCTATCACCATGGGCAACCAGGGGATGAGGTTTAGTCTGCAAACTCGAGAGATCATCGCCGACTCTATCGAAACCGTCACTTGTGCTCAGGCACATGATGCCAACATCACCATCCCAGGTTGCGACAAGAATATGCCGGGAGCAATCATGGGAATGGCCAGACACAACCGTCCTAGTCTGATGATCTACGGTGGTACCATCGACAAAGGCTACAGCAAGTTACTTCGCAAACCAGTCAATGTCGCCACATGTTATGAAGCTTTCGGTGCATACCAATACGACACTCTAAAACAGCCCACAGATGACGGTGGCGACACTTCCAAGACAAAGGATGAAATCATGGACGATTTAGAAAAACACGCATGTCCAGGCGCTGGTGCCTGTGGGGGAATGTACACCGCCAACACAATGGCCACCGCCATCGAGACCATGGGTCTCACCTTGCCTGGTTCTAGCTCTTCGCCGGCAACATCCCCTGCCAAGTTACGAGAATGTGCAAAAGCTGCAGATGTCATCAAGACTTGTCTTGAGCTCGATATCACTCCAAAGAAACTCCTCACTAAACGTTCATTTGAGAATGCCCTCGTCATCACAATGGCATTAGGTGGCAGCACCAACGCAGTCCTTCACTTCCTTGCAATGGCCGTCACTGCTGGCGTTCCGTTGACGTTAGACGACTTTCAAAGAGTCAGCAACAAGATCCCATTCCTAGCTGATCTCGCGCCTTCAGGACAATTCTACATGGCAGACCTCTACGAGATCGGAGGTGTGCCTAGTGTACAGAAATTCTTAATCGCAGCAGGTCTGCTTGATGGCGGTATTCCGACCGTGACCGGGAAAACACTGGCTGAGAATGTCGCCAACTGGCCAAGTCTGCCTCAAGACCAGGTAATCATCAAGAGTCTCGCATCGCCCATCAAATCATCAGGACATATCCAGATTTTGAGGGGTAACTTTGCTCCTGCGGGCGCAGTCGCCAAAATCACTGGAAAAGAAGGATTGAAATTCGTGGGCAAAGCAAGGACATTTGACAAGGAAGTCAAACTGAATGAAGCTCTAAACCGAGGCGAAATCCCACGTGGTGAAAACCTCGTCCTTATTGTCCGATACGAAGGACCTAAAGGTGGTCCTGGAATGCCGGAACAACTCAAAGCCAGTGCTGCGATTATGGGTGCCAAACTCACTAATATCGCATTGGTGACCGACGGTCGGTATTCTGGGGCAAGCCACGGGTTTATTGTTGGCCACGTCACACCAGAAGCCGCAGTCGGAGGACCTATTGCTCTAGTGGAAGATGGAGATGAGATTACCATCGATGCCCAAACCAACTCGATCAGTATGAATGTCAGTGATGAAGAGCTCGAGGCTAGAAGGAAGAAATGGTCGCCTCCACGAATGGTGGTAACTAGAGGTGCTCTGGCCAAATATGCGGCCTTGGTCAGTGATGCGAGCCATGGTGCCGTGACTGATTTGTTTTGATATAGTAAGTAGCGGTATCTTGTAGTTATCCCCACCCGAATGGAAGAATGTCACCTGCATAATATCAGATCCCTTCCTAATGTCGGTTTTGATATAAGCTGATCCGCTCTTTCTTTTCATTCGCAGATCAAGAGTACGAACCAAGACCCGTGACGAGGCCCCCATCTCCCAAAGAGGGATATCATGAGACTCAGCCTCGTCCACGCACTCACCCACCCTCTCGGACCTCCATAGCCACGTCTTCCACTAAGGATAAACTCCGGCTTACTCTGAAAAGTCCTTAAGTTCATCTTCTCTTGGACCAAACGACCCTCCTCCGGCACTACTGATCATCAGACTTCCGGTGATCAATTAATACCTTGCAAACCATGCACCGGTGTTCCTACGAAATGTGGGTCACTCCGAACCAACCGCTTATACGAGGTTCCGTGTCGTGTGGTTCACCAACCAACCAACGAACCACCACTCATTGTTTTCCGCTGCGCCCTGCATTTATTCGTTTGCCTGTTGCAGGCGACTGAAGAGAACCGACAGACGGATAGAAAAACACGTCAAGTTTATTTAAGCTAAGCATAAGGCAACCATACGGACGATCGCCTCACCATCACCCACATCTAGAGCGGAGCCCCTAAAACAACCTTTGCCTGGCGATCTGGGTGAGGACCTCGTTGATCGATCGTTCCCCATATCGTTCCCCATATTAAGTATAAGTATATATATTTCCTTCTGCCTTGCATAAACTCGTTTCTTCGATAGGTGTCGAATGCTTTCTTTCTTGCATGCTTGCAGGTGTATTCTTTGTGCCTGGGAATATAAAATACGTTCTGTCGAGATATTGAGCGGTATTCCATCAACAACATCAACACTAAGTATATCAATATTGTTCGTGGGGTCCTAACAACTAGATACATGATGAATATACTAAATCTCCATACAACAGATCACCTACCTACCTACATCAACGACAACAATACCCACAGCCACAGCCAGCATCAACGTATAAAAATGGACAACTACGACCACAACTCTAGCCCCGCGATACTGTCCCAATCACCGTCACCGTCACCGTCACCACCTCGATCCTCATCTCAATCACGAACCCCCCGACGCCCACAATACACCGCCAACATAGGCATCCGACGACGAGGCTACTGGCCACCTGAGGCAAACTACGACGACTTTCACGTTGAAATTCCCCCTTCCCCAGTTCTGGAGAAAGTCGCTCTTACAATCATGTGTTCCTTCTTTGTGATCCTGCTCATCCTCGAGATCTATGTCGGTGTGATCTTGGTGTTTTGGTCCGTCATGCCGGAGTCGTTGGATGCGCATGTCAGGGTTTTGAAAGCGACGTTTTTTTGAGCGTGTGGTTGGCAAACGTATAACATTCTCCTCTGGTTGTCGATATCATACCAAACACCAAACACCAAACTACAACCCACTACCCACAAACTACAAACTACCAAACCAACGAGTTGATTACTTCAACATCATGGTCTGGGTTCGGAACAGACATCACTCACAGTCCTCCCCCTCCTTGTACGAGTTTTAGTCTTAGGGGTTTGCATCACTTGCAAACGGTCTTGTGTCACTTATGTATGCACCAGGCGAGCGATAAAATGGGCTGATTTGGTTAACGAACTCAGGACTTCAACCTCAACCATTTCCAGCAACATCAACGGAACTATCAAAACCCATATCACCAAAACGTTCATCACCAGATTTTGACACACATAGAAACATACGGCAAGCGCCCAATTTGGAACACATCAGCCACAATCAAACACCATGGATCCCACCGAGCAAAGCACATCAATTGTTTCAGTCATTGCAACACCAGGGCATACAGATGCAAACGCCCAGACTGTGTTGGGAAAGTTAGGAATCACAATTCTGGGATTTGTTGTTGGATGTATTTTAGGGGTTGTTCTCTTCTTCGCTTGTCCCACGAAGGAACGGGATTGGTTACGAGCAGAGATGCGTCGGCATCGGAATCAAAGACGGTTCTTAGCTGAAGGGACTGGATTGAATGCAGTTGGAAATTCACATGGAGATGGAGATGGAGATGGAGATGCAGATGCAGATGTGCCTTTGCGGCAACGACTAGTGCATCCAGAGAGAGAAGGGGTTCAGGAGGATGGAGGAGCGAGGTTGAGATAAAGCCCAATCATAGAGGTCACGTTTGCAACTTCTCATAGTGTCTCTGAGATTAGATTCGAGCCGTTGTCTGTCTGTGTTTGCTTCAGGGAGCTGGGAGTCAGTACTATTCGAGGGTCTCATCATCACGATGCACCATCGTGAGTCCAAAGTCGTTGGGACCTCTTTTCCGGTTGCATCCCTAAGAATCACTGCTAGTTATTCATGTTCACGGAAAACGACAGTCGGAGTCTGACTGCTTCGACAACCCAATAGAAAAAGGAAACATCTCCACGGGAACCGAAGTTGAATTTCCTTACCATCCAACAACAACCCATACCATACTGGTGTCGAAATTCAGGACAAAGCAACTCACATTGAACCAAGCCAAAGACAATAGTCCCCATCATATCACCACATCATTATCATTATCATCGTCATGGTCAAAAACGAGACCTCATCCGATAACGATCCCCCAATCAGTCCCTTCGCATATATAGCAATGGCCTTCGTGGGAATAACCATGGGGTGTGTGGTAGGACTTTGCATGTGGATGACCTTCTCGCGTCGCTTTGAAGGTCGAATGAGAGGACAGATGCCCTTCGCAGACGATCGACTGAATGGAAATCCACGACGTGAAGAACATGGAGCCGAATTGCGGCGATTAGATTAAGCAGAGTAGGTAATTGTTGGAGATTAGAACTTGTTACAACGCTAGTGAGATGAAAGGATGGATGTCTCTTTTACTTAGGTCGATGGAAAAAGTATTTGGTCTGTCGTTAGTCAGCTGTCTCGTTTGTTGAGACATATCAACTTGAAGTAGATATGAGTAGGTACCTACTAGGTATGTATCATGATTTCGCTTCGCAGCCGGAAGTTGAAGCCAAGTCGAATATTCAAATATGAGACACTTTTGAGACCTACGAGTAGATCGTAGATTGAGGGCATTCGATCCACCTTGATTCATCAAGCATCGGATATGCGACTGGGAGATCTTTCGTAAGAAGACGTGAACTGGAGAGACACAAACTCATTCATTTTCAGTCTCGTTGTCAACTCGGACATCTTTCTGCTGGTTCAGATTTGAATTTGTTATTTTGTTTAATCCATGAGCGTTCACGATCAATTGGTTTAATTTTTATTTTACGAACCCAGCAACCCGGACTCAAAGTCGTGATCGCCACACCCTGGTCGACTTTGACTTTGACCTTCACATATGGCACATCTCATGACACCACCGGTCATCGGTGCAATAGCCATTGCCGGAGTGGCGGGTGCGGGCGCCTTCATCTTACTCGCAGCATGGCTCGTTAGCATGACAATCCGATGTCGCCGGCGGAAGGAGGGCAAGCAGGTCGATGCAGAAATTGCACACAAGACAATCCAAGATGTGGATTCGAGTCTCGGAGAGGACAAACTCCGAATGACAGGTAAGTCCATGGCGGCGGCTGACAGGAGCTCTATGGTTCAAGAAGCGAGATGGTTGATACATAGATATGTCCAGGGTACTTAATGGTGAAATGAATTGAGGTAGCATTGATCGACTATCAAAGTGCCTCGGGAAATTTCTGGTGGCTGTTTCAGGATGGTTTCGAAGCTGGTTGACGGATTTCCACAGGCTAGGAGTCTTGGGTCTTGGACGACCACAAACAGAGTGTCTTCGGGACGAGGTTTTGTATTTGGGCACTGGTGTCTGAGCCCTTACAGGTTGCTCTATCTGATTTCGGAGCGGGCCAACTTCATCTGGCATACCCAGCTTCCGGGCGGGAGAAAATATCCTGCGAGCCATGTATCGTGTGGGTGACTTACACGAGTATTCCCAGCGCTACTCTCCATCCAGTGAGCCACTAATAGAGGTCGATTCGTCAAGCATGAGTTCAAGTATGCAGACAAATGACAGAAATCATCCGGTCCATGAAAGGATGGCTTCCGCTGCTCAAAACCTCGGTACTCAGCTCGAATCGGTTACTTTGAGAGGGCGCCTTGAGTGGTTCTTTCGTTTGCTCGTGCCCTGAATGATAACCACTTTTGTCAGTGGACTGGAGAGATCTAGGCCGACGCCAGCAAGCCTCTGCTTGCGTACAGTTGGTTGCTGTTCTCACAAGCTCAAGGACCTTTCCCAGAACCACCATTGAGAAAACGCCGAGCAGTCCATCCGCTGCCATGCTCGAGATACTCTTCTCTGGTGACTCCATACTCCCTAACTATCTCGGGAAACTTGCTGGCCATCCGTGCGCCACCTAGCCATGTTGACTTGATTGGGTCAGTTTGACTCCTGACACGGACCTGCCATTCGGTCTTGAATCGACTACGTAATTCTGCTTCCAGTCTGGAGTTGAAGCCTGGAATCTTAGCACATCCACCAACCACTAGCACGTTGCTCAACATGGTGGCTTGCATGAGCGGAGGAAGAACACTCATTGATTGCATAATGATATCCGCGACGCCAGGTTGCTTCGATCCAACATCTGACGGAGAGAGAAGGATTTCTGGGACTGAAAAACGTTCATTCCCCAGAGTCATGGAGATTTCGGAGTCGTGCGCATTCGGATGGAGGAGAGAGGCTTGTTTACGCTTCTTTGCCGCAGGTGTGGAATCATGAGGCCGTGAGAACCCTCGAAGGAGGTGTACGCCATCCGGGAGGACATAGTCAATGCGGATGTCAGATGGAGCCTGGTCACCTGGCATTTTCACGGCCAAAGAACTCCTTTGTGGTTGATTGGCCTTCCAAGTCTTCTCGAGGTCATGGTGGAAGTCGGTGCTGACGAAGCACACATCCTCTTTGATGTCGTTGACTATCTTGGTATCTTGATGAAGATCGAAATGCCGTACGGAGATGATTTCTTTCAGCAGATTAGTCAAGTGTTTACCGCCTAGTTCAAGCCTTCGGATCGCGCGTTGCAAGGGTCTCCCATTGAATAAAGGTGTCACGGTGGTATGACTGTAGCCACTGTCAACCACCAAGAGGCATTCCATGGGTAGATCGGGTTGAGCTGGGTCGAGAGTTGGCGCTTCTTCGAAGAGGGGGTGCAAATCGTTATACGCGTTGAGAGAGGATGCTATTTGTGATGAGTTGATGGCCTTTCAAATTTGACGACAGAGGGTGCGTACCTACCGATCATCCTTGTGTAGCCACCAAATTGCCATTCCTCCATGATAATTTCATCGGCATTTTTCTGCAACGCAGCCATAGTGTTTGGAGGTTCGGTGAAGACCAGAGTAGTTTCCTCGGGACTTTTAATCCAAACATCCTTGTGAGTGGTGTGTTCATCGAAGAAGGAGCGATCCCAAATCTCCTTTTGCGCCTCCCAGCTGACAACCTGACCATTCTCAACCGGACGACGATAGTGTGCTTCGCTCCATTGTGAGATGCCTTGCGCTTCGGCGCCAACGTATGTTTTCCTGTCACGCGTCTTTATGAGGGCGTTCGGGATCGTATGACAACCGGCGAGGGCGTCTGTGTCTGAAGCGGACCGTGCAGGCGCAAATCCGGCCTTGATGTTGTATGCGCCATTGTCAAGGACAAACGTCTTAGCGGGGAGGCCAGGTACAGCTCGCGCGGATGCTCTGGAAGTTCGAGGTGCCATATCAGTCTTTGCTGGAGGAGTCCATCTCCTGCAACTTCCCGGGGTTGGAGGAGTACGGCGAGAGGTGTATGCAATGGTGAACCCACGTAATTAAATTGACTTGACGAACATGACTTGAAATGTGAAGTGGAAATGTCTATGTTATCACGTGACAGACCCAAAGCGCGACGTGTGTCTTGCTTCGCCGTTTGTTTATACGGTCATACATACATCCCTTATATGCGATTCTGGAAACGATGGTGCCCTGGACAATCCTTATGTAGAGCAGCATAGAAACAGTAGAATTAATCACAAGTCAAAGACACCAGGTCCTGATTTCTGAAAGATGTACCGACAATGCCGGAAAATACCCTCCACCTCGATAGACTGCTCGTGGTCTGTCGATATATATCTATCCAAATACTTCAATCATAAAGTGATACTCGACCTCTGTCTTGTCCTCCCGTCCTCTCAATGTCATCTGGTGACACAAATCGGCCAAGGTATGTCCAATGATAGGAGCACCACAGAAGAACACGCCGACCTTTCGCTTCCTTGTCTTGTCCTTTGCAAACAATTCGACCATTTCATCGTAATGAGTGTTCAGGATCTTGGTGAAATCCGGTCTGCCAAAGTGCGTCGGTGCAATTAGTCCTGTGACTGGAGACATGGGCTGGGCCTCTGTGCGATGTTTCTCGAGCAACCATCGATACACATGTGGCGCAATGTCCTTGCGCTTCTTGGTAAGATAATTGTGGATTCGGATGTCCAGGTTGGGGTTGTGTGGAATGGCGTCCGAGGAGATTTTGTTGAGAAGATTAGAAAACCAGAGCAGGTAATTTTTGTCGCGGACAATCCAGTGGAAATCCACCCGGCGGTACTTCTCCATGTCAAAAGACCTGTCGCCGATTTGGGTGATGCCACTGTCATCTGGACTCGATCGCTCCGCCGCGTTAGTGGCTTCGGGCTCGGGTTTGGGCTCTGGCTCGGTTTTGGGCTCTGGCTCGGGTGCGGGCTTATTCGACTTGCGAGTGGAGGTAGAATATCTGCGTCGATTCCAGTGGTTGTCTTCTCGTGTTTGGAGGTCGTTGAGAATACCAGAAAATGGTGTGACTCCAATACCGGCGCCAACAATAATGGTCTGGTCGAAATCGTAGAATCGCTGAGCCGGTGCACCAAAAGGGCCATCGATGCCAACGTATTTCAAGTCTTTTAGCTCCCGCAGTTGGCCAGTCCAATCGCCATCCGTCTTAATGTGGAGTGACATATCCCGCCCAATACATGTCGAAATGGTGAATGGGTGCCATTCGAAATAGGAAAGCTGAGGTACCTGAAGAAAGACATACTGACCAGCCTTGTAACGCCAGAGGCGATGTTTGGGGATGGTCACATCAATGCGCACAGTGTCCTCATCTAAGACTTCCATAGTTGCCGGTAGTTTGTGAAATCCCTTGAGAATACGCAGCAGCCGCTCAACAAAAACCCAGGCGGTCGGGAAAGCAATGACCGCTCCAAGCACTGGGAACTGGAGCAAGGCATCCGTGCCATGTGCCATGAGCAAGCCAATGACTGGGAACATGAGGAGATGACCAATCTGGAAGAGTTCATATGAATATTGTCGAGCATATGGCATGCTCGTAAGAGCAATGACGTAGAAAAGCCCCAAGGCAGTCAGACCCGTCCATCCAGGAACGGAACGAACATAAGCAACATATGGTCGTGGGACAGCGTCTGGACCCAAAGCGGCTGCAACAGCTTCTTCACGATTCGGGCGACTCCCGAAGACAAAGGAACCTGTGAGATGGCCGATTGCATGTAGAGATGCAAGGGCGATGGCAACACAGGAAATCTTGACATGGAAGGACTGACTCAGATCCCAGTTGATGATGCGAGAGATGTAGTAGAACTTTCGCATAATGGTGGAAAACCAGCGAGACATGCTGAGCAGCATGAAGAACAGGGTGGGGTAGAGCGCGCCTGCGCATGCTTTTGCAAGGCCAACACCCCATCCGAAAGCCGCTTGATATTGCGGTCCAGTGGCATACTTGACACACTGCCAGACGCCGAGAGCAATCTGAGAAGCAATGACAAAGGCCAGGAACAAGTACTCAGGACCATGGACTTCCCAGATTGCCCGCAATCGGCGTCCCCACGAGATATGCTTCATGTAGTCATCTTCTTCTATGGCGGCTTTCTTGTCTTCCTCAAGAGAAGGAATGTTCCAAGTCGCAACCAACTTTTTGAAATCATCCACTGGGATTGAATCTTTCTCGGTGCCCATTAGGGAGCGCAGAAATTCGTGTCGGGCATGTTCTCTTGACTCGTGGTGCAAGTTGTAATGTTTGGCGTTGGGCTGGAATTCCTTGTAGACAGCGTCTAATTGGTGTTCGAGTTCTTGATACGAGACATTCCCGTCTTTATCCTTGTCCAATACTGAAACAAACTCGTCGATTTCCTTTTGCGTGAGATAGCTCTCTTCTTCGGCCATTACGGGTTGGGGGAAGAGCGCAGCACGAGGAGAGGCGAGAGGAGGAAAAGAACTTGAGATCTCACCGTGAGGCACCACGATGGCCAGGTGCGCGGATAGAGTACTTACAGAACTTGGTGTGCCCCATGTTTTTCTCGACAATGGACCTGCTGAGTTCCAGATCATGGCCCGGGTCTGGAGGCGCTCTCAGCCCCTTTAAGGTTGCCAATACTGCCAATAATCGCCCAGAGGCTGAACCAAGCTGCCGAGACAAAAGATAAGTAGGATAGCAAGCCTGTAACGGGCGAGATGACGCGCTCTTAGGTTTGGCATGACGGCACGGTACCTCGCTTGATGTGGAGAATTATGGTCCGCCGAGGTCGAACCACCGCTGGGCGCTTGCTGACCCTGTTGTTGAACGATGATGATGCCGCCTTGGACTCAAGGATGACTTTGCTTCTTGCGATATACGTAGATGTGGAAACTCTATTAACTCAGCCTAAGAGGCGATACGAGACTATGGACAAGATCTAGAGATACTGTGAGTAATTCCCTCATACAATCCGCTATCCATCTTTAACCAACGATGGCTGACAAGTATTGTAGAGAAATGCGACTTTTAAAGCGGCACAACCAGAAACGCGCGTCGTACACTCCGAGCAGGCTCTACGGACGACAGGGCTCAAACACGCCAAGGTAGGAGAAAGTGATTTGAATTGGTTTGAATTTAAGTGGGCAGCATCTCACAAGTAGGCTATGGTGAAACCCAAGTTTCCACGCGTTCCATTTTCTCCGGCTTGGCAACTCAACGTCATTTGGCCACAGTTTCTTGAGATCTCTCATTTTCGTCGTGATGTTCTTGTCGATGATCTGAGACGAGGTTTTTCAGACTTTGACCAAAATCGAGTCGAAGCGTGAAGCAAGTCACGTGTTGTCACGTGCTACCATCACGTATGCATGAACTGGTAGAAGAAAGAGGTCTTGAGGGTACAGTTTATTATGTCTAGGAGTTATTGATATACACTACTTCCCTGACAAGGTCGTTCGGGTCGCCTCTGATACCTTGGATTCGCTGACTGCGGGCTTCAACTCATCCACAATATTCTTTTCATCCTTCCATGCGGCCGCCACGAACTTTGTATGACTGCCACGAGCCACAATGTCGCCCTTCTGATTCATGAATTTAACTGTTGTATATGCCAAGGTCTTGCCGACTGCATTTTGTCAGCTCGCATGCCTGAAAGGAAGTAATTTGGTCGTGGCATACACTTATCACAGATGACTTCTCCCTTGACAAGATCTCCGATCTTGCCGCCAGAATTCAAATAAGTCACGTTCAAATCGGTTGATACCCCTGTAGCGTAGAGACCGCGCGACGCGACCGCGAGAGAGCCACTGGTATCTACCATTGTAGCCAGGGTTGCTCCGTGTAGTATTCCCAGCCGGTTGGTATGTTGCTTCTCGATGGGGAGCTCAAAGTTAACTTTGCCAGGCTCCGCTGCCGTTATCCGCATCTTGAGCCAGATGAGTATGCCTGACGCGATGGAAGATTCTCAGATCTAGACTTACCGTATCGATTAATCTGTACATTCTGAGTCAGCTCCAACCCCATGGATTTGAGTTCCTCATACCTAGGTTCTACTCCTGAAGTCGTTCGGAATGACTCCCAAACCTGCTAATGTCAGAGTCACCAGCGGCTGACAAGACCTCTTGAACATACGGAGCGGACAAACTTCAATGCTGCCATCGCGACCCACGGGATTTGGTGGACTTCTCTCTCTGGTGGAGCTCCGACGCTGGAGAATCTGTGTTGGAGCAAGGTGAGTTAGAGCAAGCCTTCACTTATGTCTCAAAGGTTCCAGAAGAACTTCTTGCAGCTCTAACCGCAATTTACCACAAGGTTTGGAAGAATATGGATCATCTTCAAATGGAACAACTTCTTGATTCGCAAGTTCATCCACGTCACAATGGGTGTCTATGCTCCGCGGTTGTAATATGTACCATACATCAACCTGGGGAAGCTTTGCCGAGGATGTCACTTTCGTCTACAACCCGACACAATTGGTCTTGATTCAAGGAGTTTTCTGAGAGACCGCTGGGTCATCTCCTCTGCCTATATTTCCAGTCTCTTGCTGGATCAACTATACTTTAGACCTTCTGCCTCCATTGCACGCTCCAGTACTGCTCTTGGCAGAATGCATGCGGCTTGAAGCCTCTCATCGTGGGGAAAGTTCCTTTCGATGTAGACACAGATGGCTAACCCTGACAAGATAGCTCTCCTTGCAATCCACCACCTTGAACGACAGACCTTGGCAAACCAGTAGGCCAACATGAGCATCGCCCAAGGATCGCGTTGCTCCACGGCGTCTCCAAAATGAGGATCCATGTGCATGACGAAGGAGAGGAACGGTAAAAAGGTTGATTCGCCATATTCAAGGTTGAGGAGGTGCGCAAGCTTGGGGACCATCTCCTGGTAAGGATTGGACGTTGGCCAGTCGGGCCCAGGCTCCTCGCAAAGGTGATCGAAAGGGGTGTCCCCGTGGCGAGCTCTCACTGGTAGCGAAACAGCGCTTACGTATGTCTCGACCGACGACCGCCATGTACTATCCAATCGCGCGGGATTGGTGAGCTGAAAGACAACTCTCTTACCCTCGCTCAGTCGTAGCCAAGCCAAATCCTCTGAGACCAAAGGCCAAGCCTCTTCAACCACCCTAGTCGCAATGGAACTGAATGAAGCGATGCCGAGCAAAATCGACGCAACCCAGAGAGCATCTCTATCTCGGGAAACAACTGGGTTCGACAGCTTGTCATGGAATAGCTGAATTCCATGACTGAGATGATACGACTCAACTGTAAAGGGGGCACGCGTCACATGTTCTTGTAAGTGGCGATCATGTGATGCTGTGACTCCAAGGACAATATGCATCAAGAAGGGGTGAGAGCAGGCGAGTCGCAATACCTCTGTCCCATAGTCATGAGTGCTGGCGTTTGATCCCACGTATAACACCGTTCTGGTCTGGAATCGGTGTACTCGAGCCAATTCATCAACGCCGAAGTTGAGGTACGGTCCAGGCGAGGGCTGATCATCACGTAATGAATCGGAAATCATCGTGATGCAATCTTGTTTGCTTAAAACAGGCGATCGGATTAGTTCAGTCCCGGTCCTTTTTACGCGTATGTGAGGCTCTAGTGGCTGTAAATCTGGGATCTTGGGATTGTAGTTGCATGAGACGGCAAACTCGAGACATCTGACGCACGTCGGAAGAGCCTCGTCGCATTTGATTCGTCTTAACTTGCAATTTCGACAGCCTGCTCTGGACTTTTTGTGCGCCTTTCGCTTCCGAGGTCGCGGGCTAGAGCTTGTAGTTGGATTGACGGCATCGACGGCCATCATGGGGGAAGTCCAAGCTTGATTGTGAGCTCCGGATTCCGTCTGCTTGATTCGACCAAGTCATAGGGTTGGAAGCGTGGAAAATCTTGAGTGTGAGGGAAGGAAATCTCATTCATTGTCGATTGTTGAAAGACGTCCCTTTGCTACCTTCGTCCGCTATCTCCATCTCCGAACACTCGGAGGTGATGACGATGATATCGGCCTGGATAGTGTGTCCCACTTTGAGAGAATGAGTCTTTTGATTGGCTATATCACTTCCACGCTAACCGCCTTTCGTATTAATATTGCGCTAGTACTAATACGATGTTAACTCTCCACCTCATCACCACTGTCATCTTCATTGATAAACACTCATTTGTTGTTCTCGATCGATCTCCTTGACCTATACCTCAAGTCTCGATGTCTTGGTGCAGCTGCGGACTCGCACTGACTCGAAAGGCATCTTGCGCGATGGATTTGATGGCATTCCTCAGTGTAAGCCTAGACTGACCCTTCTTTCACAATGTCGCCCCTTTCGTTGAAATTAGATCATATGCCGGCAATAGTCATACCTATGGCGGCCAGGAACACACAGTCATCCGAAACGTTCCCAGCCTGCTCCATCGGTTTGCTACACCGCAGTAATATCGAAATACCACAGGTGAGTCTTGTCGTCAGCGGCTGATGACGCCCGTCCTCGTTCAATTCGGCGTCCATGAAACCACAACGAGTGGCTCACGATTCGACAAATAATTCTAAATCTCTCTTATGCTGGTCGGCCCCATGTCATACATTGGGTTTGGTCATCTTGAAACAGAGGTCAAAGTCCGGAGCTAGCGCCTACTTGTCAATTGCGCTCCGCACATTCTAGCAAACCTGCGAGGCCGTACTCAACTATTTCCCTTCTGGGACTAGTCGTCTTATTGTATCACCTTTATTACCCCATATATATATCCTGGCAATCCACTGGTAAGCCTAACGCACATAGGGGCTGATTGGCTTACGAGAATAAGCACATAACGGCGGTATGACATATACGACATATTGATCAAGTGAGGCTGTCGATCGTATAAGATGGCGTTGGTTGTTCTCGTCAACATGGTGTCCTTTTTCTCTTCATCAAATCATTTCCTTGTTGCCTTCATTGCCACAAAAGTCTGATCTCAAAGCTCTCGTTTGGAGTTCAATTCATTCGTTTTTAGACAAAACCAAAGGTCACCAGCATCAGCATCAAAATGCGATTTTTCAGCATCTTGGCCCCCGCGGCCCTCGTCACCCTCGTTTCCAGCAGTGCACTTCCCGCGGACCCGAAAAGTGACGGTTGCATCCCTGCCTTCACGGCCCACAAGATCGTCGACGATTTCTTGAAGACTCTCACCGCCTTTACTCCAGAGAATGCAAAGAACCTTCTCGCCGACGCTCATTTCTCTGATACGTCCTCCTCAATCAACTTCTTCACTGGAGCTCCCCTTGATAGCGTCACCTTCCCTAGCAAGGACGCATTCATTGCTGGACAGGGAGCCCAACCACCTGTCGACGTCAAGCTCCTCTTCATGGATTCCGTCACCTGTGATGGCATCATCACTTTCCGCTGGCAGGCAAACTTCAAAGACACTATTGCCAAAGGTATCAATATCCTATATACCAAGCAAATTGGCTCCAACCCCAACACTGTGGGTCCCGATGGCTATCAAATCCAGACCATCTACAGTGAATTTAACTCTGCCACCTGGAACCTTGGCTTTGGCGGCACTTGCGCTCCTCCCAAGATTCCTTCCATGTTTGCCTAAACCTGAAGGCAACGTGCATGGTCGAACACCAGAAGAATTGCAGATAAATGGGAAGAATGTTGCTGCACAGCCCGGTTGGAGTGTGCCGCCTTTGTTTCTAGTTAGTCAGACCCATGGCGCTGCATTCGTGTTGGGGTTTCGCGTTAGTCTTTGCCATGTCAGGATCACCAAGTTCATAGCTGGGCAGAAACACATTTCTCAATCAATATTTCTCAAGGAATATACCATTTACAGCACCTGATATCGGGTTTCCATGATGTATTTCTCTCATGTCGTGATAGATCAATTCTGCCAAGACGCTAACCATAATCATACTAGCGCTATATCTCTCACTTAAGGCTTCAGCGTCTTCATTCTTGACTTTATTTCTCCATCATCACTTCTGCCTCATTCTAAATCTGCTTCAGGTTGATCCGCTAAGAGGATACAGGAGTGAGGCGACCGTCGCCTTGCCTCGCGATGTTACTACCTCGATCAATATAGTTCGATTCGAGAATCCGCCACAATGTCAGACACAACGCTTCATTCCTGGGAGTACCTGGAAACCCTTCCAGGCGTTCAGTTCTATCGCCTGTACAGGAGTCCGTCGTCGGCCCTGGCAATCTTCCGGAAACGGCTGTCAAGCTTGGCCAAGTCTTTCGTCATGACCTTACTTTACATGCCTGGGCCCATGACCGCAAAACAACTCGAGATGTTTGTGCAGGATTCCAGCCGCGGAGAACGAGAATACGCAGTTGATCTGCTACGTCGTTACCACATCTTCAAAGACACCACCGTCGGAACTGCCAAGGCATACACTCTTACCGAGGCATTTGCCAAATCGCTGCGTCGTGCGCTGACTGGAGCTGGAGACAAGACATCTTTCGGCCAACTGGCCACCGTTGCCCAGAACCAAAAAGTGTCCATTGCCGAACTCGATGAATACTCGCGCCAGAGATGGGAAGGTATTTTGGGTTACATGGTGGGGTCATCGTCCAACGCCATGGATTCAGACCAAGTCGCAGTTGATCCATCACCTGGAGTGATCGAGCTCCTTAGAGTGGGGCATCTCATCGAACTCTCTGGCACAGCGAGGACGGGAACATCGGCCAAAATCACAAAGGAAGGCTTTGCATTTGTCCTGCAGGACATCAACACTCAGATCTGGGCATTATTGTTCCTCTACGTTGACAACGCCGAGGTTTTCGACATGGACAAGGTCGACGTATTGTCATTTTTCTTCTTGATTTCCTCACTCGAACTCGGCCTGGCATACACTACATCAGGTTTAGACGAGACGCAGTTACGATGTCTGACAGACCTGGCGTCTCTGGGTATAGTCTACCAACCAACTCTGGACGACGGCAACCCCGTTGACTACTTCTACCCGACTCGACTAGCCGCAACCTTGACCTCCGATTCGGCTGCAGCGCTCAGCGCGACCAACAGCGCCATTGGATCCTCACTTTCCACCACCAACACATCAACATCATCCTCTGGATCCGGCTCCGGCGGCCGAGGCTTCATCATCGTCGAGACCAACTACCGAGTCTACGCATACACATCATCACCATTGCAGATCGCACTCCTTTCCCTCTTCGTCAACCTCCGGTCGCGACACCCTAACCTGGTAACCGGCAAGATGAGCAAGAGCTCCGTCCAACGAGCAGTCAGGGCCGGCATCACCGCCGAGCAAATAATCTCATACCTGACAGCGCACGCGCACCCACAAATGCGACGACACGCACAGGCCGAACATGCAGCCCAACAAGCCCGCGACTCATCCCGCGCTGGCTCCTCGCTATCCATCCTACCCGCCACTATCCTCGATCAAATCCATCTATGGCAACTAGAACGCGATCGAATGACCACAACACTCGGTTTTTTGCTCAAGGATTTCCCTAACCATGCCGATTACGATGCGCCCTGTCGGTATGCCGACGAGGTTGGCGTGCTTGTTTGGAAAAATGACAAGAAACGTATCTTCTTCGTCAATCGCATCGACGCAGTACGTACTTTCATGGCTGAAAGAAAGGCAAATTCCCAGGGTTAGGAGCCACGTCGAACTGGTTGGACGCCTGGTTGGTAGTAATTGGTACGATTGGTACGGGGGTACTATCATTATCATCATTGTCCATCATAGATTCGGCCTGGCTATCTATCTAGATACCTATTCAACCTCCGCCCTCAGCTTGGTATCCATGGGTGCTTAATTGGTTCTGGGAACGATTCAACTCCATCAACGGGAGACTGATATAGAAGTCTTTCTCTTTGGTTCTTGGTAAACCTGTAATTCTAGAAAACTTCGGCAGTGCTATTACCATGCGAAGCTATGCCTGAAAAATCAAAGGAGTTATTTAAAGTCGTTTCCAAAAACATCATCACCCTCCACCCACGCTTTCGTCCTTTTGCCTTCGTTCCTTGCATATCTTACACCCGCCCACTGCCTGGATCTTGTCTTTCAACAGCCGTGCACTGGTAACTTTCGGTCCTACTGAGCGTAGAAACCTCGAGTCGTTTCCTTCCGTCTCCTCTGCCTGTCGCTCCGCCTGCCTATCTCGCGGTAAAGTAGATTCATCGCCTTGGGCGTCAGGGCCGTGGAGGAGGTGGGAGACGTGGTAGACATGTCCACAAGCGAAGCCGACTAGTGTTTCAGTTTCGTTCTGATCAAAGGCCCGATGGCATGATGCACAGTGGCCTGGTGGGACCTTTGACTCCAATGGCTCGACTTTCTCGTCCTGCGCCGTTTGGTCCTCTGTCTTGTCCGTGACAGGTTTGGGGATCTTATGTGAATCAACTTCAAACTTGATACCCTTTCTTCTTCCTCGTCTTAATGTGTCCATTCCAACTGCGACTTCGCTGCTGAGTACCCTTGCCACGCCGGAGCTGATACTGTCCTGCAAGTCGTATTCACGAATCATTTTCTTCAGCCCATCTTTGAGCCCTTCCACTTCTAGGCCTGATGGTATCTTCTTCACCAGCGTGATGGGGTCGATTGCCGTGCCAACTTCGGCCAGAAGACCAGAAATGAAACGAGGTCTCGACATGCTGTACTCGAGAAAGTCGTCCCAAAGGCTCTTGTCGTCTTGTTCCTTGGCAAAGGCAATTGCGCTCGATACATCCTTGAGCTCGTCAATGATGAGAAACAACGCCTTCTTCATCTGTCCTGTCTTGCTAAGCAGGTAGACAAGTTCTTCGATGTACCGTCTCTTCTCACAGATCTTGACGGCAGTGTCATATGTATACGCAGTCGAAGTCTGGAGAAACTCCAGTAACAATGGTCGGTCATACTCCGCAAAGAGCTCGACAGCAGTGTCAGCAAATTGTTCCACGAGCTGCTTGCCTGTGTCTGCAGCTAGTGCAGAAGCAACAGCAGAATGGCCAACTCTTGGACCCCTAGGCTCATGAGTTTCACCTTCACCCTTCCACAGCGCACGCAGATAGAAATATAAAAAGGGTCGCAGGCTAGGAGTATCTAGCTGAGCGAAGACTTCGTCCGGTTCAACCACACCATGCGTCGCTTCATCCGCTAGGACACTTATTGGGTCGGCTGCTAGGGCGCTCAATTCTTCAGTAGAGAGCGACTTGAGTTGTTTGGCGGGAACTCTGATTTGAACAAATCCAGGAATGTCGTCGGCAACTGCATCAACCAGGTGATGGTCCCGGACGAGAGTCATGGCCGTGTCTGCATCTTGAAGTGCAATATAGCATTTCAAAGCCTCGTTATAATGGCCATCAGCCAGGAACAGCTTAGCAAGACCTTCTTGTAGCATTGTCCAATCTTGCGACCCTTTCGTCACCGTCCCTTGTCGATATTGGTCCTCGATGGCAGCAGTGATCGTACTAATCTCGAAGAGATCCGAGGGCCACTGGTCGAGAAGTTCTTTGAAACGTCTCCTGTCTGACTCCACATAATGACCGAGGATCATCTCAAAGACAGAGGATGGCAGGGGCGGTGTTAGTTCAAGGGTGGGCACCCGAGATGATATCTCGTCAAACCTTTGAGCCTTGATGAAAATCCAGATCCAATACTCCCACCGGCTACTGGTATTCAGAACCCGCTCTGCAACCTCAGCAGCCTCGCTCCAATTCTTGGCATCAACTAGCTGCTTCAACCATAGTTCTCCGATCCTTCTTTTCTCCTTTTCGGCGGCTGAGAACTTGGACTTTGATCTGACTTGTGCAGAGCTTGTGATAGATGCGGCATCAGCGAAGAATTCGGCCAAAGTTGCTTGTTGACGAGCTTGGCTTGGGCTTATTGGAGCAGATGGGCCAGTTTTCGTGGCAGAGCTTGCAATCGATTGGGAGGGTGGCGTCGAAGATACCGAGTCTTCTGAAGCTGTACCGGCAGCTTCTGGATGCTCGTCTACCAACTCCCAAGCTTCCTGGTATTTTTTCATGCTAACCAGCCATTGCATACGGTCATTCAGATTTCGCCTAATTGCAACAATGCAATCGAATGGGCTTTGGATGAAGATTTTCATGCTTTGAGCGGTCGCGAGATTATTCGCATCCTCCTTTTTGGTTGTGTCGGTTGAACCGAATCCTGGGACCCAACCGGTGAGATAGTTGCGATCTCGAGTACTTGGGGTGCGATCTGGTCCACTGAAACCGCTTCTTACACTTTCGGCTCCGCTAAAGATGCGATTTGCACCCAGCATTCGGGGTCCGAACATGGTAGCATCCCAAACTCCTTGACCTACCGCTTCCACACCGGTATAGAGACTCGAGCTGACATTGCCAATACCGGAACCAATTGCGTCGAGGTAGCCCTTTTGTGCGAGAGATGCGGGTATCCTTAGAGGGGGTAGAATAGCCATGTGATAATCTGAAGCAGTTAGAGACTCAAATCTGCTGATTGTGAGAGTGTCGGTGTCGATTTCCTCCTTGGTATTGATGTCTATTAAGCGTAGCTCCGGCTCCAATGCATTCTGACGATTTCGACGGCCCTTTCTCGGACCATCAGACGTTTGACTCGATGAGGTGTTGGCTTTTTTCTCCATGTATGCAAGTACTAAAAGCAAAGTGGGGGTATATAGCGAAATTCCAGATACTGTACAGTCATCAAATCGTATACTAAAGTGTTGTTAGTCAAGTACCACATTGTGTGAGGGAGTACCTACATCGTTGCAACTTCTGCATGGCCAACGGGGTGATCTCTATTCCCTGGTGACCCTGGGAGAACTTTGATGATCCAGGCAGAATCGCCCCAACCGACTAGGACTTCTTCTGGTTTATTCTTGTCGAGCTTGGAGGAAGCTCCATTTGTTGTGGCGAGGACGATGGAGCTTATGGGAGCATCGTCATCGGCTTCGAGGCCATCACGATCTATCCAATCCACGCGAGCCTTCCATACACCAGCCATTTCCTCCCAGCCAGGCCGAGATGGGCGGTCGACATGGCTAACGCGTTTCCATTCCAGATTCGATTCTCCAGATTCAAGTTTGAGGTTGGACCTCATAATCTTGATCCCGGACTCATTGACCCAGACAACATACTTGCCCGACAAAGACCACTTGATGGTGCTGATAATTCCCTCGCCGCTGTGCAAGACCCTGTCAGTTCCAGTGTTCGCACCGAGTCCGATAGATCCTAGCCAGCCAGACGCTGCTGCAGCGGCTCCTGTTGTAGTGGCGTTGGCACTCTTCCCAGTCTGACCACCAACAGTGAGTATTAATGAGCCAGCTTGGCCACCTGAGAGATAACTCCTGTCCGACTTGTATTCTGGAGACAGGGCGACAGTCTGTACAGGACGACCGAAGTTTCGAAGCTGCACATCCTTTGGATCGATTAGAGAAGAAATGCAAACATTTCCATCTATGGATGAAGTGGCAATGTAGATCTGGTTTGAGGGAGTATTGGGAACAAATTGTTGTTGGGCTTTTCCTTTTGGCTTCGGAGCTGGAGAACTTGAGGGAGAGCTGTCTCTGTTGGATTGGGCATCGGTGGCCAGCTTTGAGGATGGAACTTCGGCGCGAAAGCCAGCAGATGAGGTTGCGAAGGAGGAAGTGGAGATGGCAGATACGATCGTGGTATGCGCATGGTATACTCTTAGAGAAGAGAAGGTGGGAAGGGCGAATACGTGCTAAAATGGTGAGTTAAGAGCGGGAGCAGATGGGACATTCGGTCACTTACGATGTTTCCCATTTGAGTACCAACGATCTAGATTAGGTAGGTTAGCTAAAAGTCCAGCGAGAGAGACGAATGCGAGTGTAGCAACTTGCCATTTTGTCGCCAGATACAACAAAAGCGCTGGCGGCGTCGCCATTGCGATAAAGCGGGCTCACGTTGCGCGTCAAGTTTGCGTACTTCAGTCGAGGCTCCTCCTCTTCCTCGTCGGACCCGCCATCTGATGTATCGTCCTCTTCCTCTTCGTCTGAGGGATCATGGACAGGTTTGGGGTCTGGGTCGTCGTAGGATGGAGAGCTGTCCCTGGCTCCTGGCTCCTTAGAGCCATCTCCAGCAGCCATGCGGAATGGAAGAGGTCAGTGTCGCGTCATTTGGGCACTTTTTGAGGTGGTGTCAAGGGCATAAAGAGGGACGCATTATAGGATTGGAGATCGGCAGTATCGTCGCAAGGGTATTTCCTCGTTCAATCGTCTTGTCTGCGCTTCTATCGGCAAGGATTGAGCTGCTTGTCTATCTCGTTGTCTGGTCGTGTGTTCATCCCTCGTCCCTCGGAGGTTCTCAGTGACGAGCGCCAAGACATACGGAGCCTTTTCAGGAAATGTGTTGGCGCCGCTCTAAAGGCACGTGCCGTGAACCCAATGTCCGGCATTCGGCCGAATCCCAAAAAGGAAAACGAGATATATCCACTCTATTCCGCCTCACGAGAGGGACTTCACTTCTGCCTACCGAGCGGATGAAAGCTCTTTCCGTTTCTCATGGCTCACTTTCTTCGTTTGCCTTCGTCTACTCTCGGATTCCTGATTTCTCGCAATCTTGACTAGGTCGATTCCACAATTGTTATGCTTCAGAAAGATCCAAAACTATTTCATGTCCTTTCGTTTTCGAAGGGCACGGACTCATCCGGTCGGACACAAAGCTACAAGACTCGAAAGTCGCATTCAAAGTCACTAAATGGATGCGTCATATGTAAAAAGCGGCGAGTGAAGGCAAGTCGTCCTTGAGACTGTGGACCATAGGCCGTGCTTGTTGACCTTTGACCAGTGTGATGAGCAAACGCCTTCATGCCGCAACTGTGTCAAGCGGGGCATCACATGTGTCTATCACAATGATGTTCTTTCGCCTCGAATCGCCCAAAATCCCCAGAACAAAGTCCAGACAGGATGGTGCTCACAGATGGATTCAACCTTATTTCGCTATTTCGTCAACGTTGTTGGCGATACCATGACCCCGATGTCGTGTCGGTCGTCAGCCTTGGCCCGAGTTATTGACAACGCTATGAATGTAATGTTGTTCTAAAGCATAGATGACATCTATTGCCACTGACTCTCTATTAGGAACCATACGCTATGCATTCCATGCTTGCAGTCTCTGCATGCCACTATCGCTATCACAGAAAGTCACCCATGCAAAAGTGTCTGAGCGAGAATTTCCATTCAATGCACGCATGCGCACGACTAAGACGCTCCCTAGACATGCCACAGGTAGACAACGTTGATGCCGTTGTCATATCGACTCTTTTCCTCGGTTACCTGTCCTTTGCAGATACCACAGAAGACTTCGGTGTGCCTTTGAGGCAGCGCGAGGTTCCTTTCTTCTGGCTCAGAAATCAAATTGGCCTCGAATCGCTGGTGCACCTGTTTCAAGCTAAAGCCAGCATTCGGAAGTCGTCGCTCGGCATGTTTGAAGACGTCGCGGACGCCATCCTTATGTTGGACGACAAAAAGCCCGCGACAGATTCCATACCAGCAGACCTTGCAACCTTGTTCGACATCAGAGAAGATTCTAGTAGCAATGATCACCCTTATCTGAGTGCTCTTCTCAGACTCCGGCACCTCTTGGCCCTTAATCCTGACAACGAACTGGCAGTCGTCCTGTACATGCAATTCATGGAAGGTGTGTCTCAACATTTCCTTCAACTTCTCGATACGTTAGATCCTAAAGCTCTCATGCTTTTATCATACTGGTTGGCCTTGCTATGTTCAAACAATTGTTGGTGGTCACGCGTGCGGGCCAAGAATGAATGCTGGGCAGTTTGTGAGCACATTGACACGTTTGGGGACGAACTCTTGTGGAAGTTTATGGACTTTCCAGCAAATGCTTGTGGCTATCCCTACAGTGGGACTTCCTCAGCTGGTAGAGATGTGGTTCTAAGGATCAGATGCGATGCATAGCACAAGTGGAGAATATCAAGTTATACCGGCCGAGAGTAGATGGTTTGTGCTCTTGTTTCACCACCTTTGCTTCATAATCCACGGAGGCTATTGTGTTATTATGAAATATTCTCTCCGACGACACCATGCGCTCGGGTATGTGAAGATTCGCTACGTTCAGCCGAGGATATGTCGTCCGAAAATACTAGATCTATTGTTCCCAAACAGGAAAACGAGAAAATTGCGGGGCAGTATGTGGGTCTAATCTCTTTCTATTCGCCACTTAACATGCCACGAACGCTTGAATCGAGGACAAAGCATTGGCCTCCGCGGCTTTAAGGCGCAAGAGATGTTTGATATTCCAAGAATGTCTCAAAATTACTAATGCTACAGGAGAAGGTGATGTATGTGTAAGAGCCGATCTATATAAGGTAGTCTCACCACCGTGGATCAGACTCAATCCCAAGTCAACGATACCACCAACATCAGCGTCACCTTGACCAACTAAATCCACAACCATGTCGACTTTCCTTGTCACAGGTGCAACCGGCCAGCAAGGCGGTGCAGTTGTCAATGAACTGCTTGCAGCGGGAGCAAAAGTTCACGCAACAGTTCGAGATCTCTCGACACCAAAGGCGAAGGCGCTAGCCAGCCGAGGCGTGGTACTGTTTCAGGGTACTCACGAGGAGCCTGAAGAGGTCTTCAAAGCCGCCGCAAAGGGTTGTGTCGGGCTTTTCCTCAACGTATCTACATTTGACCCTGCAACGGCCAAGAAACATGCGGCAGACATCATCAAAGCATCCAAGGCCGGCGCCGGTCCAAACCTCACTAGCATCGTCCTGTCATCCACCGTGCAGGTCGATGAGTTGATTGCACACGCTGACGCTCTTGTCGAAATACACCCTTGGATAGCACAATACTACGCCGCCAAAGCTGGAGTAGAGGACGCTGTTCGTGAGAGTGGAATTGCAAATTACACCATCCTACGTCCACCTGTCCTGCACCATGACTATGTGTTGCCTGCCGCCGTAAGCCCCCACGCTTACTACGAGCTCGTCAAATCTGCCACTTTGGTCACATCCATCGAGGACGACAAAACTTTACCGTATCTCGATGCGGGCGACGTGGGCAAGTTCGCTGCTGCGGCATTGCTCAAACCATCCGAATTCAGTGGACATGAAATCGGCCTGGGCTCGGAAAACTTGACTGCCCGCGACATTGCTGAGATTATCAGTCGTGTGAGTGGTATTCAGATCAAACTCCACCGCCGTACTCCAGAAGAGAAGGAAGCCTCGAAGAACACCGAGTTTTTCCAGGGCTTTGAGGGTCTCGCGAACCGTTTTCCTCGAAAGGTCGATGTTGCGGCTCTAGAGAAGAAGTATGGCATTAAAATGACAACGTTTGAGGAATACATGGAGAAAAACAAAGAGCTGCTGTTGGATTCCCTCCCCCCCAGATCAAGCGCTTTTTTGGAGAAGATGGCTTAACCTGGACTCGAGCGTACAATACTTGGTAAATTGGCTTCAATCTTGCATGGTCAGCGTGGCGAGCTTACCAACTAGACAACCAGCTAGCATCTTAAACAATCATAAAATCTATCTCTACGTTGCACGTTCAGACCATGTTGCACCCCGAGGATCGAAGCCCTCTTAATTCGGACCATCTAAGGACCTGCTTGGCAGCAAAAGCGCTTTTGGTCCCACAATGTCACCACTTACATAGCCAAACAGGGCGGCTGTACAGCCGGTTATGAATGCTGCCAAACAGGCGATCTAAATCCGTCAAGAATCGTTTCTGTGGCTGATCTTAAATGAACTCCAGAAGGAGCATCCCGTGTTGATGGTTGATCTGCTGAAGGAGGTCAAGATGAGGCAAGGGGAGATAACGCAGAACTTCCATAGAGAATAGGAGTTTAGGATGGCTTCCCTTTGCTATATGTTGATACTGTGAGTATTATCTCAGCTGCAGGGACTGACTACTCATATGACAAGACATGGTATTTGGTGTATCACACTGGTGTAAACTGCAACAATGGGCTTTGATAAGACCGAGAGGTCGGTCCGAATTCATGGAGTTATTGCGGGTCTTCCAAGGACCGGGGTAACGGTTCCCACATTAACCCCATCCTGGACTCTGGGGATTCCAGATACTCCAGAATCGATGCGTAGGATACACAACCAAGGAGATGTAGATCGTGGAGCTCAGTTATCTATCTGATGCCCTACATGCGCCTTCACATTAAAGTCTCTCAGCAGTGGCTCTTGTTTCTTTGGTGAATTGATGACTTGCCAAAGGGGCGAGGCTCATCTTTCTTCCCCATTTGGCTCTTCCACGCTCACTAGAGTTAATAGTGTACTGTTGTCGTGTTCCTTAGATACGATCTTGAGCTCATTACAAGAGGGCCGAGGGAGACGCCAAAAGAGAGTGTCGAAGTGCGAGGCCCGAGGTAGATCTAGAGAGATAGTCCGAGAAAATAGTCCGAACAAGACATCAAGAAACCTTTTATACGGGACCCTACATATGAGCTTTCAACCCGGTTTGGAACCGGTTCTACCGAGTCGAAACCGGGCCTCGAACCGCGTCTGAACCGGTTTGACTCCTATATAGGAAGCTAGGTAGGTAGTTCTCTAAAGATCTAGCCAGTATCCCAAAGTTTCGGCTTCTCCATTATTGTGAGAACCTACCATCGATCATCGGTTCAGAAAAGATGGCTACACCCATTGCACCCCTCACCGCAACGGACGAGGTCAAAGCTTCGGAAGGGAATGATTTCATTGAGGTCATGAAGGAGGTCAGCGATGAGATTGACCATGCCGCTGAAAGAGCAGTCACCCGAAAGACAGATCGCATCCTTCTACCAGTGCTCTGCACTTTGATGCTGGTTGCATTCCTTGATCGCACGAATATCGGCTCGGCTCGAGTGTTTGGCCTCGATGCAGACCTTAACATGACTGGAAGTGACTACAACATTGCCCTGTTCATCTTCTTCATCCCGTATCTACTGTTGGACGTTCCTGCAAACATCATCATGAAAAAGGTCCAGCCTCCATACTATTTCACCTTTCTTATATTTTCCTGGGGTATGGATATCTGGACCCCTGATCTTGGAAATGGAGACATGCTTACATGAACAGGACTTGTGACTATCGGGCAAGGCTTGACAAGGAGCTTCGCAGGCCTTGTTGTCTGTCGATTTCTCCTAGGTGTCTTTGAGGCTGGCTTTTTCCCAGGCGCTATCTACCTTCTTGCAATGTACTATACTCGCTATGAGCTTCATTCGCGGTTGACCATTTACTATTCTTCCGCCTTCTTTCCATGGCATTTGGAGGAGTGAGTGTGCACCCTATATCTTTCCATTGAAGGGCGGTGGTGAGCTAATACCTACAAGTTGATTGCCTTTGGCATTGGACACATGGATGGGATAGGCGGATACCTTGCATGGCGGTGGATCTTCATCATCGAGGGAATCTTCACGGTGGTTATTGCTCTTGGGGTCATAGTCTTGATGCCAAATTGGCCAGACAAGGCTAAACACCTCAACGACGAAGAAAGAAGGGTTCTCCTCAACAAATTGTCGAGGGATCAGAAAGAGTACGTGGAGGAAAAAACATCCTGGGCAGTTATTTGGGATTGTGTTAAGGATATCAAGCTATATTGCAGGTTGGCGGCTTTTCTTATTTATCCATTGATCTTGACTGACTTCTCCTGGCGCAGTGCCCTGATATACTTTGGATGTGCTGTGACAAGCAGTGCCTCGGCCTACTTCTTCCCGAGTATTCTAGTCGATCTTGGCTGGACAGCATTAAAGGCACAGTATATGTTGATTCCGATAAGCATGGCCGGTCTCGTGACGACAGTCTCGATCGGTTTCCTATCTGATCATACTCGTCACCGATACGGCTTCGCAGTGGGACCTCTTTTTCTCGTGGTCATCGGATACATCTTGTTATTGATACCACATGACCAAATCCAAGTGGGGGTGAGATATTTTGCTTTGTATCTCTTGACGTGTGGAGTTTTTGCGGCGACCACCATCTCCATGACTTGGATGAACAACAACATTGTTGGCGCCAAAAGGCGAGGGATTTCAATTGGGATTATGCTCGGTTTTGGAAATTGTGGCAGCATCCTGGGGTCCAATATATTCCTGACTCGACAGGCGCCGGTCTATCGAATTGGATTTGGTGTTGCTTTAGGGGCGACTGTTTTGGCCCAGATTACTGCAACCATTTTGTTTGTATATGTTTGGTGGGAGAACAAGCAGAAAGCCACGGGTAAGAGAGACCATCTGCTGACTCTTTCCAACGATCAACAAAATGCGCTGGCCGATAAGCATCCAAATTATCGATACACGTACTGAAACAGGAGATGGGTTTACACAGGGTGGAAGTGTGATGTTCGATGTTAGGTCGGACGACGATACAGCGTTGAACATGGTCAGGGCAAAGCTATAGCATGTGGTAATGACTCCTAGATCTTCGAGATATTACCTGAGAATATGGTCATCTATTGCATAGAGGAATAGCACTATATTCCCATTGTCTCTGACCACTCGTGCGACTTCCCGGCCGATTTCTGTGGTCGCTACTTCCGCATCCACTTGATGAACCCTCTCAGGTCGTACCTGCCTTTGTCGATTACATTACCTATCTGGGCAAGCGTGGCATATCCAAGTACCCAGGCACTATGTTCACGTCTGAGAAGATCGCTCAGACTGTATGTCTAGCCCTCACCGCATATAGGTAATCGACATATTAGGGGTGCTGTTGAAGTTGGGGTTTAATCGAGCATCTGGCCAATTGCACTAAGTATCAGATATGCACAGCGTATCTCCGTATCGCCTATCAACATCTGCCAAAGCATTATATTGCTATACCCGGGCACCTTCGTAGAATCAGTAATGCAGCGCTGATTTCCGTGTTTTCGTAGACATTTATGTCAATGCATGAGATATCTAGGAACCTTTCGTATCTAAGAATTGGAAGCCAAGATGGTCCCTGTGCCAAGTCCATTGGTCATGTCATCGGCCCATAATTGATTAAAAGATCGTCCAGAGTATACCCATTTTGCGAGCAGACCATTGTAACCCCAGATGGCGCAACCAGTACTCATAGGCCTTGATGGCTGGTGCCATATCTCTTGGTACTCTTGATACCTTTCACTCCACACTTCGTCATGCCGCCAGCAGCACTTCTAGCCATGATTAGAAATTGTGTTGTCGCTCCTGATGCAACCATACCACTATTGCAGTATGCGGAATTGACCGATAGTCCAATTGCTTTGGGATACCAAATTACTTACGAACAGGTTTCTGCTGTTGGGTCGTCCGAGTCATGGCGCGGAAGAACCATATATTATGAACCATAGCACCCTTGTTGAGCTTGCTCTTTCTCTCAATTAAGAATCTGGCCAACCGTTCATCATGCATTTCCTTGGTTCAAATTGTGCTGGTTGGGCTCTGTCCCTGTCTCTTACGATCTGGGGTGCGACAGCATCGGCTATTCCAAGACGGACGTTCCACCAGCCTATTGCTCGACAAGACTCGGAAATCGAAAGCATCATCGCTGAATCTCCTCTGTTGACCCTTCACCGCGACCTTGTCGAGATTGAATCTATCTCGGACGATGAGGGCGATGTCGGTGAGTGGCTAGCCGAATATCTCGAGGACCACGACTTTACCGTCGATCTTATCGAGGTCCCTGTGCCGGGGAATAGCTCGGTGGAACGTTGGAATCTCTATGCTACACAAGATCCTTCGGTTACTCCTCGGGTCATCTTGACAACGCATTTAGATGTTGTAGCGCCACACATTCCCTACTCAGCTATCTATTCCAACACTTCGGACTCGAGGGACGATATAATGCTTCAAGGCCGTGGCTCTGTGGATGCCAAGTGCAACGTCGCCGCGCAGACGATTGCGGCCATTGAGTTGCTAGAATCAGGCGATGTTTCTGCTGGTGAGGTTGCTCTTCTCTTTGTGGTGGGCGAGGAGAATTCAGGAGCAGGAATGATGGCATTTTCCAACTCAAGCCTGTATGCCAATATGTCCGACACGATTCAGGGTTTCATCTTTGGCGAACCAACGGAAGGTAAATTAGGTGCTGGGCACAAGGGAGTGGCTGGCTTATTGATCACGGCCAACGGAACGACAGCGCACAGTGCGTATCCTTGGAATGGGGATAGTGCCATCACGAAGATTTTGCCCGCGCTCCTCGCTGTCGATGGACTGGACTCACTGACGTCTGAAGAGGGAGGATTGCCTGGCAGCGAGAAATTTGGCAACAGCACCACCAACATCGGCGTCCTCGAGGCCGGCACAGCTCCTAATGTTGTGCCAGGATATGCCATGGCCCGGGCATCGATCCGTGTTGCTGGTGGAACTCCAGAAGAGTTTGAAGCGGCGATCGAGGCCAGGATCGCGGAGTTCTATGAGGGAGAAATCCCAGTCCAATTCAACTTTACATGGTCTGCTGGACCCGTTGACTTGGTCAGTGATGTCGAAGGGTTCGAGCCGATTATCCTGAATTACGCAACCGATATTCTTGGCCTGGACTACGGGGATGACATCAAGGTCTACCTCTACGGACCAGGGACCATTGAAGTTGCACACGGAGTCGACGAGTTTGTGAGACTTGGAGATCTAGAAAAGGCGGTTGAGGACTTCAAGCTTCTCGTGGCTGATGTACTCGGGTCATGAACAGTAGCAACTGAGATGTGCCTCTCTGGGGAGCAAGTACCGTTTGCGTCTTCAAAGAAGAGCATCTAAAAGTCATCCAGAGTCAATTATAATGATACTTAATCAACCTGTGCATGTCTAGAAGGATCTTGGGTGTAATTGATGGACCGTGATATTGCTGTTTCCTTCTTACTTACTCCTTGACTCGCAGCCTCGCCAACCGGAGAAATTTGGACGGACGCTTCAGCCTTGCCGGGCGAGAATTATCCGGCTCCGGATCGAAATCCGCACCTGCCCTGCAGCTCCAACTCCAAACGTCAGATTCAGAATTGGAGAAAAAGAGATGGAATTTCTTGCGCATCAACAAGCAGCTTTGCAGCCCAGATGCTCTTAGCCTCCTAGGCATGCGATGCCACCGACATTGCTACGCCCAACGATGAATGTAGCCAGCCGCACGGCATATACATCATGTCGACGAGCTGCGACTGATGTCCTCCGTCCTCCAACTCTGCGTCCACTCCATGCCTCCCCAATCTTCCAACGACCACGACGCCGCGAATTCTTCTCCTCCAACAGTGTCCTATCAAACGCAAACGCACGCCAGCAGGGGTCCTCTGATGGCGACAAGGGACCGTCTAGCGAGCCCGCCAATTCTGCGTCGTTAGCAAAGCGCAAAACCGCACGGTCAGCGGGGACCAAGGCGTCTCTGCGGCGAGTTGGTCTGGAAGCACAACGATCAAAAGCTGGGATGCTTGATGCCTCACCCAGCCGACATGATGAGGATTCTGGGGCCCCGAAACTCGTGACGGCATATGCGGTGGCCGAACAATTCGACATGGTCAAAGCAGTCGAGATTCTTCGCAGTAAAGGATTCGAACCTGATCCATTGGGAACTGGTCTGTCGCAACAAGTCCTTCACGTCCAGGTGCCCATCTCATCAATTTACCGATCCTCCAACCCTTCGGCCCGCGATCTCTCTGCTAGCGATGTCGGCGACATATTCATCTTCCCCTCCGGCACACTAGTAACATGGGCGCTGCCAGAAGGATTCACATCATATTTTGCGACCCGCACGCTCCTCCCTGCGGCCGTCTCACCGCATCCAGAGCCAGTGGAGACCGAAGACCTAGACTACATCGAAGATTCATCCCGCGAGCATAGTATGATTCGTGGAGAGACTATCGTTCTCGGCACCAAACCAACGCATGAACCCACCGGGCACACATCCGACGTGGAATCTCAATATCAAACAACAGATACAGTCCTGACCAAAATCGCCTTTTCATCCGGCTTCGCACGCAGTACCAAGCTAGCAGTTCTCGAGACCAATCTATCGACATATCTACAATCAACAGCCTCGATCCCCACCCTCTTGTCCAGCGGTTCGCGACTCCCATTCCAATTATCACGTCGATTCATCCTCCGTAAGACTGGCCAGCTACTCTTGCTACGCGCCCAACTCAATCTCTACTCTGAACTCACCGACTCACTTCCCGACCTATTCTGGGACTCACGACACGAATTGAACCTCGAAAACTACTACGACCAAGTCGGGCGTGCGCTCGACGTGGGAATCCGAATCAAAGTCTTGAATGAGAAAATGACCTACGCAGCCGAAATCGCCTCTGTGCTCCGCGAACGTCTCAGTGAGAAACATGGTTTGTTTCTTGAATGGACGATCATCGTCCTCATTGCCGTTGAAGTGGGGTTTGAAGTCCTACGGTTGTGGAGAGAGGGGTTCTGGGCCGAGGTTTGGGACGGGAACGCGTTTTCTTCTTCCTCTGACGCCATCAGCCACAGAGGCCAACATAATGATGTCCGCGTTCTTGAGGAGAAAGAGTGAAAGTGATAGGAAGGCGGGCAAATTGGCTTGGATATGATTCGTTGATTGCATGCACGATCTGATCAAGCTTGGTCATGAATCTATCTCGTCAAGGATTGAGAATTCAAAGAACTGCATTTCACTGAGCGACTTGTCATACATATGGAGTTTAATCGTTGACGCAGATATCGATCGAAGCGCTCCCCAATCTCCTGTATCATATAGAGTCACATCTCAGGGTTCCTCAAAAAAGAGAAATTAGCACCAAAGCCTCTTTCATGGTGGCCATCTCTAATATGTTTCTTATCATGCGCAGTCCAATGGCCAGGGTTCTGTTTTGCTGTATTTGGGCCGGTCGAGTCAAGTCTTCGTCTCAAACACTGTGGATATTCTACACGTTGAATCGATACGATTGGAGATCATCATTATTGTATAATTCAACAATTTTCATTTCCTGTCTATGAGCACATTCACGGTTGGTCATGTCACCAGGAGTTGAGAGTATTAGGGTGACAGACCCTCCGCAGCGTTGGCTGCCCCTTCAGCAATTAACGTAGCTCATTCCATCCTGTCCATCATGATCCTTAGCCATGCCATCCAAGTATGTTCAATATTCAGATGCCCCTGGTAATGCCTCTGCCCCATGAGGCGAGGATCATGCAGGAGCAATGATCAATTGGAGATTCAAGGGAGCACATGTTGCAAATCTGGTGCATCGTAGTGAGGCTGACCTGTTTAGAATTAATGGAAGAGGTGAGCTGAGGAATTTCAGTCTGTGACTCCTTGCCAGAGGCGAGATAGTTGGCTCTGGGTTGTCACGTCATATTGCATGCTCTTGTGCGGCATGTTAATGTATGTGGCAACAGGACATAGCTGCAGAAGACTGTCTCATGCCAGTGCCAACAAAGCCACCAAGCCCACCAAAGCAGGGTGTGCGTTGAAAGAGGCTGCAACACCCTCAGCTGGAGGCGCAGGAGGAGTGGTCGCTGCGGGAGGAGTCGAAGTGGTGTGTACAGATGTGCTGGAAATTGTCTCGGTGGTGGTAGTGAAGGTCTCTGAGGTCGAGGTAGAGGGGACAGTCGCAGTAGCTGGAACAGAATCGGTCGCTGGAGGAGCGGTAGCTGGGACAGTACTGGATGCACCGGTTGGAGGAGGCTCGGCGGAGCTTGTAGCAGGAGTAGTAGCCGGGATCGTGCCTGGAGCGGTGCCAGGAACAGTGCCAGTCTCCACTGTCACAGAGGTGGAAAGGGAGGATTCGATGGTAGTCGAGGAAGAAACCTCAGTGCCGACGGACGAGGTTGGGACGAAAGGGTAGGTAGTGGCAGCACAATCAGCTGTGACGGTGACAGTGACGGGCTCATCTGAGAGATTATCAGCAAGATTGAACTTTGGCAAGGAATAATGGCCTTACCTCGTGGTAGGAGGTTGATGATCTCGACAATGGCGTCCGCGTCAACATCGCGAGCTATCATGAGTCAGTATGATGATGATGGGAACAGCTGTTTGGACAGAAGCCTCACCCATGAGAGCAGCAACCACCTTGTCAGCAGGAGTGCCGAGACTGAAGACTATGGCTAGAGTCAGTGATGGTCATGGTGTGAGGGTAGATGGCGTGACAAACCTAGGGATGCCGAAAAGAAGACAGTGGCAATGAGGCCGAACAAGGCGTTGAACTTCATCTTGAAGATGGACTTGATCAGGGTTTTGATAGAATGCGGTGAGTAAGGGATTGTATGGTATCCAAGATCGAAAAGACTGTGGTCCGAGAATGCGCAACACAGACTGGATAGAATGATCTGAACTCAAGAGGTGATGAGGTGTAAGAGTGAGAATGTGGCGGAAGAAGGGAATAAATTTGAGAGAAGATATTTGTAGTGTGGTGGACAAAGATGCGTGATTGATGGAAAACACAATCGGGCAGTTGGTGTGCGTTAAGATCTGGAATTGATTTCTGCCAGACCTTTCAAGCAGATCAGAGCAGAGGCAGAGATCAGATCAGATCAGAACAAGGCCAAGCCAAGCCCAATGTGTGGATGAGTGAATGAATGAGTGACGAGGTGAATTCACCTGATGATGATTTCCAGGGATCTTAATTTTCTTGATCTCTGGATTTCTCGTATCTTCTCCTGCGTCCGTTCCTTCCTTGCCTTGTTGCTTCCTGCCTTCCTTCCCGCTCGTTGCCCTGGCTGACGATGGGGAAAGAGCGGCTGAGGCTGCCGAAGCAGGTGCAGGTGCAGGTGCAGATGCAGACGCTATTGCGTGGCCTCAAATCATCCGTCACGAGAATGACTTGGTAACGCGGTCAGTCGTGTGAGTTCCCGCCTCTTTCTACCAATCTCCTTTGTTTTGTAACAACGGTTGCTTGCTGAGTTGACTCGGGATATAACTTCCCACTGCCGAGTTGGCGTCTCAACGCTGCCACTACCCGTTCCGCTTCAGCGAGGACAGACTCCGGGCCAGTGGTTGAACGGAGATTGCGACACTGCTGTGATGCCACAACGGAATCTGACAAACAGAAAAAGAAGATCACTCTTATTCATCAAGGGTAGAACTCATAGCAAACAGAAACAGTTCGAGGTGGCAGCTCATCCTACTGGGTCAGATCCTCATGCATATACATGCCAGCAAATGTGGGAGGCTGGAAATGGCCGCTGCCAATCTAACCACAACGGGACAGCATGCAGACTAGACATGGAGGAATTAGTCCTGACTGAGATACAGACACAGAATAATAATCTGGTGCTCAAGCTCTGGTTTTCAAATCATATCTGTTGTCTGTAGTACTAAGTGCAACAAAAATGAAACGAAGCAAAGCTTGGACCTAATATAGTACTCCGTACTCCGTACTATACGGAGTATGTTAGCGCCTCAGCCCCACTTGCACCAAGCGTTAGAGAAAGTTGAAGTTGCTAAGATAATTTGACGATGCGCCAGTCGTGGCTAAACGCTGATATTCATAGCATCGTGTCCTGATCGATATTGATCCAGGAAGAAAACGATCGAGTTATCTACCTGAAGTCGACCATAGTACGGCTAAGAGACTGGCGAGCTACAATACACACTAGATTTTGTAGAGCTGCTAGAACATATAAGAGGAGATAGGAGATAAGACGCGGTTCGCGTCGATTATACGAAGGTCGGATAAAGCTCTCGCTATAGTATATATAGTAAGGAAATCTAGAGCGACGGTCCCTCTAGGTCCCAAGGCGCTATGGTCGAGGTAGTGCAGTTAAAGGCACGCGTCGTTTTCGAAGACTTAAACGGATCATTTTCTGAAGGGGGACTGTTTCTGGTCCCTAGAGATAGTTGTATAGTTGCGTCATGCATTAGGAGGTAATGAAATCTGGAGGGTCCAGATGGTTTGCCGCTCCCTTGCATCGTATATAACGAGAATTGTAGCATTCACACGCTGCCTTGCGCTTCCGCCGACGATACGCACGACTCGAATTTTGCTCCATTGCTGAACAGCTGGTTTTCAGGTATTCTTTCAAAGTAGGGGATTATAATTTGAATAGAGTCCGTTGAATTCACGAAAGTAAGGAGATGAAAGTAATCAATGGACATGAGAGCCGTGAGTTGGTCACAGCTTTGACTCATCGTCAAGGACCCCGCGCCTATGAGCCCCGTGCTAGTGGAGTATCAACAGCAAGGATCGCGAAGCCTATTCGTGGGCGGATGCAGATCTGGGGAGACAAGGGGTGATCGCGGGAGGCGAGTTCATCTTTCCAGCTACTCGTTTGCAGATTGGTAGAGGGAATTACTAGTACATGTGAATACCCGGCCACTGAACATGTAGTCTAATGGATGAAACAATTAATTTCAAGTCATCTTGGAGGCTTGTTTTGTGAATTTGGATTGCAACTCAAACGTTGCATCAGGCTTGTAGTGTAGTAATTTGAGTTGATGCAAAACTCCTTTTCATGGAGTTTAGGTGGTTCTTCATACAAAGATATATAGAAAAGAGAACTCTCTGCATAGGCAGGAGGTCAGAGCAATCAATTCATTCATTTGGCATACTGCCAGTTATTCGAACGAACAGTAGTGCATAGAATAGCTATAGAAAAATGGACAACCACAGCGCTGTGCACAGAACAAATTATGTGGCATACACCAATTAAGGAGAGGAGCGTGCACAGATTAGTCGTTGCCCCTCTCGCTGGCTTTGTTTTCCACCTTGCGTAGTACGATGAAGTCATTTCGCGACAACGACCCATGGCAGTACGGGATGCCTGCTTGCTGCATCCAGGAGATCACTGTCACTTGGGACCATGATAAGCTCATACGTTCTTCTCGTCGGTGTTTTCGTTGTGGTGAATCTCGATCTCCTTCGCAGTCTGTTCCATGCTGATATGAGCCACAGCCTCCTCGCCGTCGAAAATCTTGGCGACTTCTTCGAGGGTGAAGCCCTTGGTTTCTGGGAATACGAAATACACCCAAATAGCTTCGGCGAAGTCCCAAAGCTAGAGACACAATCAATCAGTATTCGCACTATCAAAAACTTGCATTGATCAAGTCTTACTGTGTAGAGGAGCCAGAAGTTCCAAGCATGAGGCAAATTGTGAATCGCGAGAGGGTTTGTCTGAGCCGAGAGGGCGAGAATGGCTTGAACCGTAATGTTCATGATCATCACACCCTTGGCGCGCAGTTGGAAAGGCAGGACTTCGAGGGTATAGGCGACAAGAAGACCCGAGAAACCAATGGAGTAGAAGATGCCAAAGATCCAGACAAAGACAATCTGGCCGATACCGAAGCCCTGCTGCCCACCGGAAGATTCATATCGGCCGGCCAGGGCAGTCCAAATGGTGAAGGAAATAACCATACCTAAGGAGCAATACAAGTCAGTCGTCTCACAACGCGTTGGCTGGAGTATTCGGCTAATACATACCAACAACAGAAGTCAAGAAGAGCGGGCGTCGTCCAAACTTATCAACAGTAAGCGCAGCGCCGATGGACACAATCAAGCTCAATGTAGTGTTCCCAAGGGTGAGCTAAGTATATTAGTCAGTACCGGTCAGTAGATTTTAGTGGACAGGAGTAGAGGTGAAAAGAGCCATATGGTACTTACACCAAGCTTCTGGGTCTGTGATGTGATTCCAGCCGAGTTGTAGATCAAATTTGCGTAGTTGGAAATGACAGCGTTACCACTGTACTGTGAGATGATACCGATAGAAATGATGATAGCAAGCCTCCAGCGGTTGCCCTTGGTCCTGAAAAAGTCCATGTAACTGCTTGTTTCTTTAGCCTGCTTCTCAAGCCGAAGTGTTTCGCTAATTTCGCGAAACTCGAATTGTACTGTAAGGTTTTGGTCGTTACCATTGGCATGCCACTTAGCCAAGGTCTCGAGGGCTTCTTCGTGGCGGTCCTTAGAGATCATCCATCTGGGTGATTCAGGAACTCCTGAGACAAGTAGTCAGCTTCTGTACCGGTTCGGTATCAATTGTGTCAGACTTACTCCAAACGAAGATAAGCTGTATGACGGCTGGCACAATTTGAAAGAGAGTCAAGGTTCGCCACGACCAGTCGCTCTTCACATATGAGAGGCCAAAACCGATGGCATTGCAGACTAGTTGCGGTTAGCTGGCTATACCATAAAGCAAGAGCAAAGTGGTTGGACGTACAGAAGCTTCCCAAGTTCCACAAGCAGTTATATATGGTGGTAAAGGGAGCACGATGCTGAGGGTGAACAACCTCGGTCAACAACATTGGCGAGGTCAGCTGGCTGAGCGAGTTGCCGAAGCCGAGAATGAAACGACCAGCGCAGAACACTGGAGGTAGTTAGCTTCTGCATGGAAAGTTTGTGCTGACGCCATTGTGGACAACTCACTTCCGTAGTTTTGTGCGGCAGTGTTGATGGCACCACCGACGATCATGAAGAGGCAGCCGAGGATGATGCAGGGCTTGCGACCCCATCGATCAGTGATTGTCGGCACTGTGAACATGGAGAGGATGGAGCCGATGGTAAACATATTGGTCAAGAGGCCGAGGAGATTAGACTTGTCGGGGTCCGTTCCAATGTCATCGAAGTAACTCTCCCAGTAGTCGTACTGCTGCAAGAGGTTGAGGAGTGATCTGGAGTAGAGCAAAGTCAGGCAAAGTTAGAACTTCCAGACAATGCCAATAGTATCTTTGCTCCGGTATCAACTTACCCATCATAACCGGTGGTTGCAGAACCGATCAGAAGACCCAAGGCGCAGTTAATGTAGAGCTTGCGAATATTCGGGTCCTTGGTCCAAGAAACCTTCTCGAATTCCGGTGTCTCCGCAAGGGCCTGTTGCCGGGTTTCCTCAGCATGGGCGACCACCTTTGCTGACTTGAGAGTTGAGAGAACCATATTAGCGATGGCCACGCAGAGCTATGTAGCAAGAAAGGTCAGTGTTACGCAGAATCCGCGAAAGAGCAATGACAAGGCAGGGAGAGTCGTCTCTCTGGTCTGGGGGAGGAGCATATAAAGACGAAACGACAGTCGTGAAAAACAGCAAATGATATAGTCGGCCGTCCAACCGTTTCGTTTTTGACGCCGCGAAGTTCTGCCGATACACCCCGGGAAAAGGCAAGGCTAGACCTGGAGCTCTTCTCCACTCCATTAGGTCAAGAGGCTCCGGGGTAATGCATACGAGTATACACCTACAAGTGTGGAGTGAGTAGTATTCCTTTGAGTGCGGAGACAGAGCGAGAGCCGTCCCGCATCCTGCACGGCTCATTTTCAAGGAGCACCGTGTGGTGCAGGACATGCTTCGAGAGCGAAGATCTGCCCCATCTTCGCATACCCCGGCGTGCCCGGCTAATAAGTATCGCTTGGATAATTCCACAGAGCTTCTCATTAGTCCTGGAAGCACCTGCTGACCTGCAGTATCCGACTCAAAACGGCCCACCACCCTTGGCGGTGTGCAACCAAAGTTCTCTAGTTTCCCATGCACCGGCCGAGGATCTGCCTCATGAGGACTCACATTTAGCCAGAAAAGGCGAGTGGACCACCTGTACATAACCTGGCCTAATAGCGGAATTGCCGAGCTTTGATTGCTTGTCTCCCCTCTTTTATCCAGACAACCAGACCCAGACAATATTGAGTCAGAAGCTTGATTAACATTTTGAGGCGTATCTGTACGTTCCGTTTCTCCTAACCGTAGAGATGGAGGATGGAGAGGACAGTCAGTGTGCGTGAATGAGTAAAAAGTGGAAATGACAGGGTTTAGAAGCGATAAGTCATCAACACAGCTCTTTATCGCCTAACCAAATAGGGGTAAGATGGATATCTTTCAGGTGCTTTATTAGAGGGTTCTCGTTGATCGCACTAAGGCAGCAGAATCTCTCCAAGTCCCACTTTTACTGTAGAGAGGGAGAATGGATAGTATGACGACGGTTGCGGTGTTCAAGGTGATAGCTGTCAGCATAAGACACCACCAAAAGTCTGGAATTGTACTGTATGATGTTCACCACGCTTCTATCAGACCACCACAGTAAATGTTCACGAGATGTTGGGGACCACTCTGGATGTTGGAGGCTTGGAAGAGATGCCTATGAAAACCATTGATTGAGACTACTCTTGTGTCATGCACGTGACTAGGCGTGACATTGGTACATATATCTATCAAACCACTCAAGTCTACCCGTGAATAGTCACGAGATTCTAGTCTTTTTGTGGCGATCCCATAGGGTTCAGAGTGGTTCCTGACATCTTTGACCCTACTGGATCAGGTTAGAGCAGTGAAGCGAGAACATGTGGCAGGAAGAAGTAACGAGCACCTCGGCGAGGTCAGACAAAGTTCAAAGTACAGTATATGGCTATTTAAAATCCAGGCTTAATTCAACCAGGACAGCCTATTCTCAGCCGCCTATTGATCAGGCATGCCGCTCGAACCGAGACATCACGTAGGGCACTTACGTAGGGCACTGTAGTCTGAAGGCTTCGAAACACATGCCCTTATCGCATGTTCCTCCATGCGACGTGGATGTTCGGCCTTGAAGGCTAGTTCACACCCTCTTCCTCATGATATTTACGGAGATTCTTACAGCAAATCTCTTACTCGTCCGTTGCAGGCTGTCTGCATATATACCGTAGAGGTAGTTGATGACAGTCACGTGTAATTGTTTGGTTGATATATGCGTCTCCAGGCGCGTATGCTTTTCCGTATACACACGGCCAACCTTAGGATCTTGAACCACATGCGAAATGTCATTGTCAATCAGCAATCATCGATATTGCGACGACGATCACCAGGAGACTTCATCTTCACAGTCAACCTCACAAACAGGCCTTGCCCCTGAGCAATGATATACTGTCCATACCTCAAGGACTTATAGTATCGCACCCTAGCACACCTTCTCACAGTCGCCTGCATGCACCCATTCTCCTCTTTGACTATTGGAATCTTTGTTGCGGGATACATCACAGCGCGTTGGGATCTCGTCACTCGCTTGTATGAGCTGTCTCTTTTTGCCTGGGATCACGGCGTCATTGTCAGTTTACACTTGTATCCCGAGTCATGCAAAAAACCGCTAATCCGAGAATTTTCAGACTCGAGCGACCAAGGCCTTCGCAGTACTATCGCTCATCTTTGTCGCCCTCGCAATCCCTCTCGATCGAATTGCCGCCCACGAGGCCTCGGTGGTTAGCCACTTCTTTCCTTTGAAGACCAAGCCCTGACCTTTGCAGCATCCAAGATCCCCCATACACGGAATATCTGCTCGAGAACAATTACGCCGAAGGGGCTCCTTTTGATGACTCTTGCACCATGATACGATGATCGATAGCAGCGATGGCATGCTGCGAGTCTTCTGGCCCAATACCCTCATTCGTTCAACTACCCCTGGGGTGATTGTTGGTTGGCGAAATTCGGCTTTGGATTTGTTTGTGGTAACAATACTTGAAGATGTCGAGGTAAGGATTGCGGTTCGTTCTCTCAGACGTTTGGACCTCTGACTGATCAACGCATGCGACAGGTCCGAAGTGTCGAGTCTGCTCTTCGAATGGGCACCTTGTTCAGGAACAGCCCATATCCAGTTGCCCGAATTTTTCAACTTTGTGACAGGTCCAACATGCATGTTCTCGGAACGCTCAATCACCCCCATATCCCTGACACATTCGACCCCACCAAGATTTGCGCCTTTATCCTCCCCGATAACCAGAGACCGTTTATTTACTGTCCCGTGGATGCTGGATTGTCGGTGCAGGTTGTTCTATTCGACCCGCCGAACCCGAATCAGTTACAGTATATATCACTTCGTCCAATATCCCTGACCCTTGGCCGCCCCACGGAACCGAAACCGAGCTCAAAGACAATGAACGAGATTGAGGTCGAAGATGTCGAAGAGCGCAAACGCACGTCTCAGCTGGTCACCAAATTACGCTTCCACACGGTCATTAGACACGATGCGACGCCTAAAGAAATGGCTCTAGGAAGCATCCTCCGCCAAATCAACTGCGCGCAAGAGGTTGCCGATCTGCTGCAGAAGAACTCACCCCTCGTCGGACCGCGTAGGAAGCGAAGTCTATCAGTAAGCGAAAGAGTGGTTGAATCGGCACAATCACTGTACAGCTTCGCCGCATGGTCCTTGTGGACTCTCTTCATGACATATGCGTTCCCCACATTACTGTGGGTTTTCAAAATTGCTGTCATCTGTCACCACATCTTGGCTGAGGGAGTACTGCAAGTCCTCGAATATCGATTGCCCTTTCAGAAGAGATCGGACGACTCTTCTGTCCAACGAGATCCATTAGCCCTGAAAGACATCTCTGCATGCTGTCAGCAGGTCCATCTGAGGCTCCAACAATTCTCCTACTATCCCACCCAATATTCTCTGCTACAGAAGCGCCATGCTACATGGTCATCCTTTCCAACGACCAACAGTGACTACATACGATTCTACAATTCACTGTGGTTGGTTGCAAACGATGTCATTATTGGTATTGCCATGGGAAGTTTCATCAACGAGAATGCAAAGGCCACAGCGCAATTTCTCAGTTACAACCTCGATCAGTATATGATTGAAGGACTCAAAAGCATGATTCGATGGCTCATGTCGTATCCCGGTGGGCTAAAGTTGAACACCGAGCTGGCCGCATTTTTGGGAGATCTGTTTCTGTGGGTCATCGAATACTGGTCGTCTACATTGTTGGTCATGATTCTCCCACGATTACCCACCATCGTGTACGTTATCGGATTCTCCTCGTTCGCGGGCGCAAGCATGCCGATCGCCATCTTTTCCGACCTTTTGGGGTTGATGACTCTTCACATCTACTCATTCTACGTGGCGAGCGCCCGAATCTTCAACTGGCAGCTTACCATCATCATCAGTCTATTTCACCTGTTTCGAGGCAAGAAGCGAAATGTTCTCCGCAATCGAATCGACAATTGCGACTACGATCTCGATCAATTGTTGTTGGGGACCATTTTGTTTACACTCTTGTTTTTCTTGTTACCGACGGTGGTGGTGTTCTATCTGACCTTTGCCTCTGCACGAATGGCCATCATTACCGTCAAAGCGACATTGGATACCTGTCTCGCGTGTCTAAATCATTTCCCACTGTTTGCACTGATGTTGCGTGTCAAGGACAGCAAGAGATTACCCGGAGGAGTTCATTTTCAGCTTCTAGAGACAGAACAAATCCAACTCCCTGCCCGTGAGGAAGCACCAGAGACGAAAACAAACGAAACAGACAAAGGCCAAGACCAAGATCAAGACCAGGACCAGGACCAGGACCAGAGTCAAGAAGAAGACCAAGAGCCCATCTCGATGAGTGTCGCCTATGTCTCCTTATCTTCGATCCCTCTATCCCTTCGACAGATCTTTGAACAATATTTCCACCTCTGGGCACGGATTCAACACCACTACTTGTCGCCCAAAGTCATATTCCGATTACTGACAGGCGGCTTTGTGCCACCGTTGGGACGACACGAGATGTATGGATTGCAGTATTCTGCTCTACCTCGAGAGAGAGCCAGCGTGGCTGAAGTATGGAAGAGTTTGAGTGAAGCGATAGTTGAGAGTCCGTCCAGTACATCTTCTTCCAGGTCATCAACTTCCAACCTTTCATTGGGGCAATATGGGAGGGTGATTGGCAAGAGATGGAAATGAATGAATTTATGTGTGTAGATATGTAGATATAGGGCTTATGGTATGTTTGATGATTCATTGATTTGAGGTGTATATATATATGGAATCCATGCCTATGTAATGTAGTGTACTCGTTTGCTGATTGTGTTGACATGGGTTCGCAATGATGGACTCTGGAGGACCAACAAATTTACATAATTCAGTAGTAAGTGAATGTCGAGCTGATCATATATTGTAGCTAGCTACGTCACCTGACCCACGCATCTCTTCTTCCTTGTTAATCACCCATCCAAAGCATCCGTAACTACTTCGAGACCAAATCTAAGACACAGACCGACATCAAGATTAAGATTGAGGCTTCTATTGAAGAAGCAACAACAACAACAGTAGCAACAACAGCAAGTCAACAGACAGAAATCAGATTCTACAAGCAGAACGAACCACTCAGCCAAAACCCATTTCGAATATTATAGATCATTCAAAATGCCCGAATGTCCCGAATGCGGAGCCAACGTCGATGTGACCAAGGCGGGTGATTGGGGACATTGTGCAAGTTGTGAGTTTTTGTGTTTGTTTCTGTTATTTCAAACTTGTGGTTTGAGGGAATTCTCGCCAGCTGACTCTCCGGGGGTGAATCATCAGGTAATAATGTGAGTACATAAGGTACCTAGTTATCCATATCTACGACATATCACGTCACCACAACAACAACAACAACACGACAATTAGTCGGCTGATCTGATCTGATCTGATGGAATTTGATCTGACCTGGGTCAATAAATAGATTATTGAAATCAAGAAAGAATCATCGACGACAAATGACAAGGAGGGGAAATCTACAGGAGAAGGAGAGGGAGGTTCGAGTAGGACCGCCACCACTGCAAATGCGGGCAATGGCGATAAGAAATGAGAAATGAGACGTTGGACCATGGACCATGATTGAAATGGGTCACAAGGCAATGTATTCGACATTCGACCTCTTATCACATAGATTGGTTCTCAATTGGATGGAACGGATAGATTTAATCATTGTGATTTTTTATCTCCTAACACACCCAGACGGGGATGAGAAGTTTTGTGGTCTCTTGGTCTGAATCGACTCTGTCTCTTGACCCTAACGAGTCAGAGTTTATATACCCTCCACCCACTCCTCAGACTTCTTCCTTCTCCTCCCATCATCTATTGTATCACCTCAACTTCCTCTCTGATCTCCAATGCCTTGGCCCAATGAAAATGAACCAACTCAACCCAGTCCAACCCTGATCCCAATCCCAAGGTAATGTCGAAGTCGAAGCCATGCAACCAAGAGGGCATTCATTTCTTTCCTTCTTTCTTTCTTTCTTTCTTTGTGATGCCCGGCCTGTGACCAATGGGCTTGAGGACCGAGGAATGATCCACTCGGATTCTCAAATGTGGTTCCCTTACTCCTTGCTAAAAAGACAAAGGGGATACAGGAAAATAAAGGTTCCCAAAATGCTGCAAGAAATGTCCCAGATAGATGTAGATAATGAATGGTGAACTCGCCACCTTTTGTGATGCAGGCTTGGATGGTTGGGTGGGTGAACGGAGGAATGGTGTATTGGTACGAAGGGAGGTTGATTGGGTATGTCCGAGTTGAACTTGGAGCTAGACCTAGATGATGGGTGAGGAAAACGCCAACGGTTGGAAGTGGTGATGGCTCGGTCGAATGGTCAAGCCGGGGTTCCGCTGTTGCCGGTAGGGGGACAATTGTGCCCTGCAGCTGGTCTGCATAATCCCACTAGACGGAAGCATAAGTCGTGGCAAAATGCCCTCCTACGCCTCAAACCGTTCCCTTCAAGTTAGTGACCAGAGTCCTCCCTGCCTCCAAAACCATCCAAATTAAAGTAACCACCCATCAAATTCAAACTTCATCTTCATCCTCCTTGAGCGCACTGTACTGACCGCCTTGTTGTCTTAGGATACGGTCTCCTGTTGTCGGAATGGGCTTCTCGACCCTCAGAATCCAACACAGAATATCCTCCAAAGGAAGTAGATAAATCCAGACGCGATTGGCGAAAAAGCTAAGTGTGGTGGTGACCATAGCGGCCATGGCATCTAACCAATAATGATTGGCTGTGGCGACGATGACGGAGAGGACGAGTAATGGATAGCAAACGCCAGCGATGAGGAATGCGATCTGAGTGAAGTGAGATTTTCGTGGTTCGTTACGTTGTAAGCGACGGCCGAATCCAGAATGATATAAAAATGTGCTGCCAACGCAGAAGGCATAGGTAAAGTGCAGACTGGGCATTGCTGCAAGTTGGTTGACGTAGTTTCCTCCGACCCAGATCGATTCAGCTTTGGATTGTCGAACGGTGTCGTGGAAACCAAATTCTTTGGGCAAAAGTCGGGGTGGCATGGTGGGAAAGAAGCTGAAGATGAAAAAGGCGGCGAAATTGCCTAGAGTCATGGTCCGGCGGACAACGGCAAAGGTGGCGTGATTAGGAGCGGCGTAATAGTACCAGGAGAGGAATCTAGAAAAGAGGTTAGATTGACGAGTGGGGATGTGGTGCTCAAGACATACGCAACGGTCCCTGGGATGTGCACCAAAGAGTAGATACGGTTCAAAAAGGTCATGGCAGTGAGATGGCCATTCAGGAAAAAAGCTTGAAAGTCGAGTTCACGGATAAAGAAGAACCAACTCATCCATGAATGTTGCTCAAAGTTGAGAATTGCCACACCGTGATCCTGGGCTCGCTGTCTCAGGTCATCATGACGTGAAAACAGAACCTGGGCAACAGCTTTGGTGGCTGCGTAGAAAGCGAGGTTCATGACCCAGTAAAACATTTCAATCAAGAAAGGGAATTTTTGAAGGACTCGACTATGCCAATTGTTGGCGAATCGAGATGAGTTGGGAGTTCGGAAATTGAGGCCACAGCAACTTCGCTTCTTTGCTGGATATTTGGTGGTTCCACTTAGAGGGTCGTTGACTTCTGCTGATGTTGTGGTGTCGACATCGGCGAAAGACCCTGATGGTGAAGATTCTTGTGAACTGTCACGTGACAGAAGAGATCTCGTGGATGAGCGACCTCGGGGAGAGTCGAAGATTCGGTAATCACGTCGACGATTAAAGGTCAAGGAGGCCGCCATGATGGAAATGACAATCTGAGAGGACAATTGTCAGCATTGACGGCAACATACCAGATGGAATACTTACTATAGGCTCAACCCACGCGTGTGAGGCAAATTGGGCGCCCCCGAGGTTGGGTTTGCTGGGTGTGGTGGCGCCCGTAACATTAAAGGACGTGTCCATGATTGTGCGGACAGTGTATTACCAAACAACGAAGATATTAGTTAACAATGATGCGAGAGAAGGTGTTGTAGGTGAAGCGCCGACACGATGAGGAGGTCGAACGTCTTTGGTGATGGTGGTCGTGTGAGGTTGTTGAGGTGTCGCGTGCCTAGAGTCCAAGGGTCACGTGTGTGTTTGAGTGAACCCGGACCGTGCAATCGACGGTCGTTCTTTGGTCGTCACCGTCACCAGACGACTGTCAGGCACTTGTCAAAGCAACGAGCGATAGGCCGGTGGAACAACCAGAACCAAACCAGTACCTAGTCAAGCAGGATGGGTTAACGAGGGTTGGGTTGGGTGAGGTGAATATAGAGAAAAGATGAATGAAGAGAAAAGAAAGAGAGTCAAGAGACTAGAGGGAGCTCGTGACCATGGGATGATGAGTAGTGAAGAAAGGAGAAGAGGCGACAACACAAAAAGAACAAGAGGCTGACACGACTGGCCAGACCAGGCAAATGAAATGATGAGATGAGATGAAATGAAACCCGGAGAGGGACAGAAATGCAGAGATGGGACAGACACAACAGGAGGGAACAGGATCCTTTGGTTGAATCTATTCTCAGTTAGGTTGCCAGTCTTGCTTATGGGTCATGGCCTGAGCCCCTACTTACTTAGGGTGGATGATCATGGGCGTCCTCCGGTGCTCTTGTGGCTGTTCTGGGCATCGTTTCCAACAGCCGCTAACTGGGGATAGTTTAGGGGGTTCGAAGCTGGCCTGTCAGGGTGCAGGTTCAGGTATAATCAGCGGCTCAGGTAAGCCCCCCAGTGGTCCTCCTCGGCCCCCGGAGCGTCTTTTCCCCTTAACCGGTGATGCAATCATCAGGCATTGGCCCATGTCACTCGTTCCTCTAGGTGGCTGACCACCGCTCGCTACGAGGGCCGTGCAACCTCCGGCCTTTGTGTCAGAGCCTTGGGCCTCAGAGCCTCAGAGCCCCAAAAGCCCCATTTCGTGTTGTTGATCTTGTCCTGTGCGAATTGTCGAGTCGGACAGTGAGAGATTGTTTGAATTACTATGATTACTTGATTAAAATTATGATGGTCTTGGTCTGGGGCATGGAGAAACGGGGAGAGGAGACATGGACAATGAGTGGTGGCACTTTGGGCGTGACTTTGATTACAGGAGGCGCAGGCAGCAGCGTTTTGTGGGATATACTCGTAGGGTAGTACCTAAGGTACCTAAGGTGTCTCGTCCCTGTGGCTGTTATGGGCTGTGTCTCTGGCGCCTTATTTAACAACTCGTTCAGGCCCTTCAGCAGGTGGCAAAGGCATATTCTCTCTACTGGTGAAGGTCTCTTGACTCTTGAGAATAAACCACCCACCCACATAGATTCGCGCAATACGACTAATCAGGTAAGTAGAAAGACAGAGATACAACCGAACTCATCCTCGCTAAAATTCTCAAACTGAAGGTCCACAATAGGGATGAATATTGGCACCTCGGCCCCCTCCTTAGTTTCGTCGTTCAGAACTGACGAACCGATCATCATGATCGCCATACTCCATCTCCAAACATGTTTTCTGTACTCCATATATTCTCCATCATTGTGGACATGGCACGACACGGCCACGTTGACAGCCACGACTTGTTAGGTTGTCGGTAGCTGTTGTCATCATCATGGAGCGTTGGTGCTGTGTAGTTTGATTCATGATGTGTACTACCTCTAGGTTCCTACCTAACTAAGGTAGCGACCTTACGTCTGCAGGTATCTGCACCTCGGTTCTTTCGCCCCAATACCACCCTGGGAGACGCCCGTGCCGGCCACGCCTCTCCAAAGCTTTTGACTGACCCTTGCATCAATCTCTAAAACTTCCAGGTTCCCATCGATTTTCACCGTATCTTCGTATCTTCGTACCGAGGAACGCCCAAAACCTTGACAGGGTCAACCTCACCAAGCATTAAGCCTTTTACCTTGTTCGGACTGAAAATAAGTACATATATACGAGTAGATGCATAGGTACATACCTCCGATGGACGTCCCTCGGAAGACGCGGAAATGTAATCAATCCTTTCAAAATTCTCTGAATCAACAGTAGCAGTCCTGTGAGAACCTACGAGTACCTACTACGTAGGCATACACGCATACGCCCGTAGACACATGATGTACAATATGTACTTTCCACTCTATCCATCCATCCATCCTTCCCATAGAAGCGGATCGTTACCCAATCCTGGACCTCTACCTACGCAAAAACAACGAGTACATGTGGATTAAGTTTGATGGGACCAGGAATCAAGTTACTCCAGTTCACTTGACTTTATTAGTTCAGCGGTCCGTGAACGTCGTGAGCGGCTGCGGCTACTGGGATAAACTCACAGAGGAAAATTCATAAACGCCTCCGACGTAATTGCCGCCCTCTAAGTAGGGCCTCCGGTCCGGAAACTGATTCTCTTGATCTGGTTGGTCGGTGTGATAGTATGTGTTAGTTGGCTCGTGTGGTACTGCCACTCACTGTTATTGTATGATAAATCAGATCTAGTGGCGTTAGTCTATGGCTTCCAGCTGCTACCTACCAGTCCGAGTAGATGGGTGATTTACTCTACGCTTCAGAATATAATCAAGTATTCAAAGATAGATGGGATGCTGATGAGGCGTTACCCACCTAGACAGAATGATTCCACACTCTGGCTGGACATGTGGTTTGTCGCACTGCAGGTGACTTGATTTTGACATTGCACTGCCTCCTGATTGATGTTCAGTCAGCATTAGATCAGGCCAGACGGACAGCATCTGCCTAAAAAGGGAGTACCTTGCGAGACACCCTTTACATCTAGACGAAGGCCATATACCTAGGTACCCATAGATCCCTGTCTAAGTAAAGTAGCAGCACAAATCTAGACTTTGGAAGCGTCGGTTATGTAAGTCTCAATCAAAGGTAGTCAAAGTTCCGAATACGGAATAAGATGGAAATGTGGTGCAATGCTCATTTACTACGTTAAAAACTATATGATCGTCTCTAAATTCATGTAACTTTGTCGTCGACATTCGTATGTGCGTACGCGTGTGCATACGCGTGTGGCTGTGCTGGTGCTGTTGGGGAATAAATGACATTCAACTTTTCTGTGCTCGTAAAGGGGTATCGGGAATGGCTGGGGGTTCATGGGCGACATGACCTGGTTGATGATCATGTAGTCGCCTTGAAAACGAACGATTTAATGAACGTGAAATGGAAATAGTGATTGCTGATATCGGTGAGATGTTTAACGATGTTGACGATGCCGACCAATGCTGACGCCTGACAACGATCACGACTGACGATAAGTCGTACCTCATGCTCGGGCTTTTTGGTATCCTGTGGACATGTATGGCGAAACAGTGATGAAAGGTGAGTAGAGTGTGCCACCGGTCTGTCTTTGATGCTGAGTGGCTTTTAAAACATTGAATTTAATGACGTCTTGAGCAGTGAAGAAACTAGCCCGTCCGATACTTGTATTCTCGAGACTCGACTCGACTCGAATGTGGCATCTGGACATCGGTCGAAAAGAGGTGATATTGCACAGACATCCAACCCAATGTTTGTAGTATTCATACCATCCAAGAGGCTCAATGATTGCCTCGTCGAACAACGTCCCAGCCAACTGAATATGACTTGACTCTCATGACACGAAGCGACGATCGTTTCGATACTTTCCTTTGCTCGACTTGTTTGCACCCGCCGCCTTCCGGGGGCTCCGGACTCCCTCTGCACCTGTAGCTCGCATGATCAAGGGCAGAGCGTCAAGGACTTGTTTGTTGCCTTCGAAGTAATGGTTGACGAATCCTCCTCCTAGCAGTCGTCGGATGGCATGCAGTCTCATAAACTTCCACCACTTGTCGACCCGCATCTCGCCTTCGTGATGAATTCGAACCACCATCTTGCTGGCATTGTTACTCTGCAACCCACGTTTGGGGTTTTCAATCGTCACAGCAATGGTGGCGAATGACTGATGGAGAATCTTCTTGTCGCGGCGATTGAGATTTTTGGTGCTTAGAGAAGCAAGAGCTTGGGTCTTTTCCAGCACTTCGTGGGTATTGTGGTAGGCATTGTATCGTTTGACCAAACCAGAGTCATCGCGTTCATCAGACGACTGATCATTGTCTCCATCACCGTCCTCGAAGTCGTCTTCGGAAGAGTCTGAGTCATCCTCTTCGCGTTCGGTGTAGGACTTCTCATACAGCAAAGCAATGTTCTCACCGGCAGCAATTTGAACTCTGACGTCATCGGCATCCAGCTGATCCAGGAAAGCAGCAACAGCATCTTCAGATTCGTGTTCAACGTCTTCCACTTGGGTGGCGAGGAAACCATATGTGTGGAGAGCTGCAGCTACAACATCGACGTTGTCGTCGGCACTGATGAAAGAGCCATCTGACTGCACAATCTCGAGGAGAAATGTCATCATGTCCATGATCTCATCTTCGCCTGCGCCACCGAAGGTTAGGCAGATACCCAGTGTGTAAATAGCAGTGGCCTTGGTGGGGAGAGACTGCGAATCAGAAATGGTGCGCTTGAGAAGAGGCGCCACCATTTCGTAGAGGGAGCTGGCGGAATAGGTAATTGCAGTGAGGGCAACGGCTCGTAGCGCCAGGCCAGTTTCCGTTTCATTGGTCTCTGCTTTGATGCTGCGGGAAAATGCTGTGAGAAGACCCTCAACCTGACCATAGAGTCCTTCTGCCAGGTAGTGGTAGGTGAGGCATCGACAGTACGTGGTCAAATTGGTTTGTCGGCTTTCGCTACTGCTGCCTTTGCGATCGAGGAGTTCGGAGATGGCAGTGGAGAGGTCATGTCGGAGGTTTTCTGTGGTTTGTTCATTGAAGTCATCGCTTTCAAGTAATTGATCAATTGAATTGATGCTACTGGCTTGTCAGTTACCAATAGGCAAATTCATGATCTGAAGATTTATCAGTCATACCTTTGTGTCGTCTCGTCACTTAGATTTCCATTTCCTGTATCCTCATCATCTGAGACATCCCGACTTTGTACACGGGAAGCGGCTCGAGAATTCGGTGCCGAATTGGCCTTTGAGCTGTTTCGGGAGGATCCTTTTGATTTTGCTTTGTTTGATACAGTCTTGCCACTCTCGAGAGCGCGTCTTCGCAAGTCTTCGTGCATCGTGGAAGGAAACTCGGCGCGGCCGGTTTGCTGAAGCGAAAAGGGAGGAGTTAGGGGCGAGGATTATTCCTCGATCTTGAGTGTGATGTTGTTGGCCTCGAAGGCCAGGGGAGTTAAGTTGATTGAGTCTCAGTCGACGGGTTGGTGGCGGTATGTCACCCTTTGGGTAATGTTGCTCGGTGGAAGATGTGATGGAATGGTAAGAGTCGTCGAATTTCCATATGGTCTGGTCGAAGGGCAGATGCAAGGAACACCAGGAGTCTGATGTCTTATATGGCGACGATGAAGCGTGAAGGGCAACAAGGTAGATTATATGAAGAGAAAATGAGAAAGCGGTGAAAGCAATAAGAGAGAGGGCATTACGCAAAGAATATCATTCACTCTCCATGCCAGGATTTGTGGAGGAGCCGAGGGCGCGGCCGAGGGGCCCACGGGCGCTGGGCCGCCACAACTTGGGGTGGCATGAGTGGCAGAAGCGGGCGATTGCAAGCTAAAGTTAAGCCTAGACCCCCGCACCAGGCGCCTGTAACCAACCAAATCGCCCTCTTTTCTAAGGGTTGCCAGCACATGTCGTTCTTGGATCTCATGAGTCAACCATTGACGGCGGCAGCCTAGAATATGGAAATTTAAGAGATGCCTTCCTGACATTCCATGACACCGAAAGCGGCCCAAGGTCCACGGGAACAAACAACAAACGGTAATTCGACCATGATCTGTGTTCCTTAACTGTACTGAGTACTACTATGGCCATCTTTGCAAATCTAGATTTTACGCCTCATGACCATGACTCTGAATTAGATCTGTGCCGTGGCTACTATTAATTACCCCTCTCTTGACTTGTAGGACCGTTATCACTTGTAAAAATCCGCACGACTTGGTATCACGTGCACCACGTTGTAACTTCTATAGGATGGTCTCATCCCACCAGCATGTTGCCTCCTATCGTGTCACACTCTAGAGCTCTAGTATAGCCTTTGTCTAACCTTGAACCCGAGCGTCATCACATGGAGATTCGAATTGAACGTAGCAAAGATATGAAAAGCAAGACAACTGCATACACCCAACCCATTCCAGCCCGATCCTTTCCCATTGTCCATTGTCCTCCACAACCACGCCGTTTCAGCAGACTAAACCAAGCTGTCATTCAGTTCCTTGCTGCAGGGATCCAGGCATCTGTCTCAGATCAGGCTCGCTTGCATAAACGGAGACCATGGCCTTGGACCAAGCTCTGGTTTCCCGACAATCAACTTGAAAACATTTGCCATCCCTGACTATAATAGAGCTTATTCCTTACGAGTCTTTTCTTCCGCCGCAGCGTAAAAGTCATCATCACTGCCATCCAAGATGTCGTACTCCTCGTCGGTCAGGAATCCTTGGTCCTCGGAATCAGTCTCATCAAGCTCTAGGCTCTCGACATCCTCAAAGGAATCCACGGTCTCAGCTGAAACCTCAGGCTCTACAATATCAACATGCGCTTCCTCCGTCACCTGCTCGCTGACGTTATGAGTGCTGGATACAGGAGACTCCTTATCGAGCTTGGGGAAGATCATAGTAGAGCTAGACGCCTCAGACTTGTCATCCTCGTGCTGAGCACCCTCTCCATTTGGAAGCAGAGGGGTTCGGATTGGAAGATCGACAGGAACAGACATGGGTTTCTCAACCGGTGCGGTGTCAACAACAACAATGTCAACCCAGAGCTTGTGGCCAAATGGAATACCACCAGGGGTCTTAAGACGCCAGTAGGAAATGTAACGGCCTTGACGAGATGGGGATTTGACGAGGACCGTGAACTGGGCGGTCTTGCCTGGCTCGAGGCTGGTGGACAAGACATTGCTGCGATTGGCCGCGATCATGTTACTGACGCTTGACGGATGGAGATTGTCCAAGTTGCGCATATCGTCCCCACCAATGTAATGAACGGCACAGCCAGCAGGCCAAGCTTCTGGTCCTGGATTACGCAAAACCCAGGTCTGAGACACGAGGTGGTTTGCCTCGACCTTGGTTCCGTCGGGAGTCGAGTCTGAGACGTACCAGGCCTGAAGGTCCTTCAAGCTGGGAGTAAGCGCTGGCTGTGCGACAGTCTCATCCGCCGTTGCTGGAGTGGTCTCAGCAGGCTTGACCTCGGCGACAGTCTGCACCTGGGTGGCGGCATTGGTAGAGGCGGGTCGAACGGTTTCAGTGGCGGCATGCTTTGCCTCTGGCTTATCTCCAAGCTGAGTAATGCCTTGGTCTCCCTCCGTCTCTTGTTGCGTGGTGATCTGAACGTGTCGCAGGGCTGTCTTGATCTTGATCAAGGGATGGGTTGCATTGTGAGTGTTGTATGGCCAGGCCTCACACTTGGCACAGAAGTCAGTATCGTGGCAGATAGCGCACTTATAGCGATCGCCCGTAATATAACGTCGGTCCGACTTGCACAGAGGGCCATCGCAGTAGATACCGCGATGAACTTCCTTTGCTTCTCGCAAGACAGGAATTGGAATGTACAGAGGAGCAAAACGATGGCCGGGGTGCTTCCAGGACGCATCTCCAATACAGTCGTTGCAGAAATCAAAGTCTGGGCAAGTCAAACACTTGTGGCGGACTCCAATGATGGCCTGGTCATTTATCAGCAGATGTTGCAATTTCGATCTGATTCACTCTGAGACATACCTTATCACAGCCATCGCAGACTGCCTCATGACGAACACCACGACCAGGAGCACAGAGAGCCCGGACGCCGGAATCAAGAGAGTACTTGACAGCTTCGTCGAAGGTATGCGATGGGTCATGGCCATGATCACCGTTAGTGAAACAGATCAGGCAGAGGTCAAAGTCTGCGCAATCCTCGCAGTTGACGAGTTCTCGGCATGGGAACACTGTAGAGTAGTCAGCAGGTGAAATTGATGTGATCGTGGACATAACCTACATCCAATACAACAGTTGCAGGTACGTTCATCCTCCTCGCAATGCTCGGGGCCGAGAGGTGTGGCAGATTCCTCAGAGTCGTTCGGCTCAGGCTTGACCGTCTTCTTGGGAGGAAGTGTCTCGGTGGTGCTGGGGATGACAACGCCATTGTGAATAGTTCTCTTGATAAGCCAGTGATCATCCCCGTCACAGGTGACTCCGTCAATGATACAGGCCTTGCAAAGGTCAAAGTCACCGTTCTCGCAGATGCTGCAGTGATAATGCTCGCTTGGCACGTGTTTGCCGCAGAAATTGCAGTCAATGCTGTACGTAGTCATGGGGAAGTCGGCAGCCACAGGGAGAGCCGGTAGACATGGGAGGACAGGTAGGCTGTGGAGTTCACTGCGGGCCTCTACGGCTTGTTTGGTTAGTCCCTCGACGAGAGGAGGCTGTTCGAAGGCCCCCGGGATAGAGCAGCGAGGTGAATAAGAACAGGTCTTCTGGAACACCTGGAAAGGGGTGCCATTCATGTTCTCCGAAGGCTGAGAGAGAACGGTCTCCAGGAAGCTTTGTCTAGCATCGTTGGAGGCGGCTGCAGTAGAAGATGCAGTGTTGAAGGCCTTGGGGCTGGGTGGCGCAGCTGGAACCACCTTTTCAGTGTCCTTTTCCATTTGGGGAGACTTGACAACGGTAGCTTTCAGGCGTAGCTTCAATTTTGCCTTGGCTGCTCGATAGAGCTGCTTGTAGATAGCAGGATTGTTGCTATCGAGTGTGATGTAAGTTCCGGCCGAGTCGGAAAAGCGGTCAAAGCGAACCTCTTGCTCTGGAGGAATGCTGAGCAGGAAACGAAGCTATAGAGATTCTGTGTCAGTTTTGTGAAGAGATAGTGTAACATAGAAGACCAGCGGGGACAGAGATGAGGGAAGCTTGTGGTGGAAGGGTTGGTGTGATCAGGCTGAGGAGGGTGGCATACCTTCTGAGGAAGAGTGTTTGCTCCGAGATCCCTCAAAGCGAGTTTGAATCGTCGATTGGTGCCATCGATGATGACCTTGACGGTGATGAGGGTGTCTGGGCCTACAGGGCCGGTATGGGGATGAGAGCTTGCCATGTTGGACGGACGATGGATGGTAAGAGGTGCAAGAGGTGGAAGGGAATCGGTGGTGTAGTTTAGGCGGTGTCGATCACGGCGAATCTAGTGCAACAAGGACTAGGGAATGCCGTGGGGTAGACAATCATGAACTTGACGAGGATGAAAAAGAGCCTCACAAGCCTCCACTCGCAGGGAAAAAGAAATCCCAACAGGCAGAGAGATGATGACAAGAGGCGAGATGATGATGGGAAGACGGAGGAAGTCACGGAGGGCAACTGATTGTTGGAGAAGGCAGGCAACCAGAGTAGTGGGCAGGTGAAGGAGCGAGCACAGCGAGAGTTAGTCACAGTCACGGGGCAGCGAGCACGGGCGGTGGCACCTGATAAGCTGCAGGCAGGCAACCAAAGGACGCCAAAGAGGGCCAAAGAGGGCCAGAAGAGGGTCGAGATGACGGATGATGCGAGCGGGGAAACCGGCCACACGTGATTCAAGTCGGAATCACTGGCCAGAAACACATGAGAGGCGGCAGCTCCACTGGGTTTCCTCCACCAGTGTATGACAAGGTTCCCAGTGGTGACACAGTGCATCACCATTAGGCTAGGACTTCGATAGACTTCACTACAGACGCCTACGACGCCTCATCATTGCTATCGAATTATGCTGTATTGATACTGCTGTCTCATGCGTATAATGAGATAAGATATCCTCGTAGAGAATTCCTGGCCCGGCGGACAGAGATGGACCAATCCACGCACCTAAAGACGTAATTATTCATCATTATTGTCCGTACTCGGACATTGGCATCACCGCCATTTGCCGAGGGAAGGCACGGGGTTCCGAACTTTGCTACTTGTGATGGTTTCAGCCTGCTCACGCAATGAGGAGGCTGGGTTGTGACTTTAGAATAGTGGACGCTTGAATCAGTACTCCGTAGGCTAGAGGTGCATGGCTATTCTGACAATTTGTTATCTATCATTGACTGCATGAGGCTCCTCCACCAGAGGGCAGCATTATCAATAATACTCCGCTGTGTTATGCTTCGCCAATGCCGGAGATTCCAGGATAAGCACACCCGTTGGACCGGACTTGCTGCTACAAATGCCCATGTTCTCACAGCTCTGAATCAGAGTTCCAGCTGGCGAGTCAGGTCAAGGTGATGTAGTTGGAACTTTTGATTGGACTTTAAATGGTGGATCTCAAGATCTTCTTCCCGCCCACAGATCACTCGTCGTCGCTAATTTATCATCTTGCTTAGATAGTATCCTTCGCCAGACGAGATAATATACATGGATGTCAGCCGTGGCGCGGGAATCCCAAGTTCTCCATCATACTTCGACGGTCCTTCATCGGGTGTTGGCCTTGAAATCCCAGGCCAGTCGCAACCAAAGCTCGTAGTCTGCTTTGCTCCACAAAATGCACATCCAATACCCCTTGGGAATCCGCTAACAAAACCTGGATCCTAAGCTGATTACAGATGTAAGAATGCACATGCTTGATTAGCCCGACTGTCCGGGATAGAAATTCCCAGCCGGCATGGGAGAGTAATAGAATGGCGGTTGTTGGCCGTTGTATGCATTTGGCATGCCCGAAGTGCCGTTGGCGGCCACCGCAAAACCTCCACCAAGTTCAGATGCGTACATGGGTTGCGGATTGTAGTAATACACCATGCCGTCCGATTCATGTGCAAGGTGGTTTCCTCCCTCAATTGAACCCATGCCGGGGAGGTATCCAACATGATGCGCCTGAGATCCTGGCACAAAATTGGGCGCAAGAGCAGGCCCACCGACCGCATTTCCAAATGGTTGGCCCATATATGGGTAAAACATGGCTGGGTTTTGATATGGAGCCCCATAGTACCGATGGCCGCCCATCATCGGATATGGTTGAAAGCCCGGAGCAAAAACGGCACCCTCGGGGATTTGTGACAACGGCGTGCTTGCAGAAGCACCAGAAGTCGTCTGTTGCATCACGCCGTCGGGGGTCCCAGTTGCGGCCATGTGAAGAGGAACTTGCTGGTGGAAAGGTTGTTCTTGTTGTTGGGCCGGACCCTTGACCAGCAACGACGAGGGTGAATCAATGGCGGCGACCGAGACGGCCTTTTGAGGTCGAGGCTGGTGCATGGGCAATGCCACAGGTTGATTAGCGTAGTCTGGAGGAGGGTATACATAGTTGAAGGGCGGGGCCACGAAATTTCCATTGACTACTGGTGGAGCTCCCAGATGTGATAAGGATGGATGGGGACCGGCAGAGGGCATGCGTACAATTGGGCGGTTGGAATCAATCACTGGCAAGCCCATACTACCCATACGCGACATGATAGACTCCGCAGGAGATCTCATGCCGTCCCTCATGGTAGATGCACCCATGGACGACTTTCGGCTCATGGCGACGCTTGGTGTATATACGCTGCCATAGACACTTGGGCGGCGACTGCCGTGGAAGCTACCGCGACCACGACCACGGGCGTATTGCTGATTTGGCCTCATTGCTCGAGGAATGAATATGAATGATCTTTCAATGCTAGGGAATATGTACCGTGGTGGTTCATTAGGAATAGATATCCGAACGGGTTTGTCCCGTCGCAATGGAGGTCGATGTTGAGGAAGGAGGGTGTGGTGTTTTATGACAACATTAGGGCCTTGCTTCTTCTCACTCATGCCAGGCAGATAGATCTGAACCTTGACATTTCCGAGGACAGTCGAGAATGAAAAGCTTCGATTAGGGCCAGGATTGGTGCCAGGGGGCTTTTCGTCCGAAGCAGTCGGGGCATCGGCTTGATTTTTAGGATTGTTGAAGTCTTGTTTGGGCGCCAACTCATGTCTTTCGTGCAGATCATGGGCCCACGGTTTGTCAGCTGGCTCTAAAACACCAGCACCTCGTCTATGAGAATGTTAGCATTGATCACCAGCAATGACATGTAGTACACGTACCCTGCAACAGTAACAGCCGGGCCATAGGCACGACCTCGACCTCTGGCCGCGCCACGAGCATGCCCATTTGAGGCTCCACTTCGATCATCGTGAAGGAAGAAACCTCCTCTCGTGGGTACGAATGCCGGATTGGCATTACGCTGCTGAATGTATTCTTGATGCTCTCGCCTTGATCGTTGAGCAAAGGTCTCGTGGCGGGGAGGCATAGAAACGGGGGCTTCGTCTGGAACAGCTGGCTCCTCGGTTGATTTGGCAAGCCCGTTGACCTGTATTTTGCCAGAGTTTTGGGAGGAATCGTTAGTGTCGGGATCTTCCAACGTTGCTTGGGCATCAGGGTCGGCCTTGAGGGGGTCTGTCTGTTCAATTTGCGGCTCTGGCGATGATACACCATCTCGGGTTTTCTGACGCTGGCGAATGGGAACGGAGGCGGTTGTCTTGATAGGACTCGGCAGCTCTCTTTCGTCTTCGCTGGACTCGCTATCTGCAGCCTCGTCGCCTTCACCGTTAGTAGCTGCAGAGCCTTCACTTAGGGAACCGTCATCGAGGTCGCCAGTAAAAGAGCCTTCGTCTTCCCCATCATCTTGACGCCTACGCCTGCTGGCAATGAGATTCTTTCTCCGGGGAGCTGGCATGGCTGCAGAGTGAACGGAGAGCGGTGGACTGGAAGGCCGAAGAGGAGATTGAAGCCGGACAATTTAGGACACAAGAAATGAGATCATTCTCGAGCGATGGGAACCGAGCGAGCACTCGATAAAGGAGAGAGGTGGGCGGAGGTGTGTGTCTGGCTGGAGAGACAAGTTGGCCTATGCAGTCATATCGACAAGCAACGGAGCCGTGGAAAGACAAGCACCAAGCATGCGAACCCTTAAGAGGAACGCGGCGACTATCGGCAAGTCGAGAAGCGATGGGCCAGATGGGCCAAGCAGGGAGATGTGGTGAGGAAGTGGAGTTAGAAGCAGTTGAGAGATGCAGGTTTGTAGTCAGTCTCTCGACCGTCGAAACACATGGATCACGACACAAAGAAGCTGCGGTTCGAGCCCAACTGATCGACTCTACGAGAATTTGCCCCAGGTTTTTCCAAGACTGCGCCAGACCGTTTCACGCAGGAATCTCGGGGCTGTCTACATGACCTTCCACGTGACCTCGCGCCGCGAGCGCCAGCTCCACCAATCACGATAGGACGACAAAAATTTGAGGATAATCATAAAAATGAGCTTAATGATGAAGAGGTAGGTTCATTGGTTCTTTTCCTCACAAATGAAGACGTGGATCATAGTACAACGAATCTCAAACAACTCCTGGCCGATGAGATTGAGCACTTCTGTACCCAAGAGACGAAGCTTACCGAAGAAGACGTATCTAGTATTGCAAAACCTACAGGTAGACCGGATTGCGACATTGGACTGATACTACACTGTTAGTCTAGAGAAGGTGGGGTATAAAATTCTGGGACGATGGTAGCTAGACTATCTAATTATTATCTAAGAAGGGCTTAGGTCTAGACAACAGCTTCGCATACGACTAGTATTAGAGAGGGGAGGGACGGTTACGAGGACATAAGTCGACTTGTCCCGCCTCACAGTGGAAGAAGCAAAAGCTCTATTTGCATAAACAACTGTCTCGCCGTCTTCTTGAAATGAGAGAGAGGTGGCACTTGCCCTTGACAAGGATGAAGGGCGGGACCGTCTAGCCTCGCGAATTGACTCATTGGATCCCTGTAGGCCATTCCCGATTGCCAGGTTGGGCCAGTGTCGGCTTGCCTCTCCTTTCGGCGCGGGTAACAACCATAGATGGGGTGATCTGGCTCAAGGCGAAGCCGCTCTCGTCGAAGTTATAGATATCTTCGGCGATCCCATACTTCAACAAGTTTGTATTACGCGCAAGATTGAATCAACCTTGAATTAAGCCAGGGTCATCGCACAGAGCCCGAGAATAGTCGTACTTACGGCCAAATTAGTACCATTTTCAGCCGTGGCTGGCGCTTTACGAAGTTAGAAGCCCAGTTCTTGCTCGACGCGTGCCTCTTTATGGGTTCAGCATAACGTATTCCAGGCGGACAGCCCGACACAATACCCGCCTACCAACTCTAACGCCATATTCGGAACTGACATCTTAACCAAACGTCGTCTTCTTCCCCTTCGCCTCAACAATGGCTCCTGTCAATCTCTGAACCGTTTCCTCGGTGTATTTGCCTGGCTTCTTGCTTCGTGTCTCAGCATCTCGCTTTGGTCTGCGGTCAGACGCGGATCCATCCGCAACCTCTAATGTAGACACATCCTGCGCTTCATCTTCCTGACCGGCCTTGCTACCCTTTCCAAAGCGCTTCTGATACCGTGTTGCCTTGTCCTCGGCAAACTCCATTCGTAATTTCCTCCCTTTGAGCTTCTGTAGCCATACCCGTCGTTTGTTACTCCTGTCCGGATGTCGGATTCCCTGAGGGTCACTATCTTGTTCCTCCACCCATCCACGCATTGCCGCTTGTGCAGAGGACAGCTGCTCAAAGTCCACCCACGCATATCCTTTACACTTGCCGCTGTCTTCAAAAGTAGCCATGTGAGTATGGACGATGGCACCACAGCGGCCAAAGTGTTGCTCCACTTCCTCAGCTGTGGTCTCGAAATCCAGGTTGCCAACGAAGATGCGTTTGCTTGCAGGTTTGCCTTCAGATTCCTGACCCTTGCCCGCAGTTGCGTCTGGCCTCCCCTCGAAGCTTTTGGCGTTTTTGATCAACACTCTCCGGCCATCAAGGAGGGCTTCACTGAATTCCAGGGCGATGTCGAGGGTCGAGGCATCAGCAAAGTCAATGTATGCAAATCCTTTGTTTGCTGGTTTGCCGAATTTGGCTGGCCCCAGAGGGAGATGAATCCTCGTGATCTGATCTCGCGGAATCGAACGTGATGAATGAGTGGCGAAAAATCTCACCAAGTCGTCTTTGGTAGTGCCAAATGATAGATTACCTATCCAAATGCCATATTGTGATCGTTGATTATCCTTCTGAATGGCTTTGGTACTGTCTTGCTGCGTCTTTGGGGCTTGACTAGGGGTTGCAGATTCCCCAGTGACTGTCGTCTTTGATTTTTTGGCTTTGCGCAAGGCCTTCTTCGATGGCGGTTCTGGTGCCTCGACATCAATTTCAATTTCTGCAGCCTCAAGGTTTCGTTTTCGCGAAACAGGCTTTGCTTCCTGTTCGCTAGAATCAGTGATGCTCATCTTGAGGTATTATTCTATCAAGTTGACAGTTTTGATGCCGTTTGAATCTTCGAATGGTCACAATGTACCTTAGTGCATTGAGTCTTTACGAGATGGCTTTTTTTCTTTCGGCGAAAAGTTTTGGATGTCATGGACCTTAGCGGGGAAGGTTTCCGGCGGGTGTCTAGCCTATTTTAAGGGATTAGCTTTGGCGCCAGTGCTTAATTTACAACAGATTTCCTACGGAGAAGCATCTGCCAGGCGTGAAGAACGCGCCTAACATACCTAAACGCAACTAAAGCTAATTCTCGCCTGACTGGCCATGAGGCAGCGCGGGTGAATCCAAGCAGCGTGTGTTTCCATAGATTGAATGATTGGAGTCGCCATTCTAACTTCTCCTTCCTCGATCAACACCAAATTCCAACCCTTCGACATTTTTGCTCAGACATACTTTCTCTCCTCGATCTGACTCATCTAGGGTCCCAAATCTGCACGTCTTGTGCGCTTTCACAGTTCTAGCGGACCATCATGTCTTCAACAGGACCACCAGAAACCCCGACTACCCATGGCAAACCCTCAACAGCTGAAGCCTCGGTGTCGAGGAAATCCTACAGGTACATCGACCATCTCTTCTCCTCGGGCACTCTCATCGCTCACAATACCACAGACGAAAATACCGCAAGATCATGGTGACATTCGAAGAAGAAACAAAGGAGAGCAACAACTTGTTCCGAGAAGAACAAAGAATCAATGATATTTCCCAACGCCTCGCGGAACAAACAGAGTGAGAGAAACACGCGCTTGAGAGATGCATCGACGCTAACTTCCAAAGTCAACTGCTCCAGCTTCTCGTCGAACTCAACTCTTTACCTCAAGTACCGCGAAGCCTACGCTACGATTTGACCCCGCCAGGGCATACCGCCGCACCAGATCCATACCCAGAAGAATATCTAGATGATGAGGACGGACATTTCAGACTACAAAAGGCCAGGATTCTGCTACAATTACGTGAGATCAGCAAGGGAGAGTACCACGCGATTGAAGAGGAGTTGTTAAAGTCGGAAGAGTTCAAACCCAGTCTCTCATACAGTTCTCTGCTCCAGATAGCCCCAGACCAAACATCTCACGACAAGACCGATGGTGTTCAAGATGAAGGCATTGGATTCATTACGACGCGGGACGAAGAGCAATACTTGCAAGCCCTAGACAACTTTCTGGATGAGAAGGACAGCAACCCACGGGCACATGTGGCTAATCACCTGGGCAGTCGTGGTGCAGATCGGACTATCCAGATGGAACGAGAGATGCAGTTGAAAAACCCGGTCTCGGTATACAACTGGCTTCGCAGACACCAACCCCAGGTGTTTCTTCAAGACAATGAACCTACCTCAGAAAAACCAACTCGCGCCACGGCATCCAGGAGTTCGGCCAGGAAGAGTACCGGCGCTGCCAATTCTTCTTATGACCAATGGAAACGCGATGCAGACAAGTACGACGATGTGATTGCCCCCAACTCTGCAGCTTCGTCCAAAGGGAAACGAAAACGAGACCAAGATGGAGGCTATCGCCCCAAGGGAGGGAATGCTCGAGGCACCAAGCGAAAGAAGGAGCCTAAAGAGGAGACTGCTCGTAGCAAACGGGCCAAGAAGGCTTCGATGGGTTGAGGGCAGAGATGATTTTGATATAGACCTGGCCTGGTCTTATCAAAGCCTTGTAATTTTAGTCTACATGTGTTACGAACTAGTTATCGGCCGAGGCCTGCGAGTGCTATCGCACCGAGAGAGAAGCGTCATAAAATGGAAAAGTCTTCTCTGGTACCTAGCAGCATACTTTAAACCTAGGTGCCTAATGTGTGTGCCTACCGTGGGTGTGGAATGGTCGAACTGAATCAGAGTCAGTCTCTGCTCAATCACACGAACTGCCATCGCTACCAAAATCCATGCCGCGGCAGGAATACCTTAGCGGATGACTTTATAAGTGATTATCAGTAATACCTATCTTCAATGCATAATTCTGCAGAAATGGTCAGAGTCGCCCATGCGATGTCATGCATGGATCACGGGGTTCCACACTCTGATTAGTTTCTCTGTGCATAAGGTATGCAGCAGACTCGGAACTTGAACTTGTTCTGGCTGCATCGGTACCTAGGTCCCTAAAACCACGTAGGCACCCTTGCACCTGGAAATCTGGGCATCCAGGTGAAACTCTCGGGGGCTTCGGGGGCCTCGGGCTCCTCTGGATGCTCGATGTATCCGCGTCCGGGCTCCATCAAAGCTCGCTAGGTCCCCTCCGTCGCCCCTTGGATCCATTAGACAACTTGCACTCTCATTGGTTCCTCTACAACTGATCAACATATCAACTCTATCTCAAGAGCCGCCAATCCACTTCTGGCTCTGCACGACCCATTTGCATACGTCGCTCCTCCTGGCATTTCGCTGCACCAGCACCGCGTCCAAGTCCAAGTAAGCCGCCTGCGGGTGCCCAGTTCATTTCAACGGCCCCAGTCAGATGCGATCAAAAGCCATCCATGTCTACACCTGTTCTCATCAACGCCTGTCTTTGCAGTTCTATAGATATTCAGCAATGATCCTCTTCCCTCACTTCCCCTGATCATACTTTGGGTCTACCGGAGACTGCCGGGCCCTCCATTCGTCCTCTTTACACATGGCTGGCCTCGAGCAGATCGAGGTACATTCAAGGGTAGGTCGAATCTCCATGCTTACCGCGACTGTCGCCATTGACTATCTTCCAGAGTTACTTGGTCCGCTGGCTGAATGCCAAACAAGAACATTCCATCTCCTGGACCCTCCAACCTCACAAGAAGTCCCTAAACTTTGGCCTATTCAAGCACCCAGGCCCCTTGTCCACCTTGTCAGCTTCCCACGCGTCACTCCCTCCACCATCGCCGAATCCATCCGTACCTGAAGATGAGAAGAATGACTCAACCACCCACCCCTCCGTCATTAATAAGTTGACCGCTATCGGTCTGAAACCCATCCGATGGATCGGCGTATGTGACGCCGACAAAATTTCCCAAGGCATCTATGATGTCCCCTTGGGACAGGGCGGCAACTACGCCCTGGTCTTCGACAATACCTTCTCCAAGAGCGGCTCCAAGACTGCCACTGTCTTCCTTTTCACATATCCCACCGCCTGTCAGCAGCAGATACAATTGGGCGCCCAAATGCATCACTCCCAAGCCATGGCTTCTGCCGTATCCATTGCGTCTGGCATGGCCCCCATGTTTAAAAGGAGTCCACGGCTGAAGGCCAAAGACAAGGAATCCGTCGACTCCTTGAGGCAGGCTTCCATCGCTCATTCGGTCCCCGCCAGTGTTGCGGCTTTATCGGAAGGAGGGAGACTCCCAGAAGAACCTGCGTCGATCCACACGGGAGTTTTGCAAAAGCGCCGGAGGAAAAAGCATCAAGGATACGCTCGTCGCTTCTTCTGCCTCGACTACACTTCTTCTACGCTGTCATACTATCATGACCGGAATTCCTCTGCCCTCCGCGGAGCCATCCCCCTCTCCCTCGCCGCTATTGCCAGCAATGCAAACTCCCGCGAATTTTCTATTGATTCTGGTGCCGAGATTTGGCATCTCAAAGCTAGCAACCCCGCAGACTTTGACGCGTGGAAAAGCGCTCTGGAGACAGCCACACGTTTGATGCTCGAGGCCGCTACCCCCGCCGATGAGTTGCGTGTCCAGACCGGCGGTCCATCAATGGCTTCTGGAGAGTCTGCTGTCAACCAACAAGAATGGGCTCGACTGGAAACTCTCCTGAGCAGAATCTCTGGTACGCGCGATGCGGTTCGCAGACTATGTCTGGACGCGGTTTCACAACCACTGCCCACCACCGCGGGTTCACCAAGAATCCCCACAGGATCTCCAGGCCCCACGCCAACGGATGGGCCGACTGAGGATTACTTTAGACAGGACGAAAAGAGGCCCTTCTGGAAGCGAAAACCCAGTGCCACGGCTGCCCAGAGCAATATATTTAAGCGAAGTGTTTCCGCTCAGTTGGTCGTGCCTGCTCCCGGAGTGGAAACTTTACTCAGGAATGGAGTCGGGCCTTACCCTGGCGCGCGCTCCAGCTCGCGTCCGTATCTTCGCCACGAGGAAAGCATGCAAGATCACTGCAAGGCAGTCTTGTTTGATCTCGACTCAGTCGTGGCCGAGTTCTCTTCTCTTATGGCCGAGAGCAAGGTTAGGAGAACTACACCTCCCAAGTCGGCCGTCTCGAGGTTGAGCCTTCAATCGGTTGATTCTCAGGAGTATTTCGATGCAGAGGATAACTCAAGGCTACTCGACATCCACAGCGATTCAGACAATGACGAGAGCAATGACGAAGGGGTTGGTGTCGACGAAGATTCTGCAACCAGTAGCGACATTGGTGACGATGCGCTCGAAGTTGCTAAAAGAAGGTCAGGCAGTGTCTCAGCATATCTGCCGCCCCGAGCGAAGCAATTAACCCCTCTACCGTTGGAAGATGTTCGTCGACGCACGACCGTAGCTGCGCCCACCATCATGCCACCCAGTCTGATCGGCTTCCTAAGGAAGAACGTAGGCAAGGACTTGTCGACCATTTCCATGCCAGTCTCGGCCAACGAGCCTCTGTCGCTCCTTCAGCGAGCAGCCGAGCAGCTCGAGTACTCTCAACTCCTTAACAGTGCTGTTCACTTAACGGAGACGTACGACCGACTGATGTATGTCACGGCATTTGCTATTTCCTCATTATCGAGTTCCCGAGTCAAAGAACGCTCGATCCGGAAGCCGTTCAATCCTATGCTTGGAGAGACGTTCGAGTTGGTCCGCCAAGATCGGGGATTCCGGCTCATTGCAGAAAAGGTTTCCCATCGCCCTGTGCAACTAGCCCTACATGCCGAGTCAAAAGACTGGACTTTCACCCAATCACCCCTTCCCTCACAAAAGTTCTGGGGCAAGTCGTCAGAGATCATCACAGAAGGCAAGGCACGTTTAGTCCTTCATGGAACGAACGAAGTCTTCTCATGGAGCGCCGCAACATCATTCCTCAGAAACATCATTGCAGGAGAAAAGTACGTCGAACCCGTCGGCACGATGACGGTGCTTAATGAAACAACCGGTTCCAAGGCCGTGGCAACATTCAAAGCCAAAGGCATGTTTTCTGGTCGAAGCGAGGACGTCGAAGTTCAAACATTCGATCACAACGGTCAGGGACTGTCCATCGCCCTGTTCGGGACGTGGACCACTTCACTACAACTCAAAGAGCCCGGCAAACTCACCAAATCCACCATCTGGTCGGCCGGACCACTCGTGGACAACGCACCCAAACACTACGGAATGACAACCTTTGCAGCCGAGTTGAATGAAATCACCGCGATCGAAGAGAATAAACTCCCTCCGACTGATAGTAGATTACGGCCTGATCAACGAGCACTCGAGCGTGGTGACCATGATCGCGCGGAAAGGGTCAAGAATCAACTCGAAGAAGGACAACGAGCCCGTCGACGAGACATGGAAGCTTCAGGTGAAGCATGGAAACCTCGATGGTTTACTCGTGTCGAACTCGGTGATGAGGTGGTGTGGAAGCTCAGGACGGGTAAGGACGGATATTGGGAAGAGAGAGCCCGTGGTGAATGGACTGGTGTAGTTCCGGTCTTGGATGTGTGATTGATATATGATCTATGGATGGGATCCAGGGACGGTGGAAAATTCCAGTTTTGGATAAGAACATGCCCCTGCGCCAGGGTCGTTTTTGATATCAACGTCAATCAATCAAATGCATGATTCTGCATCAATGAAAAGAAAGACTCTGTTGGCCTTCCACATGACCCTATTTTCCTTTCATAATCATACAACATGTAAACCTTTCGTCTTCACATGGGAGTGAGTGTCCTGGAGAATTGGCCCATATTTTGAATTTTCATTCATTACAGAGAAGATATATTTCTTTACATACCATGTCATGCATCCCTAATGGTGATAGTGTATCAAGGCCCCCCAAGTTCATTCATGGCCTCAGCCAGTCCGTGATGCCGCATTCGTCACTGCAGCAGCCACAGCCCCAGCAAGGTCAGCATGAAAATTTGGTCTATCCAACGCAAATACAGGACGTAGTCTCTGTGCTGAGGAGTGTATCGACTCTTCTTTCGCACCAGTCCGAATCACTGCCATATCAACCCTCGACATCGACATTGATATGGCCATATCTTTCTCGTCTGTCCTCTCCCCATCAACCTCTCTCATCGCACTGCCATTACCATGATTCTCATTACCACCTTCATCCACCGCATCCAACGTCTTCTCCCTGCGACTCAATTCAGAACACTCATCCGCCTCCGTTGCTCCCGCGAACGAAGTCGTCAGAGCATAGATTGGAGTCCAATTTCCCAGAGAATGGGAATGCCCCTGCGTTACACGACCAAATCCAGCTGTTGCAAGAGCTCGTCGAGACCATCTATTCCTTAAACCGCCGAAATGCCAATCTACTGGTGATGGCTTCGCCCAGCGATCTAATGCGTTCCTGGTGTCGATCAGACCCTGTACGCTGGTGATGTCGATGTTATTCACGGTGGAACAGTCGATGACCATGGCTTTTAATGTTGGGAGACTTGTGTCTTGGTCACTGAATGAGGTTGGATTGTCGCACCACATTGCTTCGGCGGCGTCGGCTTTACTTGGAACGGTGGTGCGGCGCGTGTGTGCGTAGACGTGGTCGGCGAGATTTTGGAGATGGTAGGCTTGGTTGAGGTAGTTGAAGCCTTCGGGGAAGTGGTAGATGAAGACTCCTGGGTGAGGACTGGCGACGACAATATCAGGGTTGGAGGCGTCGTTTCTTCCTTCATCGAGATATATGTCGCGAGTTTGAGCACTTATTGGTGAGACCTGGCAGTCTTTCGACGGGCAAACTGTGCCATTCGTCTTGTCATCCTTTTCCGCGGCTGATTGTCGCTGCTGGATTGAGACCTTGCCTAAGACCTGCCCCTTGGTCCGGGCGATGCGGATCAGTAGAAGAGCTAAGGAAAGGCCGATGGTTACGTATATGGATGTCTCGAGACCAGTGAAGATGGCTACCACCACGCCAATCACCCAGATCAAACATTCGAATGGCGAGAGACGCCAGTATCTCTTGACCGTGGAAGGGGATGCAATGAGATTGAGCACTGCGTGGATGATCAGCCCTGCTAGGGCGGCTCGAGGGATATAATAGAAGACTGCCGTCAAGGCGTAAAGAGCAAGCAGCAAGACCAGAGCACTGAACAGTCCTGCCAGTGGTGTCCGAACAGCTGCTTTGGACAGCACGGCTGAGGCGCCGAATGAGCCAGTACATGAGTATCCACCAAGAAACGGGCCCAGCACGTTGGCTGTTCCTTGTGCCATGATTTCTTGTGACGGATTTACCTGATATCCGAACCGTTTGCCAAAGTTCTTGGCGATGGCGATATGTTCAATGACGAGGATGACAATGATGATTGGACTCTGCGGCAGAATAAGGCGGATGAGAGCCCCGTCAAGTGAGGGGGGGCCTGCGTGAATGAAACCTGAGAGAGCTAGCAGTTAGATCCAAGAAGCGGTTTTGAGACAAATACATGTTGGACGCGTAAATCAACTTGCCTTTTTCAATATGACCAACGATCCTGAACTTGCTGCGGTCTTCGGGTAAATTGCGATTGACGAGCCAGCTGACCAAGGTATAGAGGAGCATGGCAAAAGTCAATCTCAGCGACGATATAGTCGCCCATACACGTTTGCGCGCCGGCTGGCGGACCTCCATCTTAGCACAGACTCGACGGACAACGTCCAAGAGGATCAAACATGTAACACCGAGTGCAGCATCTAGATGGGTGTCACCAAGGTGGCGCAACGTCGCGATGATGACCTTGTAAGGTTCCTCGCTCGTATTAATTCCCGGAATTCCCATCATGACGGGAAACTGCGTACAAATGATGGTGATGCTGGCGGCAGTAATGAAAGCCGACACGGGAATATAAGGAATGACTTCCACAAGCCAGCCCAAACGAAGCAGGCCGACGCCGAAGAGAATCAGACCGGTGATAAATGACAAGGTTTTGGCGATTTCAGGGCTCGTATAAGTGTCTGGACGTGAGTTGTGGACATGGTTGATGACTTCTCCGACTAACAGAGAGCCGACGGCAGTGGTCTAGACAAAGTCCCCAAAACGGGGGACGAACAGTCAGCATCTAAGAAGACCCTTCCTGTTTTCGTTCTTCTTCCAAGCATTGAAGAAAAGTAAATAGGTTTTCACATACCCCGATCACTATATCCTTGGACGTGCCAAAGAGCCAGTATGTCGCCGCACCGGCAAAGGAAGTATACAACCCAAAATCGGGCGTTAAACCCGCCAGCAGTGCATAGGCCATGGCCTGGGGTATCACCACCAAACCTACAGTCAGTCCTGCGATACAGTCGCCCATCAGCCATTGGAGATTATATCGAGGGATCCAGTCGATGCATGGCAGGAGATCGCGGAGGTATCGAAGACTGCCATTAGCGGTGGGAACTAGTTCTTTCAGAGCACCTGACACCGTCGGCTCCTCCTCGTAGTATGGAACGACGACATCCTTAATTTCCTGTGGAAGGGACGTCGTTTCTGTGGTATCTGGCACCGATAGTTCTTGCGTTGGCTGTGTCTTGGTGCTCCTATTCAGGATCTTTGGGAGTATTTGCATGTTGTCCGGTTGCCTGCCCAGCTGGAGTAAGTTCGGGATATTGACAATCGATGTGGTCTATCTGCGGCGGTGGCTTCATGGCGAGAGAACCGGCCGGGTCTGTCTGTTGAGGTTTCTCATGCCATGATGAATGATTTCATGTTCTTTCGACAGTCCCATCATGAGGCATTAATCGTAGGTGGGATCCAGGCTCTCCGCTTCGACTGAGTTCGCCGATCGCCCTGGATCGAGTTCCCCGAAGCATCCCGGCGATAGAGTGGAGCATGGGGATCACCACAAGGGAGTGCAGCGGAGAGAACTATTGCTATCGCTGCATGTTGTGAAGAGAGATGGACTTAGTTGATCAAGGTTGAGTCTCCGAACCTGCTAATATGGTGACTAGAGCGTGAGACTTCTGGCCTATTTGGCAGTCCCAAACATAGTGTCAATAACTCTGACGTAGATGGTCGAAACCGATAGTGGCCGATCTTCAATGCAGGTAAACAACTGGATTATGACTCCAGCAAAACGGTGAGTGGACAAATGGTCTTGATTTCTGTTCCAACGCTTATAGAAATACATATGAGAAAGACTAGTTTGTTTCGTGATGTGCTGTTCAAGCCTGACATTAAGCAAGTCTTGATCTGCAAATGGAAGCCCGTCCCTGCTTTGGTCGTCACCCAAAAATTGGGAAGTCGAACTTTCCAAGCAGGCTAGATATTGTCCCTCCTTCTTCGCTCTCCCAACCAATCCGTCCATAAACTCGTCAGGGATTGGAGAAGAGGACAGTCATGACAGGTGTATCACCACTGAGCATGTTCCAATTTCAGAGGGACATGAAGCATGCGCAACCCCGAGGAAGAAGGCCGAGGAAGACGTCCCGCCCGAATGTTGATCTGTAGGGATTGATCAAGGAGTTTAGGTGGACCAAGGGTAGCATCTCGCTGTTGACGCAAGGCTACAAAGTCGGTCTCAGTGACATCCTCCTTCAGATGTTTGTTCTGGTCACGTTGCTGCCGGACTGTCATCCACGGCACCCGGCCCTTTTGATCCTCTGGCGGATAGTCATGACCAGACCAGATTTTGACGTGATCTGGTAGTTGCAGCAGTTTTCTGCCTGACCGAAACAGCATCAGCGCGTCACCACCGGGGAAGTCGGCGCGTGCGGATCCCAGATCGGCGTGGAACATCGAGTCTCCTACAAAGACATTGTCTGGTGAGATGAAAATGGTCAGTCATTTGTTTCCAACCCAGGTTCTTTCATTGTGGGAAGAGTTCCCTTACCTCCAATCATGTATCCCATATGATCTGGTGTATGTCCAGGTAGGTGGATGGCAACGCTTTTCAGCGACCCAATGTGGAACACCTCGTTGTCCTCAAAGAGTTTGTCAAAGACACTCTCGTATTCCTCGCTTGGAACACCGTATCTCCCAGCCCATAGTTTCTGTACGTCGGCAATACGCTTTCCAATGCCGACAGCGGGCGCGGTGCCCTGGGATTCGGCAAGTTTGTGTTGCAGATAGTTGGCTGCAGTGAGGTGGTCCGCGTGGGCGTGCGTCTCGAGGATCATTTGCACCTTGTATTTGTTCTGGTGGACCATGTCTAGCAGGGAATCTGCCGTAGTCGTCAGAATCTCCGAGCTTGCACTGTCATAGTCCAGGACCGGGTCGATGATGACGGCTTCCAGTGTCGCAGGATCCGCAACAATGTACTGCCATGTGCCGGTCTTTTCCTCGTATATATCGTGTACGACTGGTTCTTGTTCTGCAACCACGCCTAGAGTAGCATGCGATGCTTGTCGTACTTGAGTGGCTTGTTTCTCCATAACACTTTGCAATGGGATTCGTTGCAATGGTAGAGACGGTGCTGTTGCTTGCTGTGGTCGAGAAATGGTGACAATACCTCTTTTTGGAGCATAAATAGAAGAAGTATTCAAACAACGGCCCGAGAAAGATCTCCCACGCGACTTCATATATCGAGTCGTCGCATTCGGTGACTCGCCCAACTTCAGTGGGCTTGCACGAAGGGTTGCCGAGCACCTGGAACAACGCAGTGTCAAAGACATGCTTCCCTGAGAGATGATTCCAGACCCATCTAGGACTTGGTGTGTTCCGCTGCTAGTTATAAATCCACATATTCTGGAACATGACATCGGTGTTGACCAAATATGCTTTACGATGTGGTCGGGGATTTGATCGCCGTTCAGAATGACCCCAGTTTCTATTTCTTGCCACATGCCCGGAACCCTGGTTTGATATATCAAGGGCCCACATCTTCAGCGTGATTCTGATTTGCTAGTAACTAGGATTATCTCAGGCGACCTCACGGGGAAACACCAGGTCCCCGAGATTACTGCAGCCTTTCGAAGTAAACATGCTCACACAAGGATTTTTTACCACACCAGATGATATGACGGGTGTTGAGTCGGGAGGATTTGGGATCTGAACATTCCGATGGTCATGCCACGAAAGGGGTTGTAAGACTCGTCGGCGAAGCTACATGAGAAAAGGGTTGTCGCACATTCTAGACTTTTTGTTAAACTCATATCACAATTTGCAATTCAGTCACTCATTTGGGCCTTGCCTAGAAATGTCTCAATCAGCGGTGCAGTCAGTGTTGCGCAACCAGGTTCGATCGAAGGTGCGATCGAGCATCTCTGTCCATCAAATACAAAAGTGCACACTGGCAACTGTTGCGCCGATTACTTCCTTGACCAACTCTGGAAAGGGTCATAAAGTGGTTGTTGTCGGAGGTGGAGCTGCAGGTCTCGCTGTCGGCCATCAACTGCTACGTAGTGGCAAGTTTGCAGCAAATGACATTGCCATCATCGATCCTGCAGATCACCATAATTATCAGCCAGGATGGACTCTCGTTGGGGGTGGGCTGAAGAAGAAGGAAGACTTGCAAAGGCCGATGCAAAGCTTGATTGATTCAAAGTTGAAGTTCTATCAGGAGGCAGTGACTGGCTTCGAACCAGACAAGAATGTCGTGGCATTGAGCAATGGAGACAAAATCACCTATGATCAATTGGTTGTTGCGCCAGGCATCAAGATCAACATCGAAGCCATCGATGGTCTATCTGATGCTCTCCAAGACCCCGACTCAATGGTGACCACAATCTACAGTTACGACCACTGCTGCAAGGTTTTCCCGGCGATCAAACGGTTTAAACAAGGCAACGCGCTCTTCACGCAGCCAACAGGCATTGTCAAATGTGCCGGAGCACCTCAGAAGATCATGTGGTTGGCACTAGATCATTGGAAACAACAAGGCTCGTATTTGCCAAAGGCGCCTTCGCAGTCACCTATCAAGATGACCTTTGCAACTGCTTTACCAGTCATGTTCGGGGTGCCCAAATACAGCCAGAGACTCAACCAGCTGAGAGAGGAGCGAGGAGTTGACGCCATGTTCGAACACGACCTCATCTCCGTGAAAGACAAGGTTGCCACCTTCAAGAGTGCCAACAGCAAAGAATTGATTCACAAGCCATTCGACTTCCTTCACGTGGTACCAAAAATGGGACCATATCCATTCATCAAAGACAGCCTCCTTGCCAATGAAGCAGGATTCGTCAACGTCGACGAGACGACTCTTCAACACAAGGAATATCCCAACGTTTGGTCACTCGGCGACGCCGCAGCCCTTCCCACTTCGAAGACTGCCGCCGCAATCACGGCACAAACTCCTATTGTGGTTCAAAACGTACTCAAAACACTTGAAGGATCAAAGACATTGAGTTTGTATGACGGATACACTTCTTGCCCGTTGACAACCGAGTACGGTAAAGTCATGTTGGCTGAGTTCAAATACGGACCTGAACCAAAAGAGACATTTGGTAAATTTTTGGGCATTGATCAAGCCACACCACGACGGTCTTTCTATTACATGAAGAAAGATTTCTTTCCTTGGGTGTATTATAAGTCGATGGTTAAGGGTACGTGGGCGGGTCCCAAAGGATGGACGTCTTGATCAAGATCCTGATCCTGATCCTGTACCACTTGAAAAGTTACGCTGGGGTGCGTGTGTCACATTGTGTATGTTTTGTGGCATCAGCAGTAGATACAATAGATTTGCTATTTTGGATGGTTATGACTTTAGTGACTGACTGAGGGGAGTTTCAGCTTTGGAATCCCCATTCTCGGACTCGAACCACGACTGTAAACGAGTCTTTGAGGAATAACTCGTCGATGCTGCAACCAAGTCACTTTGCCGACAACGCTATTATGAGATTAACCAGCCAAAAAGATTCCTCAGAGCCGGTGTTCGCTGCAGCTCATGATCCAAATATTGCATTTTCGTTCTCTTGTGTTCGAGACCATGCTGAGGTTTCGGCAAATGTGATTCAAGAAAAGGAGAGGGATTTCTATGCGACTTATCAATTGACAAGTACCATGCCAATGAAATATACGGAGTATATTCGATCGGTGGGAGAGTTTTTGGGTGTGACCTTCCAAGTTAAGCAGGTTCCATATGAGGAGGCTGTGAAGATGTATTGTAAGGGAATTATTGGGAGCGAAGAGGTGGATCAGGTTTATAGGGATGAGCCGGAGAGACTTCTGTTGTATTACAACAGGCGAGGTATTGAAGGAAGTCCTGGGATTTTGCAATGGTTGCTTGGTAGACCGGGGATAACACCAGCGGAATTAGCTGTGTCGATATTGGAAAGTAGTAGGGAAAGCTCATCTAGATAGGACCAATGTGCCGTCGAGCCTCGAGGAATGGCCCGGCGGTTTTGAATTTTGAATGCATATCTTTACCATCTTCGTCGTGTTTCTCGGATTGAGAACAAAGGTCTGGCGAGAGTATTACACGAGATCGCTTGGTACAATTTCTAAGTTCCTCATTTTCTACAAATGGCTACAGACGGCGACTAACCCCGAGTCGCGTGTCCTTCGCATAATCACCTCGCCGAAGTGGGCCATGTTTCTAGCTAGGCGGTGAAAAGTCAGGGGAAAATTTGAGCTCAACAATGGAAAACAGATAAGTGGCGGGCAGGACAAAAAGGACGGGTTTCATGGATGTCAAAGGATCTATCATTTTGATCATACTCGGAGCTGGCCAAGATGTCCAGCCAGCAGCTCCGATATCCTTTCTGGTTTGGCGGAAGTGCGAGTTGTATGGCAGCATGCGTTACACATCCTCTTGATTTGAGTGAGTAGATGGATATATTTTTTTGAGGGCCGTGCTGACGTTCTTCGCCAGTTAAAGTATGACCCTCTATGAGTGAGAGAGTCAGTTGTGCCATGCTCATAAGTTGTCAGGTTAGGCTACAAGCTCAAGCAGGCATCAATTCGCCTGGCCTAGTGGATGTGTGCACAGGCATCTTCAAACAAGAAGGGTTGTCCGGATTCTACAGTGGATTGTCAGCGAGTCTGGTGCGTCAGGCCACTTATTCGACGATCAGATTCGCGGTGTATGAAGATGTGAAGCAAAGGTTCGGGCCCAGCCCAGATGCATTTGTGCTAGGGATCATTGCGGCTTGTTCCGGGTTCGCAGGAGGTCTGGCTGGCAACTTTGCTGATGTCGTGAACGTGCGCATGCAGAACGACAGTGCATTGCCAGAGGCGCGGCGCAAGAATTATCGAAATATCTTTGACGGCGTAATAAGGATAGTTCGCGAAGAAGGAGCAGCAAGCTTGATGAAGGGGTGGATGGTCAACTGCACTCGAGCCACGGCTCAAACCACGGCACAACTGGCGACTTACGATGTGATCAAGCGATATCTGATGGAACACACAAGCCTCCAAGGAGAGTGGTCATCTCAGTTGACAGCTTCATTCCTGGCAGGACTAGTGGCCACGACGGTGACGAATCCGATTGATGTGACCAAGACACGCATCATGTCCACAACCGAAGCAGAGGGTTTGTTTGCTGTGGTGAGGACCAGTTTCCAGAAGGATGGACTTGGGTGGATGTTCCGGGGATGGCTGCCAAGTTTCTCTCGAATTGGACCGTAAGTCAATACTAAGAGAGGAGATTGAGATGAAGACAGGAATGACAAGGCTAACCATGGCAGTCACACGGTTTGCATTTTCCTTTTCTTGGAGATGCACCGTCAACTGTACCGGCAGTGGCGAGAAGACAGGGCGATGAGCCAATGATGCTCTGGCAGTTGGTCGTTGGTCGTTGGTCGTTGGTCGTTCGTCTATTGATTCTGATTTGAGGCGAAGGAGGAGGATCAGATGTCATCTTCGGAAGGAAGGAGCTTTCCAGTCCTGACTGGTGCTTTCCAGATTGATTGCCAAGGCGAGGAATGCGAGGAAGGAGCCATGATGCCGAGCTTCTCCCTCGAGGAAGGTGCTACAGTGGCAACAAGCGTGCAAAAACCGCAATTGGTTTCTGCAAAAATATTCATCAACACTCGGACAATACCGCAGGCTGCACGGTGTCGTGTCTTGAAATGCAGCACCATCAGGCAACAGGAGTACTGTGAGTTCTGTGAGCATGTTTCATGGAGCATCTAACATGTGACAGGCATCAAGATGTACCAAATGGGGACCTCGGGGATCCGGGGAAGTGAAAGTCGGCGATCACCAAAGACGTTGGACGATCACGGGCCAGGCACACACACCCACCGCACACCAGGGTCACCAAAGCTTCGTATTCTCCCTCTCCATGTGACAAGTCGGATTAGGTCGGCCGCCCCACCAGCCTTGCCCAGTCTCGCCCCCACCGGATGATGAAGTACCAGTACCTTTGTCTCAACGTCGACGTCCGATTTCCGAATGATCTGTCGAACCTATTTTCATGTCTCAATGCGATCTAAACAACAAACCCTACCTCATCAAAACCTGTCTAGAGATCTTGTTGTGATGCTTCCCAAGAAGAAACCTAATCCAAGCTCAAGAGCTTGCTTGTCGTGTCGGGAGAAACACCTCAAGTGCGACGGCCAACTACCAGTTTGTGCGCGTTGTACAGCAGCAGGCCTGCCATGTGTCTTTATAGAGTCACGGCGGGGCCATCGACCGGCTGTACCAAAAGGCCAGCCAACGGCCCTGACACGAGAATTAAATCTTGACAGCTCTGCGCTGAATGTCCAACAAGTCCAAATAATTCCATCTGGAAAGGAACCCCAGGCGCAAAGGACGCAACAAAACACCTCGTCGAGCGAAGAGACCACCTCGATCATTGGAGTAGACTACAACATACCGGGCGACGATCACCTCGTAGGCCTATACTATCAATACATTCACCCCGCACATCCATTTATCCTGCCACAGAAATTATTCCGGCGAAACCCAAGTATCTTCCCTGACCATCTCCGAAATGCAATCTGCTTCATCGCAAGCCACCATTCCCCCAACAGCTTGGATCGGGCTCGAGAGCCGCCCGTGGCAGTACTTGGTTACTCGGTGCCAGATGACGGGTTCAAAGTGCAATCGTTGATCCTGCTCACATTGGCATCCTATGCACGTTTCGAGCGGGACCAGGGCAACCAAGCTCTCTCGGGTGCGGTGGATCTCGCACGGCGGATTGGGATCGACTCGGATGCATTTGGCCAAGGATATGATCCAGTCTATCGAGAAAGCTGGAGGCGAACGTGGTGGGAGCTCTACACCATCACCGGCCTGATCTCGCTGATCGGAGGCACCATGTTCAGACTGCCGCAGCCTGCAAGAATGACGCTCCCCACCAGCTGCGAAGGTTACAACGCCTGTCTGATTAGTGATGGGGGAACCAACATAGCGATTCAACAGCGATTCTCGGCCGAGTCGAGCTTCGAATGGTCGTCGTTTGCCTACCGGATCGAGGCAATGCGAATCCTCAGCATGGTGCTGGATATAACCGACGAGCTGGTGCAGTCACGTCCCGATGCGACCGAGTCCGCAATCTCTAGCTTCCTTCTTTCTCTACCGGTCAGCAAGCGTGACGGGTTGCAAAGGAACGGCGAGGTGGACGAAGTCATGTCTTGCGCCTTGATGATTATTCATCTGGCTAGCATTTGTCTGCACCTCCCACGCTCCACACTTGCCCGTCTTCGGGGCTTTCGAACTGTGTGCGGAACCAATGGTGGGACGCCTATGAACGAGACCAGCACGTATCACGATGCAGCAGCTCTTCGATCAGCCAAAGCCTTGTCGAAGTTGTTGACATCTAGATCCACATTATCAACACTGTCTCCTTGTTTCTCGTGTGCGATTGCTTTTGCGGCGGTTGTCCAGCTCCCTGCATACCTTGTCCAACAGCCTCCTGAGTCGGATTATCTCAAGGAATATATCCAATTGGAACTAAGTGCTCTTCAACACCTTGGAGAAACCTGGCCCATTGCGCGCGTGGTCAGAAGTCAAATTGCACAGTTCTCCAGGGAGATTATATGCCCGCAACAGGCGGTGGTGGTGCAGCAGCAGCCAATGCAACAGACGATGGTGCCCTCATCTGAGCGATTGCCCACTCCAGTTTCTTCAATGCCAGGGGATCAATGGTTAAACGACCTACTAAGCACCGACTTTGGGTTTACGGAGACGACATTCTAGAGATGGTTGATTTGATTCACACAAAATTGATCTGTTATCTTCTACTCCGTACATGCTGGAGCTTTGGTGGCTGCACCTTCCTCCACTTCCTCCTCCACTTGTCATCGCTCTTGCCTCGAGCATGACAAACTGGGAATGTGAAAAGCGGCGGGGACGCTAAGCCCATTCGGGACAAGGCTAGCTCCCAGCCTTTTTCTCTCATGACTCGAAGATCTGTTGGTGGGCGCTTCAAAAACGCCACAACCAATGAATTGTCTGCGCCTAATCAATTTGATGTCACGTCGGGACAGATTCAAGGTGCACAGACCATCGGTACAATACTCCTAGAAGCCCTATGCCTCCAAGGCTTGTCCCATGCTTCTGCTGCCCAAATTCTCAGGCATCCAGGCACCAGACACCTAGAACAACCCCTCAAACTCCCTTGTCTCCCGCTCTCGTCAAACGACACTGGACCAAGACCCCACGTTCTTCAGGCTAGGATTATCTATCGTCGCCCTTGTTCTGCCGGAAGAAGAACGGAAATGATTCAAAGTTTCCTAAAGTCGATGCTCGACGTCAGGCCCGCTTGATAAATTGGATTCAAGTCTTTCTAATAGTGAATATGACTAACCTTCCCACCTAGCACTATCTCGTTCTGTCATATTGTACTACTATTATACATACTTTTAGAACCCCAGATTCGTCCCCCTCTTCTCATTTTTCCATCTCCTGCTCCCGTTCTGGCGCGAGACTCTCGACTATATCAACCCACGAGCCACCACGACTACATCCGACTACATCCGTGCGACTGTCCCAGATCCCCAGAGCTCACCTGCTCTGGATAGTCATTGTACTACTGTTTATCTGTCGACTTCCATCTCGTTGGCTTAGCGGCTAGATCCTCTTAAGCTTCGATTCACCACTTCGCTGCCGTTACTTCAACGCCACCATCATCGGCGGATCGATCGATCTCACCACTCTGGCACTTTTTCTGCACGGCCCTGGTACCTTCGCCTGGGGTTTCCCACGTGCCCCTTCCCAAGGACCCTTGGGACATTTTTGTCCCTCCGGGCCAAGCAGATCGCAGAGCCTGGTCTCCCACGGACGGCGACTGCTTACTTTACCATCTTCCTCTTCGTCACTCGACGCGATTGCTTTTTGTCATTTACTCCCTGTACAAACATGTTTCCCCGAAGAACGCTATCTATTCGATCCGACATCTGCTCCTTCTTATGACTCTAACGTGGGAAACGCGTTAAGGTGAAGTGATCGCCACCAGTTTCAATCAACCAAACATTTACTATCTTACATCATCATTGCCTCATCCGACCATGGCAACTCCGCGCCGACTTTCACAGCTCAATAGAGCGTTAAGTACTCCTCCAACGACCCCAGACTCGATCGTGGTCTCGGACTTAAAGGCTCCTCAGACACCTCAACAGCAGCGTTCAGGTCCTTCTGTCCTCACTCCTCCAACATCGCCACATCTGTCAAGATGGCCCCACGGCACAGAGACACAGACCCCGACTTCAAATCCCAATCATTCGAGTCCGACATCACACCCTCGACCGCGAGGAAATCACCTCCAGCCACTTCAGACAAACGCCCTTCCCAACCAGACGGAAGTCGAGTGCTCCACAGCCCCTCAATGTCCCTTTGATATCGAGATTCTCAAGGACAGTCGCGGTCGTGACGCCTACTTTGGCACTGGAGCCTGGAGCATCGTTTACAAAGCGACCGTACGCACAGGCTCCCTCACAAGTTCATGCACTCAAACTGGAACCGAGAGACTGACACCACCATCGTCCCCGGTATCAAGTCTACCATTGCTTGTGGCCGTGAAGAAGCCCGTCCGGCGAGATAGTGACGAAATTCTTCGAAATGAGGCCAAGACGTTAAGCTACCTACAGAACCTCCCACACGGGCCTGAGTTTATTGTCCCATTCTACGGGGTACTAGAACAATCCACCATCGTCCTAGCTGCTATCCCACTCACACTCGAACACCATATTCGTAAATGTGCTGAAGCGGCCAGCAATTCGACCTCAATGATCGCGACCTCACCCATTATTGGCACAATGCCAACATGGCTCGTACTAGCACATAAGCTCATCACCGCGCTCGCCTGGCTACATAACGAGGCCGGAGTGATCCACGGCGATCTCAAACCAGGAAACATACTTCTATCACCTCTTCCCTCCACCGGCCTTGACCCTCCCATGGACTCGTCTTTCTTCAACTATACACCTCTATTAGCTGACTTTTCATCATCACAACTCCGGTCCACCACTACACCCACACCTAATACTTTGTCGGCAGTGACACGCGAATACACCGCTCCCGAACTCTTGTCATCGGCTGTTCTCCGCAACCCAGAGTCCACCGCCACCACAGACTCGGATGTGTTTTCATTAGCCGTCACTCTCCTTGTCGCCGTCACCGGCCAAATGCTCGTCTACCCTGGCAGTGTCTTGCAGCGACAGGCCATGGCCACACAAGGCTGGCTGATGCTGAGTCATGTCCGGAATGGTGTCGGTGGTGAGAGAGTGGCCAGGGGTGGCGTAGTGGAGAAGATGCTTGAACCCGCCGTCAGGAAGATTGGAACGGGGAGAATCGACGCTATGGAATGGTTGAAAATGACAGAAGAGCTGGCAAAGACGTCGATAGGCGCGAGCTAGCCAGACCCAGTTCACTCAGCTCAGCCCAGGCAAGCAAAATACTCCATGTAATATTGTACCATCCTTTTTCAGCAACACTGTCCATTTTTGGGACGTTTCTCATGAGCCCTCATTTCGGCCATCGACGTCAGCGTCGCCGGCATGTATTAAATAGCTAGATAATTACAAATCTACTGAGCTATTCTTTTGATCTTATCAATATTCTACGACTCTTGCGTGATCTTAAACTCAGAACAGTGTCAAGTTAGATACTCCCGCCTGTATTAATAGCAGCTAGATAGGCAAGGTATTTAGGACATAATTCATTTAGATATATAAATCATTTCGTTTCATTTCAGTTCATTCATTCACTCATCCACATGCCTGTCATTTCCTCCTCAAAGGTTCGTCATCCAACAGCAACAAAGTTGTGATATAAGTACTAGGTATACTGTCTCCCCCCCTTCCCCCCCTCCCTCCACATCACGCAGCATCAACATCAACATCAAACCTCATATACCACCCACGAGCCAACAACAAACAGGGGATATATAGGATATAGGTAAATCCATAGGATCAAGCCCAACCGAACCCACCAAAAGTTCCATCATCATCAAGTAGGGAACATCCTCACTCTCCTTCCATGCCCTTCCCCTGTCCCTCCCTCATCAATAACCCACCATAAAATCCCTCCTCTCCACCGCACCACCCATACTCTCACAAAACTCACCCAACCTCACCCCCCACTCCTGCATCCTCTGTTCATAATACGGTTTATCCTTCCTTGACTTCTTCGCCAACATGCCCTTCTGCACCTCCCACTGCCAATACTCACACATTTCCTTGCCATCGCCTTGCACAATCGGCCGTATTTCATGCACACGTTGCAAATGTAATAAAAACCTCGGATATGATTTCGGCGGGTTGTATTTACTTTCAATACCCCATACCAATCGATACACACCGGATTTACTCACCGTGTGCGTGTGAGTTCGTTGAATAGTCTCTGCCGGGGATGGGTCGTCGAGTAATGGGTCGTCGGGCCGGGATACTTCGGTGGTGATGACGTTGAGATCACGGGTTTCGTGTGGGGAAGTCGGGAGTTTGGTCTTGATGTGCAGTGTCATTCGTGTGCCTTCTTGAATGCGCACGCTGGGTTCACCGTACAGAGCATTGAGGTGGAGACGTTTACGTTCAGCTTTCCCGCTGGCGCTGGATTTGCGGCGGCCGCCGCTGTTGCTGCTGGTGCTGTTTCGTTGGGCCATGGCGAGAGCGGTGGCACTGGTGTTTTTCGGCGCCGGCATCAACACCGAGTTACTGCCGGGGACTTCCAGCATGACTGAGTTTTGGTTTTCACTTGTGCCTGCACCGTTGGTTTGGCCGCCGCCGCCGCCGCCAGACGAGAGCGAGGCTTTGCGTGCTTCTTGTGCGGCTTGGAATTTCTGTGCCCCCGAGAGTCCGCCGTTGGAGTGAGGGCGTGGTGAATCGGATGTATTGCTCATGGCGGAAATTCTGCTGGCGTTGCTGGCGAGGCGTTGTCGAGTTACTGGTGGAGGGATGTATTCTGTAGCAGTGGGACTTTGAGGTCGCTGGTCGCGAGATGTACGAGGAGATGACGGATCACCAGGGGATGCTGGGCTTGCCGCGCCTCCAGAATGAGCACTGACTGCTGCTGCCCATGTGATGCTTCCTCGACGAGGTTCCTCTCTCTGGACCTGAGGCATGATGCCGCCGTCTGTGATTTCCGAGTCGTGGTTGACGGCGATAGATGTGTTGCGAACGAGTTCTTCGATCTCGGCAATGGTGGCGTCGTCTTCATCGTCAGGTTGGTCGGTGATGGTCACGGTGGGAATCCATCGGTTCCAGTCTTTCCATGTCTCGGTGTTTCGAAGGGTTCGGAACACTAGCGATGCTGGCGCGTTGATTCTAGTGCATGCCGACACGTACCAGATGGCTTCAGACATGGGTATGTCGGGCGTGGAAAAGTCGGTCTTGGTGGTAGCCATGGTGATCGGTAGAAGACGATCTCTCAACTCGAGGCTTGACTGTAGTTTGTCCTGGAGAGGCTGTACCAGGAATAGCCTGGATAGACACCAAGCTGGGTTGGTGCTGGCAGTAGATTGAGTTCTAATCCTGATATTCGTTCTCACACGTTGACACTGGTCAAGCTTCCATGTGGAGCTGACCGTTGAAATATGCCAAGTATGAATATAATTGACTGATACCCAACTGGCGAATGACCTGACCGAGTATGGTGAGCATCGAGAAGACCAAAAATATCTGAACAAACAGCCTTGTCGGCAGAAGGTAAGATTAAAATGAGTCAGGTGGATTGAAATCTGTGATAGCAGCGCAAAGAACCGACAGCTTTTAGGTTGCTCTTGGTGGGCTGGCAATGGTTAATCCCCATAGGTTGTGGGGGAAGAGGGGCGAGGGGCTTCACTCAGTCTCCGCGAACAATGTGGACAAGTATACGACAGATCCTGGCCGTGTTGCTAATTACCCCAGTCAATTATGTCATTAATGACTAAATGGGCTTGCAAGTATGCTTTGGAAGGATTGTGAGAGAGATGGACTCATCCAAGTCACGAGTGAGAGGAAAGATAAGGAACGCAATGCATTGTATGGTAGTGTGTCCAAGAAAGACTGCATGATTCTACCATAAGAGATACAGTCGTCACTAAGTCATAATAAGTATCAGCCCCGGAATGTGGGGAATATCGAGATGGAGAAGCAGAAGCAGAAGAGGAGGAGGAAATCTTCATCAGCAGAGTCGGTCGTGTGAAGCGAGCCGAATGACAATATGATTTGATTGGTTGAATCAAGACCATTTAAGATGAATGCATGTGATCATCAATTTTCAAAGATTCAGGCATCCTTGCATGGATGCTTATGCGACTGTTCATTGTCTGGTCTTGTTTTGACTCATTATCTCATCTGGTCTCGTCTTGAATCCATTTCGATACTGCCTATCGACTCATCCCTACCACCAGCGCCTGAAACTCTCATAGTCTGACTCATATCCCCAATCTTCGCGTCAGATGGGACAGCATCCAAGCATTGGACCCAGCATGTCGCTGGCAATGGGTGAGTTGGCAGTGGTTCACCATTGCCAGCAAAGGTCAAACGCCCATAAATCTCCCTCTCAAGCATCTGGCACTTCGAAAGTGCTCCCCTTCTCATGGGACGTACCCCTGTCACAAGGCTGTAATTTTGTGCCACTTTGGAAGCCCTGCTTCTGTACATCTGAGCCAGCTCACGTCGAACAGGGGCATGATCTGGCACGACAAAGCGATGGTGATGGCTGTCCGTCAGCAAATGACTCATAGGATTGGCGATAGTCGAGCATGAACGGGAAATGGCGACGTGAGCCCAAGACCAAGGCCGTTCGCTCAAAACTCTCCTCTCAAACCCCCAACCCTGACCACGGCCTTGACTGTGGGAACGCTGCCGTGTGTGCCCCAACGTTCATCCCAGGCCTAACCGACGGAGGTCGACCCATGCACATTGATTCGAAACACTTGACATCGTTCTCCTCAAATCGAACAATAGCTCACTTTCGTGCATGTTCCCTCTCCACCTCATACATAAAATCAAAGTATGACTTGTCAAAGTGATGTGACCGGACATAGCCGTCTTCACCACCACTGGCGTACGCAATACCCTGGGGATGAACAGCGATAGTGTTCAGCGGACCGAAATGACCTCGGACACGACCGATCTCATCTTCAAAGATCTTGTGGTAGAACCGTGCTTCGAATTTACCCTGTCGAGCTGAGGTGGTTGTTACATCCATAGCGGCTTGTCCACCACCGAGAATGACAAAATCTTTCTTGGGGGTAATAGCGGCGGTGTTCAAAGGGGTGTCGGCGTAATATGTCTTAAGAATGCCAAGATCCCGCGAAGAGCATATCTACCATTGTCAGTAATATTCTGTGTGCATCTGAAAAAGGGATCACCCACTCTTGCCGACTTGTCTTTGCCTGCTGTGATGAAGTATGTGCGGTCGGGGGAGAATTGGAGGTCGTTGATGGTTGTGTCGAACTCGTGAACTTCCTGGCTCATAAGATAGTCGCCGGTCTTGGGTGTTTATTAGCTAGATGTCTTCGTGAAAAAGAAAATCAACTCACCTTTGCGTCCCACTGAGTGACAGTACCATCCTCATGAGCAGAAATGATGTACTTGTCCAAATAACTCCAGCCTGCAACTGTTGCTTTGCTGTCCTCGCAGACAATGCGCAGACTGTGTTCGTTGGCCTGGTCGGTGAGATCATCACCATACCGAATGTCGTACACCACAATCGTTCCGAGGTGACCCATACGCTTTTCTGTCACAGCCAGGAGTTGTTTGCCATCTTCGCTGAATTGAACTCTTTTGATCGCAGTCGGCCATTCCCATGTCTTGACACACTCTCCCGTTTGAACGTTCCATAGTTTGATGGCGTTGTCGGCAGCTCCAGTGGCTAGGAGTGTGCTGTCGGGTGAAACGTCCACTGTCCATACTGCTCCCTGGTGTCCATTGTATGTTCCTAATCTTTCGCCGTTGCTGGTGAACCACGCACACACAACTTTATCCTTGGCGACAGAGAACAAGAGATCGCCTTCTCGGTTGTATTTGATCTGGTTGAGTGACCGCTCCTATAAATCGATTGTCAGTCATGTGGGCGCTGGTGTGGGAGATTTTTCGATAGTCTTACATGGCCTTGGAGGAGGATGGGTCTCATGGTGTCTCTTTCGTTCCTGGATTTGATTTGTCGAGATTGAAATTACTGTCGATTTATGTTCTTCGTTCTACTCCCAGGTTTGGAGTGTCAAATGTGTTCGCGAGGGTGGCTAATGTAGGTTGTCTGTGATGGAAGCCTACCCACGTTGGATGCTGGGTGTGGGAATTTCTCGCCAAGACTGCAGTTTCTCAACCCACGAGTCATGCTCATCCCTCAGAATGCCAAACATGACTCACCACCTAATTTCTCTGACAATTTTGATGGAACGAAAGAATTCGTATTCTATGACTACAACTCGGTCTAAACCTTCACCCGTCGTCTTTACACGGCTTGTGACATATGAGATGAGGAGATTGTAGATTTCTTTATCTTGCATATGCATAATCGACTGTTTGCAAAAAGGTGTAAGATGCTCAGCAAATCAACTCACTGTTCTGGTACCAATTTGTTTGCATTGTCGGCAGGGCTGCTTCCACTTCCACCGCCGCGCTTCTCCAAAATTTCTCCCTCTGCTCCGATATTTCCCTCTCATCTTCATTCAATTACTCGACACCCTCCCACTATACCGAGGCAAACTCCCTTTCCTTTACTCCGAAATAGTCTACACAATACCTCAAAGTCTCGACTACGCGCTCACACCTATCCTGCCCGTTTTGGACTTACTTTGACCTCATCCAGAACCCCTCGTGGTGGGGCAACACCTTCTCCCAGATTCGTCTTACCCTCCTGCCCTCCCCGTCGTCTATTCAGCACCACTTCACCGATGGGGGCGACTAAGATTGATGGCAAGGCCATCGCTCAAAAGATCAGAGAGCGTCTGGCCGCCGAGATTGCAGAGAAGCAAAAGTCCAACCCTCGATACTCGCCATGCCTAAAGATCATCCAAGTCGGCGATCGTCCAGACTCGACTACCTATGTACGAATGAAACTGAAGGCAGCCGAAGAGGCTGGAATTGACTGCGCTCTGATCCACCTGCCCTCCTCGATCTCCGAGCCTGAACTCTTGCAGCAAATCACGGATTTCAACAACGACCCCGCTGTTCATGGCATTCTCGTCCAGCTCCCAATACCAAAACATCTCTCCGAACATACAATCACATCTGCTGTCTCGGACGAGAAGGACGTGGATGGCTTCGGTGCCACCAACATTGGCGAGCTCGCCAAGAGGGGTGGGAAACCATTTTTCGTTCCATGCACCCCCAAGGGTATTATGGTCCTGCTACAAGAAAGTGGTGTGGAGCTTAAAGGCAAGAATGCTGTCGTCCTTGGCCGAAGTGACATCGTGGGAAGCCCTGTCAGCTTTCTCCTCAGAAATGCAGATGCCACTGTCACTGTTTGTCATTCCAAGACAGAAAATCTGAAGGACGTTGTTAAGCAAGCCGATATCCTTGTCGCTGCGATTGGCCAACCCACCTTTGTCAAAGGCGATTGGCTTAAGCCTGGCGTTGTGGTGATTGATGTTGGAACGAACTATATTCCTGATTCATCCAAAGCCTCAGGCCAGCGTCTGGTGGGTGATGTTGATTTCGATGCCGCTGTCCAGGTTGCTTCTCAAATCACTCCAGTACCAGGCGGTGTTGGTCCGATGACTGTGGCAATGCTTATGCAGAACGTCGTTGACTCAGCCTCGTCATACTTTGAGAGACTGAAGGCCAGACATATCACACCTTTACCTCTCAAGCTGAAGTCCCCAGTCCCATCCGATATCGCTATCTCTCGTGCACAACATCCCAGACCAATCACTCAGATTGCTCATGATGTTGGCATTGCCCCTCATGAGTTGGAGCCTTATGGGGCGTACAAGGCTAAGGTTGACCTCTCCCTTCTATCGAGACTCGAACACCGAAAGAACGGCAAGTATATCTTGGTCAGCGGTATCACACCCACGCCTTTGGGCGAAGGTAAATCGACCACAACAATGGGCCTGACTCAAGCATTGGGTGCACATCTTGGCCGACTGACCTTTGCAAATGTCCGACAGCCCAGCATGGGTCCTACTTTTGGTATCAAGGGTGGCGCTGCTGGCGGTGGCTACAGTCAGGTTATTCCTATGGATGAATTCAACCTTCATCTTACGGGTGACATTCATGCCGTTACCGCTGCCAACAATCTTCTTGCCGCCGCCATTGAAACTCGCATGTTCCATGAGTCGACCCAAAAAGACGGACCTCTGTACAAACGTCTAGTCCCCACCAAGAAGGGAAAGCGCGAATTTGCGCCTATCATGTTCCGAAGATTGAAGAAGCTTGGAATCAACAAGACCGACCCCAACGATCTTACAGAAGAAGAAATCCGACGATTTGCACGGCTTGATATCGACCCTGAGACAATCACATGGAGACGTGTCCTCGACGTGAATGACCGACATCTCCGAGGTATCACGGTTGGACAAGCCCCTACCGAGAAGGGCCACACGAGAGAGACAGGGTTCGATATTTCGGTTGCTAGTGAATGCATGGCCATCCTAGCTCTGAGCAACGACCTGAAAGATCTTCGTGAACGTCTGGGTCGAATTGTGATTGGTTCGTCCAGATCAGGGGACCCTGTCACTTGTGACGACCTTGGTGTCGGTGGTGCTCTTACCGCGCTTATGAAGGACGGAATCAAGCCCAATTTGATGCAAAGTCTGGAAGGTACTCCCGTTTTCGTGCATGCAGGCCCCTTTGCGAACATCAGCATTGGCAACAGCTCCGTGCTGGCTGATAAGCTGGCTCTGAAGCTCGCTGGTACTGAAGTCGACGAAGACAACGACGCCAAGGCTGGCTTTGTGGTCACTGAAGCCGGCTTTGACTTTACTATGGGCGGTGAACGTTTCTTCAACATCAAGTGCCGATCATCAGGTCTCGTGCCAGATGTCGTGGTCGTGGTGGCCACCATTCGTGCTCTGAAGGTCCATGGTGGCGGCCCTGAAATCTCAGCTGGTGCTCCATTGCCCGAAGCCTACAGGACCGAAAATACAGAGATGCTTCGTGCTGGTTGCGTGAACCTCAAGAAGCATATTGCCAATGCCAAATCATATGGTGTCCCGGTTGTGGTGGCCATCAACAAGTTCGATACCGACACAGAAGCAGAACTGAAAGTCATTGAAGAGGAGGCTCTTGCTGCCGGTGCTGAAGCAGCTGTTCCTGCCAACCATTGGGCTGAAGGTGGCGCAGGTGCCGTCGACCTGGCGAATGCTGTGATCAAAGCATCAACGCAACCCAAGGACTTCAAACTGCTGTACGATCTCAACGATACAGTGCAAGCACGTATTGAAAAGATCGGAAAAGAGATGTACGGCGCCGCCAACGTCGAATTCAGTGAATTGGCGCAAAAGAAGGTGGATTTGTACACCAAGCAGGGCTTTGGAAACCTACCAATCTGTATTGCAAAGACTCAATACTCTCTCAGCCACGACCCGGCGTTGAAGGGAGCACCGACCGGATTCACCGTCCCAATCCGAGACGTCAGACTTGCTGATGGTGCAGGATATCTTTATGCTCTCGCCGCTGATATCCAAACCATTCCCGGTCTGCCAACCGCCCCTGGCTACTTCAACGTTGACGTTGACCCCGAGACTGGAGAAATTGACGGACTTTTCTAGGCGATGAATCAATCATATATAGGAGCTAAGGTTTTTACGCGGTGCACACGAGATCCACGGCCATTTCTGTTTCTTCAACAAGTCTTCTCCCAAGATACCCCAAGCTTCAACATGGATGGTGGATGTATATATGGAGGCGTGGAATACAAACACAAACACAGACTCGTCTTTCAACAGCGATGCTCAAATGATATTGGCATCATCGGTGCACGGGGGTCTATAGATGAGCATATCAACAGCTCGATACATGCATTAGTGGCAGAATCTTGATTATTTTTCAGGTGTGATCAAGGCATTGTTCGCCTTTCTAAGCATAACAAAATGGAATGAAACTCTTTCAAGTTATATGAATTGCGTAATCTGACCGTTTAGGTCTGCGTAAAGGCAGCCTCTACCTGATTCTCGGCATTCCAACAAAGCCAAGAATATATGATATTTCAGCCTTGTCCTTGTGCCCCTCAGGCCCAAACAGCAATTCCTCGTATTTCGTTTGTTGACTACTGATTGCCTCATGAGTCATGTTGAGAATCCAAACATTTAAGCGACGCACATCAAGTTTCACGTTGAGTGAAAACCAGGAATGGAATAACGGACTTCATTCATCATTGAGCATCATCTTTTTTGATAGCCCAGTATGGAAACATCAAGTCTGTGAAATGCGCCATCGCTGAATCCCATAAACCCCCCTAAATCATGGTCCCGACGCTGATCATGGTCCTTACGATGGTTTTCCTCCCGCCCATGTCTAATTTTTCCCTGGACATATCCAACCTTAAGGTTTAGGAACATGTAAGGTCTTGCTGACCATTAATGATCCGTTGAGAACGAACAACAGAACTGCAGGGTGGAACTCTAGTAGTGTACCGTCCAGAATGGTTCCGAGAGGGATCGATTCATGAATCAACCCGAACCACGTCCATGTTGCAATGATGGCAGAAACTGTCAGACATGCAAACGGTATAGGTGTTCCTTCAAAGTACTTCGATTTTCCCGACTTGTCTTTGGGTAGCATGGCAACGGTGACATTGAATCTGGCGAGCCGAGTCAGACCGCATAGGACGTAGAATGTGAGGAAGAGCTGGTCGAAGTTGGTGCGAAATCCGACGGCAAAAGCGACTGCTGCAGGAGCCACGCCAAAGGAGATCTGAGATTAAAATCAATATGGTGATCTCTTAGAGTGAAAAGTGTAGTTGTAGGCATACCAAATCAGCCAATGAATCCAACTCTTGACCCATCAATGAAGACTTCTTTCTCCACCGAGCAACCTTGCCATCGAAGAAGTCGAAGAATAGACCAAAGGGCATGAAGCCCAACGCAAACCAGAGGTTCGTCAAGTTGCTTGGATCAGAGAGGAGGTATCGCATCGACGAGAGGACGGACATAACTTGAACCAGGACGTCAGTAGGGGACGGAAGACCGTGTGGGTGCTCATACAGCCGCAGAATCCTGTCCTATGTTAAAATATGTTCCCTCTAGCAATCTGGGAGAAAAAGGAGAGACATACCATTCAGCTCAGTGATTACATCCGCCAAATGCATAGCTCTACCTGACTGTTAGATTGATACTCGCGGCTGAACAGGAAAAACTCAAACGAGTATTACCTAACCAAACTGAAGTGACCAGTGTCCTGCGCCAGCAGAATAGCTTGTTTAGACTGTGCATTGTTCGACGGTTGTCCAGACGAGCTGTCCTGCCCATTGGCAGTTGTGCCAGATCTTCGAGACATTTTCGTAGAAGGGGGGTCGAGGGGTATGTGCGGACCCAAAAGGAAGACAAAAGGAGACAAAAGTATAGGTCACTGGAGAATGAATGTGGGAATTCTAATTCTAGTGAGGGGAAGGAGGAGTGTTCCAGTGGTTATATAGACCCGAGGGTAGTGGTGGTAAAAAGGTTGAAGATTATGATGGCAGAAGGTGGGTTTGGGCGGAAATGGTGCATGCCTGAACTGACGTTCGTTCGTTGGTGATGATGGCAAATAATCGTTGTTGGGTGTTTGAGACTTCAGTTCGTCGTCATCGTCATCGTGCAGGCGCACAGGAGCACACGGGACGAGCCACAAACAAGGCAGAAGCCACAAATAAAAAGGATAATTCAATCCAAATTCGTCCTTAGGGATTTGGTCTCGACCCAAAGCCACAATTGATGGCCACACAATAGCCACACAAAAGACGCCACACTTTTGGATTACCAGTCACGTGTCTACATTCATTGAAGCAGGTTTCCTTTTCAGTCTTTTGACATGGAATAGCAGCAGTGACTCGCAAGTCAGGTGTAAACATCTGACGAACAATAAGGACCAGGATCGTCTCTGATCTTCCAGTCCTGTCCTAAAACATTTTTGTCCGCTATTCCCCGCCGTTGGAAAGGGTATCACCACCAACGCCAAACCAGCCCTGTGCCCATGATCCAGTACAACCACTGCTTGTTTAGAAGCCTCGGCCTCGACCTCTAGGAGCTCCTCTTGAGAAGCCTCCTCCTCGTCCGCCGAATGATCCTCCTCGGCTGCCTCCCCTGGGAGCACCACGACCACCACCGAAAGATCCTCCACGGCCTCGAGGGGCACCACGGCCACCGCCAAACGAGCCACCTCGACCTCTAGGAGCGCCTCGGCCAAAAGATCCTCTTGCGCCACCACGAGTACCGACTGGCTTCTTCACTTTGGTTCCTAGAATTCTGTGAGTACTTGATTGTCGACCGAGAACAGTGTCAACATACCTGGTGGAGGCTTAGGCTTGGGTAGAAATCTGTCGCATCTTAGCATCCAGTTCGTCTTGGTGACCAAATCAGCGTTATCTTACTTCTCCAATGGCAATAGCTTGTCGCCACCAATGTAAAATTTGTCTCCCTCTTTGAAAGATGTCGCTTGAATACCTTCTTGCGGCTTGATGGTGAAATAGACCTGGTTAATGGGTCCTAGAATTTCGTCCACTTTTCCTATTGACGTCTTTTTAGGTGTCAGATAATATTCCATCACAATATTTCACAGTCGCGCACCTTGTTTTCGAGGTAGATAGGAGCGTTGAAGTAGGGGATCTTAGGGTTGATTGATTCGCAGACAAGTTCTCCTTCAGAAGCGTGCAGGAATTTGCCCATTTCTGTCGAAGAAATTAGCCCAAAATCCAGATAAACCATCTTTCCCACTCACCAAACACTTGATCAGGAGGACCATAGCTTTGTTGTTGGAAACCACCTCGACCTAAAACCTCTCGGTCAGTACGTGGTGGCTTTTCTCACCCGCCAAAATTGGGTGTGCGCAAAGTCTCCGGGGGAAGGACCTGCGACACTCCAGATTTTCCTTACCTCCGCCTCGACCTCCAAATCCAAACGATCCTCTTCCTCTGTCACCACCTCGAAATCCGCCACGACCACGCGAATCACCACGGAACGCCATTCTGAATCGGCTTGTGGGGGAGTTGAGTTGTGGATGAGTGCCAGTCTTCAAGAGGACGACTTTTCACCCCGAAAACTGATTTGTTGGAGAAATTTATTTTGATGCAGCGGACCAGAGCATGCGGGCACATTTTGCAGCTTGCAACCACCTGCACCCCCTGCCACGTGACTCGCACTTCACTTGCTGAAAGACTCACACACGGACACCATATCCACTTGGCCAGGACCCTATTATTCCACCGCCACGCATCCACCACTCTGTCTCGTTCTCTGATCATGTCCCATCAGAAGAAGGTCTCTCTCAATCCTCATGATCTGTGGGGAGTTTTGAACGGTCCAAAAATGAGTCAAACTGCGCCAGCACCCCAGGGTTCTGAGTCACCCGCATCTCCTAACGCCAAATCTTCAAAAAGACCCCAAGTTCAGTCCCAGGCCAAGAATTTACCTGGTAGACCCAAAGAAATGTCTACTCAAGCCCCATCAAAGGCCCATCAAGCCCCCAAAGAACTCCCTGATTTCATTCAGGAGAGAAATGTTCTTTTTGAACAACTGAAAAAAGAACATGACCAACAACTCGCCAGCCGAGATAAGCCGGCAATTCAAATCGTCCTGACACCAGCCCCTGGCCAAGAAACCACCATTGATGGAAAAGCATGGGAGACCACACCGGGCCATCTCCTAAAGAATGTGCCAAAGGATCGTGCTGGTCAGATCGTTGTGGCTAAAGTTGATGGTGAACTCTGGGACTTGGACCGCCCTCTAGAAAAGGACAGCAAAGTCTCCTATCTCACCTTCTCCGACCCTGAAGGCCGTGATGTTTTCTGGCATTCGTCAGCCCACGTTCTCGGAGAATGTGCTGAACACGAGTACGGATGTCGTCTGTCACATGGTCCTCCCACAGCCATGGGCTTTTTCTACGACATGGCCCTCCCTCCCGGCGATGCAGTGCGTGAAGCAGAATGGCCATCACTAGAGAACCGCGCCAAGAAATTCACAAAGGACAAACAAGCATTCGAACGTCTTGAAGTGTCTAAGGACAATCTGCGCAAACTATTCGGCTACAGCAAGTACAAGATGCACTACATTGAAAAGTTTGTGCCAGACGGCGAGTCATCCACCGTCTACCGTAACGGCACATTGGTCGATCTGTGCCAAGGTCCTCATATCCAAAACACACGGAAGATCGAGGCGTTCAAGATCATGAAGAACAGTTCAGCCTACTTTCTGGGTGACCAGACCAACGACTCCCTCCAACGCATCCACGGTGTCGCATTCCCATCCAAGCAACAACTCAAAGAATGGGAACATTTCCTCGAAGAGGCCAAGAAGCGAGACCATCAAGTCATTGGTCAACAACAGAAACTCTTCACCTTCAGCCGTCTCTCCCCAGGTAGTCCATTCCTCCTTCCTCACGGCACTCGTATCTTCAATGCTCTGCAACAAATGCTTCGAGATCAATATTGGGAGCGAGGCTACCAAGAAGTCCAATCCCCCAACATGTTTGACGTGGATCTCTGGAAAACCTCCGGTCACTGGCAACATTACCAAGACGACATGTTCCGAGTGGTAGTCAAAGACGACACCTCCGACCCCCTCCCATTGGCCGACAAGACCGCCGACGGCAAACCCCTTCCACCCAAACCCGCCGAAGACAAAGACAAGGGTGTTTTCGCCTTGAAACCCATGAACTGCCCTGGCCACTGTCTCATGTTCCGAGACGAAGAACGTTCGTATCGAGAACTCCCATGGCGAGTTGCCGACTTTGGCGTGCTACACCGTAACGAAGCCTCCGGCGCCCTGTCCGGCTTGACTCGAGTGCGCAAATTCCAACAGGACGACACACACGTGTTCTGCACCAACGAGCAAGTCCAAGGCGAGATCGAAGCATTATTCGACTTCATGCAACACGTATACAGCCTGTTCGGATTCCCATTCAAATTCAAACTCTCCACACGCCCCGAAGGATACATGGGTACATTGGAAGAATGGGACATTGCCGAAGCACGCTTGAAGTCGGCACTCCAAAACTTCCGCGGCGCAGACTGGGAACTGAACGAAGGCGACGGTGCATTTTACGGACCCAAGATCGACGTCACCATTCAAGACGCCTTGATGCGCGAATACCAATGCGCCACCATCCAACTCGATTTCCAGGGCCCTCAGAACTTCAAACTCGAATACCGCACCAACGAACCCTCCGCGACAAACACCGAGACACCTACTGCAGCCAGTTCCGAACCCGCTAAACCTCGCGACCCCAAGGCTCCAGGCCAAGGCATGGCTCGTCCCGTGATGATCCATCGTGCGATCATCGGCAGTTTCGAGCGATTCATCGCCATCTTGTGCGAACACTTTGCGGGTAAATGGCCATTTTGGCTTTCTCCACGTCAAGTCCTGGTGATCCCCGTCATGAAAGGTGCAGAGGACTATGTGCGCGAGATTCAGAGTATTTTCCACAAGGCGCGTTTGTATGTCGACATTGATGTGAGTGGAAACACTTTGCAGAAGAAGATTCGAAGTGGGCAGTTGGCGCAGTATAACTTTATTTTCGGTATGTTCTTCCTTTCCCCCTTGGGTCTTATATGTCCATTCATATTGTCCATTTCATTGCTGACTGGATTCGTTCCTTGTATAGTCGTCGGTGCCAAAGAACAAGAAACTCGTACCGTCAATATCCGCAATCGTGATGATCCGGCTACTCAGAAGATGGGCGAACTTATTCCCTTGCAAAAGGCTTTGGAACGCTTAGTTGCCTTGCGCGATGAGCGACGGCTGGAGAATAAGATTGATATGGGAGAGTAGAGTGATTTGAGATTGGGTAGGGCCATCAGGTGTAGGTTTGAGGAGACTCGGTAGAGCGAACAAGTCGATGTGGTAGCAAGAGAAGACGTCGCGTGTCACCATGTAGAATCTAGTATGGAATTCTTGATCAAGATGTTGTTTGCGTCTTCACTCCATTTATTGACCAACCGATTGCATCGTTTACTACTCGCAATTTTCTTGTAGGTCAAACTCGGATGGCACCGTGAACAATAGTTGATTGCGATATAAATAAAGTAAAAGTTCTAGCTCGACTGTCTAGGCGGTCTGCTCAGGGTTCTCGCCTTCGGCAATGACAGCAACAGGAAGACCTCGACTAGGACTCTGCAAAACCAAGGCCTCGTGTCTCCTGGCCCTTAGGAAATCCGACACAGCGCGGATCAGAATAAACCAACCGACAATCATCAAAATATAAGAAATCCAATCTGAACTTGTCAACCCATGAATCCCCGAACCCGTACCAGCCGAACCTCCAGTCGAGTCCACTGTCTTGGGATCAAAGTTGTGGCTATTTGGGTCTGGTGGTGATGAATCTGCGAATTGACCTGGATTGCCTGAATCTGAGCTTCCACCATCGGCAGAGCTCATGTAGAATCCATACTGAACGAGGGTGAGTCCAAGGCCTGCGCGACTGCCATGTTTGGCGGCATGGGTGGTGTGGAGTAAATATGTAAGAAGGAAGCCGACTAGTTGGAAGGACATGGAGATCATGCCATTCCAGACAAAGGAAAACAAAGAGCCGACGGGAAGACCATCAACATAAACTTCATCTGATGACATTCCTGGGGCGAGAATAGTGGTTTCCCAATACGGAGGAGTAGCATCGGCCGCTGCTTGTTCATATGTCTGTAAAACATGTTAGCAGGGAGGGTGTCTAGTAGTAGAAGCGATTGCGACTTACTGGTGGTTTTTCTTCTAGTTGTTCGCCACGCTCAGGTTTGGCGGATAGGTTGGCAAATACTCCATCGGTAGGCCTTGAGGACGACGGAGGCATAGGCCTGAATACGGGGAGTTCTGTGACTGTTCGTTGGACATTGGGAATTGCCGCAGTTGTAGCGGGAGGGTTTGTGATTGTGCTGGGGGACTCGGATGTTGTTGTTGTTGATGGATCGGCTCTCATCAATCTCTGTCGGTCATCGCCATCATTTTCGGCATCTGATGCCTCTCCATCGTCAAAGGCATCTTCCAGGTCATTGTCATGACCGTCTGAAACAGGATCTTGGTTCAACAATCGTCGGGAGCTGAAGGAGGAAGTCCTTGATCGGAACGAGGGAGGTGGCGATGATGGGGGAAAGTTGCGGTTGTGAGGAGATTGGGGTGAGTCGACGTCCAATTCATCGTTGTTATTGATCTAGATACCAGTCAAGTCAGTCTTGATAGAATCAAACAGAAGAAGCGATGTTGAGAGGCATACCGGCTGATAGCGCTGAGGGGCCATGGCTAGGCCAGGTGGATGTGAGCGGTGACTAGTCAGGTCAAGGGCGGATGGCGGAAGCTATCTGTATAGGGATGTGAATGGTGTATCCAGGAAACCACAGGCTGAATAACAAGGCGATTTGCCTGTGACAGGAGCAAATGGAATGGAGAGAAGAAGAGTGAAGGGTGTTGTTGGCCGGGTGAAGGAGAGTGCACGGGTGACTAAAGTGGTGGTAGGATTGTAGGAGGAAATGAGGGAGTTTAAGCGCAGGTGGAGAGGCAGAGAGCCAGGGAGTTAGAGGGAAGGTGTGGGAGGGTGAGGGTTGGCGGGTACTTAGAGGCAGAAGGTGGGAGCCAGAATGTCAAAGAGACGAATGGACGTGTGATGTGATTGATGGGGGACAAAGGCAGCCGAATTTCCAGTACCTAATAATCATCCCTAGGTTAGATGCCTAGGTGCCTAGGTAGGGAACAACTAAGCACTACCAACTACTGCCCACTACCACCTAATCAGTTGCGTCAACTCCCAAATTGGCTCCATTATTGTCCGCATCCAGACTCTAATCCGCCACCACAGAAGCCAAGAATGTCAAGCCACAAACACGGTCGATCACAGAGGTTGCCCAGTCATAGGGTGGAGTGTTTTGGAGATTGACACATTCCAATTTCCATCAAAGCGTCATCAAAAAGTTGAACGTAGAGTGTTGAATGGTGCAGTTCAACTACAGCCATCTTCCACTGCCTCTACCTTATACTTGCTGTCTTTGAGGCATTTGACCTGCAACATGGCAGCTAATCAATCGGTAATACTCCCACCCCAATTTTATTAACCATCGCTAACGCTCAGCTCCATCCAGACCCTCCTTAAACAATGGTCTCGCATCATCCAAGCGTGGCCCAAAGACAAACTCCGCCCTGACAGTGTGTCGTTTCAAACTGTTATGCAAGCTCGAATCAACAAGCTAGGAGCACCCGCTGTCGCTGCAACTAACGCCAAAGCCAACGATACTCCCACTGCGCAAGCCAGTCCTTCTGCACCTGTCAATGAGCAAAAAGAAATGCGACAGATTAAAGCCCTCGACGCCCTCCTCCAAAACCGCTTTGCAACCATGTACCCTTTTCCAAATGCCGTTCGCTACCCTCAGAGTATGCCAACGCATTACGATGATGTTATTAAGGAGATGGATGAAGCTCCCACCAGGTCACGTTTCACTGCTTTCATGAATAGAATCAAAGGCTCTTTGCGGCTTTCATGAACGATCATTGATGGATGTTTTACCGACGATATAAAAGGAGGTCGCCATTCACATCTTCAGCAATGCGCCAGAGCGAACAACGCCGTGCTCTGCTCACCGTGTCCTCGGAGCAAAGGCGACCAAGCTACACGCCGTAGCAGTGCGTTCTTGCATCTGTGGACCCGAAGAGCTTACCAGCAAATCATCTCGAAGCAAGGGAAACCTATATGTGACGCCGAGTCCGACGTTGAGGGCGACAAGAGGACTACCCATACCTCGACTCGCAGTCATGAACCTCTCTTGGTCACATACACGGAGCCACATATGAAGGATGTGCTGGCTACAGACTACAGAGCACCACACAGGGCAGTTTGACTTCAACTCAAGCTGCCACACATGTCCAGGCATCCAATAAATCCCTGGCTCTGACCATATTTCGCCACCAATGGCGGCGGGCGAGGTTCCAAGTGTACAACAATTGTCATTCTAGCCTTTCATATTATATATATGAAAACGAGTGTATGAACAGTCAAGACCAAGGCAGTTACAGCCTTGTATGTATATTCTACTCTGTGATATAATTTTGACGGCCAAACCTTCAGGCTTCGGTCAAAAAACCCACAGCCTAACCTCTACCATACTTTTACCTCTTTTGTAATACTGCACAGTAGTGTGTATAGAGATCCTTGAACGAATCTCTATCCCTCAACAAGAACATCTTACCACCTCCCCTTTCCCCTCCCTTCCTTTATATCTTACTCCCCCTCCTCGCCCTCACCTTTCCAGCCGACTCATCCACCGCCAATGTCTGATTCAAAAAATCAACCATCCTCTCCACCATCGGCGGCGTAACCTCATGTCCCACTCCTTCAAAGACATGATCCTCCAAATACAAACCCCCATCATGAAACCACCCATCCTTCTCACTCACTTTCCTCACCCAGTCCAAAAACGGTTTACTAAACCTATAATTCACCAACTTATCCGCGCCACCACTCAAGACCAAAACCCTCTTATCACCAAAAACCCTCTTCATCACCGGCTTCACCCTGGAAATCTGCTCTTCTGACAATTCCTCATCCGGAAGATCCCCCGGTCTCAAACCCAACCCTAGGTCTGATTTCCTATCATGACCCCACACCACACCCGCCGGGTCCCCTCTCCCCATGGACTCGACAAGAGCTTCGGGAAAATCCACACTTCCAAAGAACTCCTTTCCTTGACCATCAAGCCATGATTTCCGTTTACTCAATCTCGCACGATCGGCCATGAGGCGCGCATAGTCGGGACATCCCACCACACTGATCCCAGCAGTGAAGCGCGGGTCGTTACACAGGACATGCCAGACGGCATGACCTCCTAGACTGATTCCCATGACGAGATTCCGCTCGACGACTCGACTCGCGCCGCCCGTGCCCGTGCCCGTCGCGAAGATATACCCTGGAATGTAATCGAGGAGTAAACTCACGTCGGCGGCGGTCCCCGCGTAGCAGGAATACATGTCGAGAGCGTGACGTTCGTTACCGGAGCGCCAGGCTTCGTTGGCGAGGGGCACGACGAGCCGTGTGCCGTGGTTGCGTTGGTCGAAGGAAATGGCAATGAGGCCTTTTCGTCGGTTTTTGTTTGTTCGAGGGAGGGTTTTGCGGTGTGTGTTCCATTCGTGGATCAAGTGGCCGGCGAATGGCGCCATGCATTCTTGGGTTTGGAGACGCGGGTGGAGGAGCCAAAGGATCGAGACGCCGAGAGGGGAGTCATCGCCGCCGTCGATGGCTGTGTCGGTGTCTTTTTCGTTGGGGAGCTCGTTCAGGCCGAAGACAGTGACGAGAATCCCTGCGACGTGGATTTGCAGCGCGGATACGGGTTCGGGGTGAGGGATGGATTTCGCGGTTGACCCAGTGTTGGGTGCGCCGTATGTGTATTGCACGGGGTTGGCCATGGTCTGGTCTGGCTGGTGGAGGTGAAGGTGTTGTCTTTTCTCTCTTTTGTGAGGTTCTCTTCTGTTATGCACGAGGATGAGGGTGTTTGTCTGGCGGTCTTTTATGTCGTCTCTCTTCTCTACTTAGTATTCTGGATGAGGGGGGCACCGTCGGTGATTAAGAGCGCGGTCAATGTGTTGCTCACAATTGAGCACTGTGGTGAATTCGGTCCGAATGACGACCTAGCTGCCAAACCCTGATGCCAGAATGTCAAGTGCTGGGCAAGAATTAGGGAATCATTTACAAGGATTTAAGTCTCATCTCAGATACTCATGAACCGCGGTTCAAATTCAATGCGGGGATATCTCAAGTCACGCTTTCTCCAAGTCTCGCGACTTTTCGGAACTGGTACTACTGGACGATTTCCTCCCAACATTCATGTCAACATCCTCAGAATGTAATATCTATTCTCAAGCCCAACCAGATCTACATCTAAGACGCATATCTATGGTCATAATACAAACAAGCTCCTGCAATGATGTGACGTCTCGCTGGGCTATAACATGCAAAGAATCCGCGCCACGTTTCACGCCGACGGTGTCAAGGCAATGGCTTTGTCCCATAATGGCCATACAGAGATTTTCCCTTGGTCCTTCCAGTAAAACATGCCAATGACGCTATGCGTAACTCTGCTCCATCATCTATCGGTTGTATCTTGCCAAAGTCTCCATGATGTTTTGGACATTTTGCTGTGGCTGTGAGGTGTTTCCGCCATATGCAGAGGGATTTCCATTAAAATTGTGCTGCTGCTGATGCGGAGGCTGTCCCATGCCATACTGTGGTCCAGGTTGCCGAGCTGCATTGTTCAAGATACCTGCGAGGTCTGCCGGGGGCCGCTCATGGCCACCCGGAATTTTCTGGTGATCACCAGGCTGTCGGAGGTTAGCCAACAACTGTTGTAGATTAGGAGCTGCCGAGTTTGGTGTGACTGGCGTCTGGCCTTGATTCTGATACGTTGGCTGCTGGCTGTAAGCTTGATAGTTATTCGAATACTGAGGGTAGTTCTGGGGCGGCTGGGGCGGCTGCGGTGGCTGCGATGGCTGTGACGGGTATTGCGCTTGTGGGTAGTGTCCATACGGAGACGGCGGATGTTGTGGTTGACCATAAGGCTGATGGGGAAATGCTGCCGGAGCTGCTCCTCTGTCCTTTTGACGAGCGTGAAGGACAATATCTGCTGCAACAGGGACGTCGAGATCGGCGTATTCGTTGAAGTTCACGTTGGACTGCCCTGCGCTCCGATCAAAAACCTGAAGCGGTATTTTGCTGTTGTATTGAGCAGCTTGTGATAGTTTGACAATTGCTTGGACTCCTTCGATAATCTGCCGTTTGACGACGGCGTTGAGTGGTAATCGCGGACTGAGCCACATGGTCGAAGCCTTGAGGCCTTTGGAACGAAATCCTTGCTCGATCCAGTTGATGAAGCCTTGGGCGACTGAAGCTTCTAAAATCAATAGCTGAACATCTGGAACATCCCGTGGATCGCGACGTGGAATTGGTAACGAGGCCTCGTCATCATACGCAGGAGGAACATGGGAGGGAAAGCCACCGCCGTACGGGGATCTAGGTCGGGCGCTACCGAATCTCGGGCTCTGAGCAGAGCCTCTGTGGTCATCTCGTGATCGATAGGATCTCGGTGATGGGGATCGACGGTGCTCGCCTCGGCCACTCCGGTCGTCCCTATAGTTGTCAAAACTGTTGCGGCCAAACCTTTCATTTTGTCTTGGGTTAGCTCGATCCGGTGATCGCGATCGGCGGCGTTTGTTTCCTTGATTTTGGTTCCTGGTGTTCTTTTGAGGTTTCGATATCTCAAGGTGCACCTTTCTGCCACGTATCTCGACTCCCTGCTCCGCTGCGAGAGCAGCAGAACACGAGGCCGCCTCAAGATATTGGACAAAGCCATAGGCTTGTTTGATGGATATCTGTGCCAGACGACCGTAATGGTGAAACGTGAAGAACAGATCACGTTTGGTCACTTTCTCACTAGGCAAGTTACCAACAAATAATCTCGAACCGTTGGGGAACTTGTCCCAAATACCCTCAGTAACATAGCGGCGTTCATCCTCAAGGAATTGGTCGTACTTTGACTGGGACTCTGGTGACATTTTACGTTCAAGTGGATCCGTTGATCGAGAAGGCTCCGGCCTCTGTAACAAATTGTTGGATGGAACAGCACCTGGGGACTGTTGTGGCAGAGTCTGACCAGGAGCTTGGGCGAGATAGTTTGGAATATGGACCTGGTTGACGTCGAACAGCGGAGATTCTGTGACTTCGGCAGCCTGCGGTGGCTGGTACGCGGCCTGTCCGGCAATCCTGTCCGCGACGGTGGGTGACTGGACTGCATATTGAGGCTCGACACCGTTTTCCAGTGCGGGTGGCTTCGGAGGGAGACCGGGCACGGAAGGCAAAGCATGAGCGGTTTGATCATTAGAGGAAGCAGTGGTTGGAGCAGAAACAGGTTCTGCAGCAGGAGCAGTAGAAGCAGATTGGGAGATTGTGTCGAGTAGAGACTGATAGTCTATCCCACCTTGATCGGGCTGTGGGGCGGATTGGGCCAAAGACGATGGCTGTGTGAGGTTCTCAACGAGGGATGCAAGAGCGTCATGTCCATTGGCGGTGGGATTGTTCTCGTTCTCATTCATGGAAGAGGAATTAACTTCCGGCTGATGAGTAGATTGCACTTGGTCATGGACGCTCTGAAACGAGGCTGATGCTTCATGATCCGGACGTGTAGAAGAGCTTGCAGGGGCTTGAACAAGATTGGACTCAACAGAGTCATTCTGGAAGGCCGTGTCAGTGGCTTGTGGCAAGGTGGTGATCGAGTTGAGGCGAGAATTTTCTTCTTCGGCACCCCTCAAGAAACTCTGGACGGCATCTTGCTCATCATTATTTGGGTCATTGGCTGCACGGGTAGAATCTGAGTAAGGAGAAAAGGTCTGGTTATGTGGTATATTATAGGTGGCAGTGTCATTGAAGACGGGGTCCATCTGGTTAAAAAGGACTGGAATATTGGAGGGCTCCGGAATATGAACTGGCCGTGGGCTTTCTGGAGTCTGCGAACTAGCAAAGCGCTGGGCTTCTGGAGGAGGACTATCAGTCATGATGAAGAGGCAGGATTCATGAAGGGCGACTCGTAGGCGCAAGAGAAAAGAAGGTGGTCAGGATGGTGGGGGAAACGGTAGGAAATGGCACTTGGACTCAAAGTTTGAGCTTCTGGTGTAGAGGAGGAAATGACGGGAAATGAGAAGGTCGAGATGGGAATGGGAATGATGGAGGGACTCGAGTCAAGTAGACAAGGCCAATTGAAGGAGTGATTGAGTAATTGATGTGAATTGTATGTCTCAATGATACGGAGTCGATGCGAACATGAGCGGGTGGTGGGGGATGATGCGAAAATCGGACGACAGAAGTGAATGTTGTCGTGACTGAGAGTGAGAGGAGGAAGAGAAAAGGTATAGGTGGATAGGGCAGGCGCAGCCTGTTGTGCATCGCACCTTCTGATCCCCAGGGTTCCACGCCTTCTCTGTGGGGGATCTCGCTCGGCCAACTTTCTCTTTCAAGCACTTGCTTACATTAGCAAATTGAGCTCCCCACTCACCACGTGCGCCGCGGTATGACATACTCCGTTCATATTTTATTATCGAGAACTCAGCACTCGGTGATCAACTTTGCCTCGCCTTGAAGTCTACTTGAGGCACAGTCCAATCCCCATCCCACTCATGTTCTCATGGGCTAAGCATGCTGCAACTATTGGCTTGAAGCCGACGCCGCCCTCATCCTTGATATATGCACGATCGAGCCTTCGTTATGCCTCCACGCACCCACATCGCTTGGAGACCCCAGATTATGATTATAGTGCTGCAAGAGACTGGTACAAGAACACATACCGCCCTGAGCTCCTGAATAAACTCGGAGAATTCCGGTATAGCCGATCGAGTGGACCTGGCGGCCAGAATGTCAACAAGTAAGGGTGCAAATCTACCTTCAATGTCTCATATTGATCGGTAATAGAGTAGAATCAAAGGCACAATTGCGTGTTCCAATAGACCGCCTGCTCGCCATCGTCCCCGAAGTCATGCACAAACCACTCAGAGCCTCTCGTTATTTTGCCGAAAACTCCTCCAGTATCGTCATCCAAGCAGATGACAGTAGAAAACGTGAAACCAATAAAGACACATGCATTCGAAAGCTCAACGATCTAATCATCGATGTGTACAAGCAGTCAGTGCCAGGCGAGACTAGCGAAAGTCAAAAGCAGCGAGTCAAGGATCTTCAAACAAGGGAAAATGAAGCACGATTAAAGTCTAAGAAGCAGCACTCAAGTAAGAAGCAGTCACGAGCTTCAGGTGGTTTCGATTGACAGACCATTGTGACTGTAAGCATTTGAAACTATTGCAACGATTTGAGAACCGAGTCCATCACGATTCTGATGCTTTCGTCCATCTCCGGCTCATCCTTCTTCAAATTTTCGAGCCATGTTCTGATGTTGAGATCGAGTTTCCTGCTAGAAGGGTTGCCCCTAGCCTCTCTCAAGCGTGTTATGGACTGTCGAAGCGCCACTGGGAATTCAGGGTCGGATTTGTCCAGAGCAACAACTGGTGCTCGAATACGACACGCTTGACCCTGCCAGCTCTGTGGAAATTCCCCGGCCAGTTTTTCTTCAATATGGGCGGCGACGATGCGGGAAGTAGGTGTCTGATCATAATCTGAAACCATCTCAAAGAAATCAAGTGCGAGATCAGGATCTTGGAACTGAGTCATAGCAGAGTCGAAAATTGCCATGGGGATAGCCCCAGACTTGACGGGAGTTTGTTCCAGAGTTTTCAGAGCAGCTGTGTCGATCTGATGTCGGTCTGCTTGCGGGACAATGTCTGTATCTGTGACTGTGGGGGCAATGGCAGTGTCCAGTGGCTGCGTGTCCTTGTGATTTTCCTGGTCGGTGATTCCCAACATTTCCCGCCTAGCGTGGATCTTTGCAATATATGACATTTCCAGGCGGGCATATTGCAGCCACATGTTCTTGACGTTCTTGCAGAACCGGAGGCCTCGTTGCATGTAACTCCTCGCCTCGGCCATATCGCCATTGTCTTCAACTGCAACCTGTGCGGCATAAATCCATAGGGCAGACTTGGTAGGGTGAAGTCTCAATACGTTGGTCAGCATCTCTTGCAATTTCTTATAGGCCTTTTGCTTCCTCGCAAAGTCTATAGCCAACATCCACAGGTCCACATCGCCCGCATGTTTTCTCGTCGCCCGGTCAAAGACAAAAAAGATGCGGCGTTTGCCAGTGTGATTTGTTGCCTTGATCCCCAACCTCTTGACCCGTTTACGCCGAAGGGCATCGACGTTGATTTCGAATTCTGCATAGCGCGCGAAGTCTGCAGGAGTTGAGCCTCTAGCGTTGATCTTGTGTTCAAAGTCAGAACGTTTGCGGGTGATGCTAGTGATTTCCTCTGCGGTAAAGATGCCTTTCTTCTCGAATTCCTTGAGTTCAGGGACGGATTGTTCGAGGTAGAAACGGGCCTTGTCGCTCGCAGCAGACATGGCTACTACGGTAGGAAATCTGCAAGAGGGTCTCGGTGGAGGAGGGGGAGGAAGTTGGTGCAATGGTGACAGATGAAAGCGCAGGCCGCAGGTCTTGAGTAGAAAAATTATTATACGAGTCTCGAGTCTCGATAGGGTGTGGAGATGGGATTGGGGCTGGTGGGCCGCCACAGGGAATCATAAGACGCTTCACCGCAGCTGGGACCGCAGCCTCGGCCAAAGGCCTATAAGGAGCTCTGCATGTGGTCAGGGACACGTCGTAGGCGTGCATGGGTAGTAGCGCAGGTAAGTAGTTTATTTAGGCGTGCACAGCGCAGTACGAGTAGAGCATCAAACAAAGTGTCCCTCATTCCTCATTCATGATTTATTTCTCCTGAATACGACGCACCTTCCCCATTCAAGAATTACACCCATTTTCTCTACCACTGTCGCTCCTTCCCTTTTTTTGATCCGATTCCCGGCAGCTCCTTCTCTCTTCTTCTGTTCAATGCGGCTGGTCCCTTTGTTCTGATTTTGACACCGTCTCCCAAACTGCCACCATGGCACCCCGGAAGGACGGGGATGTCGTCTTGACGGTTTGTGTTCCCAAGTCTTCATCTCGCTGGCTGGCAATACTGATTCTCCTGCAGTTCAATGCGAAATGGGTCTCCTGGGCTCACACCACCGCTGCGTACGCCGCTTTTGTGGGTGCGTTCGTTGTCGGCTGCTACTTGCACTATCATAAAATCGTTCAGAATGAGTGGTTTGGTTACCCTCAGGAATGGTTTCCTTCCGTTTCTGCCACGATCGGCGATCGCTACCCGGAACGCTCAGTCTTCATGGTCTTTATTGCCATCACCTCCGGCCCTCGATTCCTCCTTGTTGGCTTGTGGTATGTCCTTACGAGACGTCCAAACACCAATCTACCCGGCATTGTGGCAGGGGTTGGAATATTTAGAACGTTGACCTGCGGAGGATGGACATATGTCACTTCGACGGATGATCACGATTGGCATGATATCTTCATGATCTCCTATTTGGTCGCTACACTTCCTTGGACCTTGGGTTGCCTGTCTCTCAGCCCGCCTAATCCTAAGGCGATAAAGTATCGCAAGATTTTCGCTGGTTTGTTTTTTGGGACTCTAGTACCACTGGTCTACTTCTTCATCCAGCACAAAGTCCACAGAGTTCCGGGTGGTAAGGTTGACTATGCCTACGCTGAGGAACAAGCTTCTAACATGCATTCCAGCTTATACGATTTATGCATTCTTCGAATGGTCACTTGTATTATTGGATGTTGCTTTCGATGCTGTTACAGCACTTGACTTTGAAACCTTTGAATTGGTGGTGAGGGATGTCAAGGGACTCAGCAGAGGGTATGTGACAATGCTCCCACGATACTCAAAAGTACGACTCGGTCGACCAGACTCCACCACAATCTGCTGACCACTATCAGTGATGCCAAATTACTCAAAGACGATGCCAAAGAGAAAGCGTACGTCCTCAACTTCATATCCTTCTACCCACAGCATACTGACTTGGCCATAGTCGAGAATCATCCTTTGTGCAGTCTTCGACATTCGATGGACCTTACTACTGGCCTGCCATCCTCGACGCCGCTGCTGATATCTACTGCGGATTCGTTTTCTGGTCTATCCTGACATCTTTGGGAGTCCTCGTATGGTACTTTCCTCTTTGGCACATGGGAATTTCGGGTTACGAGGTCATGATCATGACCACGCTTTCCCCAATCCTTCTTGCAGTCCCTTTCCTCCGATCCGCAATCATCCAGAATATTCGATGGGTGCACCTGTCTTCCCTGGCCGGACTTCTGGCATGGAATGTTAAGAACCAGGCAAATCGGCTCTTTACTGTGGGCTTTGCCGTCGGCGCCGGTTGTTTGACCTGGTCTGCTCTTTGGTATGCTGAGCGACGAAACACACCGCGGTTGCAAGCTAGGATTTTGGCCTTTGGCATTGGGTTGATTCTCTCTAGCATTGCAAAATTTGCCAACCAGACCAATAATCCCGTGTGGCCGATTCTAAACTCGGAGAATGGCGGATGGAACAAGACAGGCTTCGTTCTGGCTGTAATTGCGGTTTGGCGGGCCACTCGAGCGAGCGACGCCAGTGGCGGCGATCTTCAAACGCCGAACTCGAAGAAGGGATCCAGCGTCCTTGCTGCTTTTGGATTTGGAGGACTCATGTTTGCCTTGCACTCGCTATTGTCGGATTCAAGCACCATGATACTATGGGTTTGGGAAGGATACCCTGTTCAAGGCCCTCTGTCAGTGCCCCATGGGGCAATGACGATCTTGGTCATGAGTGTGGGTCTATTCCTTGGGATCGCCCTCCCCGGGGTTTTCGGGTCCTGGACAGCTTTTGGCGTGGGCTCTCTGGGTGCTGCCTTCCTGACGTACTACTCTAACTGGACTGGTTATTATGGTGCTCTTGTCTTGACCTTGTACGTCATGGGCGTCGCCCCTGTTGTCATCACCTCTGCCATCCAGCACAATCCGGCCACGACATTTGGTCTGGGATTCTTCGTTTACAATTTCATGGTCCTGTTCCACGTGTGGGTGGTGGCGTATGCGTTTGTTCCCGGTGGACCACTCGTCAGGGAACGCACCGACTGGGTGATGATCACTACCATGCTATTGATTGGGGCAGGAGTCTTTTCTGCCCTGATTACGAACTCGGGACGAGCCTCTCGGGCGTCAAAAGGGCCCCAGGGTCGTCAAAAAACAGCATATTACATGCACATTCTTGTGGCTCTGCAATTGCTCACGGCATCGATAGCATACCTTCGATTCCCCACGAATGATTATCAGCCGTACCACAAGGACGAAAAAGTGCTCACCGCCGGAATCTGGACGATCCATTTCTCACTGGACAATGATATGTGGTCATCTGAGAAACGGCAGGCGGCACTGATCAGGGAGATGGAACTCGACGTCATCGGGCTATTGGAATCCGACACACAACGAATCATCATGGGTAACCGAGATCCATCTCAATACCTCGCTGAAGAACTTGGAATGTATGTGGACTATGGCCCAGGTCCGAATAAACACACGTGGGGTGCAGCCTTGCTTTCTAAATATCCCATTATCAACTCGACACACCATCTACTGCCTTCGCCCGTGGGTGAGCTTGCACCAGCGATCGAGGCAACGTTGGACGTTAGTGGGACACTCGTCGACGTGTTTGTTTTCCACTCTGGGCAGGAAGAAGACCCCGAGGACCGTCGGCTGCAGTCAGAATACATGGCGAGGATCATGAAAGCCAGTCCTCGTCCTGCAATCCTGCTCAGTTACTTGGTGATCAAGCCCAAGGAGGGCAACTACCACACATATGTTGGGGAAAAGAGTGGAATGCACGACATCGACAGTCGTGACTGGGATCGATGGTGCGAGTACATTTTGTACAAGGACATCAAGCGAGTGGGATATGCACGAGTGAGCCGAGGAACCATCACCGATACCGAACTTCAAGTAAGTGGATGTGGAGTCAACCGATGGAATGATACTAACGTGAGATAGGTGGGCAAGTTCGTGGTCGGTGAGCCAGCGTCTTACACTGACGAAAGAATCCCTGAGGAACACGTGCGACCTGGTCGAAGATTCCCTGCAATGTTCCGTGGAGCAGGTGTTCGCGAGCATAGATATCATGTGTTTAATGAGCCATGGTATTATGCGTAGATACTGCGAAGAAGAGAGATGTATGAATAGGGGCATTGGAAAGAAGTGAAATGCGGCAGCCATACAAGGTGAAGCCACAAAACATGCACATTAATTTGGATTCACGTCATATGGTTGCGAAGTACTATACCTAGTAAAGGGCAAATACATAATTGCCGGGTTCAGCTGTGGCTTTGCCAGCGCAGAACCATTCTAGTATTGCTTGAGGCATATATTTCCTTATCTCTTCCCAACCGTGGCCCGAGGGTGGTCTAGTCTTTTCACGGCGATCATGGTCGAGATTGAGCCTGATGAATAATCTCACGTGATAAGTCACGTGTCGTATTCGTCTGTGTAGTTCTTGCATCAAGGACATTTCCCAACCAACTCCTCTATGTTGTAGCAGGCTTCTTCCTTCTAATAATTCATCATTAAACACCTATTAATGCGGGCATGACTTGTTCACCAGCGATATCGTCAAGTTACTGGGTATATGGTGGCGATGACGTCGTAGCGTCGACTATGTGGTAGCTGAGCACAAACCATTTCGACTTTGTCAGCAGCCGTTGGGCAGACCCACCTTCAGCTTCCGCGGAGGCTCCGTTCAAAAGGACATATCTCGCCCAACGCCTTATCTCGTCCATTTGAACCATTTGAAGCCTTAAAACATAACAGATTGCCATACGTACAGCCTATGTAGTACTGCATGCGTGTGCATTGCTTGAAATAACGCCTAGCTATGATGGGGCGTCCAAATACTCCCAGAAAGGTACCAAGAGCCTTCCCAAGTCTGTTGTGAGTGTGGTCGTTGACAAGGTAGCCTAGTCCTGCGACTTTTGCTATGTGCGCAAAATAAAGTGCGACACAAAACAGCCCCGCTGCTCAAACTGCATCGCATATGCGAAAGACTGTACCTTTGGTGAACCGAGCCGTCGAGCGCGACCGAAACGCAGAAAGGTTTCCCAATTGAGTGAAGAGGATGCCTCCAACTTACACGATCGCGTTCGACAACTGGAAATTCTACTTGGACAATCTGCCGAAAGGTCAAAGATCAACGAAAAGGAAGACGACCATCAAAATGTGCTGCAGGAACCGACGCCAACTTCAACGTCGACTTCGACATCCAACACTCCAATCCCGCTGGGGGTAATCGAGGACAGCAGTACGGCCTACCCCGGCTCTTCCAGAACATTAGATCTACCTCCATTGCGGCAGGTACTACACACCGTCCATTTGTTCCTGGAGAAGTCTAACAGCGTTCTCCCCCTGTTCCACCCCGACACCCTCCTTGAGCTCGTCCACGAGACTTACAAAGTCGATGCGCGACATCGGGATCCGGTAGCGTGGGCCGCGATTAACATTGTGCTGGCACTTGCACACCGACAGCGCCTGTTGGGTAGCAGCACTATTGATCAGGCGCTCAGATATCTCAGTAGAGCCCAGTCTGTCTTGTCAGACGTCGTGTTGAAGGAGACCGAGCTGCTCAACGTCCAGGTCTTGGTGGGCATGGTGATGCTTTTGCAACCTGCAGAAGATATCCAGCCTGCGGTGATCTTGATAGCCACAACGATACGCCTCGCGCATAGAATTGGCCTTCACAACCGAGCCTCCGCGGCACACGTGAGTCCCATTGAGGCTCGACAGCGCGCCCGCGTCTTTTGGCTGGCATACATCCTAGACAAGGATCTCAGTTTACGTTCAAGACAGCCCTCGATCCAGCGTGACGACGACATAGACCTTGACCTCCCTTATCCTTCTGAAGACAAACAATGTCAACCCAGCGGGCATCTGACAGATCAAAACGACGGCTCAGTCTCTACTATTACCTTTACCGCCGACGAAGCCGTGAAGATGAATTTTTTTGTTTCTCGAATCCACCTGGCGGTCATCCAAGGCGGCATGTATGATTATTTACACTCTACAGCTGCTCAAAAACGCAGCGCAGAGGAGAGATCGCACGCTTTGCAGAGTATTTCAAGTGCGCTTGAACAATGGAAGTTGTCTACCCCACTTGAGTTCAGCCAAGTCGAAGCATTGCAGGCACTGTCACCCGCAACATTATGGTTCCTTGGTTCTTTGAAAGCCGCTAGTCTACAGTGCACGACTCTTCTCAACCAAGCAGATGCATGGAATTCCGAATGGGTGACCAGTCTGCGGAAGTGCGACAACGATGGCACAATCCCCGAGCTACCACCTCAGTGGGCTCAAGTGGTAGACGAGGGTCGTCATCTCCTAGTCTTGAATGAACGATTAGGTGGTTTAGATCGCTGGAGCTTTCGGTAAGTGCGAGCCTGTTCGAAATAGATCCTGAAGTTTTCGCGTCTATCCTCATTACTTGATCATGAATTGCTCGACAAAGCTCGCCGACTGACTTACTATTGCAGGTCGATAGGGTGCTCGTACATGACAGCCATGTTATTGTTGATAGCCAACACCATGCAGAATCCTCGGCATGAATTGGCGGCTGACGACGACCCACTCGTCCAGGCTGCTTTGGTCCAGCTAGACCGAATTATCGACGAGATCAAGGTGGATAGACTGCGCTCTTTCCATGGTGTATGCCTCGATTTGCATCAACATGTTCAACAGAAGCGCCAGGACTTGATGACATGGGCAGCAATAGCGGCAAACGAGGGAGATCCTAATCTAGATTTTCTAGATCCCGGATGGACCCAGAGTAATCTTTTAATGTAGAAACACTGTAAGAAGTATTGTACATAGACTCATGCCGTAATAAAACGGCTATACTGTGATGATAATTATTATACATCCAGCTTCTACGAGTTGATTTTCTGAGTCTATAGTACCAATTAGTAAGAACGGTTCTTTGCGACTGCGGAGCAATAATGACGATGTTTACAGCCCACGCACAGACATCGCTAGGTCAAGCCGCGTCACCAGTCGCCCGCGTGCTTCTAAATCTCAGGCTGTCGGAGTGTTTGACTTTCACTAACGGAAGATAAGAGCCTCCGCGGAAGACAATCAGAAATCCACCATTAACCTTCTGCCTCGATCTTCTACTAAATCCATCAATCATTATGTAAAACACAGATGTGTGCGGTGCATGTTCAATCTTTCTCCTAGAACAATGATTATGAATCATGCTATTAAGTTCTGGAGTTTGAGGGAAAATATCATGGTCGAAGTATCAAAGAATATGGATGAAGACACAAGTATAATAAGGGTCGACCGACCTCATGTCTCCGAAAAGATATCATATCACAGCATAGCATTGCAAGTTCGATCGATCGATTCATTCAGACAAAGAATTGACCAGAGACCCCTCTTCGAGAATCCATCATCTTAATCAAACCAATATCTCTTCAAGAACCAACAACATCAACAACCATGGTCACCTACCCTGAAGCCTACCCGGGCAACGAAATGTTCAAGTCCTTCACCAAGACATGGCACACCAAGCCCTACCCAGCCATCTCACCCGCACGACCTGAACTCAGCGCCGCCGGCAAAATCGTCTTCGTCACCGGTGGTGGCACCGGCATCGGCAAAGCTACCGCCATTGCATTCGCACAGGCCGGAGCCAAAGGCATCGCAATCTTTGGCCGCCGTGTCGCGAAACTCCAGGAGGCGGCCGAAGAGATCCGCAAAGCCAACCCTGCCGGTACAACAACAGTAGTGTACGAGAGTGTGGATCTAGGCAAACGCGCAGATGTCGACAGTGCCTTCACCGGCGCATTGAAGCAATTGGGCGGTACTTCGCTCAAGATCGATGTCCTGGTCAGCAATGCAGGCGTACTGCCCAAGGCTGGCAATGTAGCCGGGTACGACGAAACCGACTTCTACAAAGGTCTCGAGGGGAACTTGGGTATGGCGTTCAATACGGCTCAGGCTATGATGCCATTGTTGGCCGAGAATGCCACTGTTTTGAACATCTCTTCAGGAATCGGTCATATCGACCCTCTGCCCCAGATCTGGCTCTATGCTGCAACTAAGTTGCATAATATCAAGATGTTCGATTACCTTCAGGCCGAAAATCCGAACCTTCGCATCATCAATGTCCAACCTGGTGTTGTGGCAACCGATATGAGTTCCGACGCCGGGTTTGCTGGTCAAGATGAACGTAAGTCAACCTTGCCCCCCTTTTCCTTCTCTCTCTGTAGAGGAGAAGAAACTATTTTTCATTTCCGTTCGACTGACATATGTCTTTACAGCTGAACTTCCTGCTCAATTCCACCTTTGGCTTGCCTCGCCCGAGGCTGAATTCCTCAAGGGCAAGTTTGTCTGGATCAACTGGGATGTGGACGAACTCAAGGCTCGTGCGGATGAAGTGAAGAACTCTCTGCTGTTGAGAGTTTTGTTGCATGGCGTGCCAATGTAGATGAACGCTATCAGCTATCGGGTGACTCGGAGCGGAGATGTTGGGTCAAAGGGGGCCCATGTGTTCTTCACATGTACTCTGAAGAAATTGCTATGAACATGCCTGTTCTAGCATCCTCTCATTTTGACTCGTGCATATGTAGTGATAGATTCTCCTTACTGTGATACTGTACATACCTAAGATATACATAATAAGTGCAGCAAGACCTTAGTATGAGCGACCCACTTTTCTGATTTGCTAGTAACCTAGAAGCTTTGTGTCCGTCTCTTCACTGTGTTTAAAACAACAAACATGCTAGTCATACATACAGTGAAAAGCCTTCTTCTAGTCATACCTCTACGGAGTATGAAAAGCCTAAGCATAGTGCCATAAGTGCTTCTTTCTAGGGATTGGGCTTGTACTCCGTAGCTGGGCCTGGGCCTAGAACCTGACATGTGTGCTGGCGGACTCCGTAGATTGCGTGGTGGCCCAATCCTTACTTTGTAGATTCGCCCATCCATATCATCATCCTTATCGGTGGGGCATCAAAGACACTATCCACTTTTATCATTGCTATCTATTGGTTATAATTATGACTCTTTCAGGCTCCGCTCGACCCCGTGACACCCCGAATCACGAATCACATGCTCTACACGTGACTTAGATGATGTTGGGCCTTGATGAAAGTGGCACTGCATGACTCCATGTCTGCACCACCACCAAACTTAGTCACCACTCATCTTCTCACCACTCATTCACCACCCATTCACATCCCACACAGACGCACAGCAGACGCACAGCAGACAGCTGCACAGTAGACCGACGCCCGCCCTTGTTCCAAACCACTGGCACCCATAGAGTGAAGCAAGCAGAGGAGAGGAACCACAACAACCACCATCCCACGCCCAACAGACCCTTGTCCATCGGATGATCGGTTCCTGCATCATTGTGTCGCTTCACTAAACTGCTGTCCTCGATCTCATCTTCCTTCCTCTCTCATTCTCTCACTTATCCTACCTATATACTCACCTGGCCTCACGTCGACTTTTCTTTTTCCTCTCCGTTCTCCTTCGGCGTTCATCTCTCGCAGCAGGCTTCTCTGATACATGTCATAATGCCTGATTCATCGAATCCTCCCCCGGGCTCACGGGCCATCAAGATTCCTTTGTCTGCAAATGCCATGTCTGATTTCACCTCGTCTGGCCGTCCTCGACGAAGCGAACGTTACAACAAGACTTCTTCTCGTATCGACTCCGACGACGATCCATCTTCCTTGGGCTCCGATCAAAGCTCTTGGTCCAACAGTCCTATCCCTGACCGCCGTCATGACATGCTACATACCGTCAAGCCCATGGCCTCACCTGCCACCGAGGCTCTGAGTTCCACTCCTGCTCAAGATTCAAAAAGAAAGGATAAGCAAAAGGCCGGCTCCCCTCCATCTACCATGCCTGTCCTCTTCAACTCCTCCGCCTCCCCTCTCGGCCCGTCCATGCTGTCCTCGAGCTCCTACAAGTCTATCAACCTCAACTCCCACCACGACGACCCCGACGAACCACCTCGACTAATCACCTATACAAAACACAGTCAGGGCTTCACCTGGAACGACGAACTCTTCCTGCCCAGTTACTTGTTGGGACGTTATGGCGAGCGTGGACGCAAGAAGCTATATGACGGAGATTTTGGTGACGAGGAGCATTGCCCTGTGGCTGAGATCTTTGTCACAGATGAGGAGGCTGAGGCCATGCTACCGTAAAGTACACTTTCGGTCTTACAATGATACAACAGGGAGATGCATCACCACAGCAAGGCGTAATGGGAATGGCTGTCAGGTCAGGCATCAATACTGTGGGACAGACAGACCAGTCGTACTCGGACCTGGCTTGGGTAATCGATTTGGACAGGAAAGACAGATGGCAAGACGGAGTTCATTCCACAACGGATGGAGGCAGGCGATCGGATTCGGATTGGATCAACTAGGGTAGGGGTAGGAGTAGGGGTAGGGCTATTCTCGACTCACGTAACATAATGAATTTATCAATGGTACCAGAGCTGAGTCTCGCTTTGTATTTTCAGTGCTAGGCATGTCTCTACTCTATGATTTAGTCATTCAATAGAGATGACCTAAGTCGACCTTTGAGGCGTACCCCTCAGCAGCTGTCAGTATAAGCTATAGTAGCGACACTTTGTTGCCTATAATGCTACAGCATCGATAACAGCTTTCATGAGTCGTGGAATTAAATGTAGGATTTATTCAGTCGACTCATGCTCCGATGATATCGATGTAGGGTGCTTATTTAAGGCACTTGGCATCTTTCTCTAGCTTGATTAAGCCTATAGTGTCTCCTCGTGGAGGGCGTGAGCCGGGGGGAGGCCGAGGGGCCTCACCCGTGTCTTGGATGGAGTGGAGTGGAGGCCCGAGGGGTCTCGTTCCCTCAGCCAGACTCCCGATGTTATCTCGACGACATCAAAGGCGCTAAGTAGCTATGAGACACACAACAGATTTCATCGCTACTTTCACAGTCTGCCATTTCAAAGACGTCCGATCTAAGGTTACGACGGTTGGTCCTTACTTCGCAACCGATCTAAGTAGCCTCCACATGCAGCTGCGATGGCATCCGGGCATATAAGTGTCATCTTACGCTAAATAGATTACCTGACATCGGGATGTGGAGTCTATATGGTTGCTGGTCCGAGGAGTGGAATTGTAAGGTAATACTTGCAAAGACCATCGATGGCTCGTCGGCATGCGTCAGAGCGAGAGCCTTGATGAAACCCATCAAACCTGACCTCCATAAGCCCATCATTGGGACCTACGAGACCCTGGCCCCTGATCAGCAAATCGGTATGCCGACTGGACTTGGTGTATTCTATTTTCTTCCGGCTATGATCGTCTAGAAGCAAGATAAGATTTGACACAGGGATACGACTGCTCCAAGCTCTAATTAGAAGCTGTGCCTTGCTTCACCGATACTCGTTTCCTCGTCCCGAAAGATCTCTTGAGACCTGGAATTGCGACACGCGACACGTGACTCGTGACACCACACAGATCATCGCCATGCACAAAGTTGTCTTCCACAAACATGGCGAGCCAGTCGATGTCCTGGAGCTCGAAGTAAGCCAAGACCTCCCTCCACCAGGGCCGGAACAGGTCTTGGTCAGAACCACCAAGCTCCCTATTCATTCCGGTGATCACATCTTGGTTACGGGCCATCACAATCCTCAAAAATACGACGTTCCAAACGGCGGGGTGATTCCCGGCGCCGAAGGAATAGGTGTCATTGAGGCGGTAGGCTCTGGTGTCGACGCTGGTCGTGGACTAGTGCCGGGAACTCGTGTCTCATTCTTCGTCGTGGGAGCCTGGAAGGAGAAACACCTTTTGCAGGCCGACTCGGTTTTCGTGGTTCCTGATGACATTGACGACGCGCTGGGCTCACAGCTCTATGTCAATCCTATGGCTGCTCTGCTGATTGTCAGGGAAGTCGTCAACGCAGCGAGCCGTCGCGCTGGTGTTTTACGAATCTCAGCCACTCATGCCATCTTCACAGGACAAAATTCAGCCAGTAACGAGCCAGGTGTGGTTCTTCTATCGGCAGCCGGGTCCATCACAGCCAAATTAATCGCGGGCTTGCTCAAGGAAAAGGGGTATACCCCGATTGGCATGGTTCGTTCGCGAGCAACCGCTTTGTCGCTTCATGCAGAGACTGGCGTGGTGGCATTTTGCACAGAGGATCCGGACTGGAAGGAACAGATTCGCAAAGAGGTCGGTGGTCGGAACATCTTTGCGGCCCTAGATGCTGTGGGCGGATCCATCAGCACCGAAATGCTCGAACTTCTCTCCCCTGCTGGAACACTGATCAGTTACGGAATTTTATCTGGCGAGCCTCTGATCATTCCTCAGGCGCCTCTGACCATGCAGGACAAACGGGTTCTCGGGGTGGGCATGGTTCACTGGTCTCTGCTGCCGTACGAAGAGCGAGCCGCTGACCTGGCCACCATGACTGAATTCCTCAAACGCCACCGTCAACTTCTGCCGACGTTGGCGGAATTCAAGTTGAGTGATCATAAGAAAGCCTTCGAGTTGTTCAACAAACCCGGTCGCAATGGAATCATCTTCTTGTGTCCGTGATCAGACGGCGAGTACTTGGCCGAGAATGTTGATCGCGAGACATGTCCCGTTCTCTGGACCAGATCAGAAAACTTGTAGAGTGCGGTATGGGACCTGATATAGCGTCTAGAGAGTATCCAGCTCATCAACTCTTTGGCGTCCAAGCTACGATCGCGGTGGCGAGAAGAGTCTATAGATAGTTCTATTCCTCTATTGTAGCCTATCTCAGGGTCACTGGAAAAAAACGTCGCTCTAAGTTAGAACTGTTGACCAATATACTCGCGAGCGTTGTGTTTAGATCTCTCCACGGACTTGAGTAGGTGTGATGCCCTTCTGCTACCGCCCCTTTCCGTGCCCGCTATAATTCTATTACCAAGACGATAATGGATGCTTGACAGCCAAGTCACCAGACTTGTTGCAAATTCCAGAACTTCAGAACTTCCGAACCCTTGTCACTCCAGTCGCCAAATAGTAGTCCGAAGTATGAAAGGGGTCTGTTCCTTGCATGATCTGGGGAACAAGGGTCACAGTGGTTTGGAGTCTCGGGAGTGAAAACTACCCAAGTCAAAGCTTGCAGCCGATACCTCGGGTTTGGGCTAGAGCCCGCGTGAGGCGGCCATTTCGTTGACGGACAGAAGCCCAAATCATTTGAGGCAATTGGTGAGACAGCCCGAGCTGGAGTCAGAGTCCCGAGAAATCTTCCCCGCAAACAAATTCCTTCTGCATGTAGAGCAGCATTTCATGACTTACTGTGAATGCTTGGCTGGCATGGAATAAGTCAATATGCTCTTCTTGGGCTGCACCAGGCAAGCTCAGCCAAAATCGAAGTCAAGACAAGGACAAATCACTATGGCCGACATTGCAGGTTCAACGAACGGTGTGTCACCGTCACAGGATACTACTACACCAAGAACGCTTCCCAATGGTCGTTCCCGGGAGGAATATTATAAGCCATTCCCACCGAACCACTTTGCTCCTCAACCAGGCGATCAGAAACTCGACATTGCGATAATTGGAGCTGGGATTGCTGGACTCTTGACTGCAGTTGCATTGGTGCAATGCGGCCACAATGTCGAGGTAACATGAGATTCCGTCCATATGTATCCTCACATGAAATGTCGTGATTCTGAGCACCGAGTACGGACAGGTCTACGAACGATCCAAGTTCGCCAACGAGATCGGCGCGGCCATTAATATGTGTCCCAATGCCGCCCGAATACTGTCCTATTACGAATTCGACTTTGAGCGGGCTATGCCAACCACGGTTGAAGAGGTGAGTCGTCAGCCTAGTGAACTACGTCAACAACATCACCCCGTTTTCCTGCCTTGCCCGAACTGACCAGAGCTCCTCCAGTTGAACCTAGCGGATGGTCATACATTTGAACTTCTGCACCGAGCAGATACACCCGACATGGCAGCTCGATTCGGAGCCCCATGGCTACTATTTCACCGCGTCGACCTTCACAACGAGTTGAAGCGGCTGGCGACCGAGCCTCGACCAAGCACCGCTGCCGTAGCCAAGATTCACCTCCTTGCCGAGGTGGTCGACGTCAATCTTGACGGAACTCTGACCCTGGCAGACGGCAAGAAGCTGACAAAAGACCTGATAGTCGTCGCTGATGGCGTCAAGGTATGTTGGGTAGTCCTCGTTCACATAATCACTCATTTCCATAAACCAGACACTCAACTCACGATGTTAAAAGACCAGATTCGCCACCAAAGTCGTTGAGAAGGATGTATCAACTCGGGCTACACCTACCGGGACCGCTGTGTACCGATTCCTGATCCCGACGGAGAAGCTCCTGAAAGACGAACAAACGCGCTACATCTATGAGCGCGGAAAATGCTCAATGTACATAGCACGGCACAAGGACACTCGACTCGTGTGGTATCCTTGCAGGGGGTAAGAAATGGACTACGATCAGATCCTCTGTTAGTCCTATTAACTGATATTGTCATTCCACCACTCTAGCAATCTTTTGCAAAACTATGGCTTCTTCCATCCGGATTGCATCGAGGGTTACGACGATGAAGGTGCGAAGACTAGGTCAAACCGCGATGGAGTTGCCATCACCTCGCTGACGGAACACATCTAGTATGGAACATCCCAGCGTCTCATGAAGATTTGATGAAGTCCTGCAGTGACCTGCATCCGGATTTGCTTGCCATCTGCTCGTCAGTATATCCTGGTTCGCCGTGAAATTTGATTCATGTTCAACTGACCCACACCTCAAACAAACAGAAAAGCCGAAGATCTGAAACTGTGGCGGCTGTGCCAGCGAGAGAAACCCATTAACAAGTTAACGAAAGGCAAAGTAGTTCTGATCGGTGATGCTGCCCACCCCATGCTCCCTCATCAAGGTCAAGGCGGCGGAATGGCGATTGAAGACGGCGCGGCCCTCGGCGTGCTCTTGTCGCATTTGGACTCCAAAGACGAAATCTTGCATCGGTTGGCCTTGTTCGAACGCTTGCGCCTCGATCGTGTCTCGGCCATGCAGATATTCTCCAGCGTGGGACAGGACGAGTCGGCCAAGATCGCGGACCTCGCCCGTCCGTTTGTCAAAGGACCACTTCCATGTGAGTGTGACGACCATTATCTCCTTGCGTTCGATTTCGTACTTCGACTGATCGTATATCTCTAACTTTTTGTCTTTCTAGCAAACGCGGATCAGTATCACGACTACAACTTCACTCCCAACATCATTCGTGACGCCGAGGAATTGCTTGCTGAATGGAGGTCGACCCAGTCAAGCGAGAAACGCGATACATGAATCTGCCTCGAATAAAAATATACATACTATACCTTGGTCCTTTGAATGTGATATCTAAGATAGTGAGGCCGATTAAGATCGTATAGATTTCGGTGGTTATCATTGTGACTTTTCTGCATAATACAAATCACTAGCTAGCTCACTATGTGCCTCCTGTAGCCTTGTTTTTACCACAGAGACATGTCAATATAGTTTTGGTCTCCATCGAGCTCTGAGCTTCGGACCGCAATGTTATGATATTGCCGGTATAACAGGCAGGCTAATCCAATTGACGTTTTGCGGACTGAAATGGACATGGTTCATTCCTGCCAGTTTCTCAGGTGATCTGATAATGTCATTAGCAGTGGGTTCACATCCATGTGTTGGTCAACAGCGCAACGGAAAACGCCGTGTTAGTATCATGTGAAACATACCTCTCCGATGTATCGTGGCCAAAGTTTCCACTTCCTTGGGTGTCACCACTGGCGACCTCAAACACAAAGCGATCGCCCTTCTCTGCAATGACGTTCGTCGCCCACACCTCGACGTCGACCGGGTAGATTTCGCCGACAACCACGGGAAGAACATCACAGGAGAAGTAGTCGCGATACGGTAGCCAATCACGATGTAGAGGATGGTCCTTGTTGACCGTCCGCAGACTGACTCTCTGCCAGCCCTTGCATAGCGGCACTGGTTCCCCCGTGATTCCGGTATAGTAGACCTCGGTGCCATCGGCGGCAAAGTGACGGAGTGTCAAGAACAGGTCGATATCAGTGGGTACGGTCCCGCCTGGCAGGGGTGTGACCGACACATTCAAATGCGCCACGATATACCCTGTGAGCTCCTGTTCGTCGGATAGTGGCGCGGAGCTGAACTGGATATATTGAGGATTGTTGATGTTGCCGAGAGCAGGGTACGAAAGTCGGTCATAGTGGACTGATGGTGGTTCCCTGGTTAGCTGCCTGTCGGGAGTCAAGTAGTATTTGGTATATTGTGTCCGGGCCAAGGGCCACTCTTGTTCGAATCGGCGCTTGAAAGCTTTCTCGGCTATAGGGTTGTTGAATCCGACGTTTCCCTTGCGAAGGATCAGGTCTACCGGTGGCCGGGTCCCGTCGGTCCAGCCATCGCGGTCTTGGTCCTTCAAGAACGCGTCCAGGAAGGACTTGATCACTTCGACATGTTCGTCGTCATAAAAGGGAAGATCATGTCGACCTACCACCATTCGAAGGAATTTTTTCTCCGAGCTCGCAAGGCGAAAGCCTTCGTAGTTCCCGTGCAAGTGGATCATGATGCTACCCCAGTTCCCAAAAGACAGGAGTGGCGTGACGATGTCTTGTAGGTTATAGTCGCGGGAGACGTAGTAAGGATCGTCACGAAAAAAGTGCTGGGCTGTCTCGACCGTTTGATCATGACGGTTCTGTGCTAATTCTTCCTCAGACAGGTCGCCTTCGATGGTGTCCGGGCCCCAATTTCGATTCGCTTTTCCGGCCAGACCGTACTGATTGCTGAGCACTTGACGGTCGAACCACCATTTGAGAAAGCCAGTCAGAATGCCCCCGTGTCGGCAGCGGTCACGATAGTAGTCGGCCATGCCGTCAACGGGCACTATGGCAGCGAGACCTTTCGGTCGACGAGCCGCCACTCGCCACTGACTTCCAGCGAAATAGCTGATTCCCAATAGTCCCACCTTGCCGTTGCTCCACGACTGTTCCGCGGCCCATTCGATCACGTCCGCGAATGCGTCTGTTGTTGATTTGGACATGGTGTCCAGAATCCCCGGAGATTGCCCGATTCCAACTTCGTCCGCCCGGAGTACCGCATAATTATGGGCGGTCCAGAATCCGGGATCGGGGGTTTCGAAGGATGAATGCGCCGACTTATGCTTGGGATTGAGTTCATCATAGGATTTCATGTAAAATCTGTACAACCATTAGTACTGATAATGCATGTGGGGCCTTCTGGCACATGAAGTTTCTGGGGTCTACATACTCTGAATAGTGAATGTCCTTGCCATATGGGCCATATGTGACAAGAACCGGAACCTTTTCTTCCGTCTTGGGCCTATAAATATTGCAGCGTACCAGACCATCAAACGTCTTCAATTTGATGGTAACATTCTGTTCCACAATATATGGGAACGACGTCTTATCAACGACGAGGAGGTCGTCTCGAATCTTATTGGGCATGTTGGTTGCAAATGCTTTGTTACGACTGCAAATGGTACCGAATCAATCTTGACAAGCAACGATTGTTGTTGGACGCAATGGACCAAGCTTTGAAGACTTGTTTCCATTAATTAAAGAGATGGTCCGTAAGCCTTGCAATGGTTTTAGTATGGGGGTTAAAATAGGTATTGTCACTTGGGAATAGGCGTTCGGGATGTGGGTCCCCCCGAGACCACCAGACTTTGGTGGTTTAACTCGGTATACGACCACCCCTAAAGCGTCCAGGGTTGTACCTTTGCCTGTAAATGGCACTTTGTGTGTGGGTATACTCGGTCAAATACTTCTTGGGTATTGGAGAGGAATTTCACTCTTTGCGAAACGCATGATAATCTTATTCATTTGACAGCCTTGAATCTTTGTCGAAGGATTCTGGAAATCCCTTGCATCAGTCGCGAAACTTCTTCGGCTGTCAATGGCAAAGGCTCCATGGCCCAATTTGCCATGATAATGTCATTTGCAAGGTCAGGTGCCGCTGGCAAATCACACAGGGACAGAAATTGACCGGTCATCCCAGTGAGACCAGGCCACATGCGCGAACCCTTGACGAACCGGGACACAGCAGGACTCTCATCGCCATCTAGAGCAATTCTCTGCAGGTCCACACTTGGTCCTATGTCTTGAGCCCTAAAGAGGATACCCCAGACCCAGAGCGTCATGGCTGCGTGGTACAGAGCAATCACATATATATCAGTCAAGCTGCCCATTGACACAAGTCTCGTGGCGCGGAAGATTTGTCCCGCATGCCACAAAGCCGCGCGAGATTGAGAACTCTCGAACCAGTTTTCAACATACGAAACAGCTTGGCGGGCCTCTTCTTCCGTGCCAATCCCGGCGTAATTCGAGAGCTCGTAGAAGGCTACGTTCAGATGAAGACCCATGAATTCCTGAATGATGAGGATCTCTGGGCGAAGGTCCTTGAGATCTGCCAATTCGATTCTAAACTGGTCCAGGATAGTATTCAAGTCTGAATACCTCGAATTTAGGACAAAGTCGTTGAATGAATTCACGAGAGGTAGGACAGTGGTCATCTGCTGGTATTCTTGGACCAGAGCCCAGAAACCTGCGAAAAACCCGAGAGCGGTCCACGTCATGTCAGCGACAGATTTGTGTTGGGGGATTAAGCAAGGCCGGCGACGCAGTATGGCGCTGAGAGACAACGGCTGTTGTTGTTGGAGCTCGAGGTCGTGCTGCAGGATCTCGTACCACTTGTCCGCAGAATCGGCTTCCCATAATCGTTGAGCAGTGGGTAATGGTGTGTCGAGCTCGGAATAGGGGAACAGAATGTTGATATTGCGTGAGGCGGAGACATGCGCATCGACTGTGAAGGCAAAATACACCAAGCGTTTTCGGGATTCTTGGTCGATCCATTTCAGCCATTTTTGATGCAAAGAGAGTCCTGCGAGATTTAAAAATTCGACGGGAGGAAGATATTGGTTAGCTCGGAGCATTTTTCCGCGTCGCAGGACGGTGGCTCCTTGCATGGAGATACCTTCAGCCATCTCGATTTTACGGCTGATACCACTATAGTATGCCATGTAAAGCTGGAGATAAAATGCCTGGCAGACATCCTGTTCGCGCAGAGTCGCATGCTGTTGTTCAACCTGAATATTGAATCAGCCGAGATCAAAGACAGAAGTGATGGGACAAGGGTTTACCAGCTGGTTGATGGCGATCCGAACCGTCTCTTGGATAGCATAGCCAAACTTGCGCACCGAAGGGGATGGTGAGGAGACGGAGCCATAAGCAATGAGAGACGCCAGTAGTTCTGGCCGTTGTTGGTCAAGGTCAAAGGAAGGCAAATGAATCAGAGAGGACGCGGGGAGTTCTTGCAGGCGGGCCAGAGCGAGATGAATCAGGTCCCCCAACACTTGGGCTGGGGGGAACGAAGCCACGGTGCGCTCTGTCGCTTGAGCTGACGCGGTCCGCAGAATCATGGCCAGGATGCGGTCTCTCATTGACAAGGAAAGCGGCTTCTTGACCGCGGACCAAGCCCCAGAGGAGGCTCTGAAAGATTCGGTCCGCACATTGTGAGCAAGGATCAAATTCTGATGCTCCAGCTCATGGTTCTCTCCTCTGGCGGGTTCCCAGCCCCTATGAACTTGGGATCGGCGGTAAGCTTCGGCACCGACTCCGGTTGTGGTAGAGGTCGGACTGGTCTCGGACACTGAGGACAGTGGCAGATGGGGCGGAGATGCTTGACCCATGTCGATGACAGTGTTCTGATTTAAGAAAGAAAAGTCAATCTCATCGAGAAGAGGGTCTGACTCCATCTCGATGAAATTGCCAAAATCAGGCAGGGTCAAGGTTCCTCCGAGGATGTCTTGCATCATATCGCTTTGGGGCGACATCGTGTTGGGTGGTTGAATGTCAGCTGTGGAGCGATCGTTGGGCTCTGCGTCCGCATGACTCTGCAGCAGATCCAAATCTGAATTACTGTCGAAAGCATGGTCCAGGGGAGGGGGAAGGTGGGGAGGCATATGGGGAGGAGCTACGATGATCATAGAAGACTGCTCCGGCCTCTGAAGGTCAGGCACTGCTTCTTGACGGCCGTCGTGGACTTGAACTGGCGAAACAACGGATGCTTGTTCGTAGTCGCAATCTAGCCCACGTTCTCGACATCGTTTGCAGGGCTTTTGATCCGTACACTTGAGTTTTTTGGCGGCACATGAGCGACACGCTTGATGAACGCGATGGCTTTGACTGTATTGTTTCAACTGGGCCTGCATGGTGGCTTCGGCGCTGGAACCAGGTCCATATTCGCCACTGTGTGTCGAGACATGGCGTTTCAGCAAGTCCTGTCTTGCAAAGCTTTTTCCACATAGAGGGCAAGTGAATGGTCGTTGCTTGGTATGACCTCGCACATGGCGAACCAGGTGGTCCGCACGCCCGTACTCGGCCTTACAGAAACCACACTGGTACATTGCAACGGCAGGTAGGGGAACAGACGACATGGTCCAAGGCCGCCTTGAGTGAGCAGGCAGCTATGAACAACACAAGAACATGAGAGATCGATATCGATGCTGATAATGATGCCGACAATTTGCAGGCGGGATGTGAAAGATGTGGTCGCGCGGGGCCCCGCTAACAGGCGGTTACTTCTAGGGAGCAGCGAATGAGGACTGGGTGAAGCTAGGGGGAGTTGTGGGGATGTGTAGCTACCCTATAGCACCAGAGTGAAAAGCTTAATGGAGGTTTAGATGGCACCCTCGGGCAGATGTTAGGCGAGCATTGGTAACCTGGATTGCCTGGGCCTCCCTGAACGATGAAAACTAACCACCGTGACACCTAGATCGAGTTTTAGAAGCTAGAGTTAAAAAGCCAGGAACGCGTGCGCCGCTACAACATTTTCTGAATACCAACCCTCAGACCTCAAACGCAAAATCATGGTTACAGTCACCTACAAAATTGTCAACCGTACAGGAAATGAGCACATCCTTTGGGACGAAACGTCCTCAGTACATAGCTTCTCGTCTTGGTCAAATTCAGAGAGCCCAATACAAAGGCAGGCGAGTGAGTGACCACAATTTTGCCACCGTCGGTCGGGCCAGGTGGAGATGCACTGCCGAGATTTCGGATGCCCACCCACGCGACTTGTTGAAGCCAATTCTTGGGACGTCTGAACCCATATTTGTTCGGGTGACCACTTAAGGGGTCAAATTCTGGACGTATCACTGGGACAATGCTTGTATACCATGTTCTGGCCAAACTTCGTCTATGATGGAGGGTAGGAATGATCAGTCACGTGAAAATTTGATCGGTGGAGCCCTGGTTGACAACAACACCACAGATGAAGTCCACGGATGCTTTCCTGGCATCAGTAAACATTAAACCCCGATGATGCGTGGCGCAACTTTGGGTTGATGTGGGTCTATATCGTTTTCAATTTCGGAACACTTATCCGGACCCCGCTAGCAACAGATGAAGAGGCTGTCGACAGTGTGCATGTCGGTTTGGCAGAAGATAGTAGCAGTAGGTAGTGATTCGAATTCTACTGCCCTGCACTATTAGAACGAGGGAAGGCAGAGAAGGGAAAACTACTATATCAACGGGACTACGGATATACGAAGCTGCTGAGGCAGATGTGAAGGAGAGCTTCCGGACTACACTTTGAAATTCATTCCTGTGACAGACTCTGTTGCTTCCATATGCTCGTCGTGCGGTGATTTCGAAGTTGTAGTATTCTCAGGTGCTCGCCGCAACCCCAGGTATGTTCCCATATTCTTCCTTGAGCTCCACTGAGCCGATTCTGAGAGGCTGTGCTTCCTGTAAGACAAAGACCATACGAGCCCACTTGTCCCGGCTGGGGTTCTTCCACGCATGATTTGTCTCGCGTTGAATTACAATATCTCCCACCTTGAGCGACCTCTTCTCTCCCGAGTCCAACCAGCATTCCATTTCCCCGGCCGTGACAATCCCGTAGTCAATACTGACTGTGCGGTGCATAGGCTGAGCGTCCATGTCTCCTACGGGTGCAAATTCGCAGATTCGCAACACTGACCCTCCTTTGGTGATCAACCCGGGTTTGGTACCTTCGAGGAAATCTCGATATTTGGCAATGTCGGCTTCATTGCCTAGATCGGCTGGGAAATTCGATGTGGTGTACATCAGACGGAAATCCACCTCCTGGGTAATGGGCTGTCGTGGTGCTTCAGCCGGAAGATCAGTGTAAAACACAGACTTGCCATCGATTGTGTGTGTCGTGATATGGCGCTTAGGAATAGACAAGTCGTATAGCTTATATTTGTCCTGTCGAGCTGATGATATATCTGACATTATGACGAAGATTATGCAACGAGACAAGTTAGATGTCTCTATGGACAGAATCTAAGGGTTTGGATTCGGCGTCGTGGATTTTGGAGCTTCTTATAGGCAAGACTATCTTGCGTCTAGGAGATCTTGCAAACCGGCTGGATCGAGTCTTCCTTCTCTCCACAAATGAACATAAAAGCTGGTAACGATGG